CGCGCCCCCCTCCCTCCCTCCCCCAGCCCAGCCCGCGAAAAGACACGCGATATTACCCAACCTTAGCGCGCTCTTTCTCGCCAACTCAACACAAAGTCCTCACAACCAGAGATCAGAGACATCCTCGGAGCCCTCCCATCCACGCGCGCGTCGATTCACCAGTCCCTGGTCCAGTCTTGCCCAGGCGCGGGTCCCTCCAAGGCATCTCGGTAACCACGCCAGACCCAGGCCCAGCCGCGCGTGCGCGTGTGTCGGTGTCATCGCACATCGACCCTCACGCCTCGCTCATCTCAGCCTAGGCTTGCTCCTTCGATAATCATGTCCCAACCCGCGGCCTCCACCGAAGGGGACAACAACAACAACAACCCTCCAAACAATGTCAACCCCCACCAGCCTCAGCAGCCCCAGAACCCCGCCTTCCCCGCTGGCTTTGGAATGAACGGTGTCCCGAATTTTGCTGGCCTCGACCCCGCGACTCAGCAGCAGCTGCTCCAACAGCTCGCTGCCCGTCTTCCCGGCGGTGCCGCTGCCGCATCCGCCCTCTTCCCCAACCTCTCCAACCTCAACCTTCAGAACCGAAAACTTAGCGGCAGCAACGCACCTGGGGCTGGCCAGGCGGCGGGCAGTCCGTCAAACCCGAACGCTGCCAACGGAAGTGCGCCTTCCCCGATCAACCCCACGTCAGCCGCATCGCCTGCCCCGTCAGCCGGAACACCAGATGTGTCAACGCTCCAAGCACAGCTGCAAGCGCGGATGCTGCAGGTGCAGCAGCAGGCGCTGCAGGCTGCCGCCATGAGGGCAAGCGGAGGAGGCACTCCGCAGCCTGGAGCAGGATCGCAGCCCAACCAGGATGGGCGGCCGAACCTCACCGGACTACCGGACTGGGCAGCCAACAACGGAATGCCTCAAGGAGGCGATCGTGACGCGATCATGAAACAGGTGGGTTCATGCGGCTGATGGATGGATGATGTTTGCTGACCTTGTAGCTCCAAGCTCTGCAGTCACATAAACAGCGACAGTCCAACCCGCCTAGCACCCCGAGCAACCAGCCGATGAACGTTCCGTCGCCCGTTTCTGTGACGGCTCCTTCCCCGGCGGGTGGTATCACGGCCCCGTCCCCGGCAGGAGGTAGCGTTTCCGCCCCTTCACCCGCACCCAACCCGCAAGGTGGATTGCCCATGTCGGCACCTTCGCCAATGTCTGCGATGGGTGGGCCAAGTGGCCAGCTCCCCGGGACGCCTTCCTCGACCGGATTCCCGAACACTGGTCCTGGTCAGCCGCCGATGGGAATACGACCTGGAAACCCTCAGAAGCAGCAGCTGTTACACTCGCTCATTGCATTCTACAAGTCGATCCGGCAGCCGATGCCGACTGAAGTGTTCAACGGAGAACGCGACGGATCCTTCAAGCTTGGAGATCAATGGATTGAGCTGACAGACCTGTTCTTTGCCATCTTCCGCCTGGGTGGTATGATTAAGGTGAGGTACTTTCGTCGAGTGGAGCTAACGTACAGTTAATTCAAACGCAGAACATCCAGGAGCACCCCGTTTGGCAGGCGATTCTGGCGAGCAAAGGCATCCCGACGACTCTTCCGGCGCCTGTTGCTCTCCCCCGACCTCCCGGAATGGACCCGAATGCGCCGCCGCAGTTGACAACGAACGCTGTCCAGTATCTGATTGCTGCTTACCGCGCGTGGATCTTCGGATTCGAACAGGCGATGGCGCGGTCGAAGATTGCTCAGATGCAGAAACAGCAGCAGGCCCAGGCGCAGGCGAGGTCCCCGGCGAATGCCGCGCCATCTCCTTCTGCGACGGCTGGAACACCGCAAGCGCAAGCACCGACGCCGACGCCAGCAACCCCGGCAGCCCCAACCCCGACGGCGATTGCCCCGTCGCCAATTGCAACGATGGCCCAGTCCCCGGCTGCTGCTGCTTCGCCTGCTGTCGTGGCTGCGGCAAGCCCGGCCATGTCCGCTGTGGCGCCGACGCCCTCTGCCGACATGCGCCCTCCGACGCCCCAGCAGCAGCAGGTTCCTCAGCTGCAGACGCCGGTGCCTCCCTTGCAAGCTCAGCAGCAGTTGCAGCAACTGCAGAACCAGCAGATGCAGCAGCAGCAGAACCAGCAACAGCAGACTCAACAGCAGCAGTTCCAGCAGCAGCAACAGCAACAGTTCCAGCAATTGCAGCAAAATCTGCAGCAGCAGCAGCAGAACCAGCAGCAACAGCAGCAGCTCCCTCAGCCTCCGCAGCAACAGCAGATGCAGCAACCGCCTACGCCGACGCAACAGCAGCAGCAGCCTCAGCAGCCACCACAGCCTCCACAGCCGGCCCAACCACCGACACCGCAGCCGCCGACGCCCGTTCAGCCTCAGCACCGCGCTTCTCCCGCTGCCCCGTCACCAGCCAATGCGCAGGCTTCCGCTTCGCCGGCGCCTGGAACCCCAGCCGGTGGACCAGCTGCCGCTGCCCCGTCACCAGTTGCCCCGTCACCGGCTTCCAATGGCGATGCGAACCCGCTCAAGCGCAAGGCGGGCGAGTCCGCTGTGTCTTCCCCGTCGCGACCGCCGAAGCCGTCGGGTCCGAAGCGCCCCCGTTTCAAGGTCGAGTACCGCCCGCTGCACTTCCCGCAGCCGAGTCTCGGAGGATGGGACGAGCGTGCAGTCGCCTCTGCGTTCCCGAAACACTCTCTCAACCGCCGAGCGCGGCCGGCGTCTGATCTGCAGGTGGACCTCGAGTCTGTCCTGATGGGTCTGCGCTCGCGGCTACCCGTCGAGGTCGGGTATGGGCTGACTGCTCTCTCGATGCTGTCGATGCCCGTCAACGACAGCGCCGTGTCGTGCATGCCGATCGAGCCGATGATGGAGGTCTTCCTCGAGGTTATTTCTCTCGTCGGCGACTCGGCGCTCGGTGACGACGGCGTTGAGCGCTGGCTCGAGGAGAAGGAGAAGGGCAAGGACAAGGAGAAGGAGACGCCGCGTGCGTCCGCCGATTCTGCTCGGGAGGACATTTCGCGGATGAGCCTGTTCGAGCTGGAGCAGCTTGGACAGGATCTCGACTACGGCGTGCAGGACGACGAGACCGAGTACAAGGGCCCGCAAGAGATCACCGGCGGCCCGACCGACATTGTGCTTGCTGGTCTCAATATTATTCGGAACTACTCAATGGCGCCTGAGAACCAGCCACTCATGGCGCGACCCGAGCTGTTCAACATGCTCGCGGCGGTGACCGACGGATCCCTGATGCGTATGCCAGGAGAGCGGTACTCGAGCAAGCGTCCGTACTCGATCCCCGAGTATGCGCGGGTGCGCCGCGAGGCTGTGTCGATTCTGACCAACCTCGGCGGACACTTCAACCTGACCAAGGTGCCGCACTGCAGCGTGATCGCAATCTACAGGCTGCTCTCGAGCTTCCTCATGAGCGGGTGGGACTGCTACCGCCTGCGCGAGCCTGCGTACGGCTCGTGCACCTCTATTCCGCCACAGGAGGCGCGCCCGTCGTCGGTTCTCAGTGTCGAGCGGGCGCTCGAGGCGTTTGGTCGTCTCGCTCTCCCGGACAACAACCGCGAGGTCATTGCAGCGGCTGTGCCGACAAACGAGCTAGTCGAGCTGTTCAGCGGGCTCATCAAGCTCTTCCCCCTGACGCCGCGAGACATTGAGGCGATGCGTTCGATCGAAAACTTCCTCGCGCGGACGGAGCTTATTGCTCTGTCGGTGTACTCCCTTTCGTTCCTTGCTCCGACGGCCGCGCGGTCCGAGATGCGCTCCGTGCCAGGTGCGACCTCGACGCTGACGCGGTTCATCTACGACCTGTCGCCTCGGGGCGGGAAGCAGCGCGGTTCTGACCTGCGCACCGCGCCGTTCGGACACCTCGTCGCACGTCTCGCCGAGACGCTGGGGGTGCTGAACGGCACGGTGAACCCGGGCGGGAACACGGACCGAATGTCGTTTGCGGCCGGCGGCGTCGACGGCAAGGGATGGAAGTTTGCGAGCGACGTGGTGGAGCCCGCCTGGCTCGCGCAGGACACGGAGCGGATCCTCGAGTCGATGGGATGGGGCAGGGACGGGGCGCATTCAAGCTCGACCCGGGGACGTTTGCGGAGCTGGACCAGTTGTGGTGGGAGAGGAAGTAGGCGAGCCGGCACGAAGGAAGGTCGGCGGATGTAGGCCGACGTGAAGTGAGGAAGAGGTGGAGACCCAGCCTGTCAGGCGCAAACAACTGTGGCGAGTAGATAGACACTGTTGTATCAGTTAGAGACATGTAGATGCTACAACTCGACGAGCGCGCGCAGCGCGCGAGGCGTGCGCCGAGTCAGTGCCAACAACGAGCGCGCGGCGCGAGTAACCCAGGCTAACAGCGAGATGAACCCATAGTATACAAGCAAGTCTACAAACTACACAAGCGAAATCTACATGTCCAACGCGTCCAGACGTTCAAGCACGACCCGGAAATCGCCCGTCTCCCCATCGAGCGTCCTAACAGCCTCTCTGACTTCTGAAACCGGCACGCTCTTGTCGCCCTTATGCCTCGGTCCGACGAATTTGCACAGCGTCCTAAGCGCCGAGCCGAGGACGGCCTGCGTGCGTAAGGGGAGAGAGGATGTGTCGATGGCGGCGATGAGTTGGTGCACGCCCGAGAGCGTGGCGGTGAAGTACTGCTCGCAGGCTTCTTCCGACATGCCCTTACTTGTGCTGCTGCTCGTCCGATTCGGTGTGTCCGAACTGCCGGGCGAAGACGCAAGAGATCCAGATCCAGAATGAGAGGGGGAGGATGAAGGAAGGGAAAAGCCAGGCTTTGATGGCGAAGCTGGCGGTAGGGGTGGCAGAGACAGGGACACGGCCCTCCGTGCCGCGAACAACGTGAGCGCACTGAGCAGCGCCGGCCGGAGCGAGGCGGGACACTGCGACTGGAGCCGGGCCACTGCCTCCTTTAATGTGCCCGGGGGCGGCATGCCTCGTCCCCCCGCTTTGGGTGTCGAGGGTGTCGAGGGTGTCGTTCGTGTCGTCCGACTTGAAGAACTCGGCGCGTGGAGTGTCGGTGTTGAGCTCGAGTAACTGGGATAACTGGGCGAGGCGTACGGCGAGGCGTAGGGCGAGGCGTAGGGCGAGTACGTATCCGGCTGCATTGGCGGCTGCAGTCCCGGCTGCACAGTCTGGCGACTGAAGAGATCCACATTGGCACTCGGGTCGAGATCCAGTTCCATCCCCTCGTCCTGGTCCTCGAGCCCGAGACCGCCCAACACGGCCGACAGCGTCACACATTTCCCCAGAGTACTGAGGCCTGCCGCCTCGGCCATGAGACTAAAGTTGACGTCTTCAGTCCAAAGCCGCACATTGCCCATGCCGCCTATCTTCCCTCCTCCGGTCCCTCCACCACTCCCACTATCTCCTCCCACACTCCCTCCTGAGCCTCCTCCATTTCCTCCAAACGATACCCCCGCCCCGGCATCCCCGTCCAACAGCAGACCCACAGAATAAGCGTGTGTCAACGACTTCAATATCCTCTCGTCATTCTTCACCTCCACGCCCGCCTCGAAGGGCCCCTGTGCGGCCCTAAACTCGAGCAGCGATTCGAGACGCACCCTGATGCGCGTGTGACGCGCCGACTTGAGCATGTCTCTCAGCCACGCACTGGCGCGCTGCGCGGCATGCCGGAGGTCGGGACGTGGTGAGGACTTTTGGTGGTCGAGTTCTGGCGTCAGCTTCTGCATCTGCGCCCATCAGCTTGAAGGGGAGTTGTATACTGGGGTCTTGCGCTGATCATTGACACGCCGCGAGAGGGACTAGGCGGCTCTGTCTCATTCGCTGCTCGCTCGTGAAAGGCTGCTGAGCTAGTATCGCTCACCGACATCGCCCCGCTCTGTCTCGCTCGCTTGGTCTCGCTTCGCTCGACCTGCGCAGCTCCGACTCACCTCTCACCACCACATGCGGGACGAACAACCACACCTCGCTCGGCAGCAGCCGCTTGTGCAACGCCTGCACGAGCGCCAGTCGATTGATGAGCACATTCGTGTCGATGGCGAGCAACTGCGGACCCGGCGCCAGCTCTTGCTCCGCTGGCGGCCAGGAGTCGATGTCCATGTGAGCTGCTGTTGTTGTGGAGGATGGTGCCGTTCCAAAATCCACCGTTGCGATCGGCGTCCCTTTCGGTGGCGTACCTCCACTCACGTCGGCTATCTGCGCCCTGCCTCCTGACAACATCACCCCCTGATCATGATCACTGCAACATTGCACTATTCACATGCTGCTTCTGCGAACATTCTATGAAGGAACGACTGGCGCTGCGGCTGGCGCGAGCGCGGTCTGGCTATCAGGCTATGTATCCACAAATTGTATTGGGCTAGCTACTGTCCGGCCGGAGACTGACTGGCCTTACTCGGCCTTCTTGACCGTCTCGTGGTTGTGCGAGTAGTGGTAGTTGGCGTGCTGCTTCTGGTTGCGCTTCTCTGAGCCGTTAGCTCCATAATGTATAGACGTAGCTCTCGATCGGCGGATCGGAATCCGAATCCTCACTCTTGTTGCTCTTCCTGTGCTTGGCGGCGTGGCCGTCAGACGCGTGCAGGTTCACGTGCGGAGACGGGGAAGGCGAGGTCGCATCGCCAGAGTCGGTATCCGTGGCGGACGCGCCGCCAGAGACGGGAACAGAAACAGAGTCGGGGCCGTCGGTGATGAGTCCCTCGACGGGCGCGTCCTCGATCAGGAGCTCGTGCTCGTCCTCGATGAGACCGGCGGGGTGGGGCTCGTCCTCGATGAGGCCAGCGGGAGCAGCCTCGTCGGCAATAGCCCTGCGGGCCGACTTCTTGCTCTTGCTGCTCACGCTCGAGCCGATCGCAGCGTCAAGCACAACGGCGGGAGGGTCGGCGACGCCCTTAGCCTTCGCCGCCTTGCTGCCCCTGAAACCGGGCGAAGCAGACAGAGGGCGGTCCTCGATGAGGGCGGCAGGGTGCGGCTCATCCTCAAGCAGGCCGGCGAGAGCGTGCCTGCCAGACTGGCGGGGCTTGCGCTTCTCGACGGGGTGAGGGGAAGCAGGGGCAGAGTCGACGTTGGGCGCGGCCTTGGCATCGGCGAACGCAGCGTCCGCCTTAGCGCGGATGCTCTTGATCTTGCTGCCGACGATCGGGATGCGAGTGACGATAAAGTTCAGAACACCGGTGGTAAGCTCGTAGATGGCCGCAAAGGCGGTCTTGATGAGACCCTGAGACAGCGGGTGGCGCTGGAAGAACGACACGACGATACTCGCGATACTGATGACGATGGGCGAGACGATACGCAGGGCGAGCGTGCTACGGGTTAGCGTCTGGAGCCAACGGCGGAATCTCACATGATGCCGTACACCAGAGCGAGCAGGCGGTTGCGGGGCGCAAGGGAAGGAATAGAGAACTTGGTGACCTGGTACTTGGTGTCGTCCACATCGCCGCGGTCAGTCTGCGACGGCGATGGCGAGCTGTGGTCGGGCTCGACCTGCAGCTGCACGCCCCTGATGTCGAGGGGGATGGTGACCTTGGACAGCGAGTTGACCGGCCAGGGAAGGTCGCCAACGGGCAGGTGGTAGCGGCCCCTCACAGTGAAGGTCGCGGTTTTGTTCCTGGTTGTCAGCTGGGGGGAAGCTCGGTGATGACTTCGGGCTTATAATTGCAGGGTTTTGTTCGGCAGCCACGGACCATGACGATGACCCGCGTGGAAGCGGCGAGGACCACTCCGCGCTCGCCGATCAAACACCATTTTCAACTCACTGGTCATTCCACTTCCACTCGCCGAGCTTGGAGTCGGCACGGAACGCCTGGTGCAGGACGAAAACATGCTCAATGTTCTCCTTGCCCTTCGCGACATGGACAGGCGACTCGTACACGGCGTCATCGGCGAAGTACTCGTCGATGGCCTGCTCGTACTGGTTCCTGCTGGTTAGTACTGCGAAACAGAAACCGAGGAAGGCTTGAAGATGGACGTGATACTCCAGGTTGAGGCGTTGGCCGTGCGTGGAACCTGAGGCGCCGAGGAAGACACTCACTTTCCAGTGACGAGCGATTTTGCGACATCTGTGGAGTCAGCTTAAAGTGGCAGCGTGCTAGCTGGTACTCACCCAGCACCTTGGTTTTGAGCTGGCTAGAGTCCATGGTGGAAGCGCCGATGGGAGATGGAGAGGAAGACAAAACAGCAAGCTGAGAGCCGGGTTATGTGTTGCGGGCCGGGTTTGTGAGAGCTTCGGGCTTGCGGCACAGGTACGGCAGTGAGTTGTTCCCCTGCCGGCCAGCTGTGACATCGGGTTTGTACCTGGCCTCAGACTGCTGCAGACTGTGCGTTATGCGCCTGCGGGGTGCGCGGTGCGTGGACAGCATGGACAGGCGTTGGCTGTGCAGAGGGGCATGCATGTGGAACGCATGGAACGTGTGGGAGAGCAGCAGCAATGGGACGGGCGAGCCAAGTTTGGCTCGTTTGGCGTGAGTTGATTCAGTGATCGTCGCGAGCGTCGCAGCTGCGATAGCGTCATTCTCATGTTTTGATTTTCTCACCGTAGGTAGACCCGGCTTTGGGCTGACCTTGGATAACCGACCTTGCTCCGACCTCTGCCCCTGCGCCCCTTCGCCTTGCGTCTTCCACGCCTGGCCCGCTGCCGCTCTGGCGCTCTGTGACGCCCCCCGTAACTGACGAGCGAATGCGAGAGCCGCAGCGAACCCTGAACACGAGCTTGTCCAGCTTGGCTGAGGCGCTCAGCTGTTTCACCATGTGCGGACGGAGGCATATTCCCATCAGCCCAGACTTCTAATGCGGTAAATCGCTCTCCCACGCCAGAGTTCCTCGGATCCGTCGGCCACACGTGACATAGCTTCCGTGACAATGTCGGGTCTACCTTCCGATCGACCGCTTCAAGCCGAGATTTCGAGTTCCGCCTCGACACTCCAACCCCTCCACCTTCGACAATGCTGTCCCGACGACTCCTGACTCTCGCCTCGATCTCGAGCTCGCGCGTGCGCGCGCTGCACGTCTCCCGCGCCGTCCTGGCCGAGAGCGACCCGTTCCCGCTCCCCTTCGACCCCGCCCTGCTCGCCCAGCAGCAGCGCCCGCGGCACGACCAGGCCGAGGCCGAGATGGCGCAGTGGCAGGCGATCAAGCCCATCGAGCGTGTTGGCGAGGACGACAACAAGATGCGCGCCCGCCTCGTGTACCAGACCCGCAAGCGCGGCATGCTCGAGAACGACCTGCTCCTTAGCACGTTTGCCAAGAATGAGCTGCCGAGCATGACGAGGGAGCAGATGGAAGAGTTTGACAAGGTGAGTTATGAGGCGCGAGGCCGCAGGCCGAGCATTGCGGGTAGTGCGATTAGGAGACGCCGAGATCATACGGTGGCTCTTCTCAGATGAGCTCTGAAGACGCAGTGGTGCCGTGGAGGTGGAAGCTGCCGTCCCGCTGATCAGTAAAGCTAACCCACAGCTCCTCGACGAGAACGACTGGGACGTCTTCTACTGGGCGACGGAGAAGAAGGAGGCACCCGAGCGCTGGGCCAAGACCGAGCTGCTTGCCAAGTGAGCTTATTGACATGAGTCTAGCTAATCCCAGGCTCCGCCTGCACGCGTCGAACAAGGAGAAGGAGCCCCGCCGCATGCCCGACCTCCGCCAGGTGCAGAAGTTTGACTAAGAGGTGCTCTTCTGATTTTGTAACAAGAAAACAACCGCATGTACTATTCCATACGCATACGCTCTTCGTCTTCCATGACTCTGTTTGCTCCTTGGATCCTTGGGCGCTTGTGTCTTGTGCTCGTCCTATTTGCGTCGTAATGAGCCGGTCCCAGGTTGGTCAGCCTGTCAGCTCACGCCACTCATGTCCACCTGGAGAAGGAGATGGACATTTTGCTTCCGCCGGCCCGACGTCGCACCGCACCGCCGCGCGACGTACAAAGTTTCCAGCTAGTCGTTCACTTCTTCTCCATCGGACATCCCTCTTTGGCTGCTATTTGCAGTTGTGGAACTGGATTTCCAGTTCTCCTTTGGGGGATGTCCCAGACAGACCGTCCTTGTTTGAGGGTCGTCGGCGGGTGTTCTGACCCCGGCTTCCCATAGTTTGGACGTACATTTGATACCACACGACACTGTTTATCCCCCTTCTTCTGCTCTCTCAACCTTGACACGCAACATGCGGCTGCTCCTTTCTGACTGCAAGGGTACAGGCCGCAAGCGGCCTCACGCCATCATTATACGCTCAATGCATTTTTATCTATCGCGACTACTGGCCTACCGCATGTCACAACCATAACGGACGTATGCATACTCTAAAACAAAATTACACGCGCTCGGCGCTCGCTTCGCAGCAACTACTTCCCCCCGCTCGTGAGGTTGGGCGGGAAGCCCGAAAAGTCGAGCTGGTCCTGCACCGGCTGTCCGTCCTTCTTGTACGAGACGCGGAGTCGGAGTCGAATCTGTGCACCTGGCGGCGCAATGACGCGCAGCTGCTGCGTTTCGGTCGCCCCGGGCTGGACGTTCTGGTTCGACATGGCCTGCATCTGCAGTTGCTGGGTCTGAGAGTTAGCATTGTCGCTTTCGCGCAACTCACCTTTGGCACGGCGACCTGGAAGTTGACGCCCTCGACGGGCGACGCGGACGTGAAGCGCGCAAGGATCTGGACAACACCGGGCTGCGCCGAGACCTTGGGCGTGAGCGTGATCTTGAGCCCATTCTTCTCGTACGCCGTGTAGGACTGCAGTTGGGGCGCCTGAGGCGGCCGGGCAGCGGCAGGTGCGGGAGGAGGGGAGCGTGTGGTCGGGGGAGGAGAGGGAGTGGAAGCGAGGTCGAAGAGGGAACCGCCGGCGGCGGCAGCGGGGGCGGGGGTAGGCGCCGGAGACGAGGTCGCCGGCGACGAGTCGAACAGCGACATGATGTCCTGCGCGTGTGACTTGGCCGGAGCAGGCGCCGAGGGCGAAGTGACGGGCGTAGCGTCGGAGGAGCCAAAGATGTCCGCGAGCAGGTCCTGCGTCGACTGCAGAGACTGCTGGGGCGCACCGTTTGACGGTCCGGACGGCGCCGACATGTCGTCTCCGATGAGGTCGACCACCGTGTCTTTGTCTGCCCGCGTCGTTCCGACCTTTCGCCTCTCGCTGACCGTTCCCATGATCGTCGCCTTAATCTCGGGCGGAGGCATGCGCTCCAGAACACCCATCTTGACGTCACCCATGTTGAGTAGCGTGCCGAACTCGACACTGCGCTGCTGGATCTCCAGCTCGAGGTTGGTAGAGTAGTTGGCAATGATCTGGTTGATGCGCCTCTGCTGCTCGGCGCCGCTCTGCGAACCCGTCTCCGCGAAGCGCACCGACAACTTGGCAAGCGCCGTCATGACAAACTGGCGCACCAGAGTGTTGGCGTACGGCGACGTCAAGACAGTCTCCATAAGATCAACCATGGCCACGTCAGTCACCGGCTTGACGTCCTCTCCATCGTCGATGCTGCCGCCCTGCAGCAGAACGTCACCAAACTCGCCAAGGATCCAGACAGCCGCAAGAGTGAGAGACTCCTGAGACAGGTCGTTCGACAGCGCAGTGAACAGGCGCTGAGCAGTGTAGAACTGCAGCTCGGGGGTGTGGGCGACTAGCCGGAGGAAAGCGGCAAGAATCTCCTCTCGGATGTAGTTTCCAGCCGACTTGAGTGCTCGGAGAGCAGTGTCGATGTGCCATCGCTTGTTGGGGGCATATCGCTCCGCGGCAAGCCAGATCTGGGTGGTGAGGCCGAGCTTGAACTCGTTGTCGGCGACCTCCAGGAAAGCGAGCAGCTCGCGGGTCATGATGCGGACATTGCTCTCGTTGATGAGGGCGTAGCTGAGCTCGAGCGCACGTCTTCGGATGGAGATGTCGCCGTCGCGCAGACAGTCGAGGATGGTGTTGCGGTGACGCTGGACCGAGTTGGTGTCGATGCCGACCACCTTGTTCAGGGTGTTCAGAGCGACGTAACGAATGTTGTTATCACGGTTGGTGAGGAACTTTCCGAGAATGTTGATCGCCATGACGCGAAGGCCGCTGTCCGCCTCAATCTCGAGAACAGTCAGGACGGTCTCGTAGAGGATCGCGTTTCCAACGTTCTTGGTCGAGTTGGTGTTCGTGGCAACCTGGGCAAGAATGTCATTCATGGTGTCGCTCGCCTCGACATCGCCGCGCCCAAGCACTCGCAGCAGGCGGAGAATCTTCACCTGGAGGAAGGGGTCGCTGATGCCGCTGACGTCGTGCTCGATGCTGAATCCGGTGGTGACAAGAGACTTGAGGTGCTTGACCAAGAGAGGGGCGGCAGGGCGGAACTGCTGGGCGATCTCGTCATCCATGTCACACATCTCGGTCACCAGGGTAATTCCAGCCAGAAGAACACCGTGGTTGCGGTCCTGGAGGAGCGTCTTCGCCTTGTCGGAGAAGTGGTCCATCAGGTCCGGGACACGGCGAATGATACGCAAGGCACAGAGCGCAGCCTTCTTGCGGATGTAGGTGTTGCTGCTGCCCAGCAGCTTCTCGATCTCGTTACACAGGTCGCGAGACATCTCTTCAGATGCAATGTTGGCGAAAGTGCAGAGGGCGAGACCGACAGCGTACATGTTTGAGTGGTTCATGTCACTAGAGTCAGCAACGGTACGTCATTTGACTCACTTCTTCAGCGAGTTGGTGACAAGGGTGAGCACCTCCTGGTTTTCGTCGAGGAGTAACATGATACCGAGGTATCCCAATCGCTTGTCGCTGAACCGCGGGCTGGCGACGAGCTTCAGGCACTCAATCTGACCAAAGTGCGCCGGGTAACCCAGCATGTGAATGTAGAGCAACTTCGCGACATTGTTGTAGCGCATATAGGTGTCCTCCTCCTTGAACGCTGTCTGGCGTCGTCAGCTTCAAGTATTCGCGGCGCGCCTCGCTCGAAAGACACTGGCTGTACTCACTCTAATGGCGGCAGACTCCTTCTGAATACATGACCTCTCATCCGCAAGTGTCTGTATTGTTGTCAGTGGTGCTCAGTGGCCTCGTGCGATAATAAATACCTTGCAGGACCGAATGGCCTTGATCAGGGCTGCGAAAGTTAGCTTTGGCGATAGTTGTGTAGCTCACCCTTGAGGTTGTAGTGACCGCTCATGCTGCACGCTACTGATTTGGAGGCCCCAGTAGAGCGTTGAGCAACCTGTCGGTGGAAGTGGAGTTGTGCAAGAGCGTGAGGAACGTTGGGCGCAATGTCGTGTTCACTGACGAGGGACCGGTGCGTGGCCGTGTCCTGTTCTCGCGTGGTCGGCGGGAGCGTGGCGATCGATATGCTCCCGTCCTGCGCTTGTCACGGACGTTCCTAGATATCGCGTCGCGTCAGCGGCTGGCCGATAAGAACGCAGCGAGAGAGAGTTACGCATGCACTGAAGACCGGTCCGGCTGAGGAGTCTAACGCTCATTCGATTCGTATAAGCTCCATGCGAAATGAACACACAGCAGAAGCCGGGTGCTGCGGAAAGAAGTGCTGAGATCGACGCGAAGAACAGGGGCTCCAATGACTTTCACGTGATGTGACGCCACCCCCGGTCGGTCTGGACAGTGACGACGTCCAGCCGACACTTACAGTTTCAGACTTTTTCTGCTTGTTTGCATCCAACACTACAAGCACGATGTCGGAGCTCACGGTGTTCTGTACGACGTACAACACGGGACTGCAGGGCTCGCTCGCCCAGGAGCAGGACCTCGCCTCCTGGCTCATTCCCGTTCTCCACGAGACGACTCAGGAGAACTACAACCAGCTCCCTGACATCTACGCGATCGGCGTCGAGGAGCTCCTCCCCCTTCACCTTGCTTGTGAGCTGCCGATCCTCTTCCGACAGCTAACATCAGTCGCCGGACTGAGCTTCGGCGTCCTCGTCGCCCTCACCGACCGCATCGAGTCCATCCTCTCGGCTCATGCCACAAGCATCTCGCCCGGCCGTGAGCCGGAGCGCTTCCGCCTCGTTTCGCGCACCAGCAGGGTTGGTGTCGCTCTCTGGGTCTTTGCTCGCGAGAAGACTACCCAGGGACGACTCGGAAAGGCCGTCACGTCCTCTGTTGGCCTGTGGCGTCTCGGCCTGGGCAACAAGAGCGCTGTGGGCATCCGTCTCCCAGTCATGCGCGGGGCGAAGGAAGGCGGTTGGGAGACATTAACGTAAGCTGTTGAGGGGTAATGTGAGCTGACATCAGCTTCGTTACTGCCCATCTCGAGGCTCACGACAAGAACATAAAGCTGCGCAATGAGCAGTACAACACGATCCTTTCCTCCCTCATATTCTATCCAGGTGATGCGCTGGCGCATCCCGTCCAGCCCTTCCAGACTTCGCACCTCTTCATCATGGGCGATCTCAACTACCGCCTCACCAAGCTGCCGAAGGCTGGCGTCTACCCCACCGAGAACGGGGCGACGAAGGACCTCATCGCCCTCGAGAGGGAGCGCGAGGCCCTCGTCTCGCTCGACACGCTGAAGCACGAGCAGAACCTCGGCAACGTCTTTGGCGGTATGCGCGAGGGCGACCTCACGCGCTTCGCGCCAACGTACAAGCGTGTGGTGGGTCAAGTTGAAGGGTACAGCAAGTGAGTGCACTGCTGGTTACGGGAGTTCTCCAAGCTAACCAACATCAGGAAGAGGATACCTGGCTGGACGGACCGCATCCTGTTTGCGTCGCACACGGATCCGGCTGAGCTGTACAGCCCGAACGCCCCCGAGACGCCCAGCAGCACAACGCAGATCACGCAGTTCAACTCGGCCCCGGAGCTGACCATCTCGGACCACAAGCCGGTGTACATGGTCGTCACTCTTCCTCCGGTACGCCACAACGCGGCGTCGCCAAGCCTTGCTCCCGTCCTGCCCCCTCCGCCGCCGCCCAGCCGACCCCGCCCCGCCGCGCGACCTCGCGAGGAGCTCATCTTCTGGGACATTGTTGGCAGTGTGCTGGACCGCCTCATCGGATGGCCATGGACGCTCCTTGTTCTGCTCGGCTTTGGCAATGAGAAGGCCGGCATGGGTGTTAGTGCCTTCCTGACGCTGATCTGGGGTGTGTGGTGGAGCGGTGTCTTCTCCGGCTCCGCTTGATCGGCTACGTTCTTGGGCTTAGGCTTAGAAGTTGTATACACGAATGTTTTGCTTGGACACTGGTAACTGTTCACACTGTCACATGGGTCACGAGATACACACAAGTGCGGATTACTGAACAAATGGTAACGTCCGGAGCGGAGCGAGGCTTGCAAGGCTGATTAAGCTGAGTGTGTGTAGGGATGTGGGTGTCTCGGCGGGGTATGGGGGCGCATGCGGATGCAGTGTGCGGGCGTGGCGTTCTACTGCGGGCCGTGGATGACGCACTTGATGACGGGATTGCCGTCCTTGTCCTTTCCGAGGCGGGTGAGTTCGAAAGCCTCAAGCGCCTGCTCGAACGGGAATGTGTGTGTGAGCAACGGCTTCAAGTCGACCAGCCCACGGTCCACAAGGTCAATGGCGAGGGGGTAGTCTCCGGATCCGTAGCGCCAGCTTCCCTTGATCTTGATCTCGTTCGTGATGACGCGGAACATGGGGATCGCGACGTCGGGCGGCCCGAAACCCGTCTGCACGTGCGTGCCGCCCGGCCGGACAGCATTCAGGCCCATCTGGATACAGGTCTCAGCCCCCGTGGCGTCGACGACGAGGTCGATGCTGCCCTGCCCGCGCTCCGGGATGCGGAGCGAGGAGAGCAGAGCCTTGGCCGCGCGCAGGGAGTATACCGCCTTGGCCTCGCCCTCCTCCATGGGCGGCGGGGCGTAGACGTCCGTCGCGGCGTACGAGCGCGCAAAGGACAGACGGTCGAGGTTGATGTCGACGCCGATGACGCGCTTCGCGCCGAGACCCTTGGCAACCGCCATGGCCAGGAGGCCCACGGGGCCGGCACCCATGACGAGCACATTTTGTCCCGTCCGCAACTGCCCGACGTTGGCGATACTGTGCACGGCGACGGAGAGCGGCTCCATCATGGCGCCGTAGATCGTCTCAATGCTGTCCGGCAGCTTGTACACGAGGTCGCTGGGACTGGGCCGTCAGCCGAGGCAGTCTACGTCCAACTCACAGCTTGTAGTACCGCTGCAGCGTGCCGTGGAAGGGCGGGTAGGCTGCGAACTGCATGTGCTCGCAGATCTGGTACTGGCCCGTCCGGCAGTCGTCGCACATCCTGCATGTCGTACCGGGCTCGAGAGCGACGCGGTCGCCCACCTGCAGCGCTGACGGGCCCACGGCCGCGTCACCCTGCGCGACCGCCATCTCCGCCTTCCTCCTCAGGTTTTCGCCGAGCTTGACCACCTCGCCCGCACTCTCGTGCCCGAGGCACATGGCGCTGCAGCATGAGACAAGACCGATCTTGCCCGCATTGTAGAAGTGGACGTCGGAACCACAGATGCCCTGGACACCGTTAGTAGCCGCACTGGGGGAAGATCACTCACAGTGTGCTTCACCTCGATCAGCACCTCGTCCGGTCCGATCTCAGGCACAGGCAGCTATACCGTCAGCAACAGCAGTGCAGGGTTGCCCACCGTCTCGTAGCTCGTGTTCAGCTTGCCATGAAGGATGAAAGCGGGGTTGTCCCTCGGTGTGAACTCGTTGGCGGGAGCCTTGGTCATCGTAGCGTGAGTGTGGGAGTCAGTATGAGAAAGTGAGAGGGAGAGGAGATGAGGAGATGTGTGATGGCTCTAAAGAGGATAGACGACGATGCCCATCCGCAATTTCTAGCATGCCGATGTCTCGGGGAACGCAGCAGCTGACTAGCAGACAACGCCGGGGCGGGTGTATGCAGCGGTGTACGCAGCGGTATGCAGGAGTGCAGCTGGGAGCGTCATGCACCGTCCCGGACTTAAAGCAGCAACAACATTGCCCACGCGCGTGTCCCTCACATGCCCACACGAGACATTCTGACGTCCGCAACGGGTATCGCCGGATCTTGTGCGCAAGCAGGCGTGAACTGGGCAGCTGGGCGATTGGGGCACAGACGAGCCAGGCATGCCAGGCACAGCTGGGCAAAGTGGACCAGTGCCAGCCGCCGCACACGCGGCTGTAGCCGCCATTAGCCTGCGGGGTCTCCATGCGGGCAATGCGGCAAGTCACGTGACTGCGAAAGTCTCGACCGGCAGATTGATACTCGCTGATCAGCGTTTTTTGCCGGAGACGAGAACCGGAGACGAAACGCACACTTTGATACGCGGGGGCCCACCTGCGGCTTAAGCAAGGTCGATCAGGCGAGCTAGGCGCGCGTAAAGTCTTAGCCTAGGAACGTTTTGGCTGTTTAACCAATCGTGGCCGCGGACGGGGTATTATTGGCGATTTCGGCCGCGACCCACCCGAAGGATTAGGCTTCCGAAAAAGCTGGTCCCGCATGCCTAACACGACATTCGTGGCGCAGTAACTGACTCGAATAAAATCTCCGCGTCGTCTCCCACATAACCGAGTGCAGGAAACAAGCCGCCGCGCCGCTGCATACCCGCCAGACTGAGCCGGGCGGGCTGCAAGAAAAGCTTGTCATTTGCTACTCGCACATTGACTCGAACGACCAGGCATCTTAGCTAGCTCACTTACACCGCGATCGCACGTGAGGCCTAACGCTTCATTTGTTCTCTCTTCATCACCTTCAACCAAAAGTCTCGGAGTGGTCATATCGACTCAGTGCTCGCCCTCCTCGCTCTCCGGTCAATTCCAAGAAAAGCTCTCTCTCATCGCTTAAGAGCCACAACCTTTGTCTTTCACCGTTCACCACTTTCCAAGCTTCAAGCTCCCCACACCAAAATGCTCGCGCGCCCCTCTCGCGCGATTCTGCGCACCGTCCCGAAGGCGTCGTCTTCGCGCGCTGCGCTCACCGGCCAGATCAGGTCGCGTGCTCTGAACAACTCGGCCAAGAGTCCCGGGTATTATTGGCGATTTCGGCCGCGACCCACCCGAAGGATTAGGCTTCCGAAAAAGCTGGTCCCGCATGCCTAACACGACATTCGTGGCGCAGTAACTGACTCGAATAAAATCTCCGCGTCGTCTCCCACATAACCGAGTGCAGGAAACAAGCCGCCGCGCCGCTGCATACCCGCCAGACTGAGCCGGGCGGGCTGCAAGAAAAGCTTGTCATTTGCTACTCGCACATTGACTCGAACGACCAGGCATCTTAGCTAGCTCACTTACACCGCGATCGCACGTGAGGCCTAACGCTTCATTTGTTCTCTCTTCATCACCTTCAACCAAAAGTCTCGGAGTGGTCATATCGACTCAGTGCTCGCCCTCCTCGCTCTCCGGTCAATTCCAAGAAAAGCTCTCTCTCATCGCTTAAGAGCCACAACCTTTGTCTTTCACCGTTCACCACTTTCCAAGCTTCAAGCTCCCCACACCAAAATGCTCGCGCGCCCCTCTCGCGCGATTCTGCGCACCGTCCCGAAGGCGTCGTCTTCGCGCGCTGCGCTCACCGGCCAGATCAGGTCGCGTGCTCTGAACAACTCGGCCAAGACTGCCGGAGCGGCCGCCGTCCGCCCCTCGCCTGCCCCTACGTTCCAGGCGCCCCCGAACCAGAACACCCCTGAGTCTCCTTACGCCTACAACGAGTCCGAGAACCCGAACATCCGTGATGGCCTCGACCACTCGTTCGTCGGCCTTTCGGGAGGACAGATCTTCAACGAGATGATGATGCGTCACGGCGTCAAGCAGATCTTCGGTTACCCGGGAGGAGCTATCCTTCCCGTTTTCGACGCTATCCACGAGTCGCCGCACTTCAATTTCGTCCTCCCCCGTCACGAGCAGGGTGCCGGACACATGGCTGAGGGCTACGCCCGTGTCACCGGAAAGCCTGGTGTCGTGCTTGTCACCTCTGGACCGGGAGCCACCAACGTGATCACCCCCATGCAGGACGCCATGTCGGACGGTATCCCCATGGTCGTCTTCTGTGGACAGGTCGCCACCTCCCTGATCGGCTCGGACTCTTTCCAGGAGGCTGACGTTGTCGGTATCTCGCGTTCGTGCACCAAGTGGAACGTCATGGTTAAGGACATTGCCGAGCTCCCGCGTCGCATCAACGAGGCCTTCAAGATCGCCACCACCGGTCGCCCCGGCCCCGTTCTTGTTGATCTCCCCAAGGATGTCACCGCTGCCATCCTCCGCACCCCCATCCCTGCCAAGGCCGTCCAGCCTGGTCAGTCACCTTACCTCCCCTCGAACCCCCTCACCCGCAGCCCCTCCAAGAAGCAGGCTGGTGACGCCAAGTTCATCGAGAAGGCTGCCGAGCTCATCAACAACGCCAAGCGGCCCATCATCTACGCCGGAAACGGTGTTCTCTCCTCTCCCGAGGGACCCAAGCTCCTCAAGGAGCTCGCTGACCGTGCTGGCATCCCTGTGACCACTACCCTCCAGGGTCTCGGTGCCTTTGACGAGCGCGACGAGAAGTCGCTGCACATGCTCGGTATGCACGGTGCCGCCTACGCCAACTTTGCCATCCAGGAGGCTGACGTTGTCATCGCTCTGGGTGCCCGTTTCGACGACCGTGTCACCGGCAAGGTCTCCACCTTCGCCCCCGCTGCCAAGCAGGCTGCCCTCGAGGGCACCGGTGGTATCATCCACTTTGAGATCCAGGCCAAGAACATCAACAAGATCGTCGAGGCCCAGGTTCCCGTTCTCGGTGACGTCGTTGAGTCGATGGCCGAGCTCCTCCCCCAGATCAAGAAGAACGACCGCGCTGCCTGGCTCGCCCGCTGCAAGGCCAACAAGGAGAAGTACCCCTTCGTCTTCACGCCGTCCAAGGCTGGCGAGCGCCTGAAGCCCCAGGAGGTCGTCCGCGAGCTCGACGCTGTCGCTGAGGAGATGGGCAAGGAGAAGTTCATCATCTCCACCGGTGTCGGACAGCACCAGATGTGGGCGTGCCAGTACTACCGCTGGACCGAGCCCCGCTCGTGGGTCTCGTCTGGTGGTCTCGGCACCATGGGCTTCGGTGTTCCCGCCGGAACCGGTGCCAAGGTCGCCGCCCCCGAGAAGATTGTCGTCAACATTGACGGTGACGCCTCGTTCTCCATGACCTGCATGGAGAAGCAGACCTGCTCTCAGTTCAACATTGGTCTTAAGGTGAGTACCATGTGACGGGACGGAGCTCGGCGATGGCTATGTCTCGCTTAATTGCGGGTTGTGGCACTACCACCACGGCTATCAGTCCCTCGCAGATGGCCCTGTTCCGCGTCCTGATTCATCCCTGTCGAACAACACAAGCTGACATCCCAGACCCTCCTCTTCAACAACTCGTTCCAGGGAATGGTCCACCAGTGGCAGTCTACGTTCTACCAGGAGCGCTTCTCGCACACCCGTATGGTCAACCCCGACTTCCAGAAGCTCAACCAGGCCATGGGCGTCAAGACGTGGTACTGCACGAACAAGGAGGACCTGCCGCGCATGATGCGCGAGTTCCTCGAGTACGACAACGACAAGCCCGCGCTCATGGAGTGCATCGTGTCCTCGGAGGACGTCTACCCCTTCGTCCCCGCCGGCGCCGCGCTCCAGGACCAGGTCCTCCACCCCATGCTCCGCAAGCGTGCCTAAGCTGCCCGCATGTTGAGTATGGTGAGCAATGAGTTAGACGTGCCCGCGCTGTGAACGTATGGTCGCCATTTGATCGTGTTTCTGGATTCTGGCATTTTTGCATAAAACGGTCCGCTCCGCCGCCCCTTTTCAATGGGGAATCCAGCGGTCCCTAAAACTATGTACGATAGATCTCGTATCCGCCCCCTCTGGGCGGGTATTGTCCCCATAACCCCCTTTTGATGAATTTGGATATCGCATTGGAATCTCTGGTTGTGTGGGCGTGTGCTTTGTACGTGCTGATGGTGGCAGCGAGGGCGTTGTTGTGCGCCATGGTGGACATCGGTGGACAGCGGTGGCACAAGCCCAGTCAGCGATCGGCGGTTGCGCCCCGTCCTAGCGTCGTGATCTGCACAACCTTGCGACACTGTGTCAACAATGCAAGAGCACCAAGTCTTCCCTATCATTCACATTTTCACTCTCGTCCCCCTCGTACACGTTGGACCATGACGCTCGTGCGTTGCGGGTATGGTGTTGGCTAACGCAACACAGGCGCCGGCACTCCCCGTCGAGATTGTGGCGATGGTGCTCGAGCTAGTGCCACGTGAAACACTCTTGTCCGCCCTCCGTGTCAACTCAACTTGGTACAGCGCCGCCTTGCCGCTGCTTTACGCCCACCTCTGGTTCGACCCGAAAGGACCCAAGCCTGGTCAAATACGGACCGAGCACCTACACTGTGTCAGGACGCTGGACATCTACAACCACGGCATCGAGGATTGTGCGGGCCTCGTCTTCGCCAAGTCGCCCCAGGTTATCCGGATACACTTCCGATTCACGCTTGACATGATGCTGAGCCACAGCGGACACGGGGGAAGAAAATGTCCCCTACTTGAGCTCGAGCCAGAGACTGTCGTCTTCCTCGACTATGACGGGCTCCGCACTCCCTCCCGGGGGCGCGACAAGGCGGGGGACATCCTACTGTTCCCGAACGCGAGGGAGCGAGTGCTCGTCTGGGACATAAGCCAGGGATTCTACGACTGTCTCGGCGCCAGGCCCATCATCTTTCCGGACCGGCCGGACGACGTGTCGCTCGCAGACATGGTGGAGCGGCTCGAGAGAAAGGAGACGTCACTGAAGGACGACCCGCCGACTCCCCGGCGTACCGAGGTCGTCATTTTCGCCAACAAGACCTCCGACGGCATAGGAGAGGACGATCTCTTCCCGTGGATGGCCTACTGGACACGGGCGCGCGTCCGCACACGCCGGGCCGTGGTCAATCTCCGCGCATTCCGGCCGAACGACGCCGACTTTGCCTGCGACATCGGCCTGGAGTTGTGGGAGTTTGTGCGAGACATGGGCATCGAGTGCCTCCCCTTCGAGGGCGAGTTTTCCCTCCGCCTCAAATATCAGGATCTCCTGGCGACCCACCACGCACGCTGGTACAGCACGCGCGAGTACTATCGCGAAGCTAGGCGGTTCCTCACCGCGCGAGAGATCAGGGCCCTCCTCCCTCGAGAGTATCTGTGGCAGCCGGCTTGCTCCCATGGAGGCGAGAGCTACATCGCCAGCTACTTTTAGAACTCAGTGGTCGAAAGCAGCCCATCTGCCCCATGCGAACCAGGTGCACTTGGTGCACTTCGTTTGATGTCCCAGAGTCTCACTCGTACAAGTGTGTGCGGGCGGATGCGCACTGCTACCCAGCCATCTAACCTTCAGGAAGCGGCGGTACCTGTGTCAGTCCATGAGTTGCCTGGATGCCCGGAAAGCCCGTTTAGTGCTCGGAGGTCGGTATGCTGAGGATGTGAGTTTCTTCGTCAAAGTCGGAGCCGTTGAGTAACGAGGTCACACTTCGTCCGAGCCTCCAGGCAAATTGATCTCAGAGCCGCACGCGCAGACGGCGCTCTCCTGTCGAAAGTCCGATTATGGCCAATGCTGCATTTTGTCTAAACTATCCTTCTTTCCTCATCTTACTGGCCGGCAAGCTTGGAGAGGGCCGAGGCGACGTCCTTCTCGGCGAGGCCGTCGAGGGAAGCCTGGTGCTCGACACCGCGCTCTGTTGGGACAAAGACAAAGGATAATGGTCGGAAATAGCGTCGTATTCGAGTTAAAGGGAGCCGGAATGCGCGAAAGGTATACGTCGTGATCCAAGATGAGGGAGGAACCATGTCAGCGCCCAGCTTAAGTGACGCAGGAGTGTGACTCACCGAGGCGGACGAAAGCGCGGGGGTTGACACCCTGGGCCTCACGGATGAGGACCTTGACGTCGGGGTTGGCCTCCTTGAGGGCGGGGTAGGAGGACTTGATGAATTGCCTGTTCTGTCAGCGTGCTCATCCTCCATGTCGAAGGTAGGGTCAGGTCTGTCTCATCTGCGGATATCGATGGACTCCATGCAACATGGGCACGGGGGCCAGAACGCGGAGTTGATGGCGCAGCAATTGTGCTTCTCGGCATTAAAGAACCCCCCGTCGTCGCCATTGACCGCTGCTCCGACGCCGTCTCCGTCGCGGTTCACTCCGTGTGATGTCTTTTCGGCGCAACCCAATCAGATCCGGCAGATTACACTTCCTAGTCGACCTTCGGTGAAGCTGCAAACTCACCTGACGCCAGCGCTGGAGGCGCCAGACTGGCAGAGGTGGAGGCGGATCTCCTTGACGGCCTTGGGGAGCTGGCGGAGCGACATGGTTGCTGGTGTGGTGATCTGGATGCTCACGAGCTCTCTCTCGGTTGTCCGATGCAGGCAACTTGTCGAAGTCGAGGAACGGCCGCACGGAAGCATACCCACGTGGTGTGTGTCGCGCTGGGTCCAATCGAAAAGGTGGAGGTGGTCCACTCGATCTTGGAACCACCCACACCTCGACATCTCTGTGTTCACGGCATTTCAGCACTGTTAAGACAGCCGGAGGCTGCGAAGGTCGTACAACGGATACATTCATGGAGGGTTCTTGTGTTGGCTGATTGTGGGCGTTGGCTTCGTCGGTAGGAGCGGCGTCCGTCCGTCTATTGGAAAGGACAGCTCTGCATTTCGATTGTGCGCAAGGCTTCAAAGGTTGCCCACGTTTTCATATCAGCTTGAACACTTATCACACATCGTGATGAACTGGATTGACTGCCGAAAGATCCATTTGTTAAGTCTGGTCGCGGCACATCTTCCTCGGAGGGAATGACAGGCACGACTCACCCTGTGCCACAGACGCAGCTGCCAGCACCTATGGGCCTTCCCTTCACATCTGCCCTAGCCGTCCAGGCGAAGCGACCTCAATGCAATCCTCTATCCAAATATGCCTGGACACACCTATGCAGGTATCTGAAAAGCAGTCGCTATGCATACTGGTAGGATAGCACAGCAAGGACGGCCCTCTGCCACCACAGCGATGATCGGGATTTTCGGGAGCCCTATCTCCCACGTGGCATTGCATCCGTGCGGTCATGCAGGCTCCAGCGCGCCTCGTCACGTCGACGACAGTGTGCTGGCCGAAGTCGCAGACATCCTCAACCCGCTCTTCTCTGCCTATACTTTACGCACCCGAGTGCAGCTTCTCTTCTCGCCACGCTCGTTTTAACGCCGTCAACGTTCGACTACCCCCTTTCGATTCGGTTCAGTCGCAGGGAGACCGAAGCGAGTTCGGAACATCGATCATAAACGGCTGCGAGGCGGGCCTCTCCCAATCTCACCTGATCACCTTCAAAAGCATCGCACATATCGCCAGGCATATCGTGTTCCAGCATGCAGATGCTCACCAAGTTCGAGAGCAAGAGCCCGAGGGTTAAGGGTATTGCCTTCCGTGAGTACACGCGCCGGCTCTTATACCGCGGACATCGCGTAGCTTCCGACGTGTCACGACATGTCGCGGTCGGAGAAGAGTATACATCGCCGCAGCATCGCAAATGACAGCTCCGTTCGGAGGATTTGCATTTGTGAAGATTACTCGGACTGTCGGACTAGTTGCTAAGCCTCTGTGATCTGTGCCAGCTCCCAACACGATCTCGTTGAGCTGACAATCAGACCCGAAGCAACCCCTCCTCGCGGCGTCTCTGCACAATGGTACCATTCAGCTCTGGAACTACCAGATGGGTACTCTCGTTGACCGCTATGATGAGCACGACGGCCCCGTCCGTGGTATCTCGTTCCGCCCCACGCAGCCGATCTTCGTCTCGGGTGGTGACGACTACAAGATCAAGGTGTGGAACTACAAGCAGCGCCGTTGCCTGTTCACCCTCACTGGACATCTCGACTACGTCCGTACCGTCTTCTTCCATCACGAGTACCCGTGGATCATTTCGGCCTCCGACGACCAGACCATCCGAATTTGGAACTGGCAGAGCAGGACGTGTATCGCCATTCTGACCGGCCACAACCACTACATCATGTGCGCCCAGTTCCACCCGTGGGACGACCTCGTCGTTTCGGCTTCCATGGACCTGACGGTTCGCGTCTGGGACATCTCCGGTCTTCGCAAGAAGAACCAGGCCAGCTCGGCGCCCATGACATTCGAGGAGCAGGTCTCGCGTGCCAACCAGGGACAGGCTGACTTATTCGGCAACACCGACGCTGTCGTCAAGTATGTCCTCGAGGGTCACGACCGCGGAGTGAACTGGGCTTCGTTCCACCCCACGCTTCCTCTCATCGTCTCGTGTGGTGACGACCGCCAGATCAAGCTTTGGCGCATGTCGGAGACCAAGGCTTGGGAGGTTGACAGCTGCCGTGGACACTTCAACAATGTGTCGATGACGCTGTTCCACCCTCGCCACGAGCTGATCCTCTCTGCTTCCGAGGACAAGACGATTCGTGTCTGGGACATGACCAAGCGCACCGCCGTCCAGACCTTCCGCCGCGAACACGACCGCTTCTGGGTTCTCACTGCCCACCCTGAGCTGAACCTGTTCGCTGCCGGCCACGACAACGGTCTCATCGTCTTCAAGCTCGAGCGCGAGCGCCCTGCGTTCTCGCTCTCTGGCAACCAGCTCTTCTACATCAAGGACAAGGTTGTTCGCATGGCCGATCTTAGCACCGGCACCAACCACGGCATCTGCTCCGTTCGCAAGCTCGGCTCGCAGTACATCCAGCCTAGGACGCTCAGCTACAACCCCGCCGAGCGCGCCGTTATCGTCACCTCGACCTCTGACAACGGCGTCTACGAGCTCATCACCCTCCCCAAGAACGGTGCCCCGGGAGCTGGCGACGGCAAGGACACGCCGTCAGACGGCAGGAAGGGCAACGGTATCTCGGCCCTCTTCGTTGCGCGCAACCGCATGGCTGTTCTGGACAAGCCCAACCAGAACATTGAGATCCGCGACCTGTCCAACAACCTGACCAAGACTGTCAAGTGCCCGGTCCAGACCAACGAGATCTTCTACGGCGGCACTGCCTCCCTTCTTCTCGCCTCGTCGAACGCTGTTACCCTGTTCGACATCCAGCAGCAGAAGGTCCTTGGTGAAATTGCCACCCCTCCCGTCAAGTACGTTGTCTGGAGCACCGACGGCAACATGGTTGCTCTGCTCAGCAAGCACACCATCACGATCGCCACCAAGTCGCTTGAGCAGACTGCTCTCATCCACGAGACCATCCGCATCAAGTCGGCTGCCTGGGACGACAGCGGTGTCCTCATCTACACCACCCTCAACCACATCAAGTACGCCCTCCCCAACGGTGACAATGGTATTATCAAAACCCTTGAGCAGCCGGTGTACCTTACTCGCGTCAAGGGACAGGTCGTCCACTGCCTGGACCGCTCCGCGAAGCCCCGCACTATCCAGATCGACCCTACCGAGTACCGCTTCAAGCTCGCCCTCGTTCGCAAGAACTACGACGAGGTCCTGCACATCATCCGCACCTCCAACCTTGTTGGTCAGAGCATCATCGCGTACCTCCAGAAGAAGGGTTACCCCGAGATCGCGCTGCACTTCATCCAGGATCCCAACACTCGTTTCGACCTGGCTCTGGAGTGTGGCAATCTGCAGGTTGCCCTCGAGCAGGCGCGCGCTGTTGACCGCCCCGACGTCTGGGAGCGTCTCGGCGCCGCCGCTCTCAAGCAGGGTAACCACCAGATCGTCGAGACCGCGTACCAGAAGAACCGCAAGTTCGACAGCCTCTCCTTCCTCTACCTCATCACCGGCAACACTCAGAAGCTCGGTATGATGCAGAACATCGCTACGAAGCGTGGCGACCAGATGTCGCGCTTCCAGAACTCGCTCTACCTTGGTGACGTCGCTGGCCGTGTTGCTGTCCTCCGGGAAACTGGCCAGTACCCCCTCGCCTACTACACTGCCAAGAACAATGGCCTCGACGACCTTGCTCTCGAGGTCCTTGAGGAGGCCGGCATGACCGAGGAGGACCTTCCACCGACTCCTTCTGGATCCGGATCGTCTTCTGCGCCTCTTGCTCCTCCGCCGGTTGTCTTCTCTCAGGCTGAGTCCAACTGGCCTCTGCGCAACCTCGGCGAGAGCTTCTTTGACCGCGCTCTCGCCAACGGCGGTGGCGTCGAGGGTCTTGTAGCTGGCGAGTCTGCGGAGGTGGCCAACGGCGAGCAGCTTGACGCCTGGGCTAACGACGACGGATTAGACGGAGAGGAGGCTGAGGAGCTTGACGAGGACGAGGGATGGGACCTGGACGCCGAGGTTGTCCAGCACGTTGGAGCGGACGAGGAGGACGTGCCGATGGAGACTGCGGATGCGGACCTGGCGGACGGAGTGTCACCAGGAGTGGACGAGAATGAGATGTGGGTCCGCAACTCACCACTGGCTGCGGACCACGCTGCTGCGGGCAACTTTGAGTCGGCTATGCAGCAGCTCAACCGACAAGTCGCCGCTGTCAACTTCTCCCCGCTCAAGCCGTTGTTCCTTGAAGCCTACAACAAGGCCCACGTTTACGTCGCCGCCAACCCCTCCCTTCCTCCCCTCGAGTTCCACGTCCGCCGCAACCCCGACACGACTGAGCTTCGCGAAGTTCTGCCGGCGATCTCGATCGAGTTTGAGGACCTCAAGGCCGGCGAGCTCGCCGAGGCTTACCGCCAATTCTCACGCGGCAAGTTCGCGGAGTCGCTCACGCACTTCCGCTCCGTGCTGCAGAAGCTGATGATGGTTGTTGTGAAGAGCGAGTCTGAGGCTGCCGAGGTGCGCGAGCTGGTTACGACATGTAGGGACTACATCATCGGTCTCATGCTCGAGGTCGAGCGCCGACGACTCGTTGCCGAGGACCCCGAGGGCAACCTCGTTCGTTCGCTCGAGCTCGCCGCGTACTTCACCCACATGAACCTGCAGCCTGCGCACCAGCAGCTCGCCCTGCGATCGGCCATGGGAGTCTTCTCCCGTGCCGGCAACAACGCCACTGCTGCGTCGTTCGCTCGTCGTCTCATCGACTCGCAGCCGACTGACCAGCGTGTGCTCACGACCGCCCGCTCTGTTCTCGCCCAGGGCGACCGCAACCCCCGTGATGCGCACGAGATCCAGTACGACCACTTCACGGCCTTTGACGTGTGCCCCGCCTCGCTCACCCCGATCTACCAGGGCAGCCCGGCCGTCGTGGACGCGTACACTGGCGCGAGGTACCTGCCCGAGTACAAGGGCACTATCTGTGTCGTTGACGAAATCACGCAGGTCGGCCTCCCGGCCAGCGGCCTCAGGAGTACTGTGTAAAACCGTAGACGTAGAAATGATATGAGAGCATTGGTAATAGTTAGCCTGCATGTTGCTTCGACCCGAGCGATGGGAATTACATGTGAGCACTTCGAGGTGATAGTGAAACGTGGACCTTCTGTGCAGACTGGCCGGACCGAAATGGGCCGGACACTGGTTCCCACATGTGCACCTTATCACGAGCACCTGGGCCAGAATGTCGTTTCGGACTTCTGACTGACACGCGGGCGCTAGACCGACGAGTTTCAAGAACAACAAACTCGAGGTCTCAGCGAAGACGTCGTAGCCTACGTGTACGATGAGCGATCAAGGCGATCTTTCCGACATTCCACCGCTAGCGCCGTCTAATGCTGCATAGTGCGCCGCTAGCTATGTAACGACAGTACCCTCCAACGATGGCTCTATCACATGGATATGGGGATATAGCGTGGCCCGCCCACCGGCGCGGGATGCTGGGGTGGATGTAGCGTCCTACGCCCCGCAAGCCATATCCCATCCACCCATTCCAGCTGACCCGCACTGCGTGATCGCCCAGATGCGCGAATACGGATGTACATCAACCACATCCCATATCCGAGCTCTGGGCTTGAGAATGTCGCACGCGTGCACGCTGCGAGATGAGGAGATCGGTTAACAGCGGGCCAGAAGGCTCTCTCGGGGTACTCGTGATGCTCTACTGGGGCGCATGACAGCGCCCTAATCCGATGCTTGTGGGATATAAGACTGGACCAAGCTGCGCCGTTGCCACCCCCAGCACCAGCATCATCTCTCTAACCTACTCACAACATAATCTAAGCCTCACAATGCCCCTGGAGTACAAGTATCTGAGTCCAGAGGAGCGCCGCCATTTCGTCGAGCACGGGTGGCTCAAGATCGAGAACGCGATCGCGCCCCGTTTCCTCGACGAATGGATGGAGAATCTTTGGGTCCGCCTCGGCATGGATCCAGAGGACAAGAGCACCTGGACCGAGGAGTACATCAAGCTGCCTCGGCACCGCGAGGTGCGGTGCGAGGAGTTCTGCCCGGAGGCATGGAATAAGATCCTCGAGATCGTCGGTGGGGAGGACAAACTCATGGACAAGCGCGAGCGCTGGTACGGCGACCAGATGATCATCAACCTCGGCAAGCCCGAGTACGTTGGCAAGCCAAGGAAGGGCCCGGAGAAGTGTGTTGGCTTCCACACCGACAATGACTGGTGAGTCTGCGCTGTGGACCGAGGGCTGGGGGCTGTGGCAGATAGGCTGACGAAGGACGTAGGTATCGCCAGTTCCTGGACAGCAGCGGGAACGCGCTCACGCTCATCTTCTGCTTCACGGACATTCCGGAGGGTGGCGGCGGCACAGTGCTGTGCGAGGACGGGCTCAAGCCGCTCCTGGAGCGGTGGTACGCTCACCCGGAGGGTATCGACCCGCCCTTCGTGAACGACACGTTTGAGTACTGCGCCCGTGGCAACAAGTACGCTGAAGTCGTTGCAAAGCGGGGCGACCTCTACGTGACGCACGGCATGCTGCCGCACTCGCACAGCCCAAACCACCTCAATTACGCGCGCGTCATTACGAACCCGCACGTCAACCTCCGCGAGCCCTTCAATCTGAACCGGGCTGATGGAGACTACACCCTCTGCGAGCAGGTCATTCTCCGTGGCCTCGGGCGGGAGAGCATCCCCGAGTACGTTCCCACGAGGGAGAGGCTGGCGTTCTACCCCCGCACGGCCTGGTTTAAGCGCGAGCGCGTCACTGCCGAGCTGCAGCGCATGATTGCGGACGCCGAGGCCAAGGGCGGCTCGGCCGCAGATGTCGATTCTATCTATCTGCGGGGCGAGGAGGCGATTGCCGAGCACGAGGCGAGGAATGGGTACGACAAGGAGATCGGTCCCACCGGTGTCGTGTCCTCCCTCAATGACGACCATCACGAGAAACCCGCTGGCAAGAGGCACATTGTCCTCCGTCCAGAGATCCCCGTCATCGCGAGTGCTCCCGCCACCAAAGTCGCCTAGGCGTCTCTATCGGACTTCTAATCATCAAGTTTCCTTTCACCACTCAAATCGTTCTTCTTCGCTTCCGTTCCGCTGTGCTGAGCGTTTGAGCAGACTAGTGGGAACCCCCTGAATGTCAATTGCAGTCGAATGTCAGCAGCCCTTGTCGTGAATGAGAATGATGATAATGCATAATTTACCTCTACCCAGCCTGGCGCGTATGGCTCGCACCAGACTCTTACTTGCGTGAACGCAGCATCTGGACGAGCTGGACCTTCTCGCGGATGACGGTCTGGAACCGCCTGCGGATACGCTCAGACTTGCGGCGACGCTTGATCTCGGACGGCCGCTCGTGGTACTTCTGGCGCTTGGCCTCCTTCTTGAACTGTGGTTGTCAGCGGCAAGTCAAATATGGGTTCGATGGGTTTGGAGCTGCCGTTCCGCCGTGCGCAGGTCTGCAAGCGTCCCGGAGAGATACAACGGAGTGACAACGGGGTGCACAATGGCCCCTGCGCTCCTTTTGCATGTCCCGTAGCCTTCACTCTCTCCGTGAACGAGCTGCTAACGGCCGGCAGTCGATCGCCAACGGCACAGGACTCATTCGCTCTGGCTTAACGCTACGCTGGATAACCTAGCAGCCAGGGGCCGCAGCGAAAAGATCGATACTCACGCCAGTGAGGTTCAGGTTCGTCTGCATACGACTGAACGTCCGCATGAACCCGCCAACGACCTTGTGGCTACGGCCGGTGTACTGGTTTCCGGGGACGCCGAAGCGGCGCGCGGCGCTCTCGGCGCGCCACCACGCGTCCGGGTCCTCGTTGGGCGAGAAGCGCTTACGAGCGCCAGAGAGATCGATCAGGGGGCGTCCGCTTCCAGAGGCACTCGGCTGCGACGGAGCAGCCTGCGAGGTGGACGGGGAAGGGGTCGAGGACTCGGATGTCGGCGGCGGCGTACCGGCCGGTGTCGAGTAGGCGCGGAGCGCGAGCGGAGCGATGGCACTCCGGAGGGCGAGTGGTCGCGGCGCAGCGACGGCGGAACGGAACACGGCGGCGAACATGGTGGTGGTGTGCCGAGAGGGTGTGGTCGCCGAGAGCTGAGCTGACTTTTGGACTTTTGTCGCGAGCAAGGCAAAGACCAGCCCGAGACGATCGCCATGTCGGAGAAAGTGGGAAAACGGGGAGGAAACAAATGGTCGCGTGTGTCTCGCGTGAGTGGTCACGTGATGTCTGGGTGCTGTACAGCCCGCTCACCTGAGACCCGTTGAGGAGCCAAACAAAGCATGCATTTCTACATCTTGACATACTTGGCGCAGCCTTTACATGTCCTGAACAGTGCCTGCATGGCATCCTGCAGCGTAGCGTCCGGCGGCAGTGAGTCGCGGATCTCCTGGGCGTTCTCGACGGGTTCGAAGTGATGATCGGCGACGTAGTATTCAGTGTCCGCAAGAACGCTTCCATGCGGATCCACGTCCTCGTTGGCCCATACCTTCTCGCACAAGATGGCGTTGTATGGCGGAGTCGCGGCTGCATAGATGACCCACTCGTCGTTCGTGCTGCAGTCCCTATAGATCCACTGTCCCTCTGGGATAGAGGAGCAGAGCGGCAGCTTGCCATCTGGAAACCTGCTCTGGAACTCAGGCGAGAAGAACTCCTCGTTGTATGCTTTGATGTCGCTGTAATCGTGCCAGGGCTTGGAGTTTAGACCTAGTCGAATGCGTGGGGTCATGGTGGTTACAGTGTCGTGCAACGATGAGGGAGAGGAAAGGGGAAGTGGAGCAATGTTGCGTCAGAGGTCCGCGACTATCCATAGGGGTTTACGGTCGTGGATTGCGAAGCGCTATTGAACACCGTGGACGTGCCGAAACGTGCCACATGTGCCATCGCTTCGGTCGAACTGATCAGCTGCCTCTCGTCGAGGGTCGGATGGCACAACTCAGATCAGACATCCTGGGCTGGGGTGGTGACGTACAGACGCAGACGCAATGTCTATTTCTGGCTGCTTACGATATGAAGACCGAACGCCGGGACGGCTCAGTGCAGTGACCTCGCGCTGGATCCTACATGGCGCTCAGAAGGTTGAGCTTCGCCTCACACTGATGCTTACAACGACGACACCTGCCCTCCGTCCCCTTGCTGCCTCTAACGGCAGTACTCACTGGGAAAGCAGATACAGTTGGTAGTGAGGCATACGGTACGCGGGAGTCCTCAGGACCGATGGTGCAGAGCATCGACCTTCCTCCTTTGACCGCAATGTCGAACGAGGGAGCCGGCCTCATCGCCTGCTGTGTAGAGGAGAGCAGACCGGCAATGATCTTCGCACGGCCTCCCTGCGTGACCGTCTGAGCGCCACAATGAGCGTCTGAGAGCTGGTTGCGTAGCTGCATACGAGATTTGAGACCGATCAGACCGCACCATGCAACATTGCTGCAGGAATACCCGGCGCCTGGCACAAGGGAACAGGCACTCGGGCGCGCGGACCGTCTTCCTGGATAGCAGCGGCCGTACAATCCGAGATACGATAGCTGATAAGATCTCGTCCCAGTCACACGGTCCCAGGGAGCAGGAGAGTTCCGTCCCACTTCGGCTCCTCGGAACTGTCCCTACTCCCGTTCGGGCCGGCCGGAAGTCGTGTGCAACCTGTTATCCTTGTGGGGCCACTTGGGGCTGTCGTGAGGAGGGCCGAAAGAGGAGAGGCAGAGGTGAAGGGACGCCGGGCCGAAGGATGCCGAACTTCGCCGGCCACAGTCGGAAGAACCGCCCTTTCACCCTTTCAGCGAGCCAGCGTATCTCTGCCCCTCCACAGAGCTGTGACACGACTGCGCGCACTGGGCATACGGCAGACAACAAGTGTTCCTAACATTGCCAGTTACGGACATACAATATTATGCTCAGGTCGATACAATGGTCCTTCTCCTCTTCGCGTTCGATCTTCCATCGTCTAATGCCTCTGGACGTAGTTTGCGGGGAATAGCCCTTTCTTCGGTAACGGCACGGTGCGGCCCTTGGGGATTGTACGCCCACGGCACCAGTTCTCGTTCTCCTCCTCGTCGATGATGATCGTATCGCCGGCCGAGAACACGAGGTCGTCCTCGTCCCCGTTCTGGCCATAGTCCCAGAGCGCGGTCGCTCTCTTCTCTGCGGAGGCGCTGTTCTGTCTCCGAGCTGGTGGCGGGGCGACGGCACTCGCGGCGGGTGCGCGCGGGGTCTCGCGCAGCGTGACGGAGTGTGGGTCGTAGTCTGACCCGAGGGCTGCGGCGGCTCTCTTTGCCGCTTCGGGCGTAATCTGGCCCAGTGACTGGAGCAGAGCGAGCGAGCTCAGAACGTGGTCCAGCAGCTGAGGACCGAAGTCCTCTGACCTGCCTCGCGGTTGCTGTGCTGGCTGTCTCGAGGAGGGCGTGTACGCCGGCGGCTGGGAGGTGCTGCCCTTCCTTGTCGGGGGTGCGGGGACGGGTGTCTTCTCGTCCATCGATCCTTGCCGCGCACTCAGGTCCGTCGCAACTGGCTGCTTCTTGTACGAGTTGACGAACTGCGACCCCTTGTCGTACACGCCGTCGATAACTTTGCCGGGGATGGGAATGATGAAACCGACCATTGGTGTAGAGTAGGCAATTGAGAGGGGGCGGAGGGCGGAGGCGGGGGACAGTGGAGCTGCGCATCGGACAGCGGATGTTATATTGGTCTTTCGTTGGCTCCGGCGGCCCGGCGTCTTGCGGACCGGCGACACCGACCTGAGTCAACACGCCGCGACTAGGGCTGTGCGCGCCCCGGTTCCTATACCGGCAGCGGGGTCGGCATGCATACATGCATTGGGTGCATGTGACCTGTTTCCGCACATTGTACGTTCAGTGCCTGCGTGATCAAGTGACCCGAAGAGGACATTCAGAACTTGACTGAACCGCGCGCAACGGCGAGCGGTGCTGCGCTTGGCGGCCCCACGTGGGTATCAATGAGGCGGGCCGTAGTTGTCGAGCAAGTAACACAGCCTCCATCGCATAACTTTGCACCGCCCAATCGATCGTGGAGACCGATCTCAACGATATGATAACGAACCCCATGCACCGAGAGCACGGTGATGCTCTGCAGATCTCACGTTTCATGCTGAGACGAATGACGCATTGGGCTGGGTTACCTATCAAGTGACGGTGGCTCCAGGCGGCGAGCTGGCATTTTCCTCGGTCTGTCGCTCTGAAAGTTATGCATGTTAGAGTCCGAAACGCTCGCGGACCTGCATTGTAAACTGCTGGTCACGTAGTTCAAGCTGCGATAGTGGCAGGTACTTGCGTTGATGGTCCAAAGCGCAAGTGGGGCCACGCCCCTCGGAGCTTCAGCCCAATGCAACTTGGAACTCCGAGCATGCGTGGCCAGTGGTGCTCCTGCTCCGCGCGCCCACAGTCCGGACCTACAGCGCTGGTGGAGTCGACAATCCCTACTCCGAGGGCGAGGGCCGTGGTCCGCAGCCCGACGCAATCACCGCTCCACTCATATCTCCATCCCTGCAGACAACAACGCCAGCCACACGTCAGACAGACCGTCGTTCCAGGCCGTCTGTCTCCACTGGAACACTGTCAAGCGTCAGTCTCTCTGCACCAAGATTGGCCCTCCGAGACTGCTCCGAGACTATGATTAGATATGCGCGGCATTCGATCGGTCAGGGGAGCACTGGTGCGAGATGGGAAGTGCGGGATGTGCTATAGAACTGCAGAATAACACCACCTGCCTCCGGCCCTGCGATCATCACTAGGCAAGTCAGGCTCTGTCCAGCATACGGAGCGTGTCGGTGCAGTAGTGCTGAGGATTACAGGAGCCAGAGCCTTGGAGCGTCCCTCGAAATGACCGGCTAGGCTCGAGACTTCAGGTGCTGGGTCAGGACATCGACTCATGTCCGCGGCATTGCGTCAGTGGCTCCCCCTCCCACTCTCCTGTACACACGGCGCGATAGCTCCAGCCCCCACTCCTGCATTCTTCTTCCAAGCACTCCAAGCGTTCTTGTCTGACGCGTGCGTCCAAGGTCGCCAGGATATAGCAGGCTGGGCGCAATTTGTACCTCGTCCTGTACCTCGCGTACCTCGATAAGGTTGTTGCTGTGAGCGGTGCCCTGGACCTGCCCGCTAGACTTGCGCGCTAGCGCAGCGTGCGCAGCGTACGGCTGTGCTGCCTGTGCCCAGTACGCCCAGCGTGCTCAGTGTGCGTATCAGAGTTTCCAAAACACAAAACAGCACCCGGAGGTTGACGACGAAACAAAGGCGTTACATTGCTGTGCCTGCACACGACAGGTCCAGCGCAGCTCCTACCTCAACTCAAGTCGATCAGTTGTTAGCAAAGCGAAAGGCCTTTAGCAGCGTAACAATTGCACGTGCATGAGGGCGATTATCCCAACTGCGGGATCGACGCTGGGAACAAGGATGCGGAAGGTGACGACAGCGGCGCGGGCCAGGCCAGAACAGCCGCTGGAATGGGTGCAGGTTCCTGGCGCTCCAAGGTCGTTATGTAATCGACGGCTCCACCAACATTGTATTGTGGCTGACTGACGCCGTAACTTCCGTGTCTCTCGTACCCTTACTCTGTCATTTGTGCCGTGCGGTGCGGTGCCTCTGCGCGCCTGAGGGACGCGCGCGTGATGCAGAAATGAGAATGCGCGATTTAGCAAGCGGTGGACCCAGATACGCCCGCTCCTTGTGATGCTGTGTGCCTCCGATCACCCCACCCAGCCCCAAGGTCACCTGGATAAACCTTAGCTATGCCAGTCACTGTCATTGGATCTTGGTCAGCCAACAGCGGCCCGCCGGCGCTACGCTCGGCATCACAAGCAGATCCCGATCCAGACCTCGGTCTGGAGATCAGGTCCGGCGAATGGGTGTCTGTGTCGCCTGACATGTCTGCTCGCCGCTTGCCAAGCCCAGCGCAGGTCCTGTCGCGCAGGTCTGTAGCGCAGGTCTGGCCAAGAGACTGGAAGGAGACGCAGGGGCGAGCTGGACGAATGGGAGCGCCTCCAATGCAGTCGACACTCGATGCCAGTCACTTGATCGATATCCGACAAACATAGGGGCGAGGTACAACGGCCACACCCAGGCACAGCAAGGCACATGACGTACGCTGCGCTTACGAAAGGTTGCTGCAAACCTTGCCAAAACCTTGCCCAGCCTTGCGAAAACCTTGCAGTCTGCAGCGGGCAGGCTTTTCAAGCTTGCGCGTTTGGCAGGACGGGGGCAGAGTCAATCTGGCACAGGGAAGGACTCGAGGAGACAGGCCGAAAGGGGGCAGTCACGGTGCGCGAGTACACAGGTGCGTGAGCGGGCAGCGGAATAACTCCGGCACAAGCGGCGGTGCCGGCTTAAGCTTCTGCGATGAGCGAGCTCTTGGCGCGCGACCCCACCAGTGGCCAGTGGGCAAGCGAGTTCAAGCTGTGCACGATGTACCCACCAGTGCGTTTCGGTTAATTCTGTCTGTTGGCACACGAGCTCTACCAGCGGCGATCAGCGCTTGCGGGCAGATGCAGATCTGGGGTACTGCGGACATCGGCGCTCGGTACCGTGCTTCGGATGCCTCGGAGGGTCGAAGCGAGGGAGCTTGGCGCGGTGGCGCACTACCGAATGCATGGTGCACGCCGCTGGCCCACAGGCATGCAGACAATGCAGACAAAGAGGGCAGTGTGGAATCCGGGTTCAGCGTGCCGCCGCACAGCGCCGCTGCAACCGGAACTTGCGGTGCACAAGGTGAGTCGGAGTATTCCAACTTCTGGCTCTTCGCTTTCGTCAGCACCGCCGGCCGGCCGGAGGGCCGGAGACCCGAGACTCCGTGCCTCGGCCAGGACCCAGGGTCCTTGCTCGGGTCCCGTGCAGCGCGTGCAGTGGGACGGATTCCAACCCTTCATACCGGCCATGTCTTGGGCTGTTCCAATCGTTCCAGCTGATCGCCTAGTACGTCTGGGCTAGGCAAGAGAAAGAAGGGTGCGGAGCCCGGCGTGGCCCGGTGGCGGACCTTTGCTGCCCGCAGGTAGCCCGCAGGGAGGGAGGGAGGGTGGCGTCGCCGTCGTCCCCCCCGTTCCCCCGTCGCCGTGCGCCGTGCGCCGTGGGCCGTGGTAGCTTTGGTAGAAGATGAGTGGCGAATCACGGCGCGTCGAAATGGACGCAAAACGCGCAGGGTAGAACAACCCTGACTCAACGCCGGGCACGCTGGGCACGCCGGGCGTGTTAGACTCAGTGTTTGGTTCCGCTCTCGCTTGCCGCCGTGCTGCCGTGCAGCTGGAGCAGCGCTGTGCGCCGTGCGCCGCCTGCCTTCTCCGCAGGCTCCGCAAGGAGGCCGCAGTAAGAGCCCGCGCTAATGCTTGTCGATCTCGTTCGTGATCGTGAGCCTGTCGAGACCGGCCAGACCGGGCGCCGGCACGCGACAGCGCTGGCTGCGACGGTTGCGATAGCCGCGACAGCGTATGCCCCCTTGCGCACTGCGCGGCAGGCGTCCTACGTCGTCTTCAGCGTCGCAGCGTGCGGCGGGTGCCGAGGTAGGCCAGACGTGATGCTGAGCGGCGACGGCGCGGCACTCGCGTACTCGCGGGAATCAGGAATAGCATGTCATGTTGAGTATGCAGCAGACTCAGGGCGTCGGCACCGTCTATCCCGTCGCCCGGTGCATACGCAGCACCCGCCGCCGCCCTGCTGTACGACCGTCCGACGGACTGTCAGCTGTGCTCACCTGTGCATCTGTACCCGGCAGTTCCGAGCGCCGTGCCCGTCTGCTGTCTTCGGATCCTTCCGAGGGTGTCCGCTTCTTTGCTTGTGCGCCGATGCGTGATTTTTCCGGACACCTTGCTCCTGAACGTGAGGGGGGGCATGAGGCGTGGGTGAGGGTAAGGATATCAGGATGCCTGAGCTTGCTCCTGAGTGTTATTGGCATGTGCCAAGACGCTAGCAGAGCTAGCAGAGGCTGACGCACGGCGGGCATGTCTTCTGCCCGCGATGCCTTTGCGGCCGTCGTTGACTAGGACAGCAGAAGGGCCTCCGCAGCTATCAGCAGCGGCTGTTGATGTGCAGATCGTGCAGATGTAGCCTCGCAGTGAGTGCCACTAAGATGCAAGCGAACGCTGTCTGGCGTGGGAAGGCTGCAAGGCTGCCAGAGAAGCTGTGCAGTGCAGGCGGGGCGCCAGAGCGCGCGAGCAACCACACTAGCAAAACACATGTCGTGTTGATCTTTACGTCGCATTTACGCCACAATGATGCATGAATGGGTCCATCTTACTGCTCGATGGGCAGGTGTCGCAGGGCATACCAGCCGCGGCGCCCGCTAGCGTATAGCGGTATTCAACTCGCTGGACATGGCTTGAGCGCGTGAGCTGACCAGTCGACAAGCGCAATTTGCGCACAGGCATGAACGCTGCAGGAGAATGAAAAACGGGGTGGTCATGAGGGTGACACTACCCAAAAGCGGGGACGACGACCTGAGCGCTGTTAGGTGCGCATAGGTGCACTGCTGTTTCTGCGCAGCGCGCATCGCTGCGTCGCGGCGGGTGTAGCGGAACAGTGCCTGCTTCGCTGTGTCAGTGTGCCCAGTGTGCCGTTTGAGAATGCTTCTGTGCTTCACGAATGCTCGAATAGACAATGCGCGGACCGCCAGATTTGCATCTCGCAGCTAGTGCGCAGGTCAATGTGAAGAGTGAGGAAGCCCTGCGCTGCTATCTTTTGCGCCTCGTTGCGGGGTTCAAGGAGATCAGGAGTGAGGGTGGGGACGATGAGGTGAGGGGCGCATGAGGGACTAGGGGGCAGGTATATCGCGGTAGACCAGGAGTGAGGATGGGGTCACGTGCGGCAGGATGGGAGTTATCAGTTCAGGGGCGGTGAGCAATTATCTATGCGGCGGGTGCTCTCTGGAGTTCTGCCTCTGAAGGGGGCAATCGGTGTGCGCGCCACTGACGACATATCAGAAAATGGAACTTTATCCAGGTGGATGGTTCAGGAGCAGGCCAGGGAAAGGGGATGCGCTTGATCAGACTCGCCAGGGGCCATGCTCTGTGTTGGGTCCGTCTCAGGCGTAAGCGTTGCTGGATCCTTGTCCTGTCTGATTATCCGACCCTCGACTCACCCTCATACCCCGTGCCCCCTCATCTGACCCCGTCTGACCCTGCCCTAGCGTTCTCCCCACTATCAAGGCGCAACACCCGAGCAAGCACAAAGCAGGCTATTCACTATCATTCGACTCGCTGACCCCGTATAGCCAAAGCTCAAAGCGACCGACCGTCCGCTGCCGCGTCCACCCCGCTCCGTCCACCGCCCCCCTCTGCTCCTGCGCCTCCGTCCCACCCCGTCTGCCCCGTTGCCCCCCGGCCCTCTTCCCCCGTGCCGCCGGCCCTCCGCCGTTACCGCTCTGCTCTCAAGCTGCCTTCCTTCCTTCCTTCCTTCTGATGCACCCAGCCTCTGCCCCTTTCCCTTTCGAGGCCGTCGAGCGTTTCTGCCGTGTCCACTGTTTCGTCTCGAGCCCTGTCATGGCTCCTGGAGGTCGCCTGCCTTTCCTTCCTCCCTCCTCCCAGGCCCCGGGCCCTGCTCCATGCTCCTGGAGCGCAAGTTCAGGTGCAACCCAAGATGGGCCAAGCACTTTGGGCCTTTTCTCGCCCAGAGCATCGCATCGCGATGCGTGCAATGTGCGCCCCGCCGCGACCCGCCGAGCCTGCCGGGCATCAAAGTATGCGGCCATGCGGGCAGTTCATAAGCACTGGCTGGCGAGACTGATATCGCGAGCCCCTCTCTGTTCGAAGTTTCTTCTCCCCTCTGGTTCACTTCATCTTATCGATTAGAGCAGAAGTCACGCCAAACATCACCTGACATCTGCGCTACACTATCTAATCCCACCACACCCCACACCCCTATCTACCGCCGTGCGCCAGACTGTGTGAACACCGACCAGCCATGGCCGCCATCAGCGAGAAGGAGTACGTCAAGACCGACGGCCTGCCGGCCGACACGACGGTGCAGCCTGCCGCAGGACAGGCAGAGACGTACCGCCGCGAGAGCTCGCCCCCGACATCGCTCAAGGGCAAGGCGGCGGGCAACGCCGACACCGAGTCGCTCAACAGCGACATCACGCTCGCAGCCCAGGAGGAGGGCATCGACCCCGCCTTCTACGCCAAGGTGCAGGTGCTTAACCGGGCGCTCTCCGAAATCGGCATGGGCAGGTACCAGTGGGAGCTGTTCTTCTCTGGAGGTTTCGGCTGGTTCGCGGACAACATTTGTGAGTGAACTGAATCCGCTCTGCTGCGCTCCACCGCATTCAGTTGTGTGTAGGAGTATGTTTTCGTTACGTCGTGTGCGCGATTTGCAGACTGCCACCGGCCACTCGCAGAGCACATAGCACTTGTGTGGGGTATGTGGGGTATTGCATAGGTAGCCCATGTCAGGTGGCAGAGGTCTGAGGGCTCGTGGGTCACCTGCTGCAGCCCCGGGCGGTAGTGACGGCTTTCTGCGTCGATGAGGCGATTAGGATCCGCATTCCGCTCCACCGCCTCGATTATCCCCTCGGTTCCTAGGCTATCACGGGTACTTCCCTCTGAACACCTGGACAGTCTCAACTGCCGTGTTGGCATGCGTCGCTTCCAGATACTGGCGGATCTACGCAGCATGCGCACATCTGTCTCGAACATGAGCTGACAACCCCCGCAGGGCTCCAGGCCGTTGCCATCCTGATGCCGTGGATCGGCTACGAGTGGATCGACCCCGTGCACGTCAAGTTCGCCACTCTGGCGCTGTACGCCGGTCTCATTGTCGGTGCTTCGTTCTGGGGAGCCTCGTGTGACCTGATCGGGTGAGTGCCTCAGTCGTGGCATGTAGACGGGCAGTGGCTGACGCAATGTTACAGACGTAAGCTCGCTTGGAACTGCACCCTCTTCATCGGAGGCATGTGGGGAGTCGTCGCTGGTGCGGCGCCCAACTTTGTCGCCCTCTGCTGCTTCATCGCGTTCATGGGCTTTGGTGTCGGTGGCAACCTCCCCGTCGACGGCACGATGTACCTCGAGTTCCTGCCCGGTTCGCACCAGTGGGTGCTGACACTGCTCTCGCTCTGGTGGGCCGTCGGCCAGGTCGTTGCCTCGCTCATCTCCTGGGGCTTCATCGCGCGCTACTCGTCCGACTGCAGGGACTACACGTACGACGCCAACAAGAACATTATCGGCTACTGCTCGCGCGAGTCGAACATGGGCTGGCGCTACGCCTACTTCACGCTCGGTGCCATGATGCTCTTCCTGTGGGGCCTGCGCTTCTTCGTGCTCCCCGTCTACGAGTCGCCCAAGTATCTCTGCTCCAAGGGACAGGACGAGAAGGCTGTCGAGGTCGTGCACAAGGTCGCGAAGCGCAACGGCAAGGTTGTCCACCTGACCGTTGAGGACCTCGACCGCGCCGCCGCCCCCTACCTGACCCCCGAGGAGAAGGCCAAGGGCGAGCTGCACAAGGGCTACACCAACTGGCAGCTCCTCAAGATGTCCGTCAGCCAGGGCACGCAGATGAAGACGCTGTTCAAGACGAAGCGCCTCGCATTCTCGACCACGCTCATCGTGCTGATCTATGGCATCATCGGCCTCGCGTACCCGCTCTTCAACCAGTCGCTCGGCGTCTTCCTGCGCCAGAAGCAGGCCGAGATTGCGGGCGCGGCGCCGAGCGTCGACGACTCGTTCAAGTCATACACGTACCAGGCGGCGTGCGGTATCCCGGGCTCGATGCTTGCCGCGTTCCTCGTCACTGTCTCGCGCTTCGGCCGCAAGCTCGCCATGGCGGCCTTCACGCTCTGCTCGGGCATCTTCCTCTTCGGCCTGACCGCTGCCAAGAACAACCCCACCGTCGACGCGCTCACGTCCATCGCCGCCTTCTTCCAGAACGCCATGTACGGCGTCATGTTCGGGTACGCGCCCGAGCTCTTCCCCACCCCCGTCCGTGGCACCGGCGACGCGCTCTGCGCCGCCGCCATGCGCGTCTTCGGCCTCATGGCGCCCATCATCGCCATCTACTCGGACGCGAACAAGTCGCCTAACGGTCCCGTGTACGCCTCTGCTGCCCTTTACCTCTTCTCGGGCCTCATCATGCTCCTCCTCCCCGTCGAGACCCAGGGAAGGACCGCCCTTTAAGTGTGCGGAGCATACACCCAGCCTTCTCTTCAACCTTACCTTCCTTTTTCGCTCCCTCTCCCAGTTAATCCTAAAATGGCCTCCGCACATATATTCAGGTCAGTTGTTTCCAATAGAATGAACGTCCGCAAGCGCACCACACTCTGTATAATAGATTATTGCTATGCAAACGTCACATACAGGAAAACAACCCGCTGCCGTGTGTCTGGTGAGCCTGGCGAGTTGTCGCAGTGGACGGGGCAGGCGTTGGATCAGAAGTGAGGCATGGGAGACCTGTGCCAGGCAGATGCGTAGGTGTGAGGCTTGTGTGAGGTATGCACGGTGTGAGCGTGTGAGGCAGGTGTGAGACAGCGGAATGCAGTCGCGCTGTCGGCAGAGGAAGCGCTCGGGGCGTCCCTGTCGATCCATGTCGATCATGATCGCGGTCGGACCTGAAACAACAAGCATACATCGCGATCGCGATCGCGATCGCGGCTGCGGTATCGGCACCGGGTGCGTGCGGTGATTTGGGCGCTTGTCGCGTAGATGTGTGTCCTTTCGGTCCGATGGCGTCAGACCGAGTCAGACCAGGGCCGGGCTTCGGTGTCGTTCTCACGCGGAGGTGCCGTACCCCAGAGCTCTCCGTCCACAAAAGGTATTCTGCATGCGTTCCTCGTACCCTTACTTTCAACACTGGGACACAGCAGGTACAATGCAAGTTGGATGAAGCTGGACGTGCGGGAGATATAACAAGGTACAAGGAGGAAAGAAACGGGGACAGAGTGGCAATGTGGCAACTATGTATCTAATCAAGATTGATAAGATTACGGGGCGAAGCATGCCGTACGTCGATCCATAGATGCATAAGCAGACTAATTGAGAAACTCCGAGGAAGGGGCCCGAGAAGCTTCGTCCCGAACGATCACGAGCGAGCGAGCGAGCAGCGCGGGCAGCGCGGGCAGCGCGGCCTCCTGGAAGATGGGTACGGGAGGGCGTAACGTCGGAGGACGAGCGGCAAAGATCGCGGATCTTCGGCATGCTTCGGCCCCAACTACAAAGTTGCCGCAAGGCGGGCCAGAAGTGGTCTGGACCATCCCTTCGGCCCAGTGATTCCCGCTGTTGGTCTTGGGCCTGCTGCACGTGTGCGTGCATGAGAGGCATGGGAGGGTGTGCATGTGCCCCGCGGCACGAGACTTTGGTCCGCTGGTATGAGTTACCCATAGTCCTGGGAGAAGAGTGTCGGTCTGTTCGATACCTGGGCACGGGGCTGACTCCTGGGTCTGTGACGGGTACCAGCGCTGTGGTATCCAGGCCCGTTTCGAACCAACTTGTGGGCCCGATGTGCGGTCCACTGTATGAGGGCGGCTCGAACATTGAGATGCGAGTGACTGCGTGTCGGTCAATCTCCCTCGAGCACTGTTCTGACCCCCGGTCACGATTTTGCGTTTGGTGAGGGCGGGAAACTCACAGCCTCATGCGCTCAACTGCAGATGCAACCTGGGATTCTTCTTTCTCATGCACGGCTATACACCCACGCATCACCACCACGCCCTTTCACAAGTTGCATGAAAACTACGATTCGCACAATTACAGACTAGATACAAACCGACCTCGAGCTGCACAGTGTGCACCCGTGGATAGTGGCGCACTTCCCCGGCATGCCCGGCGTGAGGCAGGCCTCCCCGTTACAAAAAGCGAAGAGAGCACCATCGTTCATGGGTTTGCTGAGGGTGTTGTTCGGTAGCATGAGTACCTTGGAGTACTGCAGGCACTGCTTCTCGTCGATGGCCGTGTGCATCGCCCAGTTGTACTTGGGCCCGGCGGTCGCGATTGTGGCATTGGCGCCGTCGAGGAGGACGTACATGCCGTCGATCTCTTCCATGTGGCGACCGGGCTCGGCGAGGAGGAGCTGGCGGAACTCGTCGTAGCTGTTGAACTCTTGCTGAGGGGCGGGAGCGGCCAGCACCGTGGCTGCGAGTAGTGATGAGAGGATCGTGGCGGTGAACATGATCGTGGCGCGATAGTATGAGGGGAGGGAGGATACGGCTGCCATCGGCAGGATTAGACGCTCTTTTGTACAGTATCATCCCCCCTCTTTCACGTCTCCAGAGCTAGAGCAAATTGCGCGCCCCGAGTATGCTTGTCTTGGAGTCAGGAGGAGGAACGTGCGTCCTCTTCTCGGGCGCACCCCATCGCTCTGCACGGAGCGGTCACGAGAACAGATGGGCCAACATGACAGCAGCGGACTGCCGCAGACGCGGACAACTCGTTGGAGCGAGCTAGTGCGTGACATTTGCGGGCAGCTGTAGACCGCCCTTTACGACAAAATGATGCTGATCATCACTCGCAGGACCGGGCCGTAGATGATCGGATGTCAACACGTCCAAGAATAGCCACCCTCTGGTGTGCCTGGGCGTCATTGGTGGTTGTGCACCACATGTGCATGTGGTGGATCACGGGAACCAGCAGCTGATCGGTGGAGCCGAGCTCTTAGGGGAAGAATCGTGGGCACTGAGCCGACAGACAGGCCAACAGCTCTGGTGGCCGGCACTGAGAGCGGCATCATAGACTTCATCGGACATGAGTCTCGGTGGGCTTCTCCAAGGCGGGCGATCAAATGCAGCAACGCCTCGATGGCTGGATACATTTCCTGTTACGTGCTCCCTGGGACCGTGAGACTGGGACGAGGTCGTATCAGTTATCGTATCTTGGGTCGCTGAGCCGTTGCAATCATAACGGACATGAGGCGGTCGAGGGATCGTGTCAATCCGACTGGGCGTGTAGGGACTGAGCCCTCATACCGAGCACTTCTTCCTCACCGACTTGCAACTTGCTGCAGGTGAGCAGTGCGCTTCATCCAGTACGGCCGAACGGACTGGGGCAGGGTACGCCCGGGAGCACACTGGGCGCGAGAGGTCCCGCGTATGGGCGCCTTTTGGGGTAGTAGCTTTCGCTCGTCCTCATCTAAGGTATCCCGGGAATGGGTGGTTGATCCATGCCGCCCTGGGCAGAGGTGGGGGCTGGAACGATTCGGTGCTGGCTGCTGGCTGTGGCTCGCTCCGGTGGTATCGACTGGAGCCCGGATCCACAGCTAAAGTGCTATCTCGAAACATCCACCAATGATACCAACCTCTGTCCACGGGAATAGTAATGTGTTTCTCTCGAGTAATATTAGTGTGCGCTACTGGCCCTTTGATCTGTCGGCCATCCGGGAAACAAGAGGCACATGCGCCAACCGGGTGGTGTAAGTTGATTCGCCGCAGTGGCTTTCAAGATCATGCTTATTGCGGCCGAAACGCGAGGCGAGCCCTCCAACAGCTTGCTCGGTTCTCGACGCAACGTCATCGCAGAAGTGCATTCTTTAATCCGAGAAGGGCTCGGCGGGGACCGGCCGCCACAGTGTTGACTACTTAGAGCGGAGGTGTCTCCAAGCAGAATGGTTCGGTACGGCTCGCTCTGGTGTGGAAGTAGAACTAGAAGCAACGGGAGTACATGTTGCAAACGGTGCACCCCTCATAACCCAGGCATGGCCTCGGGTCACCTGGTGTCGGGCACCAATGGACGATGCAACCATTGAAGTTACCCCCATCGTTGAAAGGCTTGGGAGTGTCGTCGGACACCTCCATGAGCACGGTAGTGTAGTCGAGGCACTTTCCGGCTTCTATGGTTTCGTTCAACGCCCAACTAAACTTGGGGGTCGCGGTCGCTGCTACAGTGACATTGTCGCTGTTCAGAACAACGTACACGCCATTGACGACATCCATGCGGCGTCCGGGTTCCGCCAGAAGCGCTTGCTTGAATTCGTCGGCATTGTTGAACTGAAGGGGGGCCGGAGCTGCGAGCGTTGTGGCGACGAGGAGGGAGAGCGTGGCGGAAGTGAACATGTCTTGATAAAACGGAGCTCGAAGGCGAGATGCCCGTCTGACCTCCGCTTCGCTCCAGACTTTATATCTTCACGAATGTCGCTCTCCAAAGGAGGCATTTCCGAGAGACTTGAACAGGCAAGCCGGCACCTGGAAGGCATGGGGCTGAGCTTTGCACCTACACCTTCGGTCTGTAGTATCGCCCAATATCTTCCATAACGAAAGGCGTCGAGCTCCACTACTCGACCGATGTTATCAAAGTGGCTGAGGGCCTGGGGCAGCCCGCCAACCCACCAACTGCGGTTAAGTGGCCCGCATGATCTACCACGATGTGCCACTCCTTCCGAGTAGTCAGCTGCCGATGGAGGCCGATGTGTGGGGATGATATGCCCAATCGCACGCCACACGAACCCATCCCGACTTTCACATCAACCATCCCATTACCGAAAATGGATTTCTGGGAACCCACACGACTGAGGAATGAAACCTCGGTCACCATTAATGTGATGCCGCACTGACCAGAAATAGAACTTTCTGACCCGACCAAATGTCACGGGATTCGGTGGTCCACAACGGCGCCCGGAAAGCGGATACGATGACAGACAGCTGATCGCGCGCGAGAGCCTGACGCAGAAGGAAGCACAAGGTTGTCCTCGGTCAGGGGCGACATGACGACTGATGAACCGGACGCAAGGGATGCTCCGCACGGCAACCAAGAATCAACCGACGTTCGGTGTGCCATTCGGTTATCATGGCGGAGCCTAACAAAGTGGGAGCACATGTACCGGTTCGCTGGAGTGCGACCGCCAACAATTCGCTCCGCAAGCACCACTCTACGTTCTCTTTGGTGCTCTCAACGTTCTTCCCTTTCTATCATCACCGACAATGGCACCGCGCATTCGACTCGGATACAATGCCAAGCCGTGGCACGATCTTCGCGACATCAAAGCGTACAACGAAGAGTTCTTCTCACCCGAGTTCCAGAGCCACTACCCGGATATGCTGTACTTGTGCTCATTCACGCCGGAGGGACAGTGGATTTACCGCGACTGCAAGAAGGAGGACGAGTGGGTCATCTATGCAGCGGCGACTCCACCTTACAACGAGGTGATGTGTGAGAAGATCGTGCGTGACGACTATGAAGAACCGCGGGGGTGTACGGCAGACACAGCGTACTTTGAGGCCGACCACCACTTCGAGCCGGTCGAAAACGCCAAGGAGATCCGCGAGTCATTGCCGCCTGACGCTACGCTGCAAGATGCGATGCAGGCGCTATGGAGAACATGCAAGGGGTGCGCCAAATACGTCAAGGACGGAAACTCATCTGCCGATAAAGACTCAAGTTCCGCTGTTGCCAAAGACGCTGCGTCGAACCCCAAGACCAATCACACGCCCTCCTCCAAATGACATTAGTTCTCCCTTTCAGTCTCGTAGCTATTACGTCTATGCATCGAGCCCCTAAGATACCCTCTAACGTTTTACGACAGGCTGGCGCCAACGAAAGACTTGGCCTTGCAGACTCCGTCCTTGGTGCGGATCTTGTGGACCGACTTGGTCTCGGGGTTGATCCAAGCGGCGTCGCGGTTGTCAAGGGTGATGAATCCGGGCTGAATCGTCTCGAACACCTTCTTCTTGGGGTTGAGCTGGGGCTCCGGGGTGGCGTTCTCGAACTCCTCGCCCTCGAAGTAGACGCGGTCACCAGCCTTGGCACCCTCGGGAGGGAGGACGAACTCGACACCACCGTCCTTGCCCTCCGGGGAGGAGGCGCAGAGGAGCATCGCGAACGACTTGACACCGCGCATCGTCACCGGCTTGAGGTTGCACACCGTGATGATCGTCGCGCCACGGATCTCGTCCTCGGTCATGTACTTGACGAGACCGGAGCAGACAGTGCGGGGCTCAGCCTCTCCGACGTCGATCGACTCGACGTACAGCGAGTCGGCATCGGGGTGACGCTTGACGTCGAGAACCTTGCCGACACGAAGGTCGATCATGGACGGGACGGGGACGAAGGGAGCGGCGGGGGCAGCGGGCTGCTTCGGCGCCTTCTCCTTCTTCTGCTTCTTCTCAGTCTTCGCTCCCTCGGGGGCACCGGCGGCGGCGGCAGCTCCGTCCTTCTTCTCCTTCTTGTCCTTCTTACCCTCCTTGCCCTCCTTGGCGGCTCCGTCGGCGGCAGCCTTGTCCTTCTTCTCCTTCTTCTGCTTGGGAGCGGGGGCGGCACGGGGAGGGGCGGGGAGCGAGTTGACGTCAACGTCGACCGGGGGGAAGGCGTTGGGAAGCTCCTTCTGGGCAGCCTTAACACCAGAGAGGTCCTGGATGTGCAGGAAGTAGCGGAGAACAGCGGGGGTCTCGGGCCACTGGGACGCAGGGGCCGAGGAGACGGCAGGGTGGAGGCGAGCGTACAGGTTGACGTCGGCGGTCGTCGGGAGGTTGCCGACGAGGTAAGTGACGGGGGTGAGCTTCTCGTTGACAGCCTGAGAGGTTAGATCCGCTTCAGCTCATGTCTCACCTTCAGGTCCGAGGCGATCTTCTCAAACTCGGAGTTGGCCTTGGTGATAGCGGCCTGGTCTCCGTCAGAGCCGGAGAGGATGGGGTCGGCCTTGGCGGCGGCGGCGACAAACTGGGCAACGTCCGACATGGCGCGCAGGAATGGAATGCGGGGAGTAGCGAGTCGGAAGGTCGAGAGGGTAGGACGTAAAGCAAGTAGGCGCATGCACCGTTTTTGTTGATGACTCTTTCGTCTCGTGTGATCGTGTGCTGGTCGCGGTCAGTGATCTTTCAAGCACCTGAAATGTCATGGCGGAGGCGGGAGCTTATGACGTGTGTGATTAAAATTCGACGGCCCACACGTTATCACTCAAGCCTTTCGCGATCAGGTGGCAAGGCCGTTTTCACCGCGTCTCGTCAATTGTGCGCTGGAGACACTCCATTCTCGACTCTCTCTCCACAAAACCAGACACCCCACGACCATGTCTGGACAGCCCCCCTTCAACCCGGGAGCTTTCGAGTTCCGCCCCGGACAGACCTTTGTCCCCCGCTCCCAGCAGCAGCAGGGACAGGGCCAGCCCGGCCAGCAGCAGCCCTACGACCAATACGCCCAGTACGGACAGCAGCAGTACGGCGGATACCAGGGATACCCTCAGCAGGGCGGCTACGGCGGATACCCCCAGCAGGGTTACGGCGGATACCAGCAGCAGCACCAGCAGCAGCCCCAGACCCGCGCTTACGAGCCTCCTCAGCGCAACGTCCAGGGCTTCCAGCCTCCCTCGTTCGGCAACCCCGGCAAGCCCGTTTCGCTCTCTATCGGCGGCGGCGGTGCCCCTAAGGCTGCCCCCTCTCTGAACATTGGCGGCGGTGCCCCCAAGGCCGCTCCCTCGCTCAACATTGGTGGCGGCAAGCCCAAGGCCGCTCCTTCGCTTTCCATCGGCGGCGACAAGCCCAAGGCTGCTCCCTCGCTCTCGATCGGCGGCGACAAGCCGAAGGCTGCCCCCTCGCTCAGCATTGGCGGCGACAAGCCGAAGGCTGCTCCCTCGCTTTCGATCGGTGGTGACAAGCCCAAGGCTGCCCCTTCGCTCTCGATCGGCGGTGGTGCTAAGAAGGAGGAGCCCAAGAAGGAGGAGGCCAAGCCCGCTGAGAAGAAGGTTGAGGCTAAGAAGGAGGAGCCCAAGGCTGCCGAGGCTCCCAAGGCCGCTCCCGCTGTTGCTGCCGCTGTCGCCTCTGAGCCTTCGTCCGCCAAGGCTTCCGGCACCTCGACCCCGACCAACTTCTCCAAGGTCTCCGCGAAGAACGACGCCGACACTGTGTTCCAGGACCAGCAGGCCGCTGGTGCCGATGCCCTCCGTGACCTCTACGGTGGTGCCGAGATGGAGGACCCCAACCTCAAGACTCACCTGAACATCATCTTCACGGGACACGTCGACGCTGGAAAGTCGACCATGGGTGGACAGCTCATGTACCTGTGTGGTGCCGTCGACAAGCGTACCATGGAGAAGTACGAGCAGGAGGCCAAGGCTGCGGGCCGTGAGACCTGGTACCTGTCGTGGGCCCTTGACCAGAACAAGGAGGAGCGTGCGAAGGGTAAGACGATCGAGGTTGGACGTGCGTACTTTGAGTCGGACGTCCGTCGCTACACCATCCTCGACGCCCCCGGACACAAGACGTTCGTCCCCAACATGATCCAGGGTGCCGCCCAGGCCGATGTCGCCCTCCTCGTTCTTTCGGCCCGTAAGGGAGAGTTCGAGACTGGTTTCGAGCGTGACGGTCAGACGCGTGAGCACGCGATGCTGCTGAAGAACAACGGTATCAACAAGCTCATCATTGTCGTCAACAAGATGGACGACCCCACCGTGCAGTGGGACCAGGCGCGTTACAACGAGGTGTGCACCAAGATTACGCCCTTCCTGAAGGCTGTCGGCTTCAACCCCAAGAACGACGTCACCTTCATCCCCGTCTCGGCGCAGCTCGGCCAGAACATGAAGGACAAGGTCGACTCGAAGATTGCTCCCTGGTACGAGGGCCAGTCGCTGCTCCAGCACCTCGACAGCATGCAGATCCAGGACCGTGACATCAACGCTCCGTTCATGTTCCCGATCTCGGAGAAGTACAACGAGCTCGGCACGATGGCGATGGGCAAGATTGAGTCTGGCCGCGTCAAGAAGGGCGACACGCTGCTGCTCATGCCGAACAAGATGTCGGTCGAGGTTGCCGCCATCTACACGGAGACGGCGGAGGAGATGGAGATGGCGTTCTGCGGTGACAACGTCCGCCTGCGTCTGCGTGGTGTCACGGACGACGACGTGCAGCCCGGTTACGTCCTGACTTCGCCGCAGAAGCCGGTGCACGCCGTGACGGCGTTCAAGGCCGACGTGTCGATCATTGAGACGCCCAACATTATCTCGTCTGGCTACACGTGTGTGCTCCACGTCCACACGGCCGCCGAGGAGGTCACGCTCTCGCAGCTCCTGCACTACTACGACAAGAAGACGAAGCGCAAGTCGCGCCGCCCGCCCCAGTTCGCCAAGCCCGGCATGCTCGTCTCTGCCCTCTTTGTCCTCGAGCAGCCCCTCTGTCTCGAGAAGTGGGCCGACTACAAGCAGCTCGGCCGCTTCTCCCTCCGCTCCTCTGGATCCACCGTCGCCATCGGAAAGGTCACCAAGCTCCTCTCCAAGGACGACCTCCCCGACGTCGGCGGCCTCAGCATCAAGGCGTAAGCCAACTCGCCTAGCTTAGAGTCCCACGTCGTGTCATATAGTAATGGTGTCATCTCTAGAAGAAACACTGTATGCAACGAGCATGAATGTAGATCGCACAACGGGAGAGGGGTGGGTGCGTATGAGAAGCCACACTGACTGGCTTATGCCAGTTGCAGCAGTGAAAAGCGAAACAATAGGAGAACGTGCTGAGTCAACTTTGTGGGGGGGTTGACGGCCCAGTGCGCCGACCCTCCCTTCCCCTTGTCAAATTCTAAGCGCGAGACGACTGAGATTGTTCTCCCCAGGGTAGTCCGCTGCCACTCGTCAAAGGTCACAGTTGCATGAGCACGATGAGAGGCAGCGCCATCCATCGCCGACAGTTGCAATCAGTCTCGCGCCCAGATACGCACCCACAGGCCACACGAGTGCGAACACAGGTGCGTGTGTCTGTTCACACACCAGCACTGGTCTGGATTCATCGCCACGGCTCGAGGTCGGAGGAAGCCTTTGCTAGTTTCAACGTCTCCCACGGTCGTCCAACTGTCTCATCCCTTGTGCGGCCGCAGTGTGTCGGTGCACACAATTACGCAGACAGTCGGGACTTGACCTGGGCTCGAAGTTGGAGGAAGGTCTTGCTAGTTTCAACGTTTCCCACGGGCGTCAAGTCCCAAGAGACCGAGTGCACGAGGCCAGCCTGACCCTCGTGTAGTGAGTGTCTGGTGAATGAGCACGGCCCACACATCAAGGCGAGCAGTGGCTCGCGCAGAGTATAGGGCCCATGACCCCGCCGCGCCCGCCGGCCGTCGGTGCATGCCCAAGACAGCCTCTGACAATGTGCAGCGCTGCAGCGTTATCAGTGCTCTGCCAGCTAGTAGGGAAAGAGATAAGAAAGCGATAACGGAACCGAGCCAGAGTGGACATGGGAGGTGGAGGTACAGCAATGTCCGCCAAGCCCAAGCCCAAGTCGCAGACTGCCTGGCTGCCCTGCAAGTCAGCCGCTCCAGCAGCTTGGCAGCGCCGGCGGCACTTGATGATGAAACGCAGGGTACCTTTATCTCTCGCTTCAGCTCGATCCGAATCCGGTCCGACATCTTCCCACACCAGTCCTCGTCCTCCACGACCCAGAGCAGCATAAGGGCGATGCAGCGGATGCCCGTCCGCTCCCTCACGCGCTCACGCACAACCCGATGAAACCACAGTGCGAATCTGACGCCTTCTCGCGTCCAAATCGAGGAATGTGTGCAAAGTCCACCTAAGCCAGCGTGAGAAATCCAGCCCCCCTCTTGGCCCTGTTCCAGCATCACCAACCAGTCATATGTCGACCCCTGTGATGACCTTTGCCGCATTCGCATGGGAATAGAGAGGCGCAAACGTGTCAGATATCGCCATGGGCCATGGTACCATGGCCGGAAGCGCAGGCCCGTCCACTGCCTGACGTGATTACGATTGACGAGTCTCTCCGCAGACCGAGGCGACTGGACTGCGGGGCGTTGCTGGGGAGCGGGGTTCATTCAATCACTGAATGCTCGATTGCTGGAAGCGATGAGAGGACCCCGAGGACCCCGGAATGCCAGTCTGTTCATTGCGGGGAGGTGTGTTGTCTCGCTTGGCACACGCGTGCGCGCACACACGTTTGGCGAATGGGAATTGTTGTTGTAGCGGGGTGAAGTGCGTCAGGGTTGCATCGTCTTCTCACACCTCTGACACTCGCAGCGCGCAGTCTTCTCCTTCTGTAGGGCAACGTTTGCGTGTTTGCTTTGGTGATCGCCGTGATCGGATCTTCCGTGCTCGCACTCTTAGGTGGCCTAAGCAGATCGCAACAACTCATCTCAAAATTCCCGCGAAAGAGTGATTCCCGCAGGATCAACGGGGTCGTTCCGAGTGCTTAATCCTCGAGCTTAATCTGGTCTTCTTTGGGTCGTGGGCCTGGCCCGCCTGGCTAGCCTGGGCTGGCGGAAAGAACGAGGGAAGACAAGGGTGATGTGACGCGGGAGGCGTGCCTAACTTTTCGTGGGATTTGCAGGCACGACGAGCGGCGGGCGAGCGAGCGAGCTTTGTGTGCTGCGAAAAAGTCCATGTTGGGCGATCTTTGGGATTGCGATGGCGGAAGTGTGCACTATTCACGCGACGAACGTTGTCTGCTGTGCGCAAACCTACGATGAGCGCTATGCTTAGCGCTTCTCACGACCGGAATGCATTCCGTCCTGGTCGCTTGTTGTCATCTCGCCAGATGCACCGGGGAGATTAGGTCTGGGCCTGCTTGGCAGTGTTGTGGAGGTGGCGGCGCGCATCGCCGCCACCATGTTGTGCATGTCGCCATGTCGCCAGAATCGCTATCCTCGCTATCCAACTCTGGCTGTGTCGCAGGCGGGGCATGCGCGCCCGCTCATACCGCCGCTCTATGGCTTACGACTGAGGCAGTGACTCACACAGGTCTTCGCCGAGACATACGCTATGCCCCCAGCCGGCCCAGCCGCAGTAGCCGCAGTGCCGCAGTGTTCCCCGCTCTCACCCAGTCTTATCACAATCGCGCTCCGGCCGCCGCTTGGCGCTATACGACGCTACGCTGCGACGCTACGGCACTGCGGTCGTACCTCGACCCGCGCCCGACTCTCACGCCCGCTCAGACTATGCTGCGGCGCTTCGCGCCTCCGCTCTCTATCGCACAGATACGCATCATTGGTGCCTACGTACGTGCGGCCTGTGGCTTGCTACAAATTAGGGTGTTACACTGGGGTTGGTTGTGGTCTATCCTACACTGGTGGCTCCGGCTTCGCTCCAAGTTGCTGCTCGCTGCAGACGTGAGGAGGGACGACGGGCCGAGTGAATTTCTAAAATTAAGCGCGAGACAGTCTGCGCCGTTGCCGCTGGTGGGTGCGATGTGCGCCCGGGCTAGACTCTGATCGACGAAGAGATACTCGGGGCGAGGGCCGAGCGGCGCGCACGATCCGACGGACGGACACGGGTGTCCCGGTGATTATTAAACTAATGCTCTCGCTGGAGCCCTATACGATGCGGTACGCGGTCGAGGGTGTACTCGGTCGGGTGTGGTCTAATGCTGTACTCGGAGGTGGGTAGTAGTAGTCGTCGGAGAAGATTACTTGCGCGCAAGCTCGTTGGACGTGAGGCCAAGCTCGAACGTCGTCCGGATCGTCTTGGTGGGGACGATGATCTTGGTCGTCTTCTTGGGCTGCGCGTTGTTCGGCGTCAGCGCGCGGTTGAGGAGAGCACGCGCGAGAGGCTGGCTCTTGTTCGCCGAGGGGTTGGCGGGCGTCATGGGGCTGAAGCGGACACGAGGCGTGCGCTGCGGCAGCGCAAAGGGACGGCGGTCCTCGGACTCGGCAGAGTCATTGGAGTCATTCGACGAGGTGGACGAAGTGGCCGACTGGTCCTCCTCCTCGGCGTCAGAGTCGGAGGAGATCTCGGAGCGCAGGCTCGAGGAGCGAAGCGGCGAGGTGCGAGGGCGGTCGAGGGGGGAGCGAAGCGAACGGCCACCAAAGCCGGGAGAGGCAAAGGACGAGTTGGGGCCGAGGGTGAGAGCAGAAGGGCGGGCCATGGCGTCGGTAGGCATTACGGTGAGAGATGTAGAGAGTAGAGACGAGACGAGTTTAAGACTGAGGGAGGGAGATGTGGTTGTGGCGGAGGAGTAATTATAAGTTGGGGAGTGGAGGTTCGAGGCGAGATTTCAGATGGCGGTGACAGCAGGCTTGGGGCGACAGGATAGGACGCGATCGCGTATGTCTAGGTCTCACAACGTGGCTGCGAGAGAATTAAAAGAGGAGATGTGATGTGTGAGGTGTGCGGGCAGAGGGGAGAAAATGGAAGGGCCGAATGTTCAAAGTGATGGGGCAGCAGGAAACGCGGGGCCCTGGGCCAACTTTGTTGGGGGGGGGGAGGTAGTTGAAACGGGAGTTACAGCGGGGGATTCGGTGGATGGCAGCGTGGGAGGCTGCGAGGGAGGGTGCGTGGGAGGCTGCGGCTGTGGGAATGGAGACAGACGAGATTATAGATGTATGTAGAGAGAGTGTGTGTGTGTGAGGTGTCGTAGAGGATGGTACAGAGTGGATGCTGGGGGCCAGTCTGTACATGACATCTCTTAACCTGGTTATGGAGGAAGGGAGACGCGGTCAGAATAACCCGCGCCACTTGCCGGTGGTGCACCTGAAGCCAGGGGGTCCAAGCCGGATCAGGCAATCACCCAGCCAACAACCTCAGCCAGCCCAGCTGACCGGCCGCCAGCCCAGCCCAGCCAGTAGGCCCGGAGCCAAATCTCATCTTTGGGGCGTACAGTGCAGCTCCATCGATCCCATCCCATGCAGTCAGTGCCTACGTCGTCCATCTGCTTCCGCTCCACACACCGTAGCCTACGCGGGCCAGACTTCGCACCACAGGGGCAGACTAATGCATTCCGATCTTAGCCTAAACGGACACGTGGCAGTGTATTGCACATACACTTAAGGCACCTAATTGCTCTCCTTACTCCCCAAGTATGCAGGCGGTAAGCGATGCACCAACAGCCCCGCATACAAGCCCGGCACACCTAAATGACGCCGTAATGACTCATTACCTCCCAGCCAGAGCTCAATCCAGTGGGGTATTGGGGCAACTATAACACTCCCTTGATCACTGCGCCGCTGCCTGCACTGCGTCAAGTTTGAGCTGTAGTGCCAATCCACTCAACCGAGGTTGCATCTTCGCTTGCGGCGAGCTTTGCCACTCGCATAGGGAGGTCGCGTGAGCGCCGGCAGCGGCGCGTCACACGCGGCACGCACGGCGCGCACCATGCTGTAGAGGGAGCAAGCCGACTGGCTGCACCGAAAAACAATAACAGGGAAAACACACCAGCGTCAGCGCCACTGCACTCAAAATGTCCCCACCAAATCGACTTGCGGCCAGTTGAGTGGACGGTATCAGCATGCCGAACCCGATGCCGACTTGCACTGCCTGAGGCTGAGTCCGGCTGGATGAGGAGGTGGGCGAGCACACCGGGCTAGGTGCACAGACCACTGACTTTGCCGTACCGTAGCGCAGTGATTGACTGAGGCAAGGCTGGCAGGAGTCCATTTCCGGGTCACGCTAGCACTAGCCAAGGTCAGGCAAGGCCCCATCGTTTCGCAGCCCCATCACTCCGACGAGACTAAGCCGGCCGCCATGTCTGCCAGCCGCCAGGCAGGCTGTCAAGCGTTGCAAGTTAAACGTGGCGAGGAATGGCGGCTGCCTCCTGTCTCCCTAGATTGGAAGTCCTGATACCCCAGAGATGTGGCCCCAGCTGTGCTCAGAGCAATTACTAACCCCGGTGACCTCTGTCCTCTCGGTCAACTCAAGCCTTCAGAGGAACAATGCATACCAAGCCACGTCCCGATCGTGTGGGGATCCCAACCCCCGTCTGGGGTTGAGGGGACTCCAGGCCAGACCTCAATGAAGGCAGTGTTTGTGCCAACACATCCTTGCGGGCAGTGTGGGCAGTGCGGGCAGTGCTGTGGTGCAGCGCCACAAAGCGCGATCGCTCCCCAGAAGTTACCCCACGAAATTTCGACATTTCATATTCAACCCATTTCAACGCGTGTTCGCGTTCGTTTACGCGTCTGATGGAATTCAGAGTATACCGGCTTTAGAAACGCGGGTTTTGGGCTTCACGGCACGGCACGTTCGCCGACCGGACTTGCCCTGCTCCATGTTGGGGAATCTGCTGGTCGTGGTGTTTGTGACGTGTCTGTTGTCTGACGTGTCGCCACACGTCAACGGAATGGAATGCGAGCACGGGGGTTCAAGAGTACCTGGGACTTGGGTGGGACTTGGGCGATCTGGGGCATCTGGGGCACGATCGTGATCGGGCTGTCACCTTGGACATAGTCACGGATCACGAATCCGGTGGTGTGTTTCCTCTGTTTCGAATGATTTCGAGCGGTGGGCGCCCTGGTGCATGTTTTGCATGACCTCCTCCATTCCCAAGTTCACTGCTTCCCATCGCTCTCACCTCGACACACTGCCGCCATCATTGAGAGGGCTGTCGAAATCTCCAATCTGACCTATCCGACCCAGTCCGCCCCAAACTTGCGCAAACCCGTCCTAGCGATCCAGCCTAGCGGCCTAGCGGCCTAGCGATCTCGAGCACCCAGCCTCCCCAGACTCGGCACCTCGGTGTCTCACAGCGGCGCTCAGAACCTCCGCTCAGTCTGCAGTCTGAACGGCCAGTCCATCCCGCTCGAGACTGAACGATGTACCTGATCTAGGCGTGTCTGTCTCCCATCACTGATCTCTAGTCCACCGGTATCGGGATTCAGCGATAAGACGTCGCCATGCGATATCCATGCCCGTCTTTGCCCCAGAAGTCGCCGTGGATTTCGATATCTCGTGGGATATCTCGTGGTCATGTCCATGCGAGACGCTGTTGTCAGTGAGTCACCCACTGGCTCTCCCATGCTCTGTACTGTGCCCCAGAGAACGGTCAGAAGATCAGTAGGTCAGTTGGTACCGGTATCGCAAGAATGAGTAGAGGTGCATGATCCTACTAACCTACAACACATATTCCACCATGCCAATGCTGGGCCGCCCCACTCGAAGCCGGCTCGAGGCAGCAGGCCGCCTTCGGCGACCTACTGCTGTCCGTTCTGGCCGTTCTTCCACTCGTCCACGGCCATCTTGACGCGCTCGCTGAGCGCCGTAAAGTTGTCGAGCGCCGGACGCACGTCGAGCGAGAAGATGGGGAAGCCGTTTGGGTCCAGGCCGCCCGAGTAGTAGTCGATGACGTAGCGCTGCTCCGTCTCCACGCGCCTGCCCTCGCCGTCACGCAGCGGCTTGCCGTCGCTGCCGAGCACGGGGCGCGTGACGATCCAGTCGTGTCGGTCAAAGGGCGGCTCGGACGAGTAGGACTCGGGGAACAACTTGGACATGAACAGGTGGATGCGCGCTTTCGGGGAGAGATCGCCGGGTCGGCCCTGGAAGCGCGCGAGCTGCGCGTCAGTGCCTCTGTATTGTCAGCTATGCTCAGAAGGAAACGCGACCTGGCCAGACGAGCTCGCCGCGCCCCGAGGTCAGGCACCTCGGCGCCGGCCATCGGGACCTCCACCGCCACTGAAAAGTCGTTCCGTGTGGAGGCACCATCACAGACTCACCCAGGCAGACGCTTCTCCCACTTCATGACCTCGTCCCAGGCGCCCTCGTTGATCCAGTTGTGAATGTCGACGACGTCCTCAATGCTCTCCTCCGGCGTCTCCCATCCCTTACGCACGAGCGCGTTGTAGAACTGCTGCGGCGAGGGGTACTCCCACACGCCGGAGCCGGCCTGGTCCTGCTCCTTCGGGCGGGGGATGGAGCTCAGCGTCTTCTCAGTGGGGAGGTGGAGGCGCTGTCCGGGCGCGCGCTCCGTCGCACTCAGTCCGACGGGCATGTTGTTCTTCGGGTCCAGCGCTCCAGGAGCTCCGACAGCAGCGCCGAACATGTTGCTGCTGGCGCCAGAGTGGTCGATGGGACACTTGGCTCCCTCGTCCTTCGCCGCAGCCGCCTTGGCACGCATCGCCTCGTGGTCGACGGGGCACTTTGCCGGCGCCGAGTCGACTGGCGGCGGGGGAGGCGCCATCTTGCCCATCTTGCTGTGGTCGACGGGGCACTTGGCCGCCGAACCGGCCACGGGCGGGTGGTCGGCCGGCAGCTCGGCGGAAGGGGTACTTGACGAGCCGAGGACGTTGAACTTCATGGCGGAGTGTGTAGAGCAGAGAACAAGAGATGCAGGATGTAATGAAAGCCAAGAGATTGGCCGAGCGCCGAACCCGATGCAGGAAGCAGCGCCATCGCCAGAAATCTCAGATGCCGATCGGGTCATCCGTGGGAGAATGACGCCGAGAAAAACAATCCGCACGCCTATCCTTCCTTGCAGCGCGTGATCATAGTGTGCCTAGAAGCCACGCGACTCCGCGCCTGTCAAGTCAATACCGAAGTTCATGCCATCATCCGGCTCGTACCTGCGATCACAACTTGAGTACACCGATCAGCCCTCGGCCGCCAGTACGACAACAAAACGCTGGCTCGTGCAATCTAGCACGATGCACGCGTACCACTCGACGCTGCTGCCGTCTTCGGCGATCCATCACTCCCTCTACCTCGCCCATTTCACCCCTTCGACCATCTACCCGTTGCCAAAACCGCATGCCGCCCTCGAAGTGCCAGACGTAAAGGTCGTCGGCAACCTCGTCGTTGCCGGCGGCCAGGATCTGCGCGTGTTCGAAATCAGAGAGGAGTCGACTCCCCTCCCCGATGACGAGAGCGCCGTCCCGAAGCAGGAGGATATGGACGTTGGCGATAGCTTCTTCGACTCGGCACCCATTGAGCGAGCACCCGTTCGGTATAAAACGACAAGGAGATTGCACCTCCTCACGCGGCATACGTTGCACGGAGTAGTGACCGGACTCGCAGGACTGCGTACCATTGACTCGAGTGTCGATGGTCTTGACCGATTGCTCGTATCCTTTGAGCATGCCAAGGTAAGCAGCTGCCTGTTCGACGTCCTCCAGCTGACAGACAGATGGCGATTCTGGAGTGGTCCCGAGGAGACATTGCGACCGTCTCGCTGCACACGTACGAGCGTTGCCAGCAGATGATCAACGGCAACTTCCAGGGCTATGTCCCGATGCTGCGTAGCGACCCGCTGTCCCGCCTTGCGATCCTGACGCTGCCTGAGGATGCACTCGCGGTGCTGCCCATTGTCCAGGAGCAGTCGGAGCTGGACGCGATGCAGGACTCCGTCTCAAGGTGGGTACCGCGAGCCCTTTCCCGCTAACCCAGCAGAGATGCACCGTATGCGCCGTCGTTCGTGCTCGCATTGTCCGACGTCAGCCCCGAGATCAAGAATATCAAGGACTTCCTGTTCCTCCCTGGCTTCCACTCGCCAACAATTGCGCTCCTATTCGCGCCGATGAACACCTGGGCCGGCCGCTACAAGAGTGTCAAGGACACATTCCGCCTCGAGATCCGCACGATCGACACCTCGGCCGGCGGCACGTACCCCCTCATCACGTCCGTGACGGGTCTGCCGAGCGACTCGCAGTACCTGGTCGCATGCCCGAGCGAGGTCGGCGGTGTTGTCGTCGTCACGGCGTCGGGTATCATCCACATCGACCAGTCGGGCCGTCTCGTCAGCACGTCCGTCAACGGGTGGTGGAACTACACGACGAACATGAAGAGCGACTCGTCGTATGAGAGCCAGAAGCTCGCACTCGACAATTCGCACGCCCAATTCGTCACTGAGAACGACATGCTTCTCGTTCTCGAGACGGGAGAGGTACACCAGATCCGCTTCGAGATGGACGGTCGTGCCGTCGGTGCGATCAAGGTCGACGAGCAGTCCAGCACTGTCCCGCCGCCATCGACGCTTGTGCCCGCCGGCTCTGACGGCATTTTCGTTGGGTCGGTCGAGGGCGATTCGCTGCTCGCCATGGTGGAGAAGGCGAGGGATCAGTCTGCTCAGGAGGAGCCGGAGACGAAGCAGCAGGAGATGGACGTGGACGATTGGGATGAGGGTAAGCTCAGGTTCGCGGATTGTTAGCTGACAACAGATCTGTACGGCGAGGCTGCCCCGACTGCGAATGGAAAGGCGAACGGCACGGCAGAGGTCGCCACGGGACCTGTCACTGTGTCGGTGAAGGCTCAAGACGTCCTCTCTGGTATTGGGCGGATAGCGGACATGGAGTTCGGAATTGCGGTCACCGACCTCGGAACGCGGACATACCCTCAGCTCGTCTGCATCGGTGGAGGTTCGCAAGGTTCGACAATGAACGTGTTCCGTCGAGGTATCCCGATCACGAAGAGGCGCCTGTTCGAGCAGCTGCGGACCGCGGTCGCGACATGGTTCCTGCCCGTTGAGCGAGCGAATGCGCCCAAGTTCAAGGACATCCCGGAGAGCGAGCAGTCGACCATCGCCATTGCCGCGACGCAGGAGGGCTCGACGCAGATCTTCGCCCTGTCGACGAGAAAGGTGCAGGAGCGTATCGCCGAGTTCCCGGAACCGGCCATCGCGACGGGCACATGGCTCAGGCGGACACGCATCGTGCTGGTGCTTCCTAGCCAGGTGCTGCTACTCGACTCGAACGCCAACCCCGTCGGAACCATATGCGAGATGTCCGACGCCCCGCCCATTGTCGCCGCCAGCATCGCCGACCCATACGTGCTCATCCGGAGAGCGGACGGCAGCGTTTCAGTCTTCGTCGGAGACACGGTGGAGGGCAAGTGGTCCGAGGCGCCCATGCCAGAGGGCCTGGCGCTTCCTGTATGCCAGGCCGCGGAGGTGTTTACCGATACCACCGGTATCTACCGAACCTTCGAGGCGACGCAGGGCGTTAAGGAGGAGCCTGTGAAACCGGTGCCGACGAAGCAGGGCCAGAAGGCCAAGATCCACCTGACGGGCGAGCAGCTGAAGCGGCTGCAGGACTCGAAGCCGGCGATCAGTGCCGACGTCGCGACGACCGAGTCCGCCTTCAACGCCGCGCGCGGTACGCAGTGGATTGCGCTCCTCGCGCAGTCGGGCGAGCTGCAGATCCGCTCACTGCCCGACTTTGACCTCGTTCTCCAGTCGAACGGCGTCTACGACTCGGAGCCGAGTTTCACCGACGACCAGACGGGCGAGCTGCCCGAGCTGGAGGAGGGAGATGAGGTGTCGCAGATGCTCTTCTGCCCTATTGGAACGAGGACGCTGCGACCGCACGTCATTGTGCTGCACCGCTCAGGTCGTCTCAACATCTACGAGGCGCAGCCGCGCTTCACTGTCGACGCGCGCGACCAGTCTCGTCGTTCGCTCGCTGTCCGCTTCCGCAAGGTTCACACGCAACTCCTCAGCGTCACGCCGAGCTCGACCGTCAAGCCGGCCGCCATCCCTTTCACGGACATCGAGGGCCTGACTGGCGCCTTTATCACTGGCGAGCGCCCGCACTGGATCATCTCGTCCGACTCGCATCCCATCCGCGCGTTCGGTCTGAAGCAGGCCGCGTACGCCTTCTGCAAGACGACGCACCAGGGCGGACACGGCGAGTACTTCCTCCGCATCGAGGATGGCTCGTTCATCTGCTACATGCCGCCAACGCTGAACACGGACTTTGCGATGCCATGCGACCGCTACAAGATGGAGCGTACGTACACGCACGTCGCTTTCGACCCGCCCTCGTGCCATTACGTCGCGGCTGCGGCAATGTCGGTGCCGTTCCAGGCGTACGATGAGGAGGGTGAGATCCTGCTCGGTCCTGAGGGTCCGGACCTCCTGCCGCCGAAGAACGAGCGATCATCGATCGAGCTGTTTTCCGCTGGCTCTGAGCCCTTCCGCGTCCTCGACGGATACGACTTCGACCAGAACGAGGAGGTGTTATGCGTCGAGAGTGTTACGCTCGAGAGCTCGTCCTCCCCCACCGGTTTCCGCGACTTCATCGCAGTCGGAACGGGAAAGAACTTCGGCGAGGATCGCGCGACCTCAGGTGCCGTGTACGTGTTCGAAGTCGTCGAAGTTGTCGGCACGAAACCGGGTGTCTCAAACTGGAGGCTGAAGTACCGATGCAAGGACCCGACTCGCAACCCCGTTAGCGCCATCGCGAACATTAACGGATACATTGTGCACTCGAACGGCCCGAAGATCCTCGCCAAGGGTTTGGACTACGACGATCGCCTGATGGGTCTCGCCTTCCTTGACGTGAGCATGTATGTGACGTCAATCAGGGTATTCAAAAACCTGATCCTGGTCGGCGACTTTGTCAAGTCGCTTATCTTCGCGTCGCTGCAGGAGAACCCTTACAAGTTTGTCACGATCGGGCGGGATCTGGCCGACCTGTCGCTGACGGCGGCCGACTTCCTTGTACACGAGGGCCAGGTCACCTTCATCACGAACGACCAGCACGGCAACATGCGTCTCGTCGACTTTGACCCCGCGAACCCAGACAGCTTGAACGGCGAGAAGCTCCTGACGCAGACCGAGTTCGGCACGGGCTGCCCCGTCACTGCGTCGTGCATGATCGCCCGGCGCAAGACGGCAGAGGAGGAGTTCGCCCCCCAGAGCCAGCTCATCTATGCCACGGCCGATGGCGCCATCACGTCCGTTGTGGCAGTCAAGGAGGCGCGATTCAAGCGTCTTCAGCTCGTCCAGGACCAGCTGGTGAGGAACGCGCAGCACGTCGCGGGCCTCAACCCGAGGGCGTTCAGGACGGTGCGCAACGACCTCGTACCTCGCCCCCTGGCTCGAGGTGTGCTGGACGGAGGACTGCTGGCGCACTTCGCCCTGCAGCCGCTCAGGAGACAGAGGGAGATGATGAGGCAGATTGGCACAGACGCAGTCACTGTCGGAAGCGATCTGTACACGCTTGGAGGGTTTTGGTGAGATTGGAGTAGAAGAATCTTGGTAGAGTTCCGAATCACATCTGTATGCATTAGTATCAGCCGTCCGGGCGGGACTGGAGTCTGATCTGGCGCTGCCGAGGGACAAGTGGAGAGTGCACGTCCCACACTGGGGACCCCGTGAGTGCGCCCCTCATCCTCGTGACTGCTTTCTCTTCCTCACCGCCCCTTCGCCCCCTCGCCCCACCCCGTCACTCCGTAGACTCCAGCGTTCGACCCCCTCAGTTCAAGGCTCCCAGAGCCATCAAGTGAGTATAGGCGCCCGGAGTGCGTCGCGTGCGTCCTTGGGGTGGTCAAGAGGTCCCGCAAGCCATCTAAAGTGCCACAACGCCGTTTTCGTCCTCCTCCCCTCCCCACATCTATTCGAGCAGTCGTCCGACACACACGAGCCATGTGTGACCCCTCGACCTCGAAAACAACAGCACGTTAGTGCAGGAGTTTCCAAGCCTTGAAGACAGGTTGGCCGCCGCCCCAGCAATGGGACAGTAGAGGCACCGCTGAAGATGCGCGCTCGCCGCCGCCCCCGGGCCGGGGACAGTAAGTGGGAAACTCCTTTTTCGTTCTCGCTCGTGTCGTTGCGTTTGTGAGGCATGCATGCATGCCTATTGAGGGGGTAGTTAGTGGGACTGTGAGCATGCTAGCGGGTTTAAGCCGAGTGCATTGGAGGTTGGGATCCAGCTGCTCTGTTCGTCAACTTTGTGCGCGCGTCGTGGCGAGTCCACTCAAATGGACCGTCACTCGATTAGGATGGCCAACACTCTCCTACGGCCTGCTGCACTGCACCCGGCTGGGTCACGCGTGGGAGACGTTGAAACTAGCAAGGCCTGCCTCCAACCTCGAGCCCATGTCAAGCCCCGACCGCCACGTACGTATGTGCATCATGTGTGCATCGCTGGAAGGGCCGCGACGCGAGATGGGATTGTGTGATGAGAGGAGCCACCCGTGGGAGACGTCGAGACTAGCAAGGCTTCCTCCAAACGCGACCCGTGGCGGAAAACCGGACCACTTCTGGTGTGCAAGGCCGTCTGAACTTCGCACGCCAGAGTGCGGTCAAACGTGGCTGGGCAGATGTCGCATCCTCGCAACATCTGCACTGCCGAGATCCCTCTGATGTGCCCAGATCTCGTCCGATGCGCACCCAGAGATATACCAGGTTCACAGCAGTGCACACTCGCTGCATTCTCGCCTCCTCGCATCTTGCTGTGACCCCGGCAGCCTGTCTTGGCCGTCGATCATCGACCAGGCTGTCGTGTATATAAGCACCCTCCTCAAGGCAAACGTCTGCTCTCCTTCATCTTCACTCACATCACCTCAGAGGTCCGGACGGCCGGGCACAACTCTTGACATACTCTACTACACTGCACGGAGAGGGCCGGATGACCGGACACCTGTACGCAGTTGACGATAGCACGGAGAGGGCCGGACGACCGGACGATTGTGCTCCCGACATATCTTGACTCGAGGCCCCCGCCTACTCGCTGATGACCCAAGGCCGTCCCGGCCATCCTGCCTGCCTGCCGATGCTTCAGCGTCTTTCCAAACGAAGGGGGGTTCTGCCTAACACACCGCTGGTGACATGACTAGGAGAAGACACGCAGTGGTCCTCGTCAACACACCCTCAGACCATCCGCACACCTTGACACGACTCTGCCCTTCCCTCGCATGGTCAGACCTCTACTCCTTGATTGCTATATCGAAGCGGCGAGTGACATACCCCTGGCGGCAGCTTGCACGGACACCCTAGCGGAGCATTCCCATCCACGACAGTGCTTCGATATGCAACAGGTGACAGGCACACGGGCAGACAAGAGGTTCGGCCACTCTTAAGCATTGGCCGTCCCGGTGAGTAACGTTTCCTCGAGTCTTCACACACCCATTCTGCCATACTCTCCACCACAGCGTGGACATGCACCACGGTCCCTCGTAGAATCCAGCTTGGAGCAACGCAGATCGAAGCTAATGTCTCAGGGGCATCGGATGGTAAATCATGCCACAAACTATCCATTTGCCTGTTACAACGGTCCAATACAGCTCACTTGGCAACCTGCGCGACCTCGATCCGCTCCTCGCTCGCCTTGTCGTCTGCGGGGAAGTTGTCCGCGTCGACTTTACCCAGACCGCGCTGGCGCTCCTCCTCGGCCTGGATGCGGTTCTCCATCTCGGCGTGGGCTTGCTCACGCGCCGTGCGGCGGGGATAGTCGAAGAGCAGCGTGACTTCCTCGAGGGGCAGGCCACGGGTGTCGATGAGGTAGAAGTAGAAGTAGACGATGTAGGCGATGTTGATGGCGATGTAGACGAGGTAGTACTTCCACCTGCACGGGTTAGCATTGATACAGAGGGAAGGGAGGCGAAGTGGCGCCACATGGGGGATCCCGAATGCCCGCGCCTCTTTCAACGTTGACTCACTTGATATTCTCCAGCGCAATGGGGTTGACGAACTGATTGAACGAGTTGGCGCCGACCTGGCACGCCGTAAACAGCGCGAGACCCTTGGTACGGAGACGGAAGGGGAGGATCTCAGTGGGATAGTGGAATTGGAGGATCTGCCACGCAATGTCGTAGAAGCCGTAAAAGATGAAGAGGAACGGCACAGTGCCGAGGCCGAGACCCTTGTTCTTCTCCGGGTCGGCCTGGAAGGCGGCCGAGAATCCGGCAATGAAAGCGAGACAGAAGATCATGCCTGCGTGCGAGGTGAAGAAGGACACGCGGCGCGAGATGCGCGGAACCTGGAACGCAGCGACCTGGCACACGAGCACGTTCCACATGGCCATTCCCGCGTTCAGAGACGTGGTCTGGACGGGAGACGTGATGCCGACCGACCTGAGGACGGGCGTGAGGTAGTACGCGATGAGGGCGTTTCCGAGCCAGTTAGTACCGAAGGCGATGAGCACGACCATGGCGACACGCCTGCGGTTGCCCGGAGTCCGCACCAGGTCCAGCCACGACGTGTCCTTCTCCTCGCCCTCGGACTCGAGCGCGACGACAATCTCGTTGTACTCGAGCTGCACCATGGGATCGTCCTCCTTCCCGTTCGCGTGGTACTTGGCCAGCACGCGCAGGGCCTCGCTGTGCTTGCCCTTGCCGACTAGGAAACGCGGCGACTCGGGCGCAAAGAAGATGATCGTCATGACGATGAAGGGCACAACGGCTTGGAAGATGCACGGCATGCGCCAGCCCCAGGGGCCCGGGATGAAGACGCCGGCGACTGGGTGTTAGATTCTGGAGGGGAGGAAGAGGGATGACTTACGACACAGCCACGACGCAATCGTTGAGCCGACAAAGTACCAGCCGTAGTAGCTGGAGGCCATGCGCTCACGGATACGCGGGTGCGCGATCTCGTTGAGGAGCGGGGCAGCGCAGACCTATTTGTCAGCTGAAGCCACACGTAGTTATCTGCCTCACCTTGGTCATAGCACCTCCGGCACCGAGCAGGGCTCGTCCACCGATAAACTGTCCCGTATTCTGGGCCAAACCGTTGAGCAGCGCACCCGCAATAATCAGAGTGGCGCCGACAAAGATGGCGGGCTTGCGTCCAAAGCGCTGCGAGATCCAGGACGAGATGAAGACGGTGAAGAGGGCTGGGAAGAAAAGGGACGCGGCAATCAGGCCGAGCCACTCGCCCTTCGGGTTGTCAAAGTACTCGTTCCACTGAGGCAGGGCCTGCAAAGCACTGAGGAGGGACTGGTCATAACCGATGTAGAAGACGCAGAGACAGCAGCCGACGCAGTGCAGCACGTTCTGCCGCATGCCGCTGTCGCGCCACCAATGCGAGGCCGTGTTGTCTGCGTGTTAACGGCGGAGCCACATTGAGCCGAAAGGTAGACTTACTCGGCACGAGCAGGAAGTGGTTCGTCTCCTCCTTCTTGGTCATGGTGCTTGGAGGGATGGCTGACCCGGCCCAGCGACACGGCTCTCTACCTTATATACATCCAGGCGTTCTGGAGATCATCCGGCCCAGAATGCCTGTTATCTGCCCACCTCCGCCAAGTCAGCTGATGACACAGCCTATTTGCCCTTCGCGGTGCCCAGCGCAAACAGCCGGCCCCGCGGGGCACGCAGGGCACGCTCCGTTGCCGCACGAGATCGTGTGGGCGGTGCCGATGCCGCAGACTCCTAGGAGATGGGCGTTTCATACGACCGTTCCAGGCTGCAGTAGTTCCAAGGAACGCACGGAACGAACCTACGCCCATAGCCGCGTCGAGCCGGCACGTGCCGCTCCTGCCGCCGTTGCCGCGCGGGGCCGCTCGACCCGGTACTTGATTCCAGTGGGCAGTGTGGAGGAGACGGCAGCAAACAATGCACCGTCCGATCGCCTGGGTCAAGGACGAGAATGCTTGGAATGGCTTGGCAGCGGTTCGCGACGGCAGTGCCTACGCTGACGGAGGTGGCGTCCGATCGAGGTGGTGGAGGGGAGTTTTCCTACCTTGGCACCCACACAGGCATCTGCGTGTTCTACTGGGCAGACCTCTTCGTCCGGAACGGAGCAATCGTGTAGTGGTGAGATAAACGACAGGCGAGATCGGCCATTTACTGGCGTGCAGAGGCTGGGAAGGTCTGACGCCTCGACGCCTCGTCTCCCTCGTCTGGCGGGCTACGGTGATCAGGTGACCGAGAGAAGTATCCGAATCCCATATCACGGCCGTGTTCTGTCCGTAGACGCCTGTCTCGGAGGGCCCTTGTGTAGATCTCCCGAACCTTTGGAACGCTATAGCGGTTCATCTGTTGGACGGCTTCGGACGTTGGCGTGCCCACTTGCTGTGTGGAGGTGGAGGCTGTGAGATGTCTTGTCAGCAGTCACGGTCATGTCCGTCATTCTCGCTGTTATAAAGAATGGTGCTTGAAGTTGCCGAGATTGAGTTCCTCTGATTGTCATCACTGCAGATCTTGTTCACAAGCCTCTTGCGAGAGCTCATCAGCTTGGAAGTGATGCAGGCTCATGGAGCCGGATAAGCTGAACCCTGCTGCATCTTCGCTTGGTAGACAGTTGATTGTGTTCTCCGACTGGGCTGCAGATGAGGACCTCACATGACACCGTAGCGTTCGTTATACAGGGCGAAGTCTCCCACGAGTGAGCCCTGTCACTTGAAGCCTTTGTTTCCCACGGTTGCAGGACATTTCCGCAATGAGCAAGACGCTGGGTGGCTGGTCGAGTGGAGGGGTCCAAATAAACAAAAATACATGAATTCAGGGTGTTACGTACACAAATGAGACGCGACGCGCGACAACCACAACGAGCAACCGCGAGAGCGAGCTTGATTTCCCTTTGACCAGACTCTCCATCCCATCTCACCTCGACCTCTGTCGCGTAATCTGCCCACATCCACCCCGCACACGCGCAGATTGCCCAGGTGAACGACCGACTGCAGCTTCCTCGATTCAGACACCCACACGAAAGAGATCGCCACGATGTCTGCGACTGTTGGTGTGCTTCCCGTCGCGAGCATTCCAGTGAGTACAGCTGCCCGGCTTCGTGCCTCAAGCTAACCTCCAGGTGAACTACGAGGAGGAGACGCGTTAGTACAGAACTACTACTTGTGTCGGCAACGGTAAAGCTAACCTTTCAGAAAAGATCACCGACTTCCTGACGCGTTTCGTCGCCGAGCCCCGAAGAGGACGCGCGATCCCTGAGGACGATGATGATGGAGCCGAGGAGTCGTCGGACGAGGAGATTGAGGACTTTGCCTCGCTCGACCTAGAGGACGAGGGCGAGGGCGAGGGCCGCAGCAAGGCCAAGTACATGCGGATCATGCGCAAGGTTGCGAACCGGCAGACGACCGAGGTCGTCGTCGACCTGAACGACCTGCAGCAGTTTGACCAAGACCGCTCGCTCCTCACGAACATCATGAACAACACGCGGCGATACGTCCAGCTCTTTGCCGAGGTGCTTGACCAGCTGAAGCCCCAGCCGGACCACGAGCTCGACTACACCGCCGACGTGCTGGACCTGATCATGCAGCAGCGCCAGAACCTGAACGCGGAGACGGCGGAGCAGGCGCAGGAGCAGCAGGTTGACGTGGCTGCGTCTTTCCCGCCCGAGCTTATGCGGCGGTTCAACGTCTACTTCCGCCCGCCGAAGAACAAGAAGGAGGTTCTCGCTGTGCGTTCGGTCGGCGCGCACCACATCGGACACCTGATCACGGTGCGCGGCATTGTCACGCGTGTGTCCGAAGTCAAGCCCCTGCTGCTCGTGAACGCGTACACTTGCGAGTCGTGCGGTAACGAGATCTTCCAGGAGGTTGCGCAGAAGCAGTTCACGCCCCTCGCCACCTGCCCGTCTGACACATGTAAGACGAACCAGACCAACGGTCGACTCTACATGCAGACGCGCGCGTCGCGTTTCCAGCCGTTCCAGGAGGTCAAGATCCAGGAGATGGCTGACCAGGTTCCCGTCGGCCACATCCCGCGCTCCATGACGGTGCACATGTACGGTGCGCTCACTCGCTCCGTCAATCCCGGCGATGTTGTCAACATCTCGGGTATCTTCCTCCCGACGCCCTACACTGGCTTCCGCGCTATGCGCGCGGGTCTGCTGCAGGACACTTTCCTGGAGGCGATGCACGTGCATCAGCTGAAGAAGCAGTACAGCGCGATGGAGATCACGCCCGAGATCCAGGCAGCCATCGACGAGCTCAAAGAGGACCCGAACTTGTACTCTCGTCTTGCCAACTCGATCGCGCCTGAGATCTACGGTCACGAAGACGTCAAGAAGGCGCTGCTTCTGCTTCTCGTCGGCGGTGTCACCAAGACGGTGGGCGACGGCATGAAGATCCGTGGTGACATCAACGTGTGTCTTATGGGTGACCCCGGTGTGGCCAAGTCGCAGCTGCTCAAGTACATCACCAAGGTCGCGCCTCGGGGCGTGTACACCACTGGCCGTGGTTCGTCCGGCGTCGGTCTCACGGCGGCCGTTATGCGCGACCCCGTCACGGACGAAATGGTGCTCGAGGGTGGTGCGCTCGTCCTCGCCGACAACGGAATCTGCTGCATCGACGAGTTTGACAAGATGGACGAGTCGGACCGTACCGCGATCCACGAGGTGATGGAGCAGCAGACCATCTCCATCTCCAAGGCGGGCATCACGACGACCCTCAACGCGCGTACCTCGATCCTGGCTGCCGCGAACCCGCTCTACGGTCGGTACAACCCCAAGGTCTCGCCCGTGGAGAACATTAACCTTCCTGCGGCTCTGCTGTCGCGTTTCGACATCCTGTTCCTGATCCTCGACACGCCGTCGCGCGACGACGACGAGCGTCTCGCCCAGCACGTCACGTACGTGCACATGCACAGCGCGGCGCCCGAGCTCGACTTTGACGCGGTCGAGCCGACGCTCATGCGGCACTTCATCGCCGAGTGCCGCAAGGTCCGCCCCACGGTCCCCGCGGCCATGAGCGAGTACATTGTCTCCTCGTACGTGCAGATGCGCAAGCAGCAGAAGGAGGACGAGGCCGAGGACAAGAACTACACGTACGTGTCGGCGCGTACGCTACTCGGCGTGCTGCGTCTGGCGCAGGCGCTCGCCCGACTCAGGATGGACACGACCGTGAACCAGACCGACGTCGACGAGGCGCTGCGGCTCATGGACGTGTCCAAGGCGTCGCTGTACGAGCACCAGACGCGCTCCGGCGAGGACCACTCGGATACGTCCAAGATCCTAGCGGACGCGGGGCAGCCGCGCGCCGCCGCGCCGCCGGCGAGGAGACGGACAGCGACGACGACGGCAGTCTTCAGGACATGTCCGTGGTCGAGCTCAGGAACCGCGTCATCGCAAAGGGATTCACGGAGAACCAGTTCATCGACACGCTCACCGAGTACGAGAACATGGGCGTGCTCGTGCGCTCGACGAATGGGCAGAGGGTCCGCTTCGTCAATGCGGACGAGTAGAGGGCCACCAGGCCCGATGCTCGCTTCCCTCTTTTCCGCTTACCCCGCTCGTTCCGTTCCCCCAATATCTCCAGGGCACACACGTACCCCCGTTCCCCAATGCTGTAGTCATATACCCCGCGCCAGGTCTTTCTTTTGCCGCGCGGTCTTGTACTTTTTTTGGTTTGGTCTGCAAATGAAAAAATGCATACTTTGTTACGAATTCTGCGGGATTTCTGTCACTCGCGCGGCGTCACCTTTTGCGTCCGGGTGTTTGCTTCTAAAAATGCGTCTTCGCTGAGCACTGGGCTCCTTCTCTGCTACGCCTGTAAACCTAGTGTCATGTGTGGGGATGTGGGACGGATGGGGGATGGGGAGATGGTTTGTGTGTGTGGATTTCTTGGGTTCTACAGTTGGCATCTACGCCTGGTGATGATGCCTAGCAATGGAGGCTATCTCGCTCATTGTCCATTGTTTGGCGGCTCATGATCTCGAAGAGTGGAGGAGAGCTTCAGGGTGTGAGAGAGCCGAGTGGGGACTAGAAGGGCACCTCAAAGTCGAGCGCCCCCGAGACGCTCTCCGCGACACCGGCCTCGCTGCGCTCGGCGCGCTGCACCTGCTGCCTCGCCGCCTCATACGGCGGCAGTCAGACCTGGTGCACGACACTGAGCCTCTGGCCCGAGACGGCGCCGACCCAGTCTCCGTCCCTGGAGTAGGCGAGATTGTTGATTTCGGCAGGCGCGTTCCAGGCCCGGACGGGCTGGTACTCGACGGCATTGTTTGCCGGACTCGGGGTCCGCGTTGGCGTTTCGCCCACCGCCGGACTGAGCGCATATGGCCCATTGGACGTCTTGGCCTTTGGCTCGACCGGGATCTTCTCCGTCAGGTCGTAGATGAGGATCTGGCCGTCGTCGCCCGCACTCGCGATCCAGCCGCCGCCGCTCTCGCCGACCGAACTGCCGCCGTTGCCCCATGCGATGGCGCTCAGGGGCGCGCTGTGGCCCAGCAGCTCGGCGACGGGCTGGCCTGGAGAGCGCATGTCGAGGATCAGCGTCTTGCTGTCGTCCATGCTGAAACAGGCCAGCTGGTGCTGTTCTCGGTTACTGAAGGCTATTCTCGCCAGAGGCGCCGAGTTGGGCGTCTCGTACAGGATCGTGCTGTGCTCGAGCTGCCGGAGGTCGAACGCGCGTAAGCTGCCGTCGGCACCGACCGAGACGAAGATCTCGGCACTCTGCGGCAGCCACGAGAGGTCGTACACTGCCCTGTCGTGCGCGATGAGCTGCGTCAGGGCAGTCGAGGTGTGGATGTCCCACAGCGTTGCCGTCGTGTCCGTGCTGCAGGTCACGATTGAGGCCGGCGCAGTCGGGTTCCAGCTGAAACTCGTGATCGGGGGCAGGTTGCAGATGTGCTGCTTGCTCTGGGGGTTAGCTCGGCGCGAAAGAATTACAGCTGGTGCGAAGGCGGCCACTCGTCTCGCCTATCGCCTCATCGGATGACGACAGCAATCACGACAGTGGTGTGGCTCACTCCGCGCTGCGCTCGCACTCACATTCGAAAGCACGCTCCGCTCACTCAGCTTGTAGCTCGCATCGTACCCGTTCCTGCTGCCGTACCCGATGCGCGACTGTGCTGGGGTGGGGTCGTTCTCCCCATTCGTTAGCTCCCAGATACGGAGCACATCGCCCGTCGTCGCGAGGAGGGCTCCTCCGTCGTGCCTTCCGATGCTCGAGCTGGGCTCCCACGCGACCTTCGTCGCGGGAAAGGCGAGGTTCGCGCTCGCCAGCTGCGTAAAGTCCTGTCCTCCCTGTCCACCGTATCCCGCCGAGCCAGGCTGGTGCTGGTGCTGCGGTGCGAGATCGACGACGGTGAGCTTGTTCGAGGGGCCAGTGTTGAAGCTCGTCAATGCGACGCGGTGCGCATGCCGGGCATCGTTGCTGAAGCCGATCCCGTAGAGCGGATCTGAGGTTAGCGATGCTTAAAGGAGGTCACTTACGCGACGCATCGTAGGTCAGGACGTTGGGGAGACTCATGGCCCCGGGTGGCCGGCTGGCGCCGGCGCCTCAAGAACGAACGGCGTGGTGAGGGCCGCGGACAGCCTTGGCGCCCGTGTCGAGGCGCAGCTGGCGGGACTGGCCGGATGGACGACCGCTGGCTCGGACTGCCGAGTGGGGTTGAGGTCCGAGGTCGGTGTCGGTGTCGAAAGGATGGGCGGGGCGCGATTCGAAGACCGCAGTGGAAGGGGTTCGAGGGCCGGACGGAAGTCACGCAAGCAAGGGGTCAAGAAAGGGGTGATAGGGGGAAGCCGAGGTGTGTTGTGAGCGTTGCCGAGGTCGAGGAAGATAAGTCGATGTGAAGAGAGTTGCAACTCTCTCTCTCTCTTGTGGTCGGTTGTGTGCCCGCGGAAGGAACGCGGGCTGAGACTGTGGGCCCTGCTGGCTGGCTGGCGCTGGCTGCCGTCATGATCACCGGTCACGGAGCACGTCCGATGTCCGCCTCCACCCTGCACTTGGCGAACCACCGCCACTCACTCGCGTTGCTGCGAAGGAGCACCAGCGGCCACTTGGACAACCCGAGCCGCCGCCGCCGCCGCCGTCACAACAATCACCAACCAACACCCACCTCCTACACCTCCGTCATCCTGATACCCAAGTCAAGCGCCGTCATAGCGCCATAGGCCTAACCATCAGCCGGCAATGTCCACCGCCGACTATGTGGCCAAGTACAACCGCAGGCGTGCTCTCTTGACACAAGTCGAAAACTACTGGATCGATGAAGCTTATCGTGAGCTATCTCACTCAAGCAAGCTGACAGAACAGGACCTCCCGGACAGCTCGACTCGTCGCTCAAGAAGCATACGACCTTACTGAACAGGCTCAAAAGTGCGCTCCTTGTCGGTCCCGCAGACACCATCATCAAGGAGATCGATGGTCTTGTTTTGACAAAGTACCTGGAGGAGACGGTCGCCGCCGTCATCGAAGGAGCCAGCAAAGGTCGCGGAGATCCCGAAGTTGCTGTAGACGTGAGCTCCGTTGCGTTCGAAGTATAGCTGACAGCCCAGATCATCGTTCACCTGCACAAACGTCTCGCTCCAGACTTTCTGCCGTTACTCCTTCCCCCGCTCTTAGCTGCTCTGGCGCCCGCCCCTCCTCCGGCCAAGGATGTTAGTGACAAGGACCGCGAGAAGGAGGACAAGGATCGCATCGCGCGTCAGCGACCGATCCTCCGCATCGTTGCTGAGCTGGCAATGCTCATGGCGTGGCCAGAAGGGGCGTCCAAGGGTGCTGGCGAAGTTGGCAAGATCCTCAGTCGCTGGGTGAGTTGTTTCAAGCCGAGAGGAGAAACTGACGCCCTCTTTTAGATGACGAACGACCCGCAGTTCAGCAACATGCCGCTCCTGACCAGTTTCCTCAAGACGTTCGGTCGCGCATACCTCGGTCCCAAGCCGGACAAGGCTGACGAGCAACTTCCGGAAGGCGTCGAGGAGCTTGTTCCGCCAGAGATGCAGAAGAAAATGCGTGAGCTTTTCACCAACTACTTCAACTCTGCGAGCAAGGCGCTCGTCAAGGGTCAGACGGTGAGCTTCGTGGAGATGCACTTCAGCTTACATGCAGAAACTGCTTGAGCAGGACAAGCGCAACCACGAGGCGTACATTCGTTCTGGAGAGATTTTCGAGGACCGGCAACATGCGTACGAGCGCATGACTCGAGCCATCGAACGCCTGACCGGTGGTGTCCAGGGCTTGTCTGACCTTCTCGGACTGCCCATGCCCACGCTTCCGACAGCGGCGTCGATCTCGAAGTCAGGCCTGCAGATTGTTGACTCAGCCTCCACCTTCACCGTGCGAGAAGATGGCGCCGTGCCCGGCGGTATCTGGGACGACGACGAGGAGCGCCGATTCTACGAAAACCTGCCCGACCTGCAGGACCTTGTGCCGCCATCTATACTCGGCATCAAGCAGAAGACTGCGGACGAGAAGAAGCCGGAGAACGCCGAAGGCGAAGAAGGTGGCGAGGAAGCTGCCCCAGACGCCGAGGAAGAAGCGCAGAGGAAGGTGCAGGACGACATTCGCCGCCAGCTAGAACAGCTTGAGCTCGAGTCCAGTGCTGCCGAGAGCGAAACACCACAGCCCATGGACCGCAACGAAACAGTGCTCTCGAACGGCTCAGGCCCCCAGGATGGATCGCCTGACGACGATCCGCAGCCTGCCTCGCTGGAGGCGTCGCTCACCGAGGAAGACGGAATGCAATCTGGACCCGCCGCCCGCCTCACCGCTCTGTTTGCTGCACTCCCAGAAGCTGTCAACCGCGAGATGGTCGACAAGCTCGCCGTCGAGTTTGCCTACTTGAACTCGAAGGCGGCACGCCGCCGCCTCGCAACCGTACGTACAGCTATGCTTGGCTGGGAGGTTAGCTGACATCCAGTTCCTTGCGGCTGTGCCGAAAACGCGCACAGACTTGCTTCCTCACTACGCCCGTTTCATCGCCATTCTGGACCCCTACATGCCTGACGTTGGCGTGGCGGTCCTGAAGAGCGTGAGTTGCACCCCATGCGACAGCGGAACTGACCCCAGCTCGATGAGGAGATGCGCTATCTGCAGCGCAAGCGTGCTATCCGCGAGCTTGACGGTGTGCGCCTGAAGAATGTTCGGTTCTACGGAGAGCTTGCCAAGTTCAAGGTTGCCCGCCCCTACACCATCCTGCACGTGCTCAAGGTGTTCTTGGACGACTTCAAGTTCAACATCGAGAACATCTCCAATTTGCTGGAGACCTGCGGTCGTTTCTTGCTGAGGAACCCCGACACGGCGGAGACGTCGAAGAACATGGTGGGTTAGAATTGGCTGGCATTGACTAACCAGCAGGTCGAGCTCATGCGCCGCAAGCAGAGCGTGACCCACCTTGACCAGCGCTACAACATTATGCTTGACAATGCCTTCTACATTGTAAGTTGTTACGTTTACGTTGTCGAACTGACAACAGTGCAACCCGCCAGAGCGAGTAGCCCGGGAAATCGAGGAGCTGCCGCCAATGCAGGCGTTCATACAGCACTTGCTGTTCGACGTTCTCATGAAGCGTACCCAAGACAAGGTCCTTGTACTTCTGCGCAAGCTGCACTGGGAGGACGCCGAGGTAAGCTCAGGGTCTGCGGCGAAGCTGACTTCAGACGTACAACTTCATCTTGAAGACGTTTACGGATATCTGGGAGGCAAAGTACGAGAACATTGGCCTGACCGCTGGTCTCGTGCACGACCTGCAGCGGTATCACCCCGACTTTGCCATCGCCGTCGTGGACCAAGTCATGGAGGACATCCGCATCGGCATGGAGGTGAGTTGTCTGATTGCTCAGCCAACTGACAACCAGGAAAACATCTTCAAGTTCAACCAGCGACGTATCGCGTCGATCAAGTTCCTGGGCGAGCTATACATGTACCGCGTCGTGAACGCGGCCGTCATCTTTGACGTGCTTTGGTCGCTTCTGTCTTTCGGACATCGTGAGTTGCGATGCTAGGACTTCGCTAACTCTCAGCGGAAGGTTTGCCCGTACCCGGCCGCGACAGTCCCATTGATTCTGTCAGCGACTTCTTCCGTGTCCGACTGGCGTCTGCGCTGCTCGACACCTGCGGCATTTGCTTCGGCAAGGGGTCATTGCGCCGTAAACTGGATCAATACCTCGTCGTTCTCCAGGTGAGTTAGAGTGAATCTGCCGCAACTGACCCCAGCTCTACGCCCTGTGCAAAACAGACATGCCTATGGATGTCGAATTTATGCTCGATGACCTGTTCGACACGCTGCGCCCGAACGGCCGACCGCCCAAGGTCAAGGACGGTAACCAGGTGCTGCGCATGCGGAGCTTCCCCGAGGCTGCTGCGGCGGTCGATGAGCTGCTCGCGTCACACGTGCCTGGCGTCGAGGAGGACATTGCAGACGACGAGAGCGACGAGGGCGAGGACGGCGGCCGCGTCGCCGAGGAGGAAGAGGAGGCGGAGGAAGCACCTGCCGAGGCCGCCGACGCTGCCTCGGACGGAGACGATGACTCGTCCTCCGAGGCCGAGGAGGAGGAAGAGGACGACGTAGTTGTCTTACGCGAGCACAAGCCGGACGAGTTTGACGAACAGGCGCAAGCCGACTTCGACCGCGAGTTCGCGCGCATGATCGCCGACACGACAGTGGACCGCAAGACGGCTCCGCCCGTGTTCGACCAAGCCGTTCCCGTGCTGCGCAAGCGAGGCCAGCAGCAACCCGCTCAGGAGAAGCCGGACGACGGCCAGATGCCGTTCATGCTGATGACGAAGCGCGGCAATAAGGCCCAGGTAAGCCTTTCCCGTCACACCTTCAGCTGACGCCAGGTCCGACAAGTGGACATCCCCCTCGACTCCAACATTGCGAACAAGGTGCGCTCGCACCAGGCGCAGAGCAAGGCGGAGCAGGAGCACCTGAAGCGGCTCGTGCTGCAGAACGAGAAGCGCCAGGAGAACGAGGACTTTGAGGCCATCGGCCACTCTATGCGCGCACGCGGCATCAAGGTCAAGGTCGTGCCCTCGTAGAAAGAAGGAAAGCGCCGTTTGCCTCTCAGAAATCGCTAGTGTGCCGATGCCGCGCCCGTGTGGCCACTTGGCCGTCATTGCCTCCGAGTTCTGCTCCACTTTGTGCCGCAATCTGGTCAACCATTAGTCAGGCTGAGCCCCCGACCTGCAACGGCAACAGCGGGTCGTTGGGTAGCAGCTCTGTGCTCAGTCGTAGCGCAGTCAGACCTGCATGCATCACCGTACACTACAAAGCTCACTGGAGTAGATCGACGTAACCGGCGTTCTGGAGCCGCGCCACGCCGCGGGGACCAGTCAAGCGCGCCATCTCCCTAACCCTCCTCGTCACTTCCTCCTGACTAACCTTCCGATCTGCCAACGGCCTCTCGAGATCCCACTCGATCACCCTCCTCAGCACCGTATCCGTGGCACTAGCAAGCATGACGACCATAAGCTGCACCCTAACTCCATTCCGCTCCTCATCCTTGGTGGTCCACCACAGTCCAGCGAGATGGTGGATAGCGACTCGGGGGAGGAACTCAGCGCCCTCCGTCCTGTCCCTCAACACAGTAACGAGAGCCCTAGCGTAGGCAGCAAGGACATCCCTCTCGCTCTCAAGCGGGGAGAAGTACACCGCCAGCGTCCCCGTCTCGGCCGGGACAGCGGCAATCGGCGTCCGGACTGAGCGGAGAGCATCCGACTCGGCCCAGAAGAGACGCCTGTAGTCTGGCGCGTAGAGTTGAGAGAGCGGAGGAAAGAGGACGCGGCCAAAGGAAGCATCCCCGAATGAAGTGGAGGAGTAGAGCGCGATGAGGTCGGTGTAGAATTGGAAGAAGGGTACGCCGGGGGTTAGGAAGGGCAGGGCCGTCTTCTCTAGCGGGCCGGAGCGCTCATCCTCAGGCTTCTCCTTACCGGTCTCTGTCGTGGCGTCCGTATCCATTGCCACGTCCTTGGCACGGTCGGCGGTGCCGGCGGTGTCGGTGTCGGCGGGAGAGGAGGCAACGATGAGACCATGCGTGGCCGCGATCTCCTCGGGATCCACAGTCGTCGAGTCCAACAGCTCCTTCAGGCTCTTGGCCACCGCATCGTCCCTGAACACGTCGTGTTCCGTATTCGGCGCGTCCTGCTGTCCATGCTCGAGCATGAAGACCTTCATGCAGTTCAGCACGACTTCGCTGCCATTACGTCCCCGTCCTTCCTCCTGCTCCACCAGCGCCAGGGCCAGAGTCGCACGGGTGATTTGCGTCTCCCCCGCGTCCCAGTCCTTCGGAGCCAACGCGAAGGCGTCCGAAGAGCCAGAGGCGAGGAGCTCGTTCAGGGGCGCAAAGGCCCAGTCGCTCGGGAGAGGGAGGCCGGGCACACCTGGCCCGGTCATGGAGGCAGGTGGCGGGCGGAGGGTCGTTGTGGGTTTCAGGTAGTGGAAGTCGGGTCTTGTCGGGCCCAAAATCTGATCGAGAGAAGGGAGCACAGCGTGATGGAGGAGAGGACGGAGGATGACGAGTCCGTCCTTATGTCCGATCGTCGAGACTGCCTCGGCAGCCTGCCCCGGGATGGACGTCCAGTCACTCTTGAGGATGAGGTCGAGCATGCCGAGCGCCTGGGGCTCGTCGCCTGGCGCGTACGAGAGACAGAGATCGAAAGCACTGCTTCCCCACACACCCAGTGTGAGGATCTCCTCGTTCCACGCGACCTGGAGCACGGCATCGCGCAGCGCCACGTCCGAGGGTGTGCTCTGCGTCGTTGTCGCGATCCATACGACGAGGCGTTGCAGCGAGTTCTCATCGAGCAACCCGCCCAGAAGACCGTGGAGGCGGAACACCTGCGCGAGCGCCAGGTTGAAGCCCTCCCGCTCGTCGCCGAAGGGATCCTGCGGCTCCCACTGGGCGAGGGGCTGGAGTGCCGAGCGCACGCGGGCCTTCGTGTCCTCGCCATGCTTTGGTTCGTTGATTGACGCACCCGAGACGGTCTCGGCGACAAGGGAGAGAACGGAGGCGAGCTCGGCGTACCGGCCCGAGGCCTGGAGTGGGGCCACGAGCGAGAGCGCTTCGTCAAGCCACTGCAGAGCCGTCGCCTGGGCCCACGTCAGATCGTGTTCAGGAGTTGTGCGGTGCGGGTCGACGGCACAAACTGTCCACACGCTGAGGAGGTCGAAGTACGCGCGGACCACGTTCTGTCCCCTCGCTTCGGACTTTTGGGCAGCCTGGGCAACCCACTGTCCGATCCCGCGCCAGATGTCGCTCGCGCTCGTCGCCGTGCTCGCCGCCATCCCGTACCGTCCCAGCTGGTAGAATGTCCGCATCACCGTAGTGAGGAGGCTCTGGACGGCGGGATCGTCAAAGTCGGCGACTGTCCCGAACTTGAGCAGCGGGGCATAGACGTTCTGGCCCAGCAGGGCCTCGGCTGCCGAGCGAGACGAGGTCGTCACGTCGTACAGCACGCTCATCGCTTCCGGATTCGGCGGTCGTGCGGGATCGAGTGGCCATGGCGCGCCAAGGACGTGCGTGCGCACAACGGCGGGAACGAGGGGTGCGATAGCCTCGGCCCCCTGCGGCTGGGCGAGAGCGGCCCGGCGCAGGATCTGCAGGAGCTGTGACAGTGTCTGAGCGGGATAGCTGCCAGGTTCGAGCGAGAGAGTGATCTGCAGCTGCGGGACGAGGTCGTCCCACGGCACAGCGGCGACGCCGGTCGGTTCTCCGTCCTTGCTCGGTTCGGGGTGGAAGGCGACAACGCCCTCAGACGCATCGTCCATCCACGCCCACGGCCCGCCGAGGGTCACGTACAGCAGCTCGACGGCTGCGACGAAGACACCGACGCTGCGCGCGTGTCCGCCAAGTACGCCTACGGCCACATCGACGCCCTTGGACAGCAGGTCCTCATCACGGCAGAATGTGACCCACTCAGACTTATCGCCCTCCTCTACGGCCGCGCGATACCGCCGAATGACCTTAGTCAGCACACCGATCATGGTGATGCGCTGGCTGGGAACGGTCGAGTAGCACAGGTGCACGATCTCAGAGAGCGTGTAACCCGCCAGATCCGGGGAGGCGCCGTGGTGGTGCAGACCCAGGTGGGTTGGCAGCTTGGCCGCTGCCTCGGCGCTGAGCGGCGCACCGCCGAGGTCGAACCGGGGCCCTTCGTCGGAGGCAGGCTTCATAGCAACATCGTTGTCGTTCTGCATCCACTCGAGCTTCTGCGCTTGGTTCTCGGTCCCGGTCGGAAAGTACCGTTTCAGCGCTGCTGGTGTCGGAGCGTCGTCGCGCGTGTCCTTGCTGAAACGCACGCTGCGTCTCGGCTTGATGTCGGTGTCGGTGTTGGTCGGCTCGACGGGCTCGGTCTTCACAGCGGCGGCCGCAGCGGTGGAAGGCTGAGAGGGAGTCTGCTCCGTAGGATCCTCATCCATAGGCCCCGAAGTCTCTGCAGTCGTCGGCTCGAACACGGGCACAGGCTGACCTGCCGCCTTGGCCTTCGCCCTCGCCTTGATCTTGCCCAGCAGGCCGGCGCCGAACAGGTCCTCGAGCTCGTTCATTTCCTGAGCGTGCTCCTCCAGCGACATTCCCGCAACCTTGGCGCGGTTCTCCTTGTCGGCGCTCTCGAGGATCTTGGCATCCTCGGAGGCGGAGGGTGGCGTCGCAGCGGAAGCTGAGGTCGAAGGAGCCGCGCTCGAAGAACCGGCGGCGGCGGCGGCGGGTTGCTGGGGCGCTCTAGCATCGCGGCGCTTTCGCATCAGGTCGGCGAGTCCTGGTCCAAACCGCTCCTTCAGCTCCTCGGCCTCCTGCTCCCTCTCAGCCGGGGACATGTTGGCGACCCTTGCGCGGTTCTCAGCCTCGACCTGGCGCCGGATCTTCTCCTCCTCGGTTGCCGGCGTAGGTAGCGGCGTAGCCTCCTCCTTCACCGGAGCACTTGAGGCAGCTCCCACTGTCGGAACGTTCTCGACGATCCTGCCCTGGCCAGTCGAGAGACCGCCGGCGCGGCGCTCGGCGTCATTCTTGCGTGCCCTCGCGAAGGCGGACTGGCCCTTGGACCGATGCGCGGCGATGGGGAAGCCACCACGGGAAGCTGCGGGCGGTCGCGGTGGGGCCGGTGCGGCTCCAGGCTCGGTCGGCGTCGAGGCAGGCCGCTCGACGATGTCGCGGATTAGCATGGTGTGTTGTGTGGTTCTGACCTGACCTCCCTGCTAAAGTTCTGGAAGCACCTCCACCGGCCGAACACCCAGGAACATGCGTCATCAAATAATTTTGGGCTCGCTCAGCGCCGAGCCGCCGTCTTCTGCGTATGGAGTCATTGCCGCTTGATCATCGAGCACGACACTGCAACAGTTCACAGCAGCGAACAGAAGAGTAGGCAGAAATGAGAATGCATGAGAATACAAATGTCGACAAGATTGATTAGTCCCGCACTCCGTGGAGGAATTTACGAGTGAGGACATGCCCAATCGAGACGCCCAGAGGGTTCTTCTTCGCTCTTGTCACCGAGGTGACAACTCCGCCAACAGCATTGCTAGGCAAAAGGCTTCGCCGCTGTGAAAGAGGACTGAAAGCGAACTCTACAAAGTTGTGAGGCCCGGCTCCCGTTCAGAGGGTCAGTTCACCAAGCTCGTCCGCAACGCAACGTTAACCGTTTATCCGTAACAGTGCATGATACAACCTGAGTGTCAGCTAACAAGCTCATCAAAGACTGCTTGTTGTGGAGGGGTTCAGCAATGCGAGGTTTAACGCCTTCAGCCTGCAGCTGGCAGCGACCGAAGCCGACCGCCAGCCGACGCAGGGCTGTCGTACTGACGTGCAAATGTCGAAAGTTTTCATCCTGTTGAGGAGGAGAGCGGAGAGGGAAATACGCACCTATTATGCCTCTCGATGGGAAGGACTTGAGGGGAGATGAGAGAGAAGAAAGATGCAGAGTCAAGGTTAGTCGCGCACCCGTACAAGTTTTGGTAGTGTACACCCAGCAGCGTCTGCCACAAGACTGTGAAATCCCGCTTGCCCGCGCATTTGCTTCCGGCAGGCTCGGGCGCCAAGGGCGCAATCACGTGATGCGTGGTAAGTTTTCGCTCCACGCGGGAACAGATGGCCAGTTCCTGATGGTTAGCTACCAGCCCCGCGTACGAGCACATCTGTCACCTCACACATCCTCATCCTCCTCTACTCTCCATCCCCCCCTTTTCATCCCCCTCCTCTACTCTTTCTCTCGTCTTTTCGACGCAAAACCCGATATCAAAACAGGTCAAACCGACCATTTCTACCTTCGTTTCGAACTCCCTTAGTACTTCAAAAACAAACATGGTAAGTTTTTTTGCCACCCGATCACAAATGATGGGATGAGCTAGCTAACTCTTCAGTCTTACGGTGGCGGCTACGGCGGCGGCGGTGGTGGTTACGGCGGCGGCTACGGTGGTGGTGGCGGTGGCTACGGCGGTGGTGGTTACGGCGGCGGCGGTTACGGTGGTGGTGGCTACGGCGGTGGTGGTTACGGTGGTGGTGACCGCATGAGCAACCTTGGCTCTGGTCTCCGCACCGTCGACTGGAACAACACTGAGCTCACCAAGTTCGAGAAGAACTTCTACATCGAGGACAAGGCTGTCTCTGCTCGCTCTGACGCTGAGATCGCCGAGTTCCGCCGTGCCAAGGACATGCGCATCCAGGGAACTAACATTCCTCGTCCCATCACTTCGTTCGAGGAGGCTGGCTTCCCCGAGTACGTTATGTCCGAGATCCGTGCCATGGGCTTCAAGGAGCCTTCGCCCATTCAGTGCCAGGCCTGGCCCATGGCTCTCTCTGGTCGTGATGTCGTTGCTATCGCCGAGACTGGTTCGGGTAAGACGATCTCCTTCGCTCTTCCCGCCATGGTCCACATCAACGCGCAGCCCCTGCTTGCGCCCGGCGACGGCCCTATCGTCCTTATTCTTGCCCCCACCCGTGAGCTCGCTGTTCAGATTCAGGCCGAGTGCACCAAATTCGGCAAGTCGTCTCGCATCCGCAACACTGCCGTCTACGGTGGTGCCCCTAAGGGTGCTCAGATCCGTGACCTCCAGCGCGGCTGTGAGATCGTTGTTGCTACTCCCGGTCGTCTGATTGACATGCTTGAGTCTGGTAAGACCAACCTCAAGCGCGTGACCTACCTCGTTATGGACGAGGCCGACCGCATGCTCGACATGGGTTTCGAGCCTCAGATCCGCAAGATCGTTTCTCAGATCCGTCCCGACCGTCAGACTCTTCTCTTCTCTGCCACCTGGCCCAAGGACGTCCAGCGTCTCGCTCAGGACTTCCTGAACGACTACATCCAGGTCAACATTGGTTCCGAGGACCTGACCGCCAACCACAACGTTGCCCAGCACGTTACCGTTTGCACCGACTACGACAAGCGTTCGATGCTCCTCAAGCACCTCGACCAGATCTCGCGTGAGAACGCTAAGGTCCTCATCTTCGTTGGCACCAAGCGTGTTGCTGATGACCTTACCAAGTTCCTCCGTCAGGACGGCTGGCCTGCCCTCGCCATTCACGGTGATAAGCAGCAGGCCGAGCGTGACTGGGTTCTTGCCGAGTTCAAGTCGGGCCGCAGCCCCATTATGCTTGCCACCGATGTTGCTTCGCGTGGTCTTGGTAGGTTTTCCCATTACACTCACCTCTTGTGCACAGCTGTCGGCTCTTGAAGCAGAGCAACTTTGACCGATCAATACCACGAGACTAGGCGCAGCCCGTCCCCCAGCCTTCAGGGTTTACTGCGGCGCGATCTTCGATGGCCTCCAACTGACTGGACGTGGGACATGCCCAATGATGTCTCGCGTCACGTCATTCTCTCGAGATTGTTTCATTACAGCTTTACGAGGGCCATCAACAGGAAGAAGATTGCCCAACCGCATTGGGATGGAAGCTCACGCTGTACTGTGGCGTTGCAACTTGCGTCTCGAGTCGAGTCGAATCTTACGTCGGCCAGAGCGAATTCTCTGGCCTTCAGACTCCTCGGGGCCTACCGCAACGCAATCACAGCTCTCATTTGATTCGAAGCTGCTCCGGAGATAGAGTCGGTTGCTCGCAGGACGAGTTTCCCCTCCCCGAGAGATTGTTTGTTAACATGTGCGCGTTTTCTTTTCGAAACTGAACTTGCTCACTGCATTTTTTGCTTTCCCCTAACAGACGTCAAGGACATCTCGTGAGTCTCTTCGATCTCCTCCCAAAACTAACATTAGTTACGTCGTCAACTACGACTTCCCCAACAACTGCGAGGACTACATCCACCGTATCGGCCGTACTGGTCGTGCCGGTCGCAAGGGAACTTCCTACACTTACTTCACCACGGACAACAGCAAGCAGGCTAGGGAGCTTGTTGGCATTCTCCGCGAGTCCAAGGCCGAGATCCCTCCTGAGCTCGAGGAGATGTGCCGCTACGGCGGCGGCGGTGGCCGTGGTGGTGGCCGTGGCTACCGTGGACGCGGCGGTGGTGGCCGTGGTGGCTTCCGCTCCGGTGCCAACACCTCGTCGCTCGGCGGCGGTGGTGGCGGCTACGGCGGCGGTGGCTACGGAAACCGTTGGTAAGCGTGTTCTGTGAAGTTCCCCTTCCCCCCTTCGACATCATTGTTCCATCATCAGGTCACGCACGGAGTTAGCCCCACAGCCCTCATTCGTTGCTACTGACCATACAACTTTCTCTTTATCATAGACTTCATTCTTTTTTCACACCCCAGCAATTATCACATTCACACCATGTCTATAGAAAAGCATGGGGTCCTGTAATACCAGACCAAACCCTGTGTCGTAGATCTCTCATCCAGTGTCAAATGCCAGGCTAACGTCGTGCGTGCCACAAATTGCTGCAGCAGCCCAGTTGCAGCCCCTTGCCCGCATGACGCAGAAGTCGTCGTTTGATACTGACGTGTGAGTGTGCACTAAACCAAGCTGGCGTCCGTTTTCGAGTTTTCGCGTTAGGAAAGATACATGCAGATTGAATCGATAGAAGTGCAGAGGCAGAGGTCGGGGGAGAGTTTGAAAGAACGGGTCAGCATGGTGTGTGCGAGGTGTATCGATCGGCAAGAGTGATGTGCGGCGACCTAGCGGCATGCAGCGATGCATGGCCGCTCTTGGCCGTCCGTGGCTGCCTCGCAGCCGTTCGCTCGGCCTCGCTCGGCCTCTCGGTGTCTCGAAGCAGTCACATGAGCAGTCCCAGGGCCCGTGGAGGACAAGACAAAGCGGGGCCGTGATATCGGCATTGTCCTTTGACGAGCGAAACGAGCATCGCGCGGCCAAGGAACAAACAGCCTCATAGTCCCTCAGTAGGAACCGGCGACCTGCCCGCGCCCACATCAACAGAAGACACCGTCTTGTCGGCCCCGCTTCTCTGAGTGCCAAGGACGACAATGTCTGAGCGTTGAGCGGCGAGCAGCGATCACAAGCGTTAAGGGAAGCAGTCGGCAGCGGCATCCGTGCGCGGCGTCTGACAATCCTCCATGGCCCACAAGCCACGCTCGCCACGCCCGGTTTACCGGTCTCTTCACCGGCCAAACATCCCTCTTCATCGGTCCCCGTCCTTTCGGGGTAGATTGCAGCCCGATTCAGACGGCCCCGCGTCCCCCGCGGACCCCGGACGTCCCCACGCACCCCCACTAGGAACTTTGCGGCACAGGGAGGACAGGGAGGATGAAACTGGGGCACTTGCGCCAACACGGGGATTAGGGATGGAGGCGTAGATGATCGCCCACACGTCATCTCGTGTGACCTTGGCCGTCAACAACCTCCTGCACACTGACTGCGACTACTGCCGCTGATCACCTTGCAGGCTCCAGCATGTCGGTCTATCTGGGCTGGTATGGTTGAAGTTAGTTTATTAAACTAGCAGCGATGGCACGACTGGTAAAGCTTTAGATGCAATTTGCATATGCTAAACTATGATGGAACCATTAGATATGAACTATTACTGCTGAGACAACTTCTGCCAACGATTTACAACCTCTCGACAACGGCTACCTTGCCGTCCTTCGACTCTTCCATGACAATGTCCTCCTTCTCGGGCTCGGAGATGCGGTCGTCATAGTCAGACGAGTGCGGGACGTGGTCCACGGCACCGTCGAGGTGCCTGTTGAGGATCGTCCAGCGTCCGAGGCGCTTGCACTTGACGATCCACATGACGAGGCCGTACGTCATGAGCGGGACGAAACCAGCCATGGCGACGAGGTACGAGCGCTGCGCCGAGACGCGGTGCAGAAGCGCGGCCTGGGCCGAGGGCCACGCCGCTCCACCAGACACACCGGCGGACAGCAGACCACCACCGAACGTAGCGTAGGGGCCGAGGTTGGAGGTCGCGATCGAGAAGATGACGGGGTAGCAGACGGACTCGAAGAAGAAGATGAGGTTGAGACACGCGATACCGCCGTAGCCGTTGACGAAAGAGGTTAGGATCGCGAACAGGATGAGCATGGAGCCGTGAACGAAGAGCGCGAAGCACGAGTCAATGTAGCGCAGGTACGCGACGCCAACGAAGCGGCCGATCGTGAAGACGGCCTGGCAGACGGAGAAGAGGTCGGAGGCGTGAGCATTCGAGATGGGCGGGTTGATGCCGGGCTGACGGGTGATGTAGAAGATGGCCATGGACGCGACAGCGACCTGGGCACCGACGTAGAAGAACTCGGCGAAGAAGCCAAAGACGGTGTGGTACTTCTTCAGGATGCCCTTGTAGCCCTCCTTCTTGATGAACTCGACGTGCTCGGGCTTGACGGCCTGGCGGACCTCGGGGAGCTTGCAGAACGCGAGGCCAATGTTAAGGCACAGGGCGAACAGAGCCATCGCGAGGTAGACGTACTGCACCGTGCCGAGCTGGTTGCCGTCCTGGTCGAGGTCCTCGTTGAAGAAGGTGCGCGAAGCGATGAGCGGGCCAATGACAGTCGCAATGCCGTTGAACGACTGAGCGAGCGTCAGGCGGAAGGCGGCGAACTTGGGCGGGCCGAGAACGACAATGTACGAGTTGGCGGCCGTCTCAAGGGTAGCCATGCCGGAACCGCACAGGAACGTGAACGCGACGAACATGCCATATTGGTGGTAGACGGCAGACGGCCAGAAAAGGATCGCACCGATGGAGAACAGGGTCAGGCCGATGTGAATACCCCACTTGTAGCCAATCCGTCGCATGAGCATGCCCATCGGAGGGGCGACCACCAAATAGGCGACGAAGTACGCGAACTGCAGCAGCGTCGTCTGCACCTCCGTCAGGTGGAAGATCTTAAGGAAGTGCTGGTTCAGCACCTGGATAGGTCAGCGCTGTTGCACAAACATGACGCAATAACGCCACTGCATGAGGGTGACGAGGCTGTCACCGCAGCAGATTTCACCGCGAAAGGTGTCATCGGGCAAGTGGAAGCCGGATACTCACATCGAGGAGACCGTACGAGAGACCCCAGAGGAAGAACTGTTGGAGTCAGCATCTTGTGTCGGGCGCTGGGAGCAGCGAGGAGCAGTTGTGTTCTGCCAGCCTGCGCGTCGCTCTGTGGGCACATACCAGAGATGTAACGAGCGAGAAGCTGATAACCAGCTGCGACCTGGACAGGTCGGTGTAGTCCTGGGCGGCGACCATCGCGCTGATCTGGGTTGTGGATCGATCGACGAGGGGAAGAGTGATTAGACAACTTATGGAGAGCTGCTGTTTTTATCTCTTTCACATGCTTGCAAATGGAAGCCGGCGACTAGCGAGGCGTGTCAGCCCTAGGAGCAGCCATGGCTTGGCTGTTAGGCTGCCTTTGCGCGCATTCAGGTCGCCTTGGGCCGCCCGAACTTGAGCTCTAGGGCCGTCAGCGCGCTCGTGTGGGGCTAGTGGGTAGGGAGTACTGGGGCCAACACCGGTACCCCGGGGCCCTTGACGAAAGCTGGCCGAATCCGTGGAGAGGCCAATGGCACCGCGAGGCCGTCGCTTGCCGCTCGAGCCAAGAGAGGTAAAGCATGCTGGATCTGATGGGACCAAGGGTCCGAAGGCCGGTTAAACTGTAACTGGAATTCGAGCTTATTCCGCTGGGCTGCCTGAAGACTTTGAATTGCGCGGCGGGGTCGCTCCACCCCGTGAACTGGGTATCAGGGTTCCCATGTGATGCCCCCTGCCTTGCCCACTTGCCACCTCTGTGTCTTGAGACGCCGACTTCACGGCCTGCAGTCATCTTGTCGTAACAGATCCCAGGTTTCCGGCACAAAGATGCAGCGAGGCATGAACTCCGGTAAACCGGCCGAAGGGAGGCTTGAGCATGACACAGAAGACGGTGAGGCAAGCGAGAGGAACGACGACAAGCCTTTGGGGCCGATTCCTCGCCGAATCGGACCACGCCGGGAGCGTTGAAGCGGAGGTGGAGTCAAACGTACCCAGCAGAGCTAAGCATAAAAAAGACCGTGTTGCACTGAGAGTTGTTGGAGCGCGCTATCGTCTTGCACGCCTGCGTGAGGGTTCACTATTGACGCCATCGGCAGGTTGCGCTGACATGTGAAGCGATCAGCAACCATGGACTGTGTAGTCGCCGCCCTTTGCCGCTTCTGCCAAGGTGCCCTTTCTGTCTGAGGCGTCCGAGCTTGAACATCACGTGTGGGCAGCGGCCCTCAATAGTGCCTCTCGGTTTGAGTTGCACCTACGCAACACCTTGCTTGCTGCAGGGCGTACAGGGTGACGGGGTATAGCGTGCCGAGGGCACTCCCAGCGAGACATTCGATTTCGGATGAATGTTCTGCCGGGAGTTTGTGAGCCATGCTTGTGTCGAGGAACGAACGCTTGAAGTGATCATGTGGAGCAGACCCCGTGGAAAGAGGTGGGGCAACTCAATGCGGCATGTCCTGAGGAGGCCGGTTGTTGACGGTTGTGCGCAACCGCAGGCTCGCTTCCGCTATCTTAACGAGACAAAAGTCGCCGTTAAGATCTTGTGGCCAGTCCCTAGGAACCAAAGTCAAGGTTCAGGGGTCTGTTGTGTTAGGCTACCAGCTGATGTCAGACAGCGAGGCGGGGAAAGCAGGGAGTAGATGGCATGTGCCAAGATGATGAGCGCGGGGTCCGAGACGGAGAGCTGCGGAGCGGCAGCGGCTCCGCCTCGGAGGTCGACATGCGGTCCAGACGGTTCCGACTCGCAGATCTCTCTTCTGGCATGTCTAACTCCCAGAGCGTGGCCTATCAGACCGGTACCGCTTATCGATTCTCTCGAGTCGCGACACGGGGGAGCAACAGACATTGGCGTGCCACGATGGTACCACGATGGTGCTGGGTGGTCTGTCAGGGTACCGTTGGTGCATACTCGGCCAAGCACGAGGTATATCTCGAACTGGTGGTCAGCTTGCGAGTATCAGCGCAGCAGATACCTCGGGCGTCATCGTGGTCTATGATCAGCCAGGCCAGGTGCTGCCCGCCGTCTCGTCTCCTCAGACTAATGCTTTAAGTATCTGCCGCGCAACCGTCTGCTGCCCCCATAACCCTCTGAGTGCCCACCATCGCGGAGAGTTTGTGAGCCTCGGTGGGTTTCAGCGTTCGGCATAATTCAAGCTCGATATTTTGTCCTGATGATCAGTTGACGGGACAGGAGGTGGCAGCGGAGAGGCCCTCCTCAGATTAAGCCGCTCGAGGCTGCATAAGCGCCCACGTACTCTATAGGTGGTTTCCATTGACACATTGCAGGCGGGTGGCAGCCGTTCCGGCGTTGGATTGCCGCTATTGAGCTGGGTGATGTCAGCTGCAACGCAAGTGGTACCCTCAGCTTACACCCTCTTGCTCGGGCTAGCGTTCTTCCTCGTCCCGATTGAAGTGGTAGTGGAAGGCCTCTCTCTGTGTCTCGTGTTGAGGTTTTGCTGCGACTTCAGTCCCCCATGCAGTTCTGAACTGATTGGTTATCTGATATGTGACTGTCATTCGATGTAATATGAGCGATAAAGAAGAAGGAAGCTAAGTGAGTTGCTGTGTCGTTGCGTAGTCGCTCGCCGTAGATCGCACGCGGCCTGATGTGACTCCGCTTGCGCTTAAACGCCCGCTTCCGCAATTCGTGTGTCTTCCTCGCTCGGATGATTGGTTCAGTCCACGCACACTGTGCCTCTCATGAAGCCTCGACATGTACAACAAACAACGTAATACTCGTCCTTGCAATGCAGAAGGTTGTTGCGATCGAGGAGGAATGCGGCGCGGCAAGTCTCGGCATGCTCGAACTGGCCCGCCCCCTCCAGCCGTATCCGCAGGTTACCGACCGCCATCCCTCGCAGAACGCCGATCCTCGGCAACCCCTGTCGACACCAAATGACTCGACAACCATTCCTTCCCTCCTTCTCATCTCTCACTCCTCCAAGCACCATGTCCCGCGCGCTCGACACGATCGCGGTGCTGATGCCCCTCCCAGCCAAGGCGCTGGAGAAGGTACGCTCCGCCTTCAAGACGGTGCACTATGCCCCCTCCGGCCCTGACGTGCCCGCCAAGCGCCTCCCAGCAGAAGTCTGGAAGGACGTCGAGGTCTTGTTCTGCGACTGGACCGGGCCGCCCAAGGACTTGGAACTGAGCGAGGTGCCGAATCTGCGCCATGTGCAGCTGCCGACTGCGGGCGTTGATGGCGCGCTCGCCAACTCGAAGCTCGTCCAGGAACTCGCGGCGAGGGATCCGAGCGCAAGCTCAGAGGGACCGACAGTCTCGAGTGCAAGTGGGATTCACGTGTTCACGATCCCGAACTGGGTCGTGGGCATGACGATTGCACTGAGCCAGCAGCATCATGTTATGGCCAGGTTTGCGAGGGTGAGTGAGTATTGGGCCGAGAGAGAGGCTCGATGAACGGAATGCTATCAGCTCCAAGGACTCGTCGCGAGCTAACGAACAGGAACAGCAGCACTGGGCAGACGAGATGGAGGTCGGGCCGGTGGGCAAGTTCTACAACCGCCCCCTCTGGGGTCGCACGGCCGGCATGCTAGGCTACGGCGCGCTGGGGCGCGAGACCGCCCGTCTGCTAAAGGCGCACGGGATGCGCATCATCGCGGCCAACTTGACCGGCAAGGCGTCAAAGTTTGAAGACTGGACCCCCGAGGGAACGGGAGATCTGGACGGTGAGTCTGAACCCTTGCCAGCTGTGGGGTTAGTTTGCGTACAGCTAACAAACCAGGTTCCATCCCGGACAAGTACTACTCCGTCAAAGACGAGGCGCAATTCGAGCAGTTCTTACGGGACACGGACGTGCTCGTTTGTTCTCTGCCAGGAACGCCGGCGACGAGGCATCTCCTCGATGCCAAGAAGCTAGGTGAGCTTCACTCACAGCCAACGAGAGCGATTCATAGCGCGCTCAGAGCTGCCAACGCCCGACGAAGATAGCTAACACCTCAGCCCTGCTCAAGCCCGAAGCCCTCTTCCTCAACGTTGGCCGCGGCACATTGATTTCATCGGGTACGTCGTCTCCCCTCCTCCTTTCCCCCCTTTCCTGCTCTCCCAACCCCCCTGCCTCATTCCCCTACCACATAAGCTCGCACATACTGGTGAAGCTAACGCCAAGAGGAACTCCTGAAAGCGCTCGAGTCCGAGGGTCTCTTCGGTGCCGCCATCGATGTCGCTGACCCGGAACCCCTCCCCGACGGACATCCCCTCTTCACCCACCCGAAATGTATCGTCACCCCGCATCTGAGCGGACACGCCAAGGGCGAAGAGGTGCTTGGTGCGGAACTGGCAATCGTCAATGCGGAACGGATCAGGAGGGGCGAGACGCCGTACAACGTTGCGGATCTGAAGAAGGGATACTAAGTGCGCGAAGCGAAGCGGAGCGCATCCTGTCAAGTTAAGTAGTGATGGGAACAGAAAAGTAGTCAGAACACATAGACACAAGATGCATCAGCACTATGACTGTGGAGGAGGGAAGGAGGCCGCCTGGCGGCGGTTCCTTGGCGGCTTAGGCAAGACGCATCTTCCCCGGCCTGACACGCATGACGACTCCAACGGCCACCATGCCCAGCCCCACGACAAAGGCGAGGACGCGCTGGACTTTCCACCCGCGCATCTGGGACCACGTCGCGAACATGCCGGCGAGGAAGGCCGTGAACATGCTCAGAAACAGGAGGATGTACCCCGAGATGCTGCCGTTAGCCACATCAGACCCACAGCCATGTAACTCCAGGAGTGAGTCCTACAAGTCAGGGCTGGACCCCGAAGCAGAACTCGAGACTTATGAAGTGGGACAGAGTCGTACTTACCGGTGATACTTGTACACGCTCCTAGCCCTCGCCCCACCCCCAAACACCCACCCGCCCGCCCAAACACTCCCGGCCCCAATGGCAGCCTGGAGGAGCGCCCAAGTAAGCGTGAGGCATCCAAACCAAGCATGCCAGGTGGTATAGTGCTCTGCGCCATTGTTCTCCTTGTTGTACCACATGAAGCCTGTGCCGACCAGCATGGCGGGAATGCCGAGGCCGAGGAGCCACGCTTGGTGTGCACTCAGGCGCTCGGCGCGCAGGACGGCGCCAGGCGTCGGAGGCTGCACGGGCACGATGCCCAGTACGAAGCAGGAGATTGCGAGCGCATTCAGGGGCGCGTGTGGAGTGAAATAGGGCTTGGAGGAGGGGTTGTCGGTTAGCACTAGGAGCCAGACGGTGGGGAGGAAGAGGGCGAGGCCTGCCTGCTTGTAAGCTATCGCGGTGGGACTCAAAGCTCTTAGATCCTCTCACATCCAGTATTTCGCTCCGTCACTCTCTCTCATGTCTACAAGAGATCTGACCAAAGCCAGGCAGAGGTCGAGTACGGAGTGAGTGACTAGCTGGAGGAAGGAACGGAGAGGACCTTCAGGCTTAGAGGGAAGACAACTCACAAAGATAAGACTCAGACTGAGCTTATCCCTCGGCGTCGGCGCGATGGTCTCAAAGTCCCACCACCGCCTCTCCGCCGCAACAGCGGCAGCAGGAGAAGGGTTGCCCTGCTCGTCGAGCAGAGGCTGGTCCGTGAAAGAGCGTCGGCGCATGCTTGTTGTGTGTGATGCGGTGATGCTGAAGTCGCGGAAGCTAGGCAATGACGCTATTTTGAGGGGACCAGTGATGTGCCCGGAGTCAGTCACCCAAGTCACCGCATATAGCCGATGCCCGACCTGGATTCCTCGGCGATATCCACTTCCACCCAGATTCAAGATAATTCGTTCTGCATTGTTTCTTTTACTTCACTCCATAACTACTGGATGGTCTACAGGAACAGGTGCATGTCCTCCTGCCCGGGAGCGCGAGAGGCGCGCACGCGTCCCTGGAAGGAGAAGAAGTCGCCCTCATAAGCGACAAAGCCCGTGTCCGCCTTGCTCTTGAGATCGAGGCCCAGGAGTTTCTCGAGATTACCCGAGACAAGGTCCACGGCCTGCTTCTTGGAGAACACGTGCGGGGCAGCCGTGTACGCCCATGCGGCCTCGAAGCGGGCGAGGCGTGCGTCGCACTCCTCGTGGATGCCGAGGCCGACCGTGACGCCGCGAGAGGCGAGGTACGAGGGCAGCGTGTGGTTGCTGAGCGGGGGGCCGGGGAGGATGCGTCTCGAGTCCCAGAACGCAGGGAAGGGGCGGGGGTTGGCGACAATGACGCCAATGTCCTCCTTGGCCAGCTCGTCGGCGAGCATCCACGCCTCCTCGCCCGCGAAAATCGTCAGCTTGAGCTTCTTGGCGTCGTTCTGCTTCAGACGGATCAGGGCTGCGATCTGGTCCGCGGACGAGACTTGGACGACGAGACGCAGCTCGCCAGAAGCGGCACGCTTGAATGCCTCGGCGAGCTCGCCCTTGACGCCCTCGCCCGCGAGCATCTTGCGCAGCAGCGCGATGCGCGTGCTCACGCTCTCGGTCATGTCCGTCGTCCATCCCGAAAGCGTCAGCACGAGCGCCGGGCCAGGGTGGCCGATGGCGCCCTTGGCGAGCGGGTGCTCAGCCGAGGTCGAGAAGGAGTAGGCGAGGCCAGCGACAAGGCCGCCCGACACGGGCCAGGTGACGCCAGTCGTCACACCCTCCCTGTACGCCATGAGCAGGTCCTTGCCGCCGAAACGCGCGCCGTCGGCACCACGCACGAGGATGCCCTCAAGCAGGCCCTTCTCGTGCACGGGGTCGTAGGCGACGCCGTCCCACGTCGACTCCTCTTGCGCAATCTCGACGAGGCCGAGGGCAGAACCAGTCGAGATAAGACCGGGAAGAAGCGAGCCGCCCTTCAGGTCGACCGTCTCGTGCTCGCCGGAAGTCACAGCACAGTCCTTGCCAACGCAGGTGATCTCGCCGCCGTCAACAACGACACGGCCAGGCACGCCCTGCACGTCGAAACCGTCGAGGTAGAAGCCCTCGACATTCTCGAAGAGAACGCGCTTGCTCTTGTGCTTTGGGCGGAGGTCGGGGTCACCGCGGGCCGCGACAGCCTCAGCCGCCTCCTTGTCGTAGTCTCCGGCAGGAGAAATCTTCTGGGCGTCCTTGGGCTTCTCTTGGACGTGCGGGTGGATAATCTGAGGAATACCATCAATGTACGTCTGCTTGGGCGTCGCGCCAATCGCGAGGGGGAAAGAGTCCCAGACGACAACATCGGCGTCGTATCCGGGACGGATGTAGCCCATCCTGTGGTCGAGACCGGCGATCTTGGCGCTGTGAGTGGTGACAGAGGACAGCGCCTCGGAAAAGTTGAGACCAAAGGCGTGCGACTGAGCAGCTTCGTAGATCAGGTAGCGCGAGTCGAGGACAGGGTGGTCAGACTTGTGCACGACCGAGAGGCCAGCATCGGCCAGGATCTTGGCAGCGTAGGGGGTACCGCGGTACGCTTCGCGCTTGTAACGGGCTGATATCAGCTAAGTCTCAGCTGCAGACCCACCGTTGTTAGCAAAGATGGCGACACCGGGGGTTCCACCCCAGGTCTGCTTGAGGAGATCGGGGACGAGATACGCCTCGTGGGCGTGGTGGAATGACGAGATGGGGAACTGGAACTCGTTCGAGATACGGACCATGTCGTTGAGATCGACAGTCTCGTAGCAGTGAATGTTGACCTTGACGTTTCCGCGGATAATGTCGGCGACGGCCTCAAACTGGAGATCGTCGGGGAACGCCTCCTTCTGTTCCTTGGGCGCGGCGCACCAAGCGTCCTGCTTCTCCTTGAGCTTGCGGCCGGCGTCGTATGTCTTGCGGAAGTCCCAGGCAGAGTCCATGCGCGTGTTGCCGTAGACGCGGAGCGGGTTCTCACCGCATGCGTGCTTGATGTGCCTCCATGCGCCGGTACGCTCCCACGTTCCGTTCCGGATCACGAAGGGCGGCTCGACCTGCATGCTCTGCGGCGTGTTCTCCTCGGTCCAACGCGGCTTGAAGGTGAAGGCCTGGCCACCAATGTTGCCAGCCGAGCCGGGGAGGACGAGCATGGTCGTAATGCCGCCCGCGATGGAGAGGTTGAACGCCTGGTCGTGCGTGTTGAACCCATCAAGCGAACGGAGCCACGGCTGCGCGGCCTGCTTCCACGAGTTGGTCGAGTCGCTACCGCGCAGGTTCGGCGAGGGGTCGACAGCCAAGTGCGAGTGCAGGTCAACGATACCCGGAGTCACCCAGGCGCCGTGCAGGTTGACCTCCTCGGCCTTGTCCTTTGAGGAAGCAACGAGGTCGGCGAAATCGCCGTCTTCCTTCCCGACACGACGAATGACGCCGCCCTCGAGCCAGACGCTCGTCTCGTGCAGCACCTGCTCGCCGCGCTTCTCGCCCGTCCACACCGTGCCGTTCTTGAGCCACACGGGACGCGTACCCTTCACGAAGCGGTCAGAGGTCTTGCGGTCTGCGTTCGGCTGATGGTTCGGAGGACCAGCCTTGATCGCCTCGCAGCGCTTGATGCCCTCCTGGACGTGGTCGGGGAGCGGGCTGTCGGGCCATGGGAAGTTGAGGTAGCCGAACAGCACGAGGGTTGCAAGCGAGAGTAACACGGGGTGCATGACGAGGCTCAGGACGGGACGTCCGTTGACGGTGTACGCAAACGCATGGCCCTTCTTCTTGCCCGAGTCGTCGACCTCTTCATGATCGTAGGGGTTGTCGGTGTAGAGAGGAGCCTTCTCGATGTCAGCTGCGCGCCTGGAGCGCGCTTGAGCGGACATTGTCGATGCAGAATCGAACGGATGAAGGATGTGGGAGAAACAGAAAGTCGACCCACGAGGTGCACTCTCCTTGACCGGATGGGGTTAGCCAGTGGGAAGGGGTGGGTGGGTTGATGCCAGTCGTGCAAGATAAGGCGCGAGAGCTGCCCCGGCCAAGTCCGGTGTGACCTCATTCACCATGTGACTACCCGCACGTTGAACCTGAAGGCACCTCGTGCTTTTCCTGTCCGATGTCGCGCTTCCTCTGCTCTCTCTGCTCTCTCTCGCTTCATGAGTCCTATTCTAAGCTTCAGGCTTCTGCTCAATGCTCCATGATCCCTGGGTGTCTGTAGCCAAGCGGGAGGGCTACCATAGAACCTGAGCTAAGAACGGTGGTGTCATCATGCAATCCTATGGAGCTATGCTAAGGGTGACTAGCCCGGGGGGGCTGGTCCTGGAGTCACGTGATGCCAGTCACGTGACCTCGCGGAAGCAAACCTCTCACGTGACCTCAGGGTCTCGGGAGTGATCGTCTACACTCCCCCGCCGTTGATGAGCTGCGTCCCGCAGCGTCGAAAGCAGAGCGGATCGAGATTCCTGGAGGTAGGTTGCAGAGCTATCGTCGAGGGTGTTGAATGTATACAGCTTGTAAGCCAGGTAGGCGCCTGAGCGACGTTCGCACTCTTCTCGATGTTCCTCGGCTATGGCTCCTCCGCCGAAGAACTTCAGTGTCGTCTCGTCAACCCATTCGTCGGCTGGTGTTATCTCCTGTCCTTGCCACATCATTGGCTTGAATCTAACCCGCCACCGGACCTCGCCGTTGTGCACTGTCTTGGCGTCAACCACACAGTCGAAAGTTCGCACAGCGGTTGGGTCGGGGGCCCTGGGATGGTATTTCCTGAGATAGGCGAAACTGATCTTGTTGTGCGCGCGCATGCCTGGAGCCAGCTCCAGCTGCGCCACGTTGTCGTGAGGTATGTCGGTGATCTTGAACGGTCCCCAAAATGTCGGTCCGAGTTTGCGACCTCGCTGCTCTGCGCCGCGCTTACGTCTGCGCACGCCTTCTTGCGGCGAATAGACGTCGGATTGGATCAGGACGAGGTCGCCGACCTTGTAGGTTACCTCTCGATGGCGTGCGTCGTACTGCGACTTCTGTGCGCGTTGGGCCTTGTCGAGCAGGTCCAGCGCTATGATTGCGTCGAGCTCCATCTTCTGTCTCAGCCTCGTGGCGTCGGGATCGCCTGCGAGATCGGGCTTGGATGGTCCATGTAGGAAGAAGGGGATACGTCCCAAGTCAAGCTCGAACGGCGTCATACCCGTTGACGCCTGCACGCTCGCGTTGTGTGCAACTTCCAGTCTGGAGACGAAGGATGACCAGTTTGAGGCTTCTTTGTTGACGTAGGAGCGCAGGGCTTCCTTCAACCAGCGGATGACTCGTTCGGTTGCGCCGTCGGTCTGCTGATGTGACGCGGTTGCATATCTGTGTTGCACGCCGAGATACTTCATCAGGCTGCGCCAAAGGTCCGAAGTCAGCCGAGAATCGCGGTCGGATATGATGCAGCTTGGCAGTCCGAAGTACTTGAACACGTTGTCGAACATGAGCTGCACGATGGACGACGCGTTGAGGGTATCGTGCGTCGGCGTAAGGACGATCCTCTTCGACATGCGGTCGATGACGACCATGACCGCTGTGAACTTCTGGGGTCCTGATTCCGGCAGGCCGACAACCCAGTCCACCTGTATCATGTTCCACCGGCGCTTCGTCAGTGGCAGGGACTTCAACAGTCCTGGTGGCAATGCGTTGTCGGGCTTGGATCGCTGGCACTTCTCGCATGTGCGTACGTACTGCTTGACGTCGCGCAGCACGCCCTTCCAGTAGTAGTGATCGACGAGCGCCGCATAGGTCTTGTCGGCACCTCGATGTCCAGCGAGCGTCGTGTCGTGGTACAACTTCAAGATGTCGGTGCGCAGCGTCTCGTCCGTTGGTACCACGATCGTGTGCGTGTTGCGGGCCTGGCTCGATGTATAGAGCAGGCCGTCGTTGATCATGAACGGCTTGCGTGGGTGGTGCATCACCTGTCGCCACACCGTGCGATCGTATGGCTTACTGTCGGGAATGTCGTAGCGGATGAGGATCTCGTCGACCAGCTCGGTGTACGTCTCATCCAACTCCGACACGGCCATGATCTTGTCTTTGAATGTCGTGTCTGGTTCAATCGTCCAGCACATCAGGCTTTCGGCCACGTCGTTCGGATCGTCGTGATCTTCTTCCGCCTTTTGTTCCTCCAACCGACCAGCCAGATACACCTCGCAGGCTTCCTGCAGGTTGCGGATCTGCTCGGGGGTCAGGGGTTGGGGATTGCGGCTAAGCTGGTCGACGTGTGCCATCTTCTCTCCCGGACGATAGATGAACTTGATGTCTGACAGATAGGACATAAGGTGTGCGCTGGCGCGGATCATACGCCTGTTCTGCCCTTTGTAGTCCGCCAAACCTTTGAGCGCTTCGTGGTCGCAGCGGAGCTCGATGTCCGATCCTTCTACGTAGGGTCGAAGCTTGTCGAGCGCCCACATGACTCCTGAGCACTCGAGGTCCGTGGCGCTCATGTTCTTCTCGCCCGCGATTGTCTGGCGCGAGATGAACGCTATGGGTCTCACATAGCCGTTCTCGTCTCGCTGCGAGAGTACCGCTCCAAAGCCGTCTTGCGATGCATCGCATTCGATGATGAAGGGCTTGGAGTAGTCGGGGTGTGCCAACAAGACGTCACTTGTCAACGCGTCGATGAGGTGCGTGAATGCGGCTTCGGCCTCGGGGGTCCAGTCGAGGTCGGTCTGCTTCAGGTTCGCCGCAGCCCTCTTGACGTCGCGGAGCGGTGCTGATACTCGAGCAAAGTTCTTCACGAAGCGTCTCCAGTGGCTGACCAGGCCCAGGAACCTTGAAAGTTCCTTCACTGTCGTTGGTCTCTTCTGCGACTTGATCGCCTCGACAGCCTTGTCGCCCATCATGATACCGATATTAGACACCTTGTGTCCTAGTAGCTCCACGGTCTTCATGAACATATGCGACTTGTTGGCTCCGAGGGTTAGGCCACCGTCAATCATGCGCTGGAGCGTCCAGCTGACATGCTTCAGGTGCTCGTCGAACGACTTCGAGTAGACGATGATGTCGTCGATGTATGCCATGGCCCACAACCAGCGTCCCTCCGCCAGTAGTAGGTCCATCAACCGTTGGAAGGTGGCAGGTGCTCCTTTCGCTCCGAAGGGCATCCTCAATGGTTCCCACAGGCCGTCTTGCGTGCGGAACGCCAATCTTCTTCGGGCTCTCTTGGTGTTCGGGATCTGGAAGTAGCCCTTGTTCAGGTCGAAGCTTGAGAACCATTGGGCTCCTTCCAGGGACTCGAGAATGTCCAGGACACGTGGCACCGGGTAGGAGTCTCCAATCGTGACTCGATTGAGTGCTCGTAGATCGATGCACATCCTGTGCTTGCCGTGCTGTTCCACCACAATTACCGGCGCGCTCCACTCGGAATTGGAGGGTTGGATGATCTTTGCTTCGCGGAGCATTTCGATTTGCTCTTTGATGATCTTTCGTCGAGCTGGGCTGGCGCGATACGGCGGCATGTGGACTGGTTTGGCATCGCCGGTGTCGATGTCGAACTCGACCAGGTCTGTCTTTCCCATCGGGTTCCTGGCGCTGGCGAATGCTTTCATTTTGATCTTAAGTAGGTGCTCGACTTGCTGTCGTTGCTCCGTCGTCAGATCGGGGTTGATGGTGATGTCTTCCAGCAGCTTCATGTACTCCTTGTTGTCCTCTTCGCAGAGTTCTTCCGGCATCCCGCCTCCGAGGTACTCCGCGACGGCGCACAGGGGTAGCTGTTGTTCAATCGCCTTCTCCTCCGCTTCGAGTTTGTTGATGATCTCGTCGACTCGGTCCATCGGAGTGATCTGCTCTGGCTTCACCGGCCTGGCGATGCCCAAAAGCGTCCCCCTCGGTAGTCGTATCGGCCTGTTGGTCGCGTTGAACAGTTGGTACTGGAAACTGTCTTTTCCGCCCTGGACCACCGCGCGTGGCCCTCGTACCAGCTTGCTCCCATTGCCGATGTCGACCGGGTCTATGATCATGTCGAGGTTTGTGCGGACCGGGTCCATCATTGCCGGGACGTTGATGGGGCCGACCTTTCGCAGCGTGAAGGTCTCCCTGAGTCTGACCTCCCTGGAATGGTCGCCGTTCATAGGGTCCGGGCAGCGTGGCCTCGTCGAACGGGCCTTGTAACTGCGGCCGTCGATCTCGATCTTCCCCAGGTGTGGGAACAACGACATCCTCATGGCGATTATCGCATTCATGCCGATGAGGAGTCCCTTGGGCAAGTCGGATACGACGTGGAAGCGAATCTTGTAAGAGTCCCGTGGGCGCCGCGCGTCCGGCGCACCGAACGAGATTGGGATGTCTACCGATCCCAGCGAGTCGACCATTCCGTTGGCTGTCTTGAGGGATATGATTGCTGCGTCCTCGATGAAGTAACCCTTCACGTCGTTTCGAAGATATTCCTCTCCAACCAGGCAGACATCAGCGCCCGAGTCCAGGATCGCGCGGTGTACTTTTGGGTCGCTGCCCGCCGTTACATCGACGTTGAGTGGGGTGGGAACGTCCTCTGACCTGTCCCAATGGCCAACCAGTCGATACGGTGTCTCCACGTTGAAGACCCGTGCCGGTTCCATTCTCAACTTCGCTGCGTTCTCCTTCGCTCGCTGGCGTGATGGCGACCGTGATCGTGCTGGTCTGTTGCTCTTCTTCGATCCGGGTTTCTTCCGGGGCGGCGACCGGCTCTTCCTCCGCTTCGGTTCGCTCGGTGTCGACTCGCTCTGACTCTGGGTTGGCGGCGTGGGTAGTCGTTGGTGGGTCTTGATCTTAGGCGACTCGTCGTCTTCGATCTCCTCCACCGTTGCCGTCAATGGGGGGGTGGTTACTTGTCGAGCGGGTCCTTTTGGGGCAGACCCGCTGACGTTCGCCGGTGTTGAGGTCTTGTCGGGGTCGCGGGTGCCTTGCGCCCGGTTCCCCATGACTGGGGCGTCGGTGGGGGCATCTGATGGCCTGCCGACCGGCGTCGCCTGTCGTCGTTCGTTCGCCCTTGGTTGGTGCTCAAAGGTCTTGGGGGTCGTATTGCACATATTGTTCAATGTTTCTTGTTGTTTCTAGTTTTCGCTTGACTTGTGCACGATGAGGGCGAGGCTATTCTGCACATGTTCCTCGCGGGTCCTCGCTTCGCGCTGAGAGTTGATCCAGAATGTGTTGTTCGGGCGGTAGTTCAAGTCGCATGGATCTTCGACGTAGTTGAACTCCACGTCGCCCTTGGGCTGTTCACTGCTGGCCAGCAGTGCGAAACCGGTTATTCTGCTGGACCGGCTGGTTGTTCGCGTTCTGCTGCGCAGGGGCACTAGGCTTAGGGTTGGATTGGGGCTGAGGCTGCTCGTCCTCCTGGAAGCAATCCTCCTTGTAGTGGTATCCCCTGTTGCACTTCGGGCAGGGCACCTTGGGCGGGGTCGGATGAGTCGGCGGGCGGCCAAGTACACGTTCCTGGCCTCGGCACCAGTACTCGGCGTTCTTCGGTGGCTGGCCCCGTGAGGGCGGGGACGGCGTCGATTGGTTCGAGCCTGGCGTGCTCATCTTCTCCTTGCCCTTCTTCTTTGGCGCCAGCGTGAATGATGAGGAGTCGAGGTCCTCCAGCTTCTTGTAGAACTCGGCCGTCGGTCGCCCGTCGCCGTCGCGGCGATCGAGTTGCTCATTCCACCACATACCGCTGAGCTGGGGGGCGTGCTGCTGCATCATCAGGTAAAGGTCGGGCAGCGAGTGCACTCCTGGCTTGTATCCGATTCCCGCGCGCCACTCAGCCGGCGTCCCCGTGAGGATGAGAGAGCCGATGTTCCCTTCCGACATCTCCGGGAACGCCGTGCGAAGCAGGCTCTGTTTCGTCGTGGCATACTCGCGCACGTCATCTTCACGCTTCAAGATCTTGTTGATGGCGGCCGTCTGGACCAGGTACATGTGCTCGCAACTGAGGAAGCTCGTCTTGAGGAGCGTCTTCCACTCGTCCCACGTCGTGATGCGGTTGACGACGTCGTCATCCAACAGGTCGTACCATTCCAGAGCGGACCCTTCGAACATCACTGCCGGTCGGAGCGTGATCTCCTCATCCGGGCAGTGCGTCAGACGCTTGTCCATCGCGCGGATGAAACTCAAGAGGTCCTTCCCTCCTGCGCCCCAGCCGCTGAACTTGGGAATATCCTTGGCCTGGTACGTGAACTTGCCGTCGTAGGTGAGGCGTTTGCGGGGGTCCTGTTCTACGCGCTGCTGACGAGGGTCCGACCGTGAGGCACGGGCGACGAATGGGTCGTCGTCCTCTCTCGATTGCCTGCGGTACTCGAACGTCTCGTCCGGCGGGGTCATGTGGCCGTGCTTGGTCATGTGACTTGATGACGGCAACTGTTGCTGCTGCTGCGGTTGGGGTGTCACGGCTTGTTCCTGGTAGTGGACGCGCGCGGGCTCCTGCTGACGCTTCTCGAGGAGATCAAGCTGCCGCTGCAAGTCCTCGCGCATCATGCGCAGTTCTTGCTGCTCTCGAGCAAACTGTTGCCGTTGCTCATCCAGCTCGGTCTGTTGGGCGGCTAGGCGTTCCAGGAATGTCGATGTCGTCGAGCCGCGGCCGTCCTTCATCATCCCCGCCGCGTAACGTGGAGAGGGGTGCTGCGTCTGGACCAGATGGGGTTGTTCTCGGTCCGTTTTGGTCGCGTCGGCGGGCTTGGGAGTCTGGACGTTTGCTTCGTCGCCACGCGCGTCGTGGCGTCGAACGGACCTTGGCTTCTGGGTGGGGTCGTCGCCTGTGTCGCGTCGTTCCACTGTCTTCCCTTGTGGTCCCTTTGGTTCGCCTGCCGACGGCGCTCCGTGAGAGACTTCGCGCCTCCAGGTCTTCACGTTGTCCTGGAGTTCGCGATCGATCGCGGTTATTGAGCCTTTCGCGCGCTGTGTCGCCTTAGACGACTTCTCCTGCTCAAGCCTGTCCTGCCGCGACTTCATCGCCGCGATCTCCTTGCCCTGGAGCTCCAATGTCTTGGACTGCTGCAGGAGAAGGTTGAGCATGGCTGTCGACTTCTGCTGCTCGGTCATGTTCTCGAAGTCCAGTCCCGTCGTCTGTTGAGGGGCGTCGTGGACTTGTTCTGTCGGCGGGCCGCCACCGGTGGGAGCGCTGTGCATGCCGCCGGGCATCGACTCTCCCGTAGGCTGGCCGCCTGTGTCGTGGTCGTCGTGTTGCGTGCTCATTTCGTCGCCGGCTTGCTGTTCCGGCTCTTGCTGGTCGCCCGTCTCGGTCTCGTGTCCGTCTCTGCGCTTCGCAGAGGAGGATTTGCGCTTGTCGGGGAGGTCCTTTGAGGTGTCGATCGCTGGCGAAGGGAGCCCTTGGCGTCTCCTTGCGCTTCGCGTACTCCTGCTGACGCTTCGCTCGACCTCTGTCCTTGGATACGGCCACGGGGGCGGTGTGTTTGGTTTGGACGACACCTTGCGGGTGTTGTTGGGTGGGGAAGGTGGGGTGAGGGCGTCGCCTTGCTGTGTGTTTACGTCGAGAAAATTGTTGACTCGGATTCGGGGTTCGGTTGCCGTCTTTTCTCCTCGGTCGTCGCCTCGCGAACCGGCCAGAGACTATCGACGCTTGCAGCCTTGCTCGTTTCCTAAAGTCGTTCACCAATGTAGCCAAGCGGGAGGGCTACCATAGAACCTGAGCTAAGAACGGTGGTGTCATCATGCAATCCTATGGAGCTATGCTAAGGGTGACTAGCCCGGGGGGGCTGGTCCTGGAGTCACGTGATGCCAGTCACGTGACCTCGCGGAAGCAAACCTCTCACGTGACCTCAGGGTCTCGGGAGTGATCGTCTACAGTGTCCTGCATTCTGACTTGCACATGCCGCGGTTCACGCCGATTTCTATGCTTAAAGGGCAGAACGCCGCCCGCAACGTCTGCGACCACGTGCGACATCAACAAACCCTTGACATTGCATCTTCACAACACGAAATGATTTTATGAGCTTATGAACATATGCATACAATAGGTACACGGTACTGCTGTCACTTGTTACTGCTGCTCCTTCCTCTTGTTTCGCCCCTTTGGCGTCGGGCTCGCCTGCTCTCCCTGTGTGCGTCCCAGAGGCGACGGGTCCGTCGTCGAGGCTGCCGGCTTCTTGTCGAATGCGCCCGTCTTGCGCAGCCATCGCTGGCGCACCTGGTGGTAGCTTCTCGTCGGGACGCACTTGGACACGAGGTCCCACTTCTCGCCATGCTCCATCACCGCGCGCGTAAGGAGCTCATCCTCCTCCTTTGTCCACTTCAGATACGGGCTGCGCACACGGCGCGCCGGCATCGCGCTGCTGAGGTGAACGTACTTGCCGAGACCAGGGACGGCGGCGCCAGCCGTCGGCGAGGCAAAGGTGTCGAACGGGTCGTCGGCGGACGGGAAGCCCCGCCCGGGTGTCGGCGTCTGGTCGAGCTTGATGGCGGGACCGAGGGGCGTGTGTCCTCGCGAGGAGCCCTCGAGGCGTGATGGACCGCCAGTCGCAACGTCCTGACTGGCCTGCGCCAGAAGATCCAGAGCGGATGCGCCCTCCTCGTGCCTTGACGACGAAGCACGGGGCGACACGTCGCTGTTCCACATGCGGCGGGAGGACCACTCGACCGTCGCCGGCGCCTCGCGCGCATGCCGCGGCTTCTTGCTCGGACTCTCAAAGGTAGACGGGACGTAGTGGGTCGTGCGAGCGGCGCTAACGGTCGCGGGTTGACCACGGGTTGGTGTTCCGGGGCGAGTCGCCATCTCGGCAGCGAGGAGGAGATCGTTGAAGTTGCCGCCGGGCGTCGTGGCCGGCGCCTGTCGGTTCCCACGGGCACGAGACGGCGTTGTCGGGGCGCGCTTCTTCTTCGGCCGGGGGAGGAGGGGCGTCGAACTGCTCCCACGGGCGGGAGATGCAAGCGGCTTCTCTTCGTCAGAATCGACTGGCTCATCGTCCCCGCCGTATCCTTCCGAGTAGCCGACGCCGCCGTCTGGTCCGACAACGCCGCGCTTGCGCAGCTCCTCCAGCGTCAGATGGCCGATGTCCTTGTTCGAGGAGCGCATCGTTCGCACCTTCTTCGCCGCGAGAAGGAGGTGCTCTGCGCGCGCATCGCCCATTGTGCCCCGCGTACGTCCTGAGCGCTCGGGCGGGGCGGTACCCTCGCCCTCGCCAAAGACCGCCGTGTTCATCATGACGTGCGTACGCAGGTGACGGAGTTCCTTGACCAGCGACTCGATTTGTTTCTGAGTGTCGACCAGCTGGATGTCAGTTTATCAAGGCGGAGCTAGAAACTCACCCTAGGGGCCATGAGACGGTTGTCCATCTCGAGACGCTTGTTCGCAGCCTCGAGCTCCTGGTGGTATCCGACGTCGAGGTCGAGGACTCGCTTCGGACGAGTGCCAGCTGCCTCCTCGGCCTCACGGGCTCGGAGAATGGCTTGCGTCTCAGCCTGCCAGCTGGCACGTTCCGCCGCGAATTTGTCCCGCTCGATGCCGATCATACACTGCGAAAGCTTTGCCTGTTGTTGGAGTGTCGCAATTGTCTCCTGCTGGGCGACGACCTGCTCGCGCAGGAAGGGAACTCGGCTCGTGTACACGTTGACGAGGGACTGGAGCTGGCTGTCAGTGATGCGGCGTTGTGTGTGTGACTCACCATGTCCTTGAGCTCATCTCGCTTCTGCGCCGCATCTCCATCGGACGCCCCGTCGAGCGCCTTCTGGATGTCCCTCAGTTGCTCGTCGGAGGGAAAGTCGTCGCCAGACTCGACCTCCATCGGCGTCGGGGTCGGGGATGACGACGCAGAAACAATCTTGGGGGAACTCCCCGGTGCCCAATGCCTCACAGATGACGGAGTAGGCATGGTAATGTCATCATCCTGGCCCTGCTTGGGGGCGGAGTGGGCTGGGTTCCTTGAGCGGATCCTGTGGGACGCAGTCGGGGTCGAGGGGAGCGGGGGAGTGACGGGCGACGAGAGGGCGGGTGTGGGATGACTGTGACGGGGAGGTGTGGATGGGTCAACCATGAAGTTGGGTCGTGGTGCACGGTGGCGAGAGACTCGGATGTTGGAGTGGGGCAGGGCCGGGCTGAGGAGACGGGCAAGGGCCGGTCGTGGGCGCGCCGTCGGGGCGGGGGTGCAGTCGGGGCTTGTTGCTCGGTATTATAAGGCAGCGACAGAGATGGATTAGGTAGCAATGGGGGATATGTTGGGTGTAGTCAGCAAGAGGACGGAGTTCAAAGTTGAAAATGGCAGAGCCAGGGAAACGAGCAAACTTGAGACGAAGGCAGGCGCGGGAAACTTCCAACCAACGACGGCGAAATTGCTTCCGCTTTTCCATACAGACGTAGCTGCTCTCACCGTGCATGCGTGCGATCGACAGTGTATTCATATGATGACAATGACCAAATCGAAATCTACAACGTGCTTGCCCGCTCTAGTTCTGCAGCAGCTTCTCGTTCACCGCATCCGTCGTCAGCCCCTCCGCACCGTCACGGACCTCGAGAATCTGATCGTCAGTCACGCAAGCCTCAACCTTCCTCACCTTGGCGACCTCGGCCGTCTGCTGGAAGTACGACAGCGACGACGCATGCAGCGTCATCAAGTCTGTCGGCGATCCGCTGGGCGCCCTGGCGTTAGCTCGCTCGTAGACGTGTAGCTCACCAATTGATCAGCAGGAGAGGGTACGAGATGCGGCCATCCGGGTGTTTCTGTCGTCAGTTGGCGCCAGATGAATCCAGCTCACAAGCTCGTGGGAAAGAAGAACGTATCGGGGCGAGTTCTCAGGCAGTTCTGCTATCAGCTAAACCCACTCGCCATAGCTCACCCTCAGCAATCTCCTCGATGTCCTGGTCCTCAAACTCCTCGTCGACCTTCATGACGAGGTCATTCTTGACAATCCGCACTGGGGTTAGCTACAACGTGAGACTCGCAGCTCACCGCTGATGGCCGCATTGCCCTTGCTCTTCTGGAAACGGAACTGTTTCAGCGCCTCCTTGACGTCGGCGGGGATGTCGACCGTGCGTGTTGACATGGTGGATGGTGTGCTGGTGCTTACAGGTGGCCGAGACAGCGATGTCATCATGTGGTTTCAGGCACGCGGGACCTAATTTGCCGCTGGGAAGGCACTGGCTGTGTCTGCTGGCCCGCTGGCCCCCTACTGGGTTGGCATGTCTCCGAGCGCCGGGTCGTCCATGGCGTCCATGGCTCCATTCTCGTATCCTCATCGCTAAGCAGCGTGTGGTGACTGGCGAAGTATTCTGATGCAACAGCTGATGCAATCGTATGCATCGGGAGGACTGTCTCGGGACAGATTGATCCTTCCCCGCGTGTTCAGCTCGAACTCCTGGAGCGTGCACCACTTGGTTCGACACTTTGTCACAGTCAGAAGCTCTAATGTGGCTCAGCATAGTTGTGAGGGGCATCCTAGCTCTCGAGGTACGCCCGTATGCGTCGCTGGAGGTCTCGATACGAGTCTCCTTGACTTCAGGGAGGTCGATCAGGACCCCTGACTCCTGAAGTGTCGCAAAAGAGAGAGACCTCCAGGTGGCTGCTTCCTGACGGTCTGCACTGTGAGCTCAGATGGTGTCTGAGAACTACTAAGTAGACGACGCTTGATCGTGTCTATGAGTAAGCAAGACGAAGCAGTCTCAACCAGAGGGACAACCTCACCCCTCGACCATTGGGACACAAAAAAGAGCCTGAATGCATACACTACAACCTATGCTAGATTCGGTCATGATTCATAAACTTCTTGGGCAGCTGCTGCCTCCTCTCAGACCCACTTACGCGGCATACGACTCGTTCGCCTTGGGGCTGCCCTTCTCGACACCGTCGACGTCGACGGACTGGGCGCCGCGCTCCTGCGACAGGGCCGCGACCTCGCGGCGGAGCACACGCTGCTGCGCGTCGGCGCGCTGGCCAATCTCGTCGACCATCTGGTGAAGGCTGGGGTCGAGCTCGTTACGGTCGATGACCTTGTCTGTTTCGACCATCACCTGGAGCACGGCGTCGAGCTGGTTCGGCAGCCAGGTGACAATAGGCGAGCCTCCAGTCGCGACGGGATGCTTTGTATACTTCAATATGTAGTTCTTGGTAAACGACCACTTAAAGAACAGTCAGCCCGAATGCAAGAAAAACGAAGGAAAACGGTGTAGAAACGCGTGAGGAAAGGTGGAAGAGGTGTAGGTGGCGAAATTATGGTGGAAATGTGGAAAATGATTTGGGTGCCACACTCACGTGACGGTTGCGGAACTGGCGGATCTGGTCCACATTAGCCAGGTACCAAGCAGCCGAGTTGGCGTTCTTCAGGGCAAAGTCGCGGACGCCGACAGCAGTGGCGCGGTCCTGGACGTAGTTGATGAAGCTCTGGTGGTTGCGAGGGCGGTAGGTGCGGAAGTCGCGGAGGACCTCGGTGAGGGGGTTGGTGGGCATCTGGGCGGTGATCTCGAGCAGGTTGTCGCCGAGGGGGACCATCGAGTCGTTGGCACCCGACTCGCCGCGCATCTTGAACGGCTCGTCGGAAACACCCTCGTAGATGACACCGTTGGGGAACATGGGCTGGTTCTTCGTGCCGTAGATCCAGGTGCGGTAGGACATGTACGCCTCGGGCTTGGAGCGGCCCCACATCGTCTCCATCGTCTGGTTGATGGTGTTGTACGAAGCCAGCATGTCCTGCATCGCCTTGTCAAAGGCCGGGCGGTCGCCCATGGCGGCAGCGTCGAGAGCGGCCATCGAGGCGGCGGTCAGAGGACCAGAGTGCTTCACCATCGCCACGTGGACGAGGATGAAACCGTGCTCACCCGGGCAGCCGGAGAAGGCACGGATCAGCTCAGAGTTGTCGTACTCGAGAGGCTTCGACTTGTCGATGCGCTTGTAGTTGTACAGAGCGTAGGAGAGAGCATACTCCATGAAGGGACGCTGGCCAATCTTGGCAGCGACCTCGTTCAGGGGGACGGCAATGTTGCGGGGAAGGGTCTGGCGGCCGAGACCGTACGTGCCATCCTCCTTGTACTGCTGGTTGCAGGGCTCGAGGAGGTAGGCCGAAGCGACAAAGGTGAGGTCACGGTAGAGGGCTGGTGTCAGCTAAAGCTAACAAGTGGACTTACCAGAAAGGAGGCGCTGGTCAGTGACCTTGCTGAGGTCGTACTCGGGGAGCTCAGCGTCAACGGCAGCGCCAAAGTCGCCCGTGGCGAGGAGTCCGGGGGAACCATCCTTCGTCTTGACAGACATGCGGTTGAGAAGGCTCTCCATCTCCTTGTACTCCTCGGGGAGCTTCTCGAGGGGCTCGTCTTTGGGCAGGAATCCGTTGTGGGGATGGACACTGAACTGGTCCTCGGGGTACGGGTTCGACCACGGCTTGCCCTTCACGGCCATACGGTCCGAGGCGGGGCTGGCGAGCCCACGCACAGCGACAGAGGCGGGGCGAGCCCACGCCGCCTTGGCCACGTTAGCAGCCAGGCGGGAGGCAGGCAGGCGGACAACCATGGTACAAGTGGAAGAGTGGGGCTGGATGGAGTTGGGAGTCTGGTTGGTGTGAGGAGTGGCTTAGAGGGGAGGTTCGTGGCTCTTCTGAGAGAGATCCGTGAGTTCTTGTTTCGAACAGAGCTGACGATGCAGACAGGCCTTATATATGCTGCAAAGAACGGTCGTAACGGGGATTGAACCGACGTGACAACCCCACCGCCCCGCCGTCCATGACCCGCCCGCGGGTACCAAGGACGGCGTTGAGGATAACAAAGAAGCATCATGAGACGTAGGTTGCGATCTTGAGATTTGAGTCCGGCCGCGTCTGATGCCTTCGCGGTCACGTGACCTCAGGGCATGTCAGGAAGCCGACATCAGCCAATGTTCCTGTTTCTGGAGCTTATGTTTGCACCTCTGCTCTCGCGCCGTGGCACTTCTCCCAGTTTTGCCGCGTTCCCCACGGGATTTAGGGTCATTCCGGGCCCAAGAATAGCGTGCAGCTCTCGTAACGGGGTGGAGCTCGTTACGGGGCATTGGCTCGTAACGAGCCACTGCTCTTGTGCTTGCTTCTCGATCTGCATGTTGGAAAGAATCGGGGTTGATTTCCATTCGTAGTGGTGGTAGACGCCCACCACCGAGACAACCATGACGTCTGAGATGAGGTTCTCGCCCCCGCCACACACCCCGCGGGGCTGCCGAACCGGCATCTCGCACTCGCCCACACAACTGCCCACACGAGCATAACACACAAGGCACTGGCTTACACGATACGAGCTGACGGGCTTCTCCGGCGTGGTGAACTACTGGGCCGCCATGGCGCCTGGCGTCGTGTATCGTGTGTCGTGTGCTTGATAATCTGTGTGCTTCCGGCGGCTAGACGCTACGTGAACAGGCGACCGTGTAGGCATGTGCCAGTGGCTGGGAATGTCATGACACACCAGCAAATGCGGGCGCCCGCATTGGACATCGCTTCAGCTTTTGGTCATCAAAGTCCTGGGCGTCACGAATCGAGACCGCGCCAGACCGACCTTCGACCTCGCGTCCTCGCTGCTGCTTGCGTCACAGCCTGCGCGCTCACACTGCGGCCCCGCTGCGGGAAGCAGGTCATTTAATTTCCGCATCCCTGTCTCCTTCAGATGGAACCTCGCTTCAAGCCTCGGCCTATCCCTCGGCATGCTCCCCGGCACGCACGGCACTCGGAGAATGCGGTCTGTCTGACATGTCTCGTGAACCGCCTGGAAGTGTTACATCTGTCGCTTGGCGCCTCGAAACGAACCTCGTTGTCACCTCGTAGCATGTGCTTTCCCGGGGAAGTGGGGAGTGAGGACTTTGCGGTGCCGCGGCGGACGCGGTGCGCGACAAAGGTGGACCAGAACTTTATTACACATGGTAAGGGATATCATACTAGCGCGCTATGAGGTATAAGATAGCAGTGACAGGGCCGATAGCAGACGTCGATCGCGAGAGAACGTGGCTGCCGCGATATCGCCAGACACACGGCCTCCACACACCCATGACCTCACTAACTACACCATCCACACACTACTTAAGCGTCAGAACTACAAAGCATTCCGTCCGTGGTTCAGATTACAGCGCGGCCGCCGCCACCCATGTCGCGTACAACGCCATTCGTCAGCTAGCCAAGCCGGCGCCGGCAACTAGCAGCCAAAAAGCCGGTGGATGCACCGTGGATCCTTCGCCACTCCCCATGGTGCCTGAGCCACGTGCGGGAGTCCACTCCACCACCGCAGGGAGGAGATTTCCAGACCGCGTCCGGCGTATAGAGCAGCCGTGGGGCCATCAACTTTGTCCTCCATCTCATCTTCACCTTCGTTAACTCTACTCATCTTCAACTCACCATGGGAATAGGCTGGATCCTCAAACCCCTCGCAGTCGCATCTGCAGTCGCCTTTTCCACCCTCGGCGTTCTGTCCCGCTCCTCGCAGAGAGCCCGTCTGTACTTCAACGCCACCATCTTTATCGCTACCCTCGGCGCGGCCAGCGCCTGGGGTGTTGTCATCTCTGTCCTCGCTAGTCTTACAGGCCAGGTGAGCTAGTTATCTCGCCAGCGTAGCTGACACGCAGCGTTTCAACATCAACTACTATGGCGCTCGTTCATTTTATCAAATCTGTAGCCCCCTTATCGGCGTCACCTGCGAGGTCGAGGGCGAGGAGCACATTAAGAAGCTGCTCACCGCTAACAACGGCAAGCCCCAGTCGGCCGTCATCATTGGCAACCACCAGTCGGCCTTTGACATTCTCTATCTCGGCAAGATCCTTCCCAAGCGCTCCTCCATCATGGCCAAGAAGGAGCTCAAGTGGTCGCCTGTCCTCGGCCAGTTCAGTGAGTAATGGTTTGAAGGTCCGTGTGTCTGTCCGCCGCTTACATCCAGTGTGGTTGTCCGGTGCCGTCTTCATCGACCGCAAGAACCGCAAGAACGCCCTCAAGACGGTCCAGCAGGCTGGCGACCAGATGAAGAAGAACGGTGTCTCTCTCTGGATCTTCCCCGAGGGCACCCGCGCTTCCCACGCCGAGCCCGCTCTCCTCCCATTCAAGAAGGGCGCCTTCCACCTCGCCGTTCAGGCGCAGATTCCCATCGTTCCCGTCGTTTGCGAGAACTACCACCACCTCTTCGACGGACGCACCCGTCTTGACCCCGGTAACCTCAAGGTCAAGGGTGAGTCAAGCTAAACGATCCTGGCAAGTAAGCTAACATGCAGTGCTTCCTCCGATTCCGACGAAGGGCCTCACCGCCGACGACGTCAATGAGCTGCTCGAGAAGACCCGGGAACAGATGCTCTCGACGCTGCGCGAGATCTCCACTTCGGCCAAGGCCATCGAGGCGCCTGCCGACGAGGTCGTCGAGGAAAAGTTCAGGCCCGAGGCCATCATCGACTCTGCGCCCGAGAAGCTGCTCGAGCCCGAGGCCAAGGCGTCGAGCCCCAGCACGACCGAGGACGAGATGGAGGGCGACGCTGTGCTCCTGAAGCGCCCGAATGCCGGCGCTGTTGCCCAGTAAACACTACCCAAATCATTCATTGTTATCTTGCCAGTATAATCTCAGTAACTCCATATCGCAAGCCATGTTTTCGTATGCATGCATCATTTAGCATTTAGACGCAGTCAGTAGAGTTACAAACCCGGCGGCAACGGTGGCAGGGTCGGAATAGAAATTTCGTGCCGATCACAAGACAACAGATAAGGGGCGTACATTAACGTTCCCGATTAGCGGGATCAATCCGCGTCTCCAGCGTCAGCGCGTCGCTGCCAGCGCCGCCGCCAGCACCTCCATCTTCTCGTTCTGGCCGATCTGACAGTGCGCCTTGACAACTCTCCCGGACCCCACGCACGACACGCACGACACCATGGCTGCTCCTCCCAGGAAAGGTAGCTATCCAACTGTAAGCAAGAGCTAATGACAGGCGAGAACTGGGAGCTGCGCCAGCAGCTCAACAGCGAGTACCGCGACCGCCGGGCCGACGCTATCAAGAGGGTCATTGCGAACCACACGATCGGCAAGGACTGCAGTGGTCTCTTCCCCGATGTCGTCAAGAATATGGTGAGCTCGACCGTCGGGTGAAGCTGACAAGCAGCAAACGGACGACCTGGAGCAGAAGAAGCTCGTCTACCTCTACCTCATGAATTATGCGAAGACGCAGCCTGAGCTTGTTATTCTCGCCGTGAACACTTTCGTCAAGGTAAGCTAACATCTCCTCTCAAGCTAACAGACAGGACACGGAAGACCAGAACCCCCTCATTCGAGCCCTCGCAATCCGAACGATGGCGATGCTTCGTGCAGAGAAGATCCTGAGCTACCTCGCTACGCCTCTTTCGCGATGTCTCCGGGACGAGAACCCGTACGTGCGCAAGACGGCTGCGCTGTGCGTTGCCAAGGTGTTTGACCTGAAGCCGGAGATGTGTCTCGAGTACGGCTTCATCGAGACGCTGCGCGACCTCGTCGGCGACGGAAACCCGATGGTCGTTGCGAACGCTGTCACGGCGCTGGCGGACATTCACGAGGCGGCGCTCGCGATGCCGGAGAGCGAGGACGAGAACGCACCGAACAAGTCGCTTTTCATCATTGACCAGTCCACGCTTACCAAGTTATTGGTCGCGCTGAACGAGTGCTCGGAGTGGGGCCGTATCGCCATCCTCTCGACCCTGTCGCGGTATCGCACAAATGACATTGACGAGGCCGAGCACATCTGCGAGCGTGTCATGCCGCAGTTCCAGCACGCCAACGCCGCCGTCGTACTCGGCGCGATTCGCGTCATCATGATCCACATCAAGCACGTGCAGCGCGAGGACCTCCTGAAGAACCTGACACGCAAGATGGCTCCGCCGCTCGTGACACTCATCTCGTCGGCGCCGGAAGTCCAATGGGTCGCTCTCCGCAACATCAACCTTTTGCTGCAGAAGCGCCCCGAGCTGCTGCAGAACGAGATGCGCGTCTTTTTCTGCAAGTACAACGACCCGCCGTACGTCAAGGTCGAGAAGCTCGACATCATGGTGCGCCTTGCGACTGAACGCAATGTCGACATTCTTCTGTCCGAGCTGAAGGAGTATGCGTCCGAGGTCGACGTCGACTTTGTGCGCAAGGCCGTTCGTGCGGTCGGACAGGCGGCGATCAAGATTGAGGGTGCGGCGGAGCGTTGCGTCGGCGTCCTGATGGAGCTGATCGAGACGCGCGTCAGCTACGTTGTGCAGGAGGCGGTGATCGTGATCAAGGACATTTTCCGAAAGTACCCCCACAGCTACGAGGGCATCATCCCCGCGCTCTGCGGATCGCTGGAGGAACTCGACGAACCCGAAGCGCGTGCGTCCCTGATCTGGATCGTGGGCGAGTACGCCGAGAAGATTGAGAACGCGGACGAGCTGCTCGGCACCTTCCTCGAGTCGTTCAAGGAGGAGTCGTACGCCGTGCAGCTGCAAACGCTGACGGCCATCGTGAAGCTGTTCCTGAAGAAGCCCGACGAGAGCCAGGGCATTGTCCAGGCCGTCCTGCAGGCGGCGACGAAGGACTGCGACAGCGCCGACGTCCGCGACCGCGCGTACATCTACTGGCGCCTCCTCTCCTCGGACCCAGCAGCGGCCAAGGGCGTCGTCCTGGCCGCCAGGCCACCCATCAGCCTTCCGCAGACAACAGTCAGCCCGGCGATCCTCGAGGAGCTCGTGGCCGAGATCTCATCCCTGGCCTCCGTGTACCACAAGCCAGCAGCGACCTTCATCGGCAAGGGCCGCCTGGGCGCCGAGGACGTGAAGCGGGAGGACGAGGACGAGGGGCGCGAGCGCGCGCTGCAGACCGTCGTCAACGCGCAGCGTACCGAGAACCTGCTCGACTTTGACGACGAGCCGGCCGCCGAGGCCGGGAGCTCCTCAGCCGACCTCGCCAGCCTCGGCGCGCCGAGCGCGAGCGCGAGCGGGATCAGCCAGCAGACGATCACGAATGTGGCCAAGAGCACGAACCCCCTCGACGAGCTCATGGACCTGTTCTCGAGCACGAGTGTCGCGCCCTCGGCGCCCAGTCCCGCCCCCAGTCCCGGGTTCGCGTCGCCCGGGTTTGCCTCCCCGGCAGTCGCGTCCCCCGCCCCGCCAGCCCCGCAACAGCAGCAACAGCAGCAACAGCAGGCTCAGCAGGCTCAGCAGCAACAGCAGAACGCAGACCCCTTCGCGAGCCTCAACTTTGGCAGTGCCAGCCCCGCCAAGGCGGCGTCACCAGTACAGCCCCAGCAGCAACAGCAACAGCAGCAACCCAGTAATAATAAGCCCCAGTCGGCCGAGGAGGACCTCCTTGGCTTGTTCTAGATAGCGCACAGTATGAAATACATAGACGACCCTTGTGCGACTACAGTACTCGGCATTTAGCTGAATCAACTTGTTCTACTTGTTCTACTTGATCTGGCTGTGCAGCGTGGACCGAATTGTGTGTGGCAGACTCGGTGTGTGATGAGGATGAGTGTTCCCGGAATTTGTCCTCTGCACCGATTCCCACATCTCGCTGACGACTCGGCCCAAGATGCCAGGGTGACTCGCGACTGTCCGCTGAGGAAGGTGTCCCCGTCTCGGTCTATGCACTGTGTATGAAGGCGTCACGGTTATTCGCTGTCACAATTGGATCTACTGCAACAAGGTCGTGAGTGTACCAGACCTAGGGGATCCAAGTACGGTCAGGCTGTCGGGCGGCAATGCATGTACTTTGATCTATTGACGAGCTATAAAGTCTAGGAAGGAAAATTGTGATGGTCTGCGTGTGCATTGTGATGACCGTGTGCATGGCGGGTTTACCGGTGGGGTGGGAGAGAGATAATCGTGAGGCGTGATCAGATGCAGAAGACGAACGACTGGTCGACAATGACGACGCTTGATGCGGCTTAAGCATGTTCGGCGTCCCAGACGCGGAAGTGCTCGGACGGCGCTGCGCCCTTGTCCGTCTCCGGTGCGACAGCGTCAGCGTCGGTCGACGGCGGAGAGGGGACAGTCGGCATCAGAGCGCTCAGGACCGGACTTGGAGAGTCGGTCGAGTCGCTCTGCGTCAGGTCCGGAGGCGACCGCGCCGACACATCTGCCGGAAAACCGACGGGCGCCTGCGACCCATGACGCTCGGCGAAGCGCTCGGCGAAGCGCTGCTCGGCGGCTGCCGATCCCCGGTCCAGGAGCTCCTCCATCTGGGCGGGGCTCACGACGACAAACCTGCACCCGGCCCTCTCGCGCTCGTCAAGAACCTCGGCGAAAAGGGCGAGTGTGCAGTCGAGGTGGGCGCGGTCTTCGAGAACCTGCTTGGCTTCGAGCGACGACTCGGCATGGTCGAGCTTGGAGACGAAGCTGGCCCACGCCGCAGGAGTAGGCTCGGGCAGCTGGAAACGGGTCTCCTCCTCGTCGTCATCGGTCTGCTCTTCCTGCTTCGATCGAGCAGCGGCATACGTCTGCGCATCCGCGCCTAAAGGTAAGGACGCGTTTGTCGGGTTCACTGCGGCGATGTCGGCAGGTGTGAGCTCGGCCGCGATGTCCAGACCGCCCAAGTCCAGATCAAAGATCAAGTCGGACATCGAGTGTGAGGTACCGCCCGACTGCGCACTCGCGGCCGACCCAGACCTGGCGCTGGGACCGCCTTGCCCTCCGGCTCCGCGCCCTCCTCCCTCGCGGCCGCCCTCTCCCGCAACCGGCGGGAAGCCACCTGAGCCGCCCGACTCTCCTCCCGACCCGCCGCCGTTGCCGGTTTTTTGAGGACGATACTCGAGGTGGTGCTCATTGAAGCCAACTAGAAGTGAGTGGCGAGTCGATGATGGGAAGAAGCAGACTTGGGCGGGCCGCACAGACGTTTAAGTACCTCGTCATGGGAGCCAGGGCGTTGCCTGAGGACGGAGGAGGGCGTTATGACGATGCGCTCAGCGATTCGAATGGCGTTGACGGTCTTCAAGCCAGTGTAGAGTCTTGACAGACGTAGGAAAGTCGAGAAGAACACCTGGAGGCCATTGTCGAACTTGAATCAGTCCGATCGGGTCACTAAAAGCTAACGCGACTTACCAGACGAACTCACAATAGAGAAAGCACTCTGCCGGTCCGATCAATAGCCTTGCAACCGATTGAGGTTCAGAGTGGATGGCTGAAAGCACATTGTTGCGAGCATGAAGCACCCTCCTGGCCCCCCCCAACGAGTTACCGGTGGGAGCCAGGCATCAGCATAACCTCTGGGCGCCGCAGGCAAGCGGCAGGCACAGCTGGGGTGGCAGGAGGTCGGCTGCCTGGACGACCCTGTTCCTGGACGAGTGATCATGAGCATGGAGAGCATCTGCCGTGAGCAGTCGACCTCGCTCATGGACACGATGACCATGCTTGCGACTGGTGATCCTGTAACCAGGTGGCAGATTGTTCTGGAGAGACCGCCAAGTCCAAAGAAGTGATCAAGTTATCAACAAAACACGACGAGCTTCTAGGACTGACAGGCTGCTTCGCCTGGGCTCCCCAGAGTATCTGCCAGCTAGCCAACGATATTCTCCATGAGATAGCGCGCTGTAGGACGAGGGCTTGTGCAACACGTGCTCGAAAGTGAAGATGAGGCGGCCACTGTCCGGCCAGCCGCCGCCGCTGCCGATGCCGCATGCGCCAGATTGTGCTCCGGTGTCCTCCTTCTCCCTTTGCTTCGCGGTCCCAGCCAGTTTGGATTGCCTGGCTGTAGCCACTACACGCAAACGATGGGCCCGATCGACAGAGAAGGCCGTAGAACCGTCGAAGTCAAGCTCGGCATCGCTGTCGGAGTGGAGAGCCGAGAGGTGAGGGACGGTGGCGTGGCTCAAACGGTCGTGCACAGATCGGGCGTACAGGTCGAGGTACAGTTGAAGCGGCACGTGGTCGATGCGATCGTAACGATCGAGGAGGAAGTGGCCCAGGTGCGTCTGCCCAACCGTGGCCAGGAGCTCTCGAATGAGCACGGGGTGAGGCGACAGTCCAGCCTCGGGATGCCAGTCACGCAGCTCAATGAAGACCTCGTCCGGGCTCCTCACGAGAATGCGTGTGAACCCTGTGCCAACGATCACCGCATGCCGGCGGCCGTTTGAGACCTCGACCAGCGACAAAGCATACCCAAGCTCCTGGGCCAGCGCCACCCTGGCTTGACGGTCGGCAGCGGCCTGGCGCACGATGTTGTCGAGATTGAGGATGTGCGGCGGATAGTAGGTAGACCACTGGAGTGGTCGGCCGGCGGGCGAGGCGACGGGGTTGGGCGTGACGTGCAACCCAGTGGCAAGGGGCACCTCGTAGCCATCGATGGCGGAAAGCAGGCGGGGATCGGCGAGCTTGTTGATCTCGTGAATACCCTTGATAGCACCCTATCGTCAGTTTTAGGCAAAGATTGTCGGCATTGGCACTCACATTCACGGTAGTCTCATAGGTACCCTTGAAGGGAGGGATGTCGACGGACCGACGAAGCAAGACATCACCGTCGAGAGTTTGCCGGGCGTTCCACAATGACACCGCCAGCTTGACGCGCTCGCAGATCCGGCGATGATCCTCGATGTGCTGCAGAGCCTTGACTTCGGCTGAAGCCAGACAGTCGGTGAATGGGCACGTCGGGTCGCCGCAAGGGCAGTCCATGAGCAGGGCGAAGTCTGGAAAGATGAAGCCGGATTTGCGGGGCCGCTCCTGCGTGGACTGGGCCGTGCGCGAGGAACTCGTAGAGCCGGACTTGACAGAGCCCTGCCGCTTGCGTGCCAGCACCTCCTCCATGGTCGCGCCCATCGCCGTCTCGTCCCAGCCCTTGCCGTTCATCAAGCGGATGTCGCGGAGACAGGGCTCCGCCATGACAACGAAGGGCGATCGGGGACTCTCGAGGCCCTCGGTGAGTGTGAAGAGCCGGCACCGTAGGTGCGGCTCCTGGTGCCTCTGTTGACGGTGGCGGGTCAGGTTCGCCTGGAGGCCATCTAGAGAGCGGCCCTCTAGAGTGAACGCGGAGCGGTGAGCAAGGAGGAGGTTGTCGAGGTCCGAGTCGGTCTCGACCATGATGGTGTCGATGAATGGTGTCGGGTCCATAGTGATCGTTGAAGGCGTTGGAGGTCGTTGGGGGTGAGTGACGGACGATGGGGGTCAAGTGGGTGAGTATGCAGATGGAGTAGGCGAGGAAGCGCGAACGCATGCTCTTAAGAGCTCTCAGGACTGTGTGCAACGAGCAGGAGAAGACATACTACGCGTGCTGCGAAGGATTCCTGCGCTGGTCTGCGGGAACACACCTTCTCGGTCCCCTCGTCGCCAGCGCCGCAGCCTGCAGTAGGTTCAGTCTCTCTGCCGCGGCGTAGCAGCGCCCCAGCTGTGAACGCGACTAGTGTGAACGGCCGGTAACTGCACGACTGGTAGCAACCGGCATCAGCAGCGTCAATTTAAAGAGCATAACGCGAAGGTCGATGCAGGACCTCGAGGTCAGAAATGTGAGTGATGGATAGTCCGAGTTGATGTCTTCCTCGTCCTCGCGACAGTTGTGTTGAGTGCGTTCGATAGCTGTGCGGCTTTGCTTCTGGGGGCCGCAGCCGCACTGGCAGCACGCGCGGGATGGTGAATGCGTGATGATAACGTTGAAAGGTTGAGTCGAGGCGTCGTGAGGAAGACAACTCCAAGTACTCTCTAGATTAGGCGGATTTTCGGGTATCACTGACCGGGGTCGGACGTATTTCCTTCCCCTCTTGCAGTCGATCGAGTCGGGTCAGTCCAGTGACATCACCGTGTCCACAGGGTGCGCCTTGGCCTCAAGGTCAGGTCAGACAGAAGTGCATCGCATGGGGTCGCTAGCCCCGCTGCGCTGCGACACTCACCGCGGTGTTCAAAGAGGGTCCAGACGAGATCATCCAGATCGAGCCAGTCCAAACTATGTGTCATGGTATGCGGTCTCCGCAGCGAGTGCCCGCATGCGCGCAGACGCGCACGCGCCTGCACAGCTGTGCAAGTTGGGCGTCCCGTTTCAATTGTCGCCAAGTGAGCACTGCCGTGGTGCATCAGCGCCCCGCGCCTTGGCCGGCTTTGGTTCGAAGACATGTCTGCGCGTCTGCGATGTCTGGATAATTGGATAACAATGACGCTGGCACGCTGGGTCTGGCCGCATGCACGCATGTATGGACAACTGGAACCGGACATGCGGCGGCACGATGGGCAGTGCCTGGTGATTGTGCGTCTGCGATTGACCGATGTGCTCAGGGTTTATTCCTGGACAGCTGGTTGCTGCGATGACGGATGCCCTCCTCCTACCTTCTAGCCCCCTCTTAGTCTGCAAGATGGATGAGAATGACATTGCGATAATGACGCACTTGCTGAGCGCACCTATCACCTAGCGGATCCCGATGCCTTTGCTTCGACTGTTCCACTGCACCACTGCTGGCCGCACGGTAACCACGGCGCGCGTCGATGCGCCGACGCCGAAGGGGGTGCACGTCTCATTCGCTGGATCGCTGGGCGGTGCTGTGCACGCAGTTGGTCGCTTGCATTGTTGTAGCGAAGACCGATCGGGAACAGACTGCTGCGCACAGCTGGACTGTAGCATTGGCGGGTGAATGGCGGTCTCGTCGCCTGCGTGTGTCAGTTTCAGTGCACTCAGTGACGCCACGACACTCAGGCGTACAGGGGGGGCGTCGCAGGGCTGCAGGGAACACAAGGGACGGCTCCTCCTGGCAACCTATTACGTTTCAAATGGGCCCATCATTAGCGGCTGGGTAGATCGATTAGCATCTCATTAAGCCAGGACATAAGCGTAGGTGGTCGTATGGGGCCAAGGGAGACAGGGACATGGAGCAGCCTTGCTCCTTGATCCTTGATCCTCGCCTCGAGCAAAGGAGCAAGCGCAAGAGTCAGCAGAGACCGCTTTGCCGGGGGTGTGCCTGCGTAGAAGCGCAGAGAGCGACGCCAACGGCTGGCTGCGTCTTGGCCAAGGCAGCTGCCCCGTTGCCCCGCTTCACGTCGTCTCACCTGCCGCACATGTGCTGAACCAGCATTCCGTACTCCCAGCGCCCTCCACCACCGCTCAGCTCCCGGTCATCCATCCGACTGGCAGTCCACTTTCCCACTCCTCCTCCCCTACCCCTGCAATCCTCACCTGAGGTCTCTCTGGACCCTTCGTCCGTCATCCATCACCACCACCATCTTCATTCCATTCCACACACACATCTTTCTCGCACTCTCCGCTTTCTTGGGCTTTGCGTTCCCCTCTCTTCCCAATCTTCCTTTGCTTGCCCCGCCTTGACTCGCTTCTGAACGGCTCGCCTCGGCTCCTCACTCTCATTCACTCTCCCGACCCCCCCGACTTGTGACTCTCTCCTCTTTGGGCTCCATCGTCATTGTTCACCGTCTAGTCTTGGGCTCTGCGTCTGTGTTCTCCGACTGTCCCACCCCCACACTCACACTCGCTCCACTCTACTTCCCCCCTTCACCCCTGCAAGCGCAGGACCACCGCCATCGTCTCGCGTTTCGTTTCAGCCGAATCAGCCTGTGACCCGGCGCGACCCACCACTCGCAGCTCGCATCAAACCGACCGAGCCTGAATCTGCACGCGCGTCATCGTGACAAGATTATCCCGACCGGCCTTCTTCCACGACACACCAACCGTTTGGTTCGCGCATTCGCATTCGCACAATCGATCGACCAACTAAAGGAGACCCGCACTGCGCAATTCGAATGGATACAAGCATCCATTCGACCACGCTGTTCCCGTCTTTTTGAACTTCCCAATTAGCTTTGAGAGCACACGTACGTTTTCGAGAACCGACCTGGGGCGAAGCCGAAGCTTGAGCTTGCCAGGGTGACTGCCCCACCTCATCTCTCTTTCCGTCCCTCCAACACATCGCGCAGCAATCGCTCTCGCTCTACTAGCCATACCAGGCCATGGGCTCCCCCGCAGACGTGGGCTCCCAGCGGGCAACACCGCCCGGCGTGCCCCACCATAGCGGAAACTCGGACATGGTGTGTCTGGATGACTCCTCTCCACGTCCGCTTGCTGACCTCTTGTCGCAGTCCGGAACCGGTCCCGGGACCAGTAATCGCATCGCAGACGTTGGCGGAAGCAGCGGCGCCGGAGGTTCGATGCGTCAACCTCCCACCTCGGCTGAAATCGATGCAGTCATTGCTGCGGCCATGGCGAATGCACCGCCCGCCCCGCCGCCAATGGAGCTAGCCATCGAAAGTGAGTCACCGCTTCGGGCCCGTGCAGTTCGTTTATTAATGTTGCAGCGTCGACCCGATCCCTCACTCCTCTCATGACCAACATCTTGCCATCAGCCATCGGCTCGGACGGCCGGGTCAACCTCTTCGTCGGCAACGTGAGTTCGGTCAGCGGCTAAGCACTAACTCTCAGCTCCCGTATCGAGTCCGCTGGCAAGATTTGAAAGACCTCTTCCGCAAGGCCGGCACTGTGCTGCGCGCCGATGTCAGCCTCGGACCGGACAACCGTAGCAGAGGCTATGGTAACGTGCTCATGGGCAGCAGGGAAGACGCTGCTCGTGCGATCGGTAGGTTGCGGATCGGCGCTGAGGACTGTTCTGACTCGCAGATCGGTTCAACGGCTTCACCTGGCAGACACGCACACTCGAGGTCCGACCAGACCGACTGCCGCCAGAGTATGAGCCGCAGCCGCATGTCCAGAAGCAGATGTACCGGTACCCTCCGCCCATGCAGCACTTTGGTGGTGCGGGCTGGGGCGGCGGCCGGCCGCCTTACCACGGCCCGCCTTTCGGCCTCCCGCCGCACATGAACTCGCATCCTGTACACGGCGCGGGGCCGCAGGGCTTCGCTCGCGGGCCAGCCATGCATGGGCACGGTGCGGCCGTCCCGCCCATCGGCCAGTCGCCGCTGGCGGGATCGTTGACAGCTGGACAAGGAGGTGCCGGCGCCCACGGCGCAGTCGGCTGGGGTGGAGGCCGGGACACGTTGGCGCCGTTCGGTAGCCTAGGCGAGGTTGCTGCGGGAATTCCGCGTAGCACGTCACCCGGGAACCTTGGCTTCGAGCTCGCTGGTGCGGGCGGACAGCGCTCTGCTTCTCCCGCCCCGAAGGATTCGAGTGACACAACGCCGCGAATCATGCCTCTCGGCCGCGCGTCTTCCGCTGCGCTCGGAGCCGGCAAGATCGGTCCGGAGGAGCCGCACCGCCGCCTGTCGAACGGGCTCGAGGCACCGAATCCCAGCCTGCACACCGGCTTCACCCCGCCCATCAACATGAACGGCCTAGCCGGCCAGGCGAAGGACCTGGGCTCAGTCAACACGCTGTATGATCGTGTCGTCTTCGTGAAGAATGTGAGTTGCATGGTTAATCTTCAACTGACCTTGCAGCTCTCGGGAACCATGCAGTGGCAGGACCTGAAGGATCTGTTCCGCCCCGCTGGCGCCGTCATCCGCGCCGACGTCGCGACCGCACCCGACGGACAGTCGCGCGGCTTCGGCACCGTCCTGTTTGCTTCGAAGGAAGATGCGCAGAAGGCTGTTGGAATGTTCAACGGGTAAGTAGCTTCTAGTCTACCAAGTCGAAGCTGACCTAGCAGACATGAGGTCGACGGCCGCGTTCTGCATGTGCAAACTGAGCGCAAGACGCTTGAGGACAAGCAGATCCAGCCGATCCACCCCGTCGATCCCTTCCCGATGTTCGGCACGAAGCCTTCCCCGCCGGTGTGGGGCGACCCGTCTCTGCCGAGTCTGAGCCTGACGGCCCCGGCGCCCTCGGACACGCTACCCGCGGGCCCGTCGTCGAGCACGTCTCCGACCGGCCGCGTGCCCTGGCAGCTGAACACGGGCTCAACACGGGCTCCTCCCCCGCCGCTCCCGTGACGCCCCAGCGATCCTCGTCGGACGAGCAAAAGGCCAAGCACCCCGGCCCGATCAGCCTGCCGCCCTTCCCGAATCTGAGCGAGATGAACCCTCTCAGCCCGCTGCAGACTCGCGGCCTGCCGCCCATGACGCCCTCCATGCCCGGCTTCGTCTTCAACGCGTATCCCTCGACGCCACCGGCTCACCCGCAGTTCCTCTCTCCCGGTGCCGGCCCCTTCTCCCCCGGTCTGCCCGTCACATCGCCGATCTACCACCAGCAGCCGTTCCTGAATGCCGCCCCCGGTGCGCCCGTTGTGCCCTCCGGCTCAGCGGCACTGAGCACGCCGACGACGCAGGCGTTCCCGAACAACCAGCCGCACTCGGCCGCCGGCCCCCCCGGCGCAGAGATGAGCCAGGACTACTTCCCCCGCCTGGATCCCGACCAGAGCATAGAGGAGGTGCTGGGCAGCACGGCCGCGCTGAAAATTGACGGCGACACGCCGACCAAGAGGGGCACGAAGAAGGCCGCTGGCAGCGGCAGCGCTGTCGGCAGCAAGCTCGCCCCGGGCAGTGGCGGCGCCAATGGCCGCAGCAGCCTGGACGAGGCGCGCGCCCCGAATGCGTGGAACATGGACAGGCGCGCGAGCTGGAGCGAAGTGGCCGCGGGAACCAAGTAGCGCGGCGCTACTTGTTCCCCCGTTCTCCTCCTCTCGTCCTCCGGTGCTCTCATGGCAAGCGAGGCGGAGTAGGAGGAAGGAGCTGTAAGACGTTAGGACGCTAGGACAGTGACGCAGTGACGCAGTGACGCAGTGACATCCAGAAGATCTGGCGTCGGTCGACATTCACAATTCAACAATTTCCACACTTTCCACAGTTACACACATAAATACAAGTTTTTTCTCTTTTTCTCAGTTTGGGTGCTAGGTTTGGGTGCTAGGTTCTCCGGTGCTGCGTTTGGTTTGGGTATAGGATAGGTGGATTTTGGTGGGTCTTTGGTATGGGATTTCTGGGTAGTTAAAAACCATGCAATGCATCGTCTTAGTGTACACTTTGCCGCTCTTCACTTGGTCGACTTTTTGTCTGGGTGCATCGTCTAGCTGCATCGGCGGGGTGTGGGGAGAAGTCTAGCTGCACCATGAGGCGGGTTGTGAGAGGTGGGTGGGGTCTATGGCGCCGGTTGGGCTGGAGTCGTGGTCGGGAGAGGGGTGGGGATTGGCGTCGATGCCGCCGGCGCCGCCGGGGTCGGACAGGCCGTGGGCGGCTTGGACTTGATGCGTCCAGCTCTTTCCTGGGATGGATCTTGCACTGGATGTCAGCTCGTCCGTGACTCACTCTAGAGCTACAGCTCTCTCCTCCATTCAGCTCTGGTCCGCTATCCCCTCTCAAGCCCATCCGTGAGCGAATATCCAGAGCAGCGCTGAGGGAATTCTGAGGGAACTCTGCGCGAGACCAGAGCGAGACCAGAGCGAGACCAGAATGTGACCAGTATGAGGGCGAGGGAAGCAGAGAGACACTCACACATCCAAGCAGGCCTGTAGCTCCCGTCCCCGTTCGCGAGCAACGGGTTGCGCAGCGTGTTGTGCGTGCTCCCCAGAGACGTGTAGCCCTCGTCATAAAGGATGCAAGTTGGCACGTCGAGTTCGCGCAGAAAGTCCCACACCTCGGCGTAGCTCCAGTCCAGGACGGGGTGGACGCGGAGCACCTGCGGCCACGAGGGGTCGGTCGGGGCTAGGGGCTCGACTTCTGCAATCGTCAGCGATGCTCTCTCCCTCTCTCCCGCGTTCCCAAAAACCCCTCAAGCCCTCAAGCTCCACACTCCGCCGGCCATGCGAGACGGGCGACGGCCGGGCGACGGACGAGTGGGTGGTTGGATAACGCCCCATGCTCCCTCCATGCTCCTGGCGGAGCATGGCGGAGCATGTCGCTCTTACTCACTCCCGTTCGGATCATTCTGCCTCGTCCCCAGCAGAATCGCCTTGATGTCCTTCCCCCCCTCACAACTGAGGTATGCGCCAAGGGCAGCCTTCATGCCTCCTCCGAAGCGGTACAGGTCCAGCCCATACAGCTCGACTTCGGAGAGCACAAACGCCTCGAGTTCCGGAAACGGATTCGGCGCGGTAAAGTACACGCTCCGGAGCAACTGGCGGGGTTTCCGCCGCCGTTCCCGTGCCGCCTCGCGCGCTTGTCGCCTTGCTTCTCGGCGCTGTCTGCGTTCTTCGTCACTCTCCCCGACCCCAGTTTGGCCGGTGATGACCTCGCCGAGACTGCCGACTGAGGTGCCGAGGTCCACGCCTGGAGAGGTTGGCGAATCCGGTTCGGGAGAGGGGGAGCACGCCGGCTCGTGGTGCGTTGCGTGCTCTGATTGCCCCCTCAGATCGAGGTTGGGGATGTGCGGGAGAGGTGGCGGCGCAGCGAGCGGTCGGTCCCAGATACATCGCTGTTCGTCTGTCGGCTCCTTCTCCTGGACGGGGGACGAGGGCACTGAGACGTCGGGCATCGCCGCGTGCGGCAGGTCGACGCCTGTGTGGCGCGCGTACAGGACTGCGGCGAAGATGTGCAGCAGCACCGTGCAGTCCTTCCCGCCGTTGAAGGAGAGGGCGACGGCTTCCTCGCTGCTGGTTAGCTATCTCGTTGGGGTCATGAAGCTAGGAAGGAAGGGCCGAGGAGCATCGGAGAATGAGATGACTGCGTTGGGTACGCCATGTCTTGCGTAGACCGCGGACTCGTAAGGCTTGGCCAGCGAAGCGATGGCCCAGTCAACAGTGGCCTGTAGTTCGTTGCAAATGTTAGGCATTTGCCGGCTCACACGCCCTCGGGGTCGGCAAGCTCCTATTTATATTCGGCGGGAAGGCTCCGTCGAGGTTGTTGGAGCGAGGACAGCTGAGCCTAAGAGGTAGCAACTCCCGTAGAGACAAGATCAGAGACGATGACCCCAGGTCGTTCTCAGATTCTCCAGCTTTACTCCCTACCCCTCCTCACTCGCTCCCCTCGTTGCACTCGCTCACTCACCCTAGATCCTCGAGCACTCCATCGATAAGCTCGATCGCCTTCTCGATCTTTTCGCCCAGGGCGTCCTTGACGCGAGCCCTGTCGAGGACGCGGTGGAGCTCCTCTCCAGAGATACGGTTGCGCATGGGTGTTTGTAGTGTCGTTCTAGCGGAGAGTTGGGAGTTGTGGAAGGTGACAGACAGACACACACACACCTACTTTTGCAAGCTATTGCGGCCCGACTACTTGGATGATTAGCGAGCGCTAGGCTAAGCGCGGATTGCCGGGTTGATGCGGCGTGCGGGGCGTGCGGCGCATGCGGCAGACACGGGTCCGGGCCACGTGCGACGGCGTGTGTTGCAGCATGATTTGCTTCCGCGGGCCTAACTGTCACCACCCCCTTCACCGAGCGAGGTTGGTTCTCGCCCTCGTCCGCCTGCAGCCCTGCGAGCTTGCGAGCTTGCGAGCCTGGACAGCCTGGGTCAGCCTGGGTCATGTCGGTTTCGTCTGTCGCCTCCGTCCTTGCAACAGACAACCACCAACATCCTTCCATCCCATCGACATCCCCCTCCGTCCCCCATTGTATCAACACCATCGACCCATCGACAAAAGAATGCCCCCATCCACCGCCTGATCCTTGTACACTAACCCACCCCCCTTGCTCCTCCCCCGCCCATCGCTACCCATCAAAACCTGCCCCCGACCCTTCCCTCCACCCCCATCTCGCTCCGCCTTCGACCGACTTCTCGCCTGACCGAGCTATCCCGACTCCACATCTAGCACCAGGCCATGTCGTACTCGCGCGTGCCGGACGGCGCGCAGAGCCCGTCGGGCCCACCGACCCAGCCTCCAGCCGCCTTGCACCAGCTTCCCCAGCCCGTTGCATCGTCGAGTAGGAACCCGCAACTCGGTCCCAACCCATACTTCCGCTATCCGACGCCGACGCCGGAGCAGATCGACGAGGAGCTCCCGCCGTATTGGGAGACTGAGAATGTGGCCCTCGGACCGATGCTGGACCGTCTTTCTCGTAAGGGATATGGCGACATGAAGGTGCTCGTCGAGCAGACGTGAGTATACAGCTGTTTCGTATCAACCGCAAGCTAAACAACCAGGCTGCCCCCACTCGCGATGCGACAGAAGCCGAAGCAGATCATCGAGTACGCCAAGACGACGAGGCAGGCGGTGCTCAAGTATCTCGCGCTGCTGCGATGGAAGGCATCAGTCGACATGCCGAGCGCGCCGACGACTGCCCCGCCCGCCGCTGTCGGCGCGCACTCCTTCCCGACCCCACACTCAAACGGCGAGTCCAACGACACAAGCCCGTCTTCCCTCCCGATTAAGAAGCCGGAGGAGCAGCAACGCGGCAAGGTGACGGACGCAAGGAGGATACAGCAGTTCCTCGAGCACCAGAACGCCCAGCACGAGGCTGCGATTGCACACATTCGGCATGTCACGAGCATGGTCGAGACGCTGCGAGAGCGCAACGCCGACCTTCTCACAGCCATGTCCCTCCGAAGCGCGGGCAACTACACCCGCCTTCCGAGCATGCTCGAGGAGAGCTTTGTGCCTCGCCCAAAGCTGAAGCCCGCCAAGGTCCTTGACACTGTCGAGAAGCTTAACAAGCACCTGCTCTACCGGTTACGATGCGTCGACTACCTGCCCCCGAGCCTAGTCGTCGAGAAGGTCGCCGACGGACGGGCATACGTTCGCGGCGGCGGCGAGGCGGGATGGCGCGCGCAGCTGACAGTCGCCGGCTTCGACGACGACGCGCGGTGGTGGCTTACGGGAGTCGAGTGGGAGTGGACAGCCAAGGGCCAGAAAAAAGGCTTCGCGCCGGACGAGCGACAGCAGATTCTCGACATGGTGAACAAGGACATTCTCGAACCGCGGCCGATACCGGAAGGCAAGGAGGGGTCGGTGGACGCGCCGCTCGTGCGCGTGACCAACTTCCTGCAGCACCTGTCGCTCTCGTACCAGCTCGAGGTGCTGTTCTCGCAGGCGCTCACGCTCTCGCAGCAGACATACCGGAATCAGCTCATCGTCGACATTGACCGCACCAAGAAGGAGCTCACACTCAAGTATTGGGTTCGTCCGCGACAGGCAGCGCCTGGCCAGAAGCGACCAGGAGGGCCGAGCACGCCGATCGTCGGGGGAATCATCACATTCGCGATCACGGAAAGTAAGACGCCGATCAGCGACACGGAGCGTCTTCTCCGCGAAGTGTCCGCTGGCACAGACGTGCCTGCCGATCGCCCGGTCGGGCTCGAGCTCTCGGTGAAATGGACGGTCGGGGACGCCGGTACCGGCGGCGGCCTCAAGGCTGGCAACCAGATGGACGGATCGCTGCTACGGATCGTGAGTTTGCATTCGCCCCATTCCGCACAGAGGCATTTACTAACTGCGACACAGGACTCGGCTGGACTCAGCATGAAGGAGATCCTGGGGACAGCGACAAAGGCCCACGCCTCGTTCATTGCGCGCTCGACGTTCTCACCATTGCTCGCGAATCCCCGCCTGGCTCTCGACCCGCTCAACCTTCCCAAACTCATCGAGTCCGAGTCCGCCGCCCGCCCGGTGCAGTTCATCATCCCGCTCCCGCCCGCGCAGGGCGCGGCCCACTTCACCGTGTCCGTGTCGGCGACGACTGGTCTTATCGAGATCGAGGATAGCATGAAGGACAGCGGCCAGGTGCTCGAGAACAAGCGCCTGTTACAGACCAAGCTCGCCACTGCGTCGGTCAATGATCAAAAGACGCGCCTCGCCGACGACCTGCACCGACTGATCACAGCCGTGATCCTCGAGACGATCGAGGACAAGATGCGGCAGCTGGGCATGCAGCCGACGCGGCGCATCCCGCTGCGCTCGCACGAGCTCACCAAGACGGACCTGCAGCCGTCGTCTACCATCTTCGTGCCTCTCGCCGTGAGCCAGTCGCACTACTTTGTGTCCAAGATCACGCCAGAGGGCGTGGCGTACGAGCTGCTGTGGCTGCTCCGCGTCCCGATGGAGAATGGCGGATATCGCATGGCTGTCGGGGATCGGACGCCGATCGACCTGCAGAAGCTGATGGAGCGGCGGCGGACAAAGGCGCACAAGCGGGCGCGGGACGAGGACGAGGTGCAACAGGCGAGCGACGCCTGGAACGACGCCCAGGACGCGCAGGCGCAGGCGGTCAAGTGCCGCTTCGACGTCAAGGCCAAGGACCTGCGCGACATGTTCTTCTACTGCAACGCGCTCGTCGCACAGACCATTGTCGAGCAGCAGCTCAAGGACCGCGGCATCCCCTACATTCCGCGGTATCCGGATGAGTCCGACTTCCCTGCGCCGTTCAGCCGCTCCGCCCTCGCCGGCATGGTGCCTTACATCTGCGTGAACGCGAGCGAGCTGTTCAAGGACGGGCGTGCAACGGAAGTCGCTGCGCCGCAGGTCTACTTCGTGCTGAAGGACTGGTGGAAGGGATCCAAGTGCAGTGTCGAGACGATTGTGCGCCTGCAGCAGGCGTCAATGAGCAACGACGAGGCGGCCACGAGCGGCGTCGACCCGGCGAGCTCTTCGGCATCCCGCGCCGAAGGGATCAAGTACGACCAGGCAACGTCAACGGTGCGTTTCCACGCGCCCAATATTGCCAAGTGCGTCCCCGACTTCCTCGAGCAGTGGGAGCGCCTGTCCAAGGTCATCATTGTCGCCGGCGAGGTCAACCGCCTCAACAAGACCGAGGCGTACCGCGACGTGCGCATGCTGAGCTTCGACCTCTGCACAGCGACGCTGCAGTACTGGGACGGGTTCCAGGTCGCAATCACATACACGCCTACCAGCGACTCGTATGAGGTGTCCTTTTTCAAGAGCGACGAGAGCGCGAGCCCGCACCAGCTTCTTGCGCCTCTGTTGTCGCACCACCTGAACGAGCTCACCGCGCAGCCGTCGTACGTGCGCGACGCGCTCGGCAGCAACGGGAAGCAGTTCATCAGCCTGCTGCGCGCAACCCTCCCCCTGTTGCTCGAGCAGGAGGCGCTGCGGACGCAGAGCGCGAGCGAGTTCCCCGCCCTAGTCGTGCGCTCCGTGTTCGACTACCGCTTCGTGTGGGACCAGTTTGGGACGACCCGCTTCGCGCTCGACATCACGCTGAGCGGTAACTGCCGCAGCTTCCTGCTCTCGGACGGCGCGCGCCCGCGTCCGCCCAGCGTGCAGGTTGACTTGAGCTGCGGCGTGCTCACGCCGATTCCAAACTTTGACCGCGTCGTGCAGAAGGGATACCAGGCCGCGCGGCTCGCCAAGGTCGCCACGCCAGCGAGCATGAGTACCCCCGGCGCCGCTGTTGCGATGACGCCGAAAACGCCCAAGACGCCCGGCGCCGGCACGCAAGGGAAGGACGCGCGCACGCCCAAGACGCCCGCAAAGGTCCTCATCGCCAATGGGCGCGCGGTCGGCATGCCCCTCCCCCCCGCCATCAAGCTCGACAACGGGGCCACGCTCATGTGCGCCGCCACCGTGCTCCAGGACGTGCTCCGCGCCATGGTCGCCGAGATTGAGACGCAGGTCGCGGCGTATCAGGCAAAGTAAGGCTGTCCGCGCCGCGAGCCGGGCAGCCGTGAGGATAGAATACATGATGCATCAATCTTTTTGCACACTACGTTGCAACGCTGCTCTACACTGACGTCTCCGTCTACGCTCCGAAGGGGTTCTCGATCTCTGCGGTGTCAGCTTTTCTTACGTTCATAGCTTGCTCGCCGCATTGGTCACGGGCGACAGCACGCAGGGTGGCTGCATCGATCACAAAGTGCACGCAGGCTCGCCATAGGTGATTGACCCGCAGCGCAGCTAGCTCAGCAATGCAATACTTCACCCCATGGCAGGCGCCCGAGCTTGCACCTGCTGACGCTCGTAGCGCTCGCTACGCTCGCTCGCTACTCACCGGCTGATCCGTCGGTCGGCGAGATGAGCACGACATTAGGGCCACGGAGAACGACGAGACCAAGGTTGCGCGGGGGCATGGCGTCGTCTGGTGTCAGCTCAACAGGGAGGCAATAAGCTCACTCTCATACGTCTCGACGACCTCGTCCATAACGAGGTTCATGAGCTGGTCGTAGCCCTTGAGCACACCGGTAACTGTTGTTAGCTCGCGGTCGATTCACAGCTTGCCGCCTTTCGGCGATAGCTTAACAACACCAAGCGGCAGCACCTGTCGGCAGCGCCTGAAGGCGCAGCCCGCCAGCTGACGCACCTTCCCGCCCTCCGAGGAACTTGACTCGGATGCTCTGGTCGACATACTGCGCGAGGTTGAGGATGGATTCCCGCTTCTTGCGCTCGGCGCCGTCCTGCTTTCCGCCGCGTCCGCCTCGGCCGCCACCGCGACCTCCCTGATTGTCAGATGACCAAAGGACCTTCAAATCTTACTCGAGAAGACATGTTAGATATTAGGTAGGGTGGTGGGTGGGGGGGATGAGTGCACACAGCAGACCGCGAGCGCGACTATTGACCTCTCGATGCTGGGTCTGGATGGTGGAACAACATGACGTGCGGAAGCAAATTGGCCCTCCACCGAAATTGACCTGGGCTGCCAGCGGACGCTGCCAGGGCTGAACAAGACACCGGTCCTGGCGTCCATGGCCAAGGAGGGCAAGGAAGACGCGATATTCCTCGATCGTCTGACCAACACTCACCATGGGCAAGGAGAACCCCTCGCTTTCCTTCAAGCGTGAGCTATGGCCCTGTTACTCCCCAGCTGACAGACAGTCCTCAACCTGCTCTCGCGCGAGCGTGCCGTCTACGGCCTCCGCAACGGCGACAATGAGCGGTACCGGTGAGTCTACCCTCTCTAGCTGCTACAACATTCAGTAAGCTGACCGCAGCCACCACTGCGCCAATAAGCTGCACAGGCTTAGGCAGTCGACAGGCCTGACGAACGGCAAGGGCAAGCAGTTCAAGGCCGCCCCCGCGCTCACCCCGGAGACGGTCAAGGACGCGAAGCACCTGCAGCTGCTGCTCTTCTCCGCCGAGCGTGCGCTTGCCTACTCGCACGAGCTCAAGGCTCTCGCGACGAAGCAGGGCGCTCCCCGCACCGCGCGCAAGGAGCAGATGTCATGGCTCCGCAAGGCGGCCAAGTACGCCACCGAGCTGCAGGACATCACTTCTGCGCTCGCCAAGAACGGCGCCAGCATCAACTTCCAGACCCGGGCCGAGGTCAGCATCTACTACCTCTCTGTCAAGGCTGAGCTCGCCTTCGAGCGCGCGCAGTACGCCGACGTGCTCGCTGCGCTCGCCGCTCGCCGCGAGCTCCTCGACACGCTCGCGTCTGCGGCTAGGGACAGCCACGACCAGGCGCTCGCTGTCGAGTTCTCTGACGCCTACGACCCCCTCATCCGCTTCTCGGCTTACAAGCTCGGCAACACCTCGAGCCACGACATTGACGCCGTTGTTTCCGACATTGAGCCGGCGATGCGCGAGGAGGCCCTGCCCGGTCTCGCTCAGCTCGTCGAAGGTCTGAGGGAGGAGACCAAGGCTGGTGAGATGGAGGCCGGCCGCCGGACGCTGGACGAGGTCGTGTTCGCCGGTCAGAAGGTCGAGTTCCGCTCTGCCGAGATTGTCGATGCGATGCTCCGCGTCCAGGACGCCCAGGCGCGCCTCGCCAAGGCCCAGGGTGGAAAGGGCAAGGGCGGCATGGCTGCTTGGGACCGTCTGCTTGGTGTCCTCGGCGACGCCGAGGCGGTCGCCCGCCGCCTCCTCGACGACCAGGTCGGTGCCGCTGGTCAGTCCACTGCCGCCGCTGCTGCCCAGACCGCACACCAGTACATCTCCTTTGAGCTGCTGGCTCACCGTATCCGCCGTGACCTGCTGCTCGTCGACTCGCTCGTCGGCACGACAAATGCTCTCCCCGAGGACCCGACTGCTATGAAGATTGCCGGCGGTCGTGCCCGGGTCGAGGCGGCTGTCAAGGTCCTCTCCGGGGTCGTCAAGCTGTACGACACAGTGCTCCAGAGCATGCGTCAGATCCGCGGCCTGCCCCTCGTCGAGGAGCGGGAGGGCGCGCGCCGCGCCGCCGAGGCCGTCGAGGCATACTACGCCGCCACGAAGGCGTACACGTTGGCCAGGCTGCAGTGTCTCTTCCCGAACCCCGGCTACGCTGCTGCTGTCGAGCTGCTCCAGTCCGCCCAGCAGAGCGCGGACACGGCAGCCCGTGTGCTGAAGGAGGGCGGGCTAGCCGAGGAGGTGGTCCAACTCTCGCCAGAGCAGGCCGCCAAGCTGCAGCAGGATGTCAAGGCGCTCAGCCTGGCGGCGAAGCGGGCGCTGTTCGCGCAGACCGTGACCAAGCCCGTGTTCTTCGACTCGGCGTTCAACTACATCGACTTGCCTATGGAGGATCTGCTCGAGCTGGCGGGAAGCGCTCCGCCAAAGGTACAGCAGAGCCAGCCGGCCAAGCCTGCGCCGGTGCCCAAGGCGCCCGTTCGCGAGACGAGGCAGGCCATGCCCAGTATCGAACAGCAGGTCCAGCACCAGGAGGAGGAGGAGGAGGAGCAGCAGCAGCAGCCGCAGCAGAAGAAGGGCTGGCTCGGAGGATGGTTCGGCCGTGGATAGTTATGGGTTCTTGCATGCATCACAGGTTATTCTGAGGATCACTGTAGGAGTGCAGATCAGTGTGACTGTAAGAGCGTGGTCAGCTGAGGGTGCAGGTGGAGGCCGGTTATCCTAGTTGACGCGACGATATGGAGCCCTCAGATTTCGGTCCATCTCGCGCCTGCATGCGGTTTATGGCGCGCTTCCCTGACAACATTGTTTTGGCATCCGCCCATCTCATTAACGACGTCCCATCCACCCTCCAGCTTCCCTCTCGCGACACCTGCCTTATTCTTCGCCGAATCCCCGTCCTCCCATCCGTCCGTGCTGCAGATTAAGCCACGCCGCCGATGTCACCCCGGCGCACCACGTCCTCCCAGGCGGCGCGGGCCGACTACCAGCTTTCCGATGATGAGGGAGACGAGCTCTTCCTCTCCGACGGCGAGGACACCAAGCCCTCAAACCTGGAGACGAGCCAGATCCTGAAAGGACAGCTTCAGGAGCCGCGATACAAGACCGTCAACTTACGGCAACTGCACGGTACGTAGCCCTTCTTTCCTCGTGTTCGCCACCCACTTTCGCACCCACGGCGCGCGTCGCGGTAAGCTAACTTTTAGATCTCATCCACACGGGCGGCGTCAACCTCGAGCCAGACTATCAGCGAGAAGTCGTGTGGTCAAAGGACAAGCAGTCGGGCCTGATCGAGTCGCTCTTCCTCAACTACTATGTGCCGCCAGTCATTTTCGCGGTCGACTACAACGAGGAGACGGGCGAGGAGGAGCGTGTGTGTATCGACGGCAAGCAGCGATGCACGTCGGTGCTCAACTTTTACGACGGCAAGATTCCGTTCAAGTCGCCCAGCGGGCACAAGTTTTGGTACACTGCGCATGGTGTGCGGGGCGGGCAGATGCTGTCGCCGGCGCTGAAGCGCAAGTTTGACCAGATCTCGCTCCAGGTCGTCGAGTACCCGAATCCGACAAAGGAGGAGCAGCGCGATATTTTCCAGCGAGTCCAGCTCGGTATGCCGCTCTCGTCAGCCGAAAGGCTGCAGGCGCTTGGCGGCGAGATGTCGGCGTGGATCCGCGACCTCGACAAGCGTTTCATCAACGCCGACGACGGCTTTGTCGCATACCTCGACAAGTTTGACGTCAAGCGTGCGCGCTCGTTCCAGATTCTCACCGCGTTTGTGTACATGGCCTACGACGGAAAGCGCATCGTCCCGACGGCCAACTCGGAGGACAAGTTCCTCAACTCGGGCATCGTTCCCGAGCAAGCGTTCAGGTGGAAGATCGAAGCGGCGCTCACCATTCTCCTCACCATCGCTCGTGACTTCTACCAGTACTCCTTCGGCGTCGTCGAGCAGCGCGTGGCGCCCGTCGAGTTTTGGTTTTCGTGCCTCCTCGTCTACAAGCGCATGACCGTGCTCTCCACAGTGAGGCTGGCGACCGAGATTGGCGAGATGCGAAGGTACATCCGTGGCAAGTGGGTCGACATTCGCGCCAACACCAACATCCACAAGGATCTGTACGAGTTCCTGGACAAGACTGTCCCCAACAAGCGCATCAACGGCGAGAAGGCTGCGATCGAGGAGCACCCCGAGCTCACGGCCAACATGAGCCGTAAGCGCCGACGGGAAGAGGAGCAGGACGGGACGTACATCGACAACGCGCCTTCTGGCCGGCATGCGCGAACGTCGGACGTGGTCCACGGCCTGCGCTCGAACCAGTACTACTGAGTGTGCGTCACCGGGGGTTGCAGAGATACCATTGTGGATCGTAACGTAGCTATAGATAGTCGCAGGTGGATACTTCATGCATGTACGTTTGGTAGTAGCAGCCATGGGCCAGCGTCACCGAGTCGCGTGCGTTCGACGGCTCTACCCGCTATGATACGGTTGTTCTGTTGCTTCGACGACGAAAGGGTGATCTAGCCCCGTAGGACAGTGTACGGGGGATACGGGGTTGTTTGGGTGGAGGCTTGGCTGTGGAAAATGAGAAGTGGTGACTGGAGCGACTGCCACTGAGATTTGCCGCCAGGCTGGGATTGGGCTGGCCCAGCTCGTGCAGTCCTCCTCCGGGTGCGTCATTCACAAAGTCACAAACTCAACCCCGCTCCCAACACCGCCCTCCCTTCCTCCGTCTTCTCACCACCTCCTCCCCTCCACCCCGGCCAAGGCTTCGTCGCACCCCAAATGCCTGGCCCCTCTACGCACCCGCGTAGGAGACAGCGCACCCGCCATGGCCACTCTTCCCGCGAGGACACACCCGAGGTCGACGATCCCCAGACGCAGGCTACGTCCCAGCCTGCGACTGCCTCGGAACTAGTCCAGTGGGTCATATCTGCGTACCACAACTCACCCCCTCCCACAGGCAAGCGCAGGACGCAACGACGGAGCTGAAGGGCCTGCTGAAGAGCCAGACGCCGTGGTCGAAGGATGCGTTCAACGTCCGCCAGCGGTGAGTGACGCTCGCCAAATACAACCCTGATGTTTGGTTTTGGGCAGTTGCTGCAGCGCAGCCGCAGCAGGGCACCTCGAGCTGCAGCAACTGCGAGGCATGCGAAGGGGGCTGATCGCTGACACTGTCCGCAGCGCACGAAACGCATACCTGTGCATCCTGTTCCAGCACCCGCTGCACCCGCAAGCGCAGAGCATCGAGCTCCTCTGGATCAGCACGACATACACCCTCATCTCGGCGTACCGCGATGCCGTTGCGCGCATCGAGGCGACGCTCCCCGCACCTGGCTCCGGAGCAAGGGCAAACAAGGACGCCCTCTCCCACCTGCGCACAACGCTGAGCCGCTTCCGCCAGGCGCTCGTCAAGGAGGCGGCGTTCTACCACTCGCTCATCACGCGAATCGTCACCTTCCACAGGCTCCAGGACCGCACCGCGCCGTACTTAGCCGAAGTCAACATTCCTGTCGGACCCGGGGAAGACGCAGAGGATGACCCCTCGCTCGCGCCCCATCTCAGCAAGGAGGAGCTCGACAAGAAGATCGATATCGTCTACAAAGGGCTCATCTGTCTCGGAGACCTCGAGCGGTACAAGGAGCAGTACTCGGACAAGGCGCGCAAGGAGCGTGACGGCGCACCTGCCAAGAACGGGCGCGAACCGGCAGAGCGCTTCAACAAGGCTATCATGTACTACGAGGTCGCGCGGGGGTTGCAGCCTGACAATGGTGAGCTAACGTTGTCCGTCCTTTAGCTGACCCACAGGCACCGCATTCAACCAGCTTGCTGTCATCGACGGCTACCTCGGCGACAACTTCCACTGCACGTACCACTACTTCCGCGCCCTCGAGGTGCGATTACCGTTCCCGAGCGGCGAAGCGAACCTGGAGCGAGTGCTGAAGAAGGTCTTTGACAAGTGGCGGTCGCAAAGGCATGCTGCCAACGCTGCCGAGAATGGGGAGCAGCCGGCTGCCGCGGCGGAGAAGGAGAGCCAGGAGGAGACAGACGTCTTCAAGCGCGACCTGCTGACGGTCGTGTCGATCTTGTTCATTCGGGCAGGGTAAGTTGCCACGCCGCGCACGAGAACTGACATCAGAACGAGCCACTTCAACGCGCTGTGCTCGCAGGTGGCTGTTGCGTTCGCGCGCCTCCTGCGCGAGCGCAAGCTGCTGTCCGAGACGATTGTGAAGACGACCGCCATGGCGATTGGGTCGCACTGGCAAGCTCGGCTGGGCGCGAACTCGAGCGGGGGCGAGGGTGCCGAACGGCGGCACGTCGTGGAGAATCTGTCGCTCATCTTCCTCATGAGCATCTTCACGAGCCTCGTGGTAGTGGCAGCCGAGGAAGCGGAAGAGGCGCTGGCGCAGGTGAATGCGGACGACTCGGCAGTGGTAGACGAGGACGAAGAGGTGCCGCTCGCACAGCGCATCACAGCGGTCTTGAGGCGACTGTTACCAAGCCTGCGCATCATGTCGCGCTGGCTCAAGTCGCACATCGAGTATGTCGGGCGTCTGGCACCCGCCTCTCCCGAGGTCGCGCACAGCGTCACCAGCTTCTGGAGCTCGTACAAGCGGCTCATGTTTGCGCTGGCGCAAGTGTTTCCACTGGCGCAGTTGCCAGAACTCGACCAGCCGCTCGAGGAAGACCGCGACATGCGCGGCTTTGCGCCGCTCCGCGGTCATCGCGCAGCTGCCAGCAACGACGAGGAGCTCCCGCCAATTAACGGAGAAGTGCATCCAAATGAGGAGCAGCTGATGCGCCTCGCCGATTTGCTCGTGGACGTGAAGTTGCTTATGCAGACGGACGTTGGGCTCCGCGCACTTAGCAACCTTGACCACCAGGCTTCGCAAGCCGTCGAAATCCAGTCCCAGGCGGAGACGGAGGATGACCCCGTCAACCTCGCTATGCGGGCGAGCCTTGGCGCGGACGGGATCAGCGTCGGTGCGGCCTCGGCGGACGATGATGACGAGGTCATCCTATGGGGCAACAGGTAAGTCATACGCTCCAGTTGCCAGCCCGCTACTTCCCAACTGACATCAGCACGAGCACGCCCGTCATTCCCCCAGTATCTGCAGCGACGACGGCACAAGGCCTACTGCAGTCGTTAACCCTTGCTCCCTCGCCGGGACCTGGTGATCGGCGTCCTCCGTCCCTGCTGTTCGGAGGGATGGACGGCGGCGGGCAGACGATCTGGACGATGTCTCGGGAAGAAAGCCAGAAGGGGATGCAGCGAGCCCGCCAGCGCGACAGCGGACAGTGGGACACGCGTGCGAGCGGGTCCGGTCCTCCCGGGCAATGGGAGTCGACCTCACGCCAAGCGAGCGGGCAGTGGGACGCGGGCGTGCGATCTCGCCAAGCGAGTGGACAGTGGGAGGGCGGCTCGCGCCACGCGAGCGGACAGTGGGAGAGTGCGCCGAACAGCGCGCGGCCGAGCGGACAGTGGGACCGGGCATGGGACGCCCCGAGTGTCCATTCTGGGTCACGACAGGCGAGCGGGCAGTGGGATTCTGCGCCCAACTCGGCCCGACCCAGCGGACAGTGGGAGCGCCCGACCTGGGAGGGACGACAGTGGAGTGACCCCCGCCCGCCGGGACTGCCGGGGCTGACGCCGCCGTCCCCACGCCGCCGGGCATCACGCCTCCGCCGGGTGCGCCGCCAGGTTTCGGACAGCAGTACGGCTACCGCCCCGGGTCTGGGCAGGGCTTCGCTCCCCCCGGCCAATCCTTCGGGGGACAGAGCGGCTTCAGCAGCGGCTCGGGGCAGTACGCGGGCCCAAATCAGTTCGGAGGCACCAGCGGCGGCGCACCGCGACCACCGCCCGGCCTCGCGCCCCCGCCGGGTTTGCAGAGCGGTCTGCAGAGCAGCCTCCAGAGCAGCCTCCAGAGCGGTTTGCAGAGCACCTGGTCCCAGTCCCCGCAACAGCCGACAGGCGGCTCTGGGTCGATCTGGGGCCCTCCAGCTCCGGCCGGCGGCCCACAGAGGACGGATAGTTGGAACGCGGCGCAGTTTGCGCAGCAACAGCAGCAGCAGCAGCAGCGTACGGCGAGTGGAGGCAGTGCAGGAGGGGGGCAGTGGTCGTACGCCCAGTGAGCGGGGCAAAATCATAGATAGACATCTGAGATGCACGAGGTGGCTGAGAGCTAGAAGCTGAACTGGGTCACGACAGGCGAGCGGGCAGTGGGATTCTGCGCCCAACTCGGCCCGACCCAGCGGACAGTGGGAGCGCCCGACCTGGGAGGGACGACAGTGGAGTGACCCCCGCCCGCCGGGACTGCCGGGGCTGACGCCGCCCGTCCCCACGCCGCCGGGCATCACGCCTCCGCCGGGTGCGCCGCCAGGTTTCGGACAGCAGTACGGCTACCGCCCCGGGTCTGGGCAGGGCTTCGCTCCCCCCGGCCAATCCTTCGGGGGACAGAGCGGCTTCAGCAGCGGCTCGGGGCAGTACGCGGGCCCAAATCAGTTCGGAGGCACCAGCGGCGGCGCACCGCGACCACCGCCCGGCCTCGCGCCCCCGCCGGGTTTGCAGAGCGGTCTGCAGAGCAGCCTCCAGAGCAGCCTCCAGAGCGGTTTGCAGAGCACCTGGTCCCAGTCCCCGCAACAGCCGACAGGCGGCTCTGGGTCGATCTGGGGCCCTCCAGCTCCGGCCGGCGGCCCACAGAGGACGGATAGTTGGAACGCGGCGCAGTTTGCGCAGCAACAGCAGCAGCAGCAGCAGCGTACGGCGAGTGGAGGCAGTGCAGGAGGGGGGCAGTGGTCGTACGCCCAGTGAGCGGGGCAAAATCATAGATAGACATCTGAGATGCACGAGGTGGCTGAGAGCTAGAAGCTGAATGGGAAAGTGGATGCATTGCAAAGATGGTATTCTAAAACTACTAACTACTCCGTCCTCTCTACACCGCGCCCGAGGACGAGCACAGAAGGGAGGAGGCGGGCCGGCCCAAGCACCTATCGCTCGCTCGCTGCGCTCGCTTACTCGAGCCGGCTCTCGCCGTTCTTCTCGGGGACGTTCATGACAGCGTCAAGACTCTCGGGCGCGGCCTGATACACCTTGAGCCAGCCGGCGAAGCGGGGGTCCCAAGCGACGGGTGTGTCAGGCTTGACAATGCTCCATCCCTCGAGGTTTCCCTCCCACCTGAGCTCCTTCTTGTTCCTCTCGTCGCGCAGCATCTGCACCGTCTCGACGGGCTTGTCGCTCTTCTGCTCCTCGGGGGTGATTTCGCGCTCTCCCCTCGCGAAAGCCTTGGCGGCCTCGACGCGCTTGGGCAGTTTCTCGTCGTAGTACTTTTCGCGCTCTTTCCCGATCTCCTCGGGCGTCTTGGCATAGTCCTTCTTGTAGTACTTTTCGAACTGCGTGTCAAAGTCCAGGTCCCCGCCCTGGTGACCCGCAATGGACGCGGCGGAGGGAATGGCTTCGCCCTCGTGCAGGGCCTCGGCGTCCTCGACCACGGCCACCTCGGCCGTCACGCTCGGCGGCTCGAACGCGCGCACCTGCTCCGTGATGAGGGCGTAGGCCGCCTCGGCGCCCGCTTTCACGCGCTTGTGTTCCGTGAAAAAGTCGTAGATCATGTACGGGATCTGCTTGAAGCCGAGGTGGTTGCACCAGTCGACGAGCAGGACGGGGGCGTGCGGAGGCAAGGGGGTGGGGGGCTCGTGCCAGTTGGGCGGGATTGAGAACTTTTGCGGCGCCTCGGGCGTCTGCGTCTGGGTCTGGGGCGAGGGCGAGGGCGCCTTGCGGCCGCCGTGCCCGAAGAGGCCGGACCACCACGACTTCTTCACGGGCTCGTCGTCCTCGACGGGCGGGAGCGAGAGCTTGGCCGCGGGGTTCGGGAGGCCGACGTGCTGCACCCCCGCTCCAGTCGGGACCGCGGGGACAGGCGTAGCGGCAACAGCCGTTCCCTCGGGAGACGACTCGAGGACGACCTCTCCGGCGGGAGGCGCCGGGGGGTCCGCAAACGGCTCGTCGCCCAGGGTGCTCTTGACGCTGTCCTCCCACGACACCATTGCTCCACCCCGCAGTCAGACCGGCCATGTACTCCTTCATCGTCGGGCGGCCCATGAGGACGACGCCGCCCTCGTCCGCCTGCCGCTCCAGCTCGCGCTCCTTGTCCGTCTTCTCGACGGGACCGAGGATGTCGCCCGGGTTCAGGTTCAGGCTCTCGCGGCGCGCCTTGAGCACCTTGGCGCGCACGATGCGCGCGACAGAGCCGTACAAAGGCGCGTGCACCAACTCATAATCGATCGCCGCCGCGGCGAGGTATGGCTGGGCAGTTAGCTCGAGTAGTCCGATTCCAGCTAGCCCCCGGGGTCTGCACACGACCATCGCCGGAGAGGACGTCGAAGCCCACCGAAGATCACTCACCTTGACGTATTTCCTGAAGTAGAGGAGACCGCGGTCGCTCTCGTCGTCCTCGGGCCAGCGCGCCGCATACACGGTCACCTTGCGGGGGAGGTCGAGCGTGTTCTTGAGCGGCACGGCGGCCATGGGCCGCACCGCATCCTCGTACCGCTTGCGGATCTCCTTGGCCTGCTTCCGGTCGTCGTAGTAGATGTAGCTCACCGTGCCGACGACAGTGAGGAAGATGCACCAGTTCCGGCTCGGCAGGCGCGGCTTCCAGTTGATCACGCTCTTCGGCAGGCCAGTGTGCTCCAGCGCCTTGCGGAAGCCCTTCAGCTCCTGCGGCGCCTTCTTGGCCGCTTCAGCGGCGGCTCCTGCGGCAGTTGTGGTGCCGGTCGTCGTCGAGGAAGAGGCGGGCGCGGCGGTGCTCGCTGAAGGCGCAGGGGAGGGGGCAGACCCCGGTGCAGAGGCACCAGAGCCTCCCGGCGTCGTCGGAGGTTGCTCCGACATGGCTCGTGGATGGTCAAGTATGCATGGTGGCGGTCCCGGTCAGCGAAAAAAAGTAGCCTACCAGACGAGCCGACGGCGCTCGGGCGGATCGGTGGCGGCGGCAAATCGCTCACCATACCGGATTGACCTCCACCGAGCTTGTCCACCTGACAACCGCCATGCTGACCAGGTACACGCAAAGAACATCTTATTCTCTGCCCAGGTGACTGCTACGTTACGCAATCATACTATCACTTGCGCTTTCTTTGATTGGTGTATCCATGCCTTTTTTTAATACTACAACGCTCGCTCGGAGCGGCGTGAAACATGCAGTGTCCTCCGATTACTCTCTCAACTCTTGACAACTCAACCTCCCTACTCATCATCATCGTCATCCTCCGACATGCTCTCCTTCAGCATCTCGAGCAGCTCGTGCGCCTCGGACAGCTGAGCGTTCAGAATCGCTTGGCCTTCGGGCACACTTCCGTCGTCGGCGTGGAACTTGCCGTCCTTGCGGATCGAGTCGATCTGGTGCAGCGCCAGGTGGTAAGGGTAAAGGTCGCGTGGGCTGTATGGTCCGCCGTACTTGTGCACCTCGTTCAGACACTTCTTGATCGTCGAGAGCTTGTTGGCGATCGGCATGAGCTCTTCGGAGATGGGCTCAGACTCGGACATGAGACGGTAGATCAGACCGTAACAGCGGCGCAGCAGGTAGAGCAGCAGGTACTGTCCCTCGGCTTTGTTGCCGTCCGCGTCCACAAACTTGCCGTCCACACGCATCGAGTCGATCTCGCGGAGCGACAGAAGGTAGTTGTACAGATCCGTCTCACGCAGCGTCCAACGATGCGTAAGAGCTGAGGTCAGCTCGGCATCTCCAAAAGAAAGCGGTCGTCGGGTACTCACTGAGCTGCTCGAGCTGCTGCTTCATCGTCGTGAGACGCTCCCAGATAGGCTTGAGAGGCGGGCTAACGTTCTCCTCGTGCTCGCGCGCCTTGATGTCCTGCACAATGTCGAAGCACGAATCGATTAATCCACTGAGCAGGGCTTGTCCCTCGGGAACCGAGGAGCCGCCCGGACCCAGGAATTTGCCATCGACACGCTTCCTGCGAACGTCATCAGTGGTGCGCCCAATGGAAATTGGCCAGGGGCGAACTTACGAATCAATCTTGCGGAGCTCCTCCAGGATAGCCTTGAGCTCGGCCTTGTTGACCTTGGGCTCGGTGGCCAGGGCCGTCAGCTGCTTGCGGATAGCAACGAGACGGTTGTGAATAGGGACGAGCTCGATCGACAACACGGACAAAGACTCCATCAGTTCGTTCAGGATCGCCTCTGAGATCGTCAGCTGATTGTCCCATCGGGCAGGCCAGTGACTCACCGGTTCCCTCCAGCTTCTTCTGCATGTACTTCAGGACCGGCTCCGGATGTCTTCCCTCCTCGCGGTCGTTCTTGATGATGGTCTTCAGCTCCTCCAGACGGTCCCTAAATCCCTGCAGATACGCCTCGGTGTAGACACCAGACTCGTCCATGTGGCTCAGGATTTGCTATTCGGTCAGCGGTAAGTTCCGATCGCGGTGGGCTCACCCTCATGCTAGCAATCTGGCAGTACACGGCCGGACTCTCCCTGCTTTTGCCGACCGTGAGGAACATCAGACTGATGAGCGAGAACACATCGGCAATGATGGTGTCGACACGGTTGGGCTCATACGTAGACTTTGGCGGGTTGCTCGGGTTGCTTTGTAACGCGGATTCGGAGGCCTCTTCGCGGATCGCATTGAGTTTTGTCACTGGCTGGGTCAGTCTTCCCTACACTTCGGAGGGTCGGGGATACACACGTTGCTTGATGATCTGGTTGTAGATCGACATGACATCTTGAGCTCTGATGAACCGGGTGCTGTCCTGAGGAAGGTGTCAGTGACTGCGATGCCAAGACCACATTGCCGAAGACTTACCTTCTTGAGGGCCGTCAAACGGTTACGAATGTTGATGAAGGCCTCGAGGATCGGCAGTTCCTCCTGTAAAGTTGTCAGTCCTCGGTGCCCGTCGGTCTTGCAATGCGCAAGGGTGTACGACATACCTGGGGAACCATGTTGGACGACATGAGGTGCACGTTCCGATGAGTGACAGAATGTGGAGATCAATAACAAAGGGTTGAGGTAGGGGCCGCCGGCGGCACGGACTGAGGGGCTGGGCTTGGAACCTTGGACAGTCGCAAAAGCGGTCTTAGATTGCCGGGGGTGCAGGTAATGTTTTGGGTGGCAAATGACGGACGAATGCACGGAAAGGACGGATGACGAATGGCGGGGGACGGGTATGCAGTCGGCGGAGTCGGGGTTCGAGTCGAGTGCAGAGGGAGGGTGTGGATCAAAAGGACGTGTGGAAGGTTGTTGAAGGATGATGTAAAAATGTCTAGGTGAGTTGTGGTGAGTCGTTGTTGGTCTGGGCATGGCATGGCATGGCTCAGATCTGGGCACTGCCGGGCAGGTGGGTGGCCCGTTGCCGCTATGGTGACCGCGAAAACGACTGCCCGATGATGCAGCCTGGCCGGCCGAGATAGTGCACAGTCATGTCGTGGACCGTATCTGACGTCTGGCCCGCCGGCTGGACCCAATCCCCCACTTTACACTGGGACCACTGCCGTCCCCAGCCGTATGCGGGGTCTCATCGTCAGTTGTGACTGGTTCGCGATAGCCTTGGCACCTCCTCGATGCATATAAACGTCCTGGTTGGCTCCGCCGATCCATCCTCGTCGCGGGATGCCAGGATGCCCATATGGCCAGGATACCATGTCCACTGCCAGTGCCGCGCGTGCACGACGCAGGCTTCGATCTGGGGAGGCCGTAAGAGGAACGAGCATGTTCCTGGGCATTCCTGGCCTGCGCGGACCCAAAAGCGTGCTGCTGAGCATTGCAAGTGGCCAGCGTTATTAGAGCCCTGACAGCTTCCAAATCTCATTAGGAAGGAGGATTAGACAACGGGAGGCTAGCTGGACCTGGGAATTCAGCCCACGCCTTGGTCGTGATGCCAGCCTCGACCGCCTCGATCGCATGCCTAACAGCCTAGCCTGCCTGGGCCTGCACACGGGGGGCATCACGAAACGTGGTCAGGATCACGGCCAGGAGCGCCCAGGAGTGGCAGGAGTTCCGGCGAGCATGACGTCGCGCTGTGAGTCAAGCACGTCACGGCGTTTTCTCGGTACTATTCTTAGTGGCAGGGTCCTGGCTGGCCCTCAGCCCTCTGTGCCCCCTTGACTTGGCCTAGCGCCCGCGTCCTGCACGCTCCTGCCGCCGACAATAGCCCAATGACAATCGAGCATGTTCAGGAAGTGCTGCCGCGTAACATGCAAGCCCGCGCCGCGGCCCCTTCACCCTCCTTCCTCTCTGGTCTCTGTGGATCTCGCTCCTGGCCTCCTGGACGCATGGACGTTCACGGGCTCGCGGCCTTGCGGCTCGCGGCTCGGGGGTCGACTAAAGTGGTCGTCAGACAATCAGGAAGCAGGCATGCTGGAAAGGAGATTATTAAACCTAAGCTCGGCGGACATGCACCTAAGCTCGGATATTCGGCAGTGCTTGCTGCTTATGCAGCCCGGAACAGAGTGGACACGGAGCATGCATTTAGCATTGAGCTGAGACGTATGAACAACAGCGCTGGGGATCGCATTGGGTCTGTGCCCGGAGATCCCAGGAACCTGGGCAGACAGTGGACTGTGGGTCGACCGGAACCCGCGCGGCTGTCTGTACGCGTTCATCGCTGAGTTCGGCGAACTGTACGCACTGCTACTGGTAGCATGGGTTCTTGGCTGAGTGAGCAACAGAGGCCTCGATCTGGCTGGCATGGGCAAGCAGCTGGTAGCTGGAGCCGCTGGTGCAATGCCGAGGAACGCAGAATGCATGCATGCACGGTCTGGGACAGCGTCGAGGCGGCCCGGAGGCTCTGCGCGTGGCGAGCGTTGCTGTGAGCGGAGGGGTGGAGGGTGTGCTGCGCGCTGCGAGGCGAAGTGCGCCCGCCTGTTTGCACGCCTACCGGAATGTTGACGTCGGGGTCGGATCGGTCGAGTGCGCAATCGCTCACTGCTGCGGTGGAGGAATACGCCATGGCATGGACGGCAGCGGTGAGCTTCGTGTTTGATGTATGGGCTGTTGGCTGGTGCATGGCTGACTGGGCGTGGTGCGGCGCGCGGTGCGCGGTGCGTGGTGCGGCTGCTGCTTGTTGTGTGTTGATGTGTCTCTGTCGCGGCCCTGGGCCTGGAGGCTTTAGGTGCAAAGCCCTGAGACTAGGTCGAGTCAACTGCCAGTCTGGGCGATTGCCCCTGGGCTGCCTACCAACCGACCACCAGGCCCCTGCTCTGCGTTCGCTGGCCTCGCTGGCCTCGCTGGCCTCGCTGGGCGACTCCCACACACCCCCGCCGGGCCTCCTCAGGCGCCATGCCCCAGGCCCGCTCGCCTATGCCATGCCCACGGCCACGCCTCTCAGCCAGTGGCCAGTCGCCCAGTCGCCCAGTCGCCCAGTCGCATCGCCCAACCGCCAACGGCCAGCGACCAAAGTAAAGGGGTCTATAGGGCCATTGGGTATAGGGCACACGGCACACACTGCACTGCACCCTCGCCTGCACCCACCTTCCACCGTCCACCTTCCCCGTCACCATACACCCATACGCACCTCCTATCACCACCATCACTCTCTCTCCTTTTACCTTCCATTCCTCACACCCATCCATCCTTTGCATTCATCCACTCATCCATCCCCCCCCTCCAACTCTCCTCACCCTCCCCAACCTTGTAAGTCACACCCACAGCACCCACCGGCACCACATCGGCAGCAACACATCGGCCCACGCGCGGAACGGAACGGATGATGCTTGTCGCTTGTTGGGCCCTCGCCGCCGCCCCGTCACCCTCTTTTTGTCCCTCCCTCTTTGTTTGAACCATCACGCCTGCGCGTGGCCAACCGTGCATCTGTACGCGTCGATAAACGACTCGGCCTGGCACTGCCCATTCCCTCTTACGCGCTGGTCGGTTGGGCTTTTCGCTGGCGGCCTTTTGTCGCGTCGCCGAAGCACGCCTATCTCTGAAACTAGCCCCCCCATTGTCACTATCACGGACTGCGCTGACACTCGCCTTTCCTCGTCATCCGTCCCATTCGTTCGCCCGCTTTCTGTCCACACATCGATCATCAACCACTCTCACGTCTGTTCTCAAACCTTGCATTCATTGGGATCGCTGCAACAGAATCCGTCATCAGTGTGAGTGCTCCTGAATACGTGGCCGGCGAGAGCAGGGGGCGCGCGGGAACGAGTCACCGTGGGGTAAGGGATTGAAGCGGGGCGGAGAGAAACGTCTTGGAACGCAACAACCTCCATCCGCACGCACACCCCAGGCAGGATCCATGCTCCGATTGCACCTAGCATGTTGTTGCTTCGCGGCTGCGAGACTGGTACCAAGTCACGCGAATTGGTGCATACGCGCGGGGTAACGGGGTGCGGAGGAAAAAGGCGATACCCCTGTCCCCCCCTTATCCGATGCTATCTGGCAGTGCGAGCGGATGCCACGGTGACCCACGGTCGTCAACACACGCCTCCTCGCGCCGCGCCATCACTTTCACCTCCTTGTGAGACCAAAATGCTGACCCGCTTCTTTTCAACATTGCATTTCTCCCCACCACCGTACATCAAACTTCCACTGCTTTCCATACGTCACAACCGTTAAATTCGACCCAACAGATGACCACCAGCCGCGAAGATTCCGTCTACCTCGCCAAGCTCGCTGAGCAGGCTGAGCGTTATGAGGGTGAGTTGTTGATTTTTTCCGCGCTTCTTGGCGTGGTTCTGATGGATGGGTGCGTTATTTTGCGGGGTGCTGACACTCGCCTTTCAGAGATGGTCGAGAACATGAAGGCCGTCGCTTCCTCAGACAAGGAGCTCACCGTTGAGGAGCGCAACCTCCTTTCGGTCGCCTACAAGAACGTCATCGGTGCTCGCCGTGCTTCGTGGCGCATCGTTTCCTCCATCGAGCAGAAGGAGGAGTCCAAGGGCAACGAGGCCCAGGTCGCCATGATCAAGAACTACAGGGAGAAGATCGAGTCTGAGCTTGCTAAGATCTGCAAGGACATCCTCGAGGTCCTCGACAAGCACCTCATCCCTTCGGCCGCCTCTGGCGAGTCCAAGGTCTTCTACCACAAGATGATGGGTGACTACCACCGTTACCTCGCCGAGTTCGCCACTGGTGACAAGAGGAAGGACTCTGCCGACAAGTCGCTTGAGGCCTACAAGGCCGCTTCCGACGTTGCCGTCACTGAGCTCCCCCCTACCCACCCCATCCGTCTCGGTCTCGCCCTCAACTTCTCGGTCTTCTACTACGAGATCCTCAACAGCCCGGACCGCGCCTGCCACCTCGCCAAGCAGGCCTTTGACGACGCCATTGCTGAGCTCGACACCCTCTCCGAGGAGTCCTACAAGGACTCGACCCTCATCATGCAGCTCCTCCGTGACAACCTCACTCTCTGGACCTCTGACATGCAGGACAACGGTAGGTTCCACCCCGAGTTTAATGACAGCTGACGTTTAACAGCCGAGGACGCTAAGAAGGAGGACGATGCCAAGGAGGAGGCTCCTGCCGCCTAAGTGTGTAGTGGGACGCGGTCGACGAGATGCAGCAGCCGGCATCCCTTGAGGCACCCTTGATTTCCATGGCTTTCACACCTCTCGCATCTGTCTCAAGTGGCAATAGTTGCTCAGCGCTACCCGCGTGGAGTGTTTTTAATTTCGTCGTTTCCTTTCCCTTCTTCGTAAGCCACCACAGTAAATGAATATTATTTCAGATCAACATGGTGTGCATGATTTTTCCTTTTGCGTGATGAAGTCCAGTGAGAAGTTTATCTGTGGTGCAGGGAGTCACGCGGTGGAACGAGGAAATCACGAGAATCACGAGATTGCGAAGGTCACGAGTGTCGCTATAGAGGAGCGAGGTACGCGCTTGGGCGAGACGCGAAGCGCGAGATGCGAGACGCGGCGGTGCAGGCTGACAAGCGCGTACCTGGTCAGATGTCCACTGAAGGCTGGACTGGAGCGCTATGGTCTGGGTCATTGGAGCCATTGCTGCTCTAGGCCGTGCTGGAGTGCAAGGAGGCCAACGTGACGTGCACGCGTCGAGCATTGCACAGGGCTTCGGCCGGCCAGCAGAGTGTAACGTCTACTCTTTGGCCATCTCACTGTCGCTGACGGCGGGAAGAGGAGGGGGACACCAGGACACGTCACGATACTCGACTCGCCACTTCTACCATCTTGAGACAGTTCGGATCGGGCAGAGGAACCAGCCGGGGGACAGGATGAGGCTGCGGCTGGGGGAGGCGTCCGCTCCTACAATGAGTGAGCGGCGGGCGTCAGTCCAGGCGTTCGCAGGGGTATGCCCACCATCCCGTCGGCCGTCCAGCAGCTGAAGGCGGGGGAAGACTTGCGGGGTGCTCGCATGCTCTCAAGGGCAGAAGGTGGGGCTTGGCCTACGCCAGCTGCATAGAGTGTAGTGGCCGTAGAAACTGGCTGTGCAGCGTGTGCTAGCCGGCTGGGAAGTCGAATGGCCGGGCAAGTGGCCGCACTGGACTGGTGGTAGAGGCCGGGGCCTGGACGATCGACCCGGAAATTTCGACACCACCCGAGCACCCGACGTCAGTGGATTCAGTAGTCCTGTGCAAATGTCAACAATAGTCTTCCTCGCCTCTAGACTTTTTCCTCTAGACTTCCTCCTATCTCTCTCTTGACACTCGTGCATAACCTCTTAGTGTTGGCAGACTTCGCCGCTCCGTTCCTCCGTTCCTCCGTCTCCGACCCACCGACCTGACCCCGACCAACCTCCACCAGCCCCGGACGCAATGTCGCACGACGCCAACCACGAGCTGCTCGCGCAGGAGATGAAGCCGCTCACAGACGCGACGCTGACGGTCCGCGTCATCAAGAGCTTTCCCTTCCGGACGTGCAAGAATCTGGTCCTGAAGGACCTCGATCTGACGACTATGACTGTGGGCGGGCTCATTGAGCGGTGTAAGCAGGGTGAGTGCGCTGAGCGCCGAGCGCCGAGCTCCGAGCTCCGAGCGCAGCGAGGAGCGAGGGACGAGGGGTGACAGGCGAGGGGTGACAGGCGAGGGAAGACGGGCTATTAGTGAACCGTTCTGTCCGTCTCCAAGCTTTGAACTGGAACGGTCAGCAAGCGGCAAGCTGGCAGCGGTCCCAGAGGAGATGTGCCAGTGATCGACCACTGCAGCTGGTTGAAGCCATTAGACGGTCTGAGCCGGCAGCGACAGCAGCTGGCGCGCTGCGCGCGCTGGCCATTCTCGACACAGTTGACAGTGACCTGGGGACTGCGGAATGCTCTGGAATCGCGCAGGCGTGCAGGCGCGCTGGGAAGGACACGAAGGGGCGCAAGTGCACGCCCCAATGTCTCAGATCCATGCGCCGCGCACGTCACAATCCCTCTGATACTCTGACGTGCTCGGCGTCGGTGTTCTGGGACCACTGATCTTCCTCGTGCCTCTGGGTCTCCCGCGAGCAAGCTACCGCTTTGAGGGCCTCCAGCTGACGAACACAGAGATCCAGACCCAGGTCGGCTTCAAGCTGTACCGGAAACTGGAGCTGGACACGCTCAAGAAGTACACGGCCGCGCATGGACATAAGGTGAGCTTAACCTCCGAGTTGTAGCTGAACAAGGGCAGACGATGAACCTCATCATCAACCTGGACCACGACGACTGGATCCTGACCGACCCCGAGGCGACGCTGCAGAGTGTCGGGTGTGGTGAGTCCGGACTTCATCCCTCTCCTCAGCTGGGGGACCTAGGAGTGTTAGCTGACTTGGCAGAGAACGAGACGGAACTCTCCCTGTTCAACCGCAAGGATTACGAGGAGTTCAAGAAGGACCCGGAGACCAGGTGGGACTAGGTGGGACTAGACATTTGGCATTGCATGGGTTTTCTGCATTTGGGATTATCTGGGAACTATGGGACTACGGGGAGGTGCCGAGTGACGGAGACTAGAAGGGAACCTGGGATCAGCTATGGGACGTACTAATGGTGGAAGCTGGATCGTGACTCACGACAGAGATGACGGATACCGATGTGAAGCACGCCGGGCAGCATCTGGGGGTCAGCTTGGAGCACGGCCGCTTGAAGCTGCACCGACCAGTCACGCGATATTGGCCACCACGTATCGCTCACCGGTTGCGCATCCTGATCCATCAGCTCGCGATAACAACCAGTGAGCTCATGTGGACTCACGACAGGAAGAGTTTCCCCAATGCAGAGCGCACGCTTCGCGAACCTGCACGCGAAGTTGGAATCGCAGCGAAGACCTGAAGAGTTCTGAGTTTCAGCTTATGACCTCATAGGTGTAGAAGCTACGAGATACATACGGGCAAGGTGCTGGGAGTCAGCTGAGAGTCTCGCACAACGAGCTGTCGACCTACCGCGCGCTACATAGGTTCTGGGTTGTCAGCTGTATGATCGGGTGTGAGCAGCCGAGAACTCACGAGGGAAGGTCTGTGGCGTCAGCTGACCAAGATGCGAGAGGGAGCTGCTCAAGACTTACGTGTCCGCACCTAACATACTGAGCAATTAGCTAGGTATCGGACACCCCCAGCTGGAAGAACTGACGATCACAGGTTGAGGAGTCAGCTTGCTGATGTGCAATCCCCAGCTGTTGCTGACTTACTAGGGTAGAGGACTGGACCATCAGCTGTAACTAGGAGCATCTCGAAGCTGGAAGAAACTCACGACGGTCGTACTGGTGTCAGCTGACCGCGGTTTACGTAGCTCTCAAACGTACCTCGACGACTGGGAGCTCAGCTAATGCCTCAGTTGAACAGCTGCGACGGACTGACGGGTCGTGCTGCGGTGTCAGCTCGGTATCGGCTACAGTAGCTGGAGGAAGACGTACCACTGATCCGGTAGGAGCTCGCTGATTGTCAGCTGAGGACAGCCGCGCTCTAGCTGGAGAAGGCTCACCAAGATTGACTATTGAGTCAGCTCGGAGCAGCTTGAATCAGCTGTCGACCCACGCGGAGGGGGGAAGTCTGGACGTCAGCTATGGAGAAATGCGCGGAAGCTGTATTCACCAGACTGAGGATCAACTGCTGGCGCAAATCACAACTGAGAGGACTCAAGTCTCAGACGACCCTGGATCATCAGCTTCAACGAGATGCGGGCCAGCTGTGAGACGAACTGAGCGAGCTCTGCGGTGTCAGTTATCGAGCACTCACGACAACTCACGCCACAAATGGATACTGGGGTATCAGCTAAGTGGACCGATGCCGTAGCGGACGAACTGAGGGGCTGGGGTCAGCTTGAAGAGGAAGTGCATAGCGTACTGCTCACCGCTTACGGTTCACTGCTCACTGCGGTGTCAGCTGCCGCACTGTCCGTAGAGTAGCTGTACCATGGAGGTTCTGAGGTCAGCTAACCGGACTCGGCAGCTGTTGTCTCGACTCACGAACCAGACTGATTGCGATTAGCTAGACAGGCACGGCAAAGCCGCTTACAGCTCGATTGACGCCTCAGTTTACACACTGAACAGCAGGGCAGGTCGCTAGTGGCAGGCTGACTATTCAGCTCCACATCAAACACTTCGTAGCTGGGACGCACAACAGACTGAGCATGAGCTTCAAGACCTTCTAGCTCTGGTAGGTGTAACATACGTTGAGGCGAGTTGCTGCGCATCAGCTGCAGACGATGTCCATCCAGCTGAAGCGGGGGCTTACGGGCTGGGTGTCAGCTGGTCGCTCAGAATTCGTAGCGGGGACATACCCGAAGCTCAGGCTGAGCGTCAGCTGCGACCTTCAGGATCTGTAAGCTGCGAGACCTGTGAGCTCACAGTCTGGCCGTTAGCTGCAGAGAGTTCTTGAACAGCTTACCTGAAGATTGGACTGGAGGTCAGCTAAAGCAGCGGACTTTCAGCTAACGATGTGTCACTGCCGGATGCCGTCGACCAGCGCGTCAGCTGCATGGTCGTGGAAAACAGCTGGAAACTCACTGCAAGAAAGCAGACAGGTCTGTTGTCAGCTCGGTCGGTCAGTAACCCTCTCACCTACCTCCTTCGTTACGCAGCTCTGAACGTTGGCTAAAGATGGCGGCCACTCAGCCGTGACTGCTTACCCCTGTAATCGCCAGCTGGAGGTATCGTGAGGCCAGGCGTCAGAGAGGTCTGTCACCTTGGCTCCGGCTGCGGGGTAGGATGCACTTGGATGCGCTGCGTGTCAGTTCGAGGAGATATCTGCTGAGCTGGTGACTTGCGTTGGCAGCCAGCTCGTAGGAATCTGCGATCAGCTCGACACGGGTAGCGCTAAAGCTCACATCGCTGGGTGCAGTGGCACTGGCAGATCAGCTTGGGTCGCAGTGACGTGCAGCTGTCACGCACGTAACCGACTGCAGAGTCAGCTTGATCCATTCCCAAAGCTGTGTCCTACTTTGAGACCGAGTCTGGTGATCAGCTTCAGGAAAACAACCACTCCGATAGCTGTCAAGCGTTCTTCCCTCACCTGATATCAGCTCTCACAACCGGCAGCAGTAGCTAGTAGTTCCTCACGCAAACGTAAGGGTGGAGTGCCCTGGTTTCAGCTCAGCGTCAGGCAGCATGCTGCTCACTTCGAACGCAGCACTGAGGAGGGCTTCCTGGCGTTGACCGTGTCAGCTACGCACTCCTGGAGCAGCTGGATCTAGTCTTGACGTCTTACATTCGGAGATGGTTTGAATGTTGGGTCATACCGCCCAGAAAAGGTCGGGCTGCACCGTCAGCAGGCGATCTGCGCTCGGGCAGCTGAGCATACCGCAAGAGGTGTGGCAACCTGCTGAAGCTCTGGGCTCCCCCCGTGCGTGTGCCTATGGTGCCGCTATCGAGTACAGGCTGTGCAAAGCTCAGGGCGCTACGTGGCTCTGAGGCTGAGCTTTGAAGCAATCCACGCGCAGCAACATACTTCGGGGAGCGTCTGCTCATGTCAGTTTGGCCAAACAAAGCAGGGAACTGCAGCTGGAATTACTTGGACTGTAGACTTGTGTGTCAGCTCTCGGTGAACAATCCACAGCTTACAGCAGGACTGCCCTGTCAGCTATGATGGAAGAGTTCGCGAAAAGCTGAATGACGACTCACGGAGCCTTCAACTGCCATTGGGCTAGCTGAAACAACCTAAAACAGGTGCTGAAGCTGTAGCCTTACGCATGTAGAAGCTTTCTGGATGGATCAGCTGTCGACCGGTGAGGGCACAGCTATAAGCTACTTGCCGAGGGGTCATCGAAATGTCGTGTCGAAGGCCAGCTATGAACTCAGTCTCCCCATGGGACTGGCCTGTCGGCTTCAGCCTGGTATAAAAAGCTTCACAGGCGCTCGCCAGTTCGGGGCTGTGGTCGATTAGCTTTGGGATGCCTTCATAGCTCACAGGATGCCGCCGCTAATGTCTCTGCTAAGAGCAGAAGTTACAAGCAGGGGGCATTCATAGCAGCTGGTATTGTCAGCTCGGCCACAGCTTGGGGGGAGCGAGTAACACACTCAAGTCATGGCGACTGGAATGTCAGCTGAGAGCTGGACATCATATAGCTGCGGAAGACTCACCGCGACAAGCAGCCTTCATCTGGTTGACGAACATGGGAGTCTGTGGTCAGCTGAGTGACGTGGCTCTGGCAGCTGCTGGCGGTCTAATCACCGCAGATCCTGTGCGTCAGCTCATCAAGTGAGGTCGCATCGCTGGATTACCATCACAAGTAGGTGGGAACTGTGGATTGACCTTGAAGGCGCCGTCCGCAGCGGTCAATGACGGCTCACCATCCCTTAAGATTCTGGACTGGCATGTCAGATGGTAGTCGTACAACGTGCAGCTGGACAGCTGTGGGAGAAGTAGTCTCACTTTACAACGGAAGAGGAGTCTGGGCGTTAGCTGAAGATTCCGTGGCAGAAAGCTCTTTCAGCCAGGCTCACACGGTCTACAGCACAGATCTTACGCCAGCTGACTAATCGCTCAGAAGTGGGATAGGAAAGCGGGTTAAACTGCAGGTAGGGAGGCGAAGCTTCCTGCGAGGAAGATGTTCTGCCAGTGAGCTCACACAGTTGTGCAGCTTCTCCGTACCCTTCGCTCGCCTCCTGTCGTTAGCTCAGCGGGAGTACGCCTCATAGCTCACCTCAAATCACGATCAGATTCAGTCCAGCCCTCGAAGTCAGTGCTACCAGCCGGCGCCGACTTGTGGTCGTGCAGAATGTGGAGAGCTTGATACATCGCGTTGTAGGAAAGACGGTCATCAATTCTGCGCTTGGTTGGCCTGAGATCAGCTGAGGGCAATCTGATAGCTCACGACACTCGTGTAAGCCTCGGTGCACCACCCTCTTGAGTCTGTGTTTCCCATAGCTCTACGGCTGGGAGGCGAAGGCGTCCCCATATTCATTTTGTTTGAGACTTGTATTTCGAGATGGATCTGTGTCGAGTCTAATGCAAGCTTCGAAGATCACGCGGCCTCGCTCACACGCAACCGCAGGGTTGGTCGTAGAACGCGCAAACGGCGAACTCTGGATGATCGAGTGCTGAACTAGTCCAGAGCTCTTGCGCGAAGTGTTAACAGCTCACCAACGCTGGTTGTGAGCTCCAATGAAAGAGAATATAGGTCAGCACTGACCGAAGTGATGCTGGAGCGGGATTTGGAGAATGGTGTTCTTATCCGCTCGGCTCCACCAGCTCCACGACATGCATTGAGTCGTGTTTGTCCCCGGAGCGGCGTGGCTACGCCCTTTGGAGGACAGTTGCGCCCTCGACACGTCCAAACGACATCGTTTGTGTCTCCTGACGATCATGTCTCAAATGGCTATTGTGCCACATGCCCCTCCCAAGTCATGTGACGGATCGGCGCTCAACCCTCCCAAGTCCGACGACGCCGACCGACGGCCATCTTCTCTTCCCCACTCCGATCTCAAGTCCGAGGGATCACGGCCATGTACGGCCAGCCTCCTATCGTAAGCGGCATGTGAGTAGGTTGTTGGCGAGAGTGGCGAGGAAGGATCGCCGCGGAGCAGCTCCGCATAGTGTGGAAATACGAGGGATGCTCCGCGGGCCGCCGCCGGGCGTTTCAGCGAGCTCAAAGCAGCTCAGTGGAGCTGTCACTAGGCATGGCGCGAGGTATGCCGGAGTGTAGTGATGACTGATGGCAACTGGCTGCGGCCCAGGCCGGCGCCCGAGGGAACGCCGAGATATGCTTTGCTCGATATAGCTCCAGATGTTGTGATCGGTTCTGAATATCTTAGTCATGCCGTTTGAATCTCTGGTGATCGACGGTGGTGCTGGTGGCATCACAGCGGAGAGTACCAGAGGTATGGATGAGTATCGCCGGAACGGCGTTCTAAGGTGTGAAGCTGAGATTCCGAGCGAGGGCTTAGTGCGTCGCGGAGCGCGCGGATGACGGAGCACTGACTGCGAAAGATCTAGGGTGCTAATCGAGATGGCCTCGGCGACGGCGACCGTCGAAGTGGTACTGCTTCAAGGCGTCCCGTCAGTGGCGTCAGTGATGATTCAGCCCGATGGCCAGCGAAGGCGAGAGGAAGGCTGATCGACCATGCACCGAAGCCACTTGGCTGGTGCTCAGCTGCACAGCACTCGGCGACATGCGTCGACCAGGTGGACAAACGCATGGGGCAAGCGAGGCAGAAACGGGCCGGATGTTGTCCGGATGTGAGTCTGTGAGGGACGGAATTAGCACATGCGTGCACTGGTTGCCGCGTAGACCGATGCCAGCGATCGTCCTGGAATCGCTGCCCGCGTCGTGGCCTGTCGCCAGATCGCCAGACATGCTCTCGCTCGGTTCCGGAAGTGGACTAGAGTCTGAGTCAAGTCGCTGTATCGCTGTACCGCGTTAAGGTAGCTCGAAAGTAGCGCGGTGAAAGGCCCGGAGCCCGGCCGGCCCGTCATGACTTCATTCACGCCTCACCGGGTCTCCCGGGTCTTTACTAGAGCACGGACACTTTCCAGGATCAAGGTCGATGCAGATCGAGGCTGTTATGCTTGCGCAGCTCGGATGTATCAGCGGCCAACGTCACGACTAGGTACTAGGAATGCATGCACTCAATGAGAGTGATCCGCGGATCAGCAGTGTCGAGGGGTGAGGGGAGCGACGGAGGCATCGCATCGGGGCAACGGCCAAGGCCGGGTGGAGGAAGCGACGGGCTGAGGCTCAGTTCGGCTGAGGAATGAAGGTCCGGACATGCGCGGGGCCGCTGCAGCGTGATCGATCCACCACTAACCGTCCGCGCTGCCGCCCAACTTTGTGACTTCCCTCCATCCCAGCTTGAATCCGCACCCCCAACATATATATCCCACGCCGCTCCGCGAGCCCGCGCGACCCTCCCCACCATGGAGCAGCCATCAGAGTTGGATCCACTCGGAGCCCAAAACATGTTGTTCGCTCAAACCCAACCTCCTCCGCCCTCCGCCCTCCTCGCGTCCCCCGGCCGCCTCTTCCCACTCCTCAACGACAACAATGCTTCGGCAAACCTCGCCACCGACCCACTCGCATCTTCATCGTCCACGTCCTCCATTGACACCGCTCGCAAGCAGGCGCGGCGTAAAGCTGCTCCGTACAGCAACGCCGGACCGCGGCCCGGTGTAGAGCGTGCAACGACGGCAACAAGTTCGGCATCTAACGCGGACGGAACCGAGGAAGACAGTAACGATCCGCCGACGAGTAATCCGAGAAAGTCACGCGGCGGCGGTGTTGCCCAGACACTGACGAGTGAGCTCTACGACGCCGGTGCTTAGCTGACATCAGGTTGTGAAGCGTGCCGCAAGGGCAAGTGAGTTACTCCCCGCTCATCCGAGGTCCAGGACTAACACAAACGCAGGCGACGGTGTGAGCCGTCTCCGCTAGTGCCGCCGGATCACCCCGACGTCGCAAAGCTGCCGTGTGCTAGATGCCGTCGGTTCGCTCTCGACTGCGTTCGCATGCGCGTGTCTCGACGCAAAGGCCCGGCCCCTGTGTAAGTTGCTTGGTGCGTACCGCACTAATCTCGCAGCGACCTCAGTGCCATCTCCGATGCTGCTCACGGATACACGCAAGCCGCAGCCAGTGTCCTGGAGCCGACGATCATCGATCCGACCAAGACGGCTACGTCCAGCACAGTGCAGGCGAGCCCATTGAACTTTGACGTCAACAGTCTTGCAGCGTGAGTACAGCTCCAATCGCCGGTGGATGCAGCTGACGGCGTGCAGTACCGGTCTGCCATCGCCCTCGTACCCCTTGCTTGCCGGATCGTCACCGAGCACGTGGACTGACAATGCCGCCATCCCCACGAGCCTTGATCAAGTAGTCGCTCCAGCGGTCATGGATAACATCATTGGCCTCTTCTTCGACTACGTCTATCCCCTCACGCCCGCCCTTCACCGGCCGTCCTTTATGGCAGACCTCGCGGCCAGGCGAGACAAGTCAGATCCCGTCTTCTTCGCCCTTGCGCTTGTCGTCTTGGCGTCTACGCTGGTCCAGGTGCCCCGTGTGCTGATCAGCCTCGACAAGGACGAGGTAGAGCAGCTCGCGCGTCGATGCGTCCGGGTTGCCCGTGCTAAGACGGCTTTCATCTGGGACGACTCGGTGCCAATGCGAGCTGAGTTTGGTGAGTCGAGAGGAGCAAAGAGTTTTAGCTGACAAGTCAGTCGTTATTTTCTACTTGGAGGGTATCGTTCACCTGCTTCTCGGTAACAACACGGCACATGTGATCTCCACAGCACAGGCCAATCAGTGTGCTCTCGCTCTGCGCCTAAACGAGGAATCGGTGAGCTACTACACTTCGCTTATGAGCTGACAAGCAGAGCTACGAGAATCTCAACCCGATCGAGTCTGAAGTGCGGCGGCGCATCTACTGGTTGCTGTTCCAGGCCGACAAGAGCACTGCATGCCTTCGGGCGCGTACGATCTGCCTGCGCCTGGAAGATGCCCAAGGTCTCCGCCTTCCTTCGGAGGTCGATGATGAGCAAATCACCGCCGCTGGAATCTTACCTCAGCCGGTTGGCCAGACGCCACTCATCACTGGCTTCAACGTCGTTACAAACCTCTTCCGCATTCTCAACGATGCACTCCTGCTGCAGCGACGTAAGGCGCCGCCGACCGTTGACAGCATCCTAGCCGACCTCCAGAATGTCAACCAGCTGCGGGACCGCACCGTGAATGCGACGACTGAGGTGGCATCGCCATTGAAGTCTCGCTCGGCCTTCGACTCGCGGGCTGCCAGCCCGGCCAAGGGATGGGAGGCGAATCTGCAAGCCCGTTTCATGGATTTCTTCCAGACGGCGTCGGACTCGAGTCATGTCAACAGCTTCATGGTCATGCAGGGCAACATCCTCGTCACGCAACAAGTCGTGCGACTTGTCCTGTTACAGACACGGGAGGCGCTGTTGACCCAGCTCGCGGCGCTGACGCAGATGCCGCTGCAGGGTGTCGGTGGTCTCGCCGGTGTCCAGAACAGCGAGGTCGCCGAGGACATTGCCTGTGATCTGTTGGATGGCCTGAACAGCCTGCCCGAAGAGTGCCTGGCGACGAACGGTCCGTCGCTGGTGCAGAAGGTGCGCTTCGTTGCGATCCAGCTCATGGAATGCTCGACGTCGTCGCGGCCACAAGCCGTTCGAGCGTGAGTTGAACAGTCTTAGGCGTTAACTGACTTCCGCAGCCAGAGTCTGCTGATGCAATTCCTGTCCGTCCTCGGTGTCATCGAGGGAATGTACACATTTGGCAGGGACGTCTCGGCGGAGTAGAAGGATTGGCCACCTGTACATAACTAGAGTTTTCATCTGTAATCAAACCGTCATTGAACAATTAGAAAGAGAATTCGCTTCGTAGTAGACGACCATGCACTTCTGTATTAATAGCTTGGTCATCGCCCGTCTCCCAGGCCCGGTCAACATTGCCCCGCTGTGACCTTCCTTCGGCTTCGGAAGGTGGAGGTGGAGGCGGATTAGATGCGATGGTGTCTCGGCGACGAACAGCCTCCTTTATGCTAGCAGCCACGAGCACGCACCCGTCACTGCTTCCAGCGCAGCATCCACTGTCCAGCAGTGAAGGTTCGGCGGCCTCCACCTCGGCGGTACAAACGCTTACGCTGATCCTTTAGAATCCCGGCTTGCGATCCGGCAAGTGGGTGCATGTGTGAGCCGTCGGGCAGCCGGTACGGTGAGGGCGAGATCGTCGGGTCAAGTTACGTATATGTTCTAGCACCCTCCCTGGGCACCTTTGAACCCTGGATTCGCCGTCGCTGATGCGGATGGACGATGGCGGATGCCGAGCCGAAGGCCAGACGCACACGTTCACGGGACCTTTTCGGCACGGCTGGAGTTGTCTGGAGCAATCAGCGAGCAGGGATATTTCATGGCATTGCGTCTCGTTCTTGCCACCTAACATCTCCTCATCTAACAGAACAACAACAATGCCTCGCTCAGTGAGTCACCAGCATAGTTTCTGGGAGGGTTGTGTACTGACGCACACAGTCTCGTGGATCCGTCCGTCCCTCGTCCTCGCAGAAGGGCAACTTTGTCTTCGAGGGCGATGGCGACGACGGAGACGAGGAGGAAGAGGGTGAGGGAGAGGAGCAGGAGGGAGAAGGGGAGGAGAAGGGACAGCAGGAGGAGGGCGAGGAGGAGCCGGAGGATGACTTCAACGCTGCCTGGGAGGTCCTCGACGTCGCCCGCACGATCTACGCCCGTGAGGTCGAAAAGCTTGCCAAGGATGAGGGCAAGGAGACGAAGCTCCTGCTCAGCGAGTGTTACCTTGCGCTTGGAGATGTGTCTTGCGAGACTGGTGAGTGGGGAGTGTAGGAGTGAGCCGTCGGGCAGCCGGTACGGTGAGGGCGAGATCGTCGGGTCAAGTTACGTATATGTTCTAGCACCCTCCCTGGGCACCTTTGAACCCTGGATTCGCCGTCGCTGATGCGGATGGACGATGGCGGATGCCGAGCCGAAGGCCAGACGCACACGTTCACGGGACCTTTTCGGCACGGCTGGAGTTGTCTGGAGCAATCAGCGAGCAGGGATATTTCATGGCATTGCGTCTCGTTCTTGCCACCTAACATCTCCTCATCTAACAGAACAACAACAATGCCTCGCTCAGTGAGTCACCAGCATAGTTTCTGGGAGGGTTGTGTACTGACGCACACAGTCTCGTGGATCCGTCCGTCCCTCGTCCTCGCACTCGGCCCCCTCGGGCTCCCGCCAGGCCCACACCGCCTCGTACCCCCAGCAGCACGCCCCGGCTCCTGCCCAGCACTACCCCGCTGCTCAGCCCGTCCCCGCCGCTGTCCCCCAGAAGCAGCCCGGCCTCATGGCCCAGGCCGCCTCGACCATGGGTGGTGCCGTTGCTGGTTCCGTCGTCGGCCACGGTATCTCCAACATGCTCTTCGGCTCGTCCCGCCCCGCCGAGGCTGCCCCTCCCCCTCCTGCTGAGTACGCCCAGCAGCAGCAGCAGCCCATGAACGGCGCTTCGTGCGACATCCAGGCTAAGGGTGAGTAAAGTGCTCCGTGGTCTCCGAACAAGAGCTGACAAACAGACTTCACCCGCTGCCTCGAGGCCACCAACGGCGACATGACCTCGTGCAACTACTACCTCGAGGCCCTCAAGGCTTGCCAGGCCGCCGCCAAGCCCTACTAAGCTTCGGCAGTAGAGAAGGGGATCTGCAGCAGTCTGGAAAAAACGCATAGTGTAGTACTTTAGCATGCATTTGTCACACATCAGCAATGAGGCGTCGTCGCCGGACTGTCCGATCTTTTTCACGACGTCAGTCACCCAGCCCACTCGGCTAACCCTTGAGGCGTCATGTTCCAGTTCATGAACGTTGGTTGCGTTCAGACGCAGTGTCCAGTGGAATGAGATGCGATGCATATATTGATCTAATGATTACCTCCTCGCCGGCCTCTTCTTCGCATGATACATGTAGTTGACAAGCTCGCCAAGGGGCTTGAACCACGTTCCCTCAGCAGCAGAGGCGAGCTTCCACCGTCCAGCGAGCGGATCATAAATGATGCCCTGGGTACTTCCGACCTCTCCCTCCCTCAAATCGCTCGCGTCGCGGTTCGCCTCCCAAACGTCGAGTCCACCCATCTCCGTGCCAACGTAGCGGCGGAGCTCCTCCGGCCGCACAAACTTGTGGTAATGGTGCGTACCCGGCGTCACGAGGCGGAGCACGTCCTCGGCCATTGTCAGCGTGAGGAGCTGCGCGAGCGGCGTGCGGCTGATTGTGGAGAGGAGGAGATGGCCGCCCGGCTTGACCATGGCTCCGAGACACTTCAGGAACTCGCCGGGACTATCGACGTGCTCAAGCACCTCCATACTGCAAACGATGTCGAACTGCTCCCCGGCCGCGAGCAGGGCCTCAGCCGACGTGTGACGGTACTCTAACCGTCCCGGAGCTGAGGTGTTGGCCTGCTTGCCCTCCTCGTCGACGTAGGGCAACAGCGGGTCGGCCGAGGCGTGCGTCCGCGCGATTGCGATGTTGGGCGCCGTGGCGTCAATAGCGAGAACGTCGCCTCCGAGACGAGCGAGCGTCTGTTGTCAGTCATACGGCCCCGACTTCTACAGCCCTCTCGAAGCTTCGACTCACCTCAGCGAGCAGTCCTCCTCCGCATCCAACATCAAGACACCGCTTCCCCTTCAGCCACTGTCCGGTGCCCTTGGCCGCCTCGCGTTCCGCATCCTGATGCCGTCCCTCGAACGTCCACTCGGGCTCGTTGTCCGGGTCCAGCGCGACCTTCTGGCGAATGAACTCGACACGTTCCGGATTCATGCGGTGCAGGAGACCAAATTCGCCCTGCTCGTCCCACCAGTGCTCGGAGAGCTTGGAGAAGTGCGCGACCTCATCGGCGTTGATCGTGTTGAGGTGTCGGCGGGCGAGGGGAGCGAGCACCGGAGCAGAGACGGTTGGCCGCGCCACAGCGTTCCGAACGGAGGAAAGACGGGAAGCGGAGCGAAGTGATCGGAGCGTCCGCAGTGTTCGGACCGACATTTTGCGTGCTGTTGTTGTCGTTGAGCAGCAGAGAGTGCAGCTGCAGCACCTCTCGTGGACTTCGTGAACTTCCGGACATGGCCATCGCCGTAATCTCTGGCGGAAGTAAATCCATCCAAAAGCCACGCGAGATGACGCGCAGCCATCTGCCTCCGCCTCTCCGCCCAGGCGCGCCTGGACGCGACGCGCGCTGAAAGTAAATGATTTCTTGCGCGAGTGCTAGGTCCTTCGTCAACATTACGTTCTACCTACCCCCCTTAGTCCGCATTGCATCCATCCAAAAGAATGTGAGTGGACACTTAGCTGAACGGGATGGAAGGCTCCAGCTGACAGACCAGGTCGGAGAAGAACAGCCCTGCACCGGAAGTCAAGCAGGACACGAAGCCGGAGAAGCCGGAGGAGATCCAGGCCGCGGTGGCGAAACTGGTTTCTGAGGGCAAGAAGGCCATCGCGCTCAGGCAGTGGGAGGAGGGTGTTGGCAAGTATGCCGACGCGCTCGATCTTCAGTGAGTGTTCGCATGTGATGCTGCTTCGGGCTGCAATAGCTGCACGCCCTTCCTGTTCCTGATCAGCTAACATCCAGACGCGAGCTTGTCGGTGACTTCGACCCCACTATGGCGCCCCTCCTCCTTTCGTACGGCAAGGCGCTGTACGAGCTCGCTCTCTCGCAGCAGGGCGTCATGGGCCGCGAGGAGGTCGCTAAGAGCACCAACCCGGCTGCTGCTGAGCCGTCCGCACCGGCGGCGAAGGGCAACTTTGTCTTCGAGGGCGATGGCGACGACGGAGACGAGGAGGAAGAGGGTGAGGGAGAGGAGCAGGAGGGAGAAGGGGAGGAGAAGGGACAGCAGGAGGAGGGCGAGGAGGAGCCGGAGGATGACTTCAACGCTGCCTGGGAGGTCCTCGACGTCGCCCGCACGATCTACGCCCGTGAGGTCGAAAAGCTTGCCAAGGATGAGGGCAAGGAGACGAAGCTCCTGCTCAGCGAGTGTTACCTTGCGCTTGGAGATGTGTCTTGCGAGACTGGTGAGTGGGGAGTGTAGGAGGGGAGCCTAGCTGTCCGAGTATGACTCTGAGCTAACGATCCAGAGAACTTCGACCAGGCTGTGAAGGATTACGAAGCTGCCGTCAAGCTGAAGGCGTCTCTGCTCCCGAAGTCCTCCCGCGCCCTCGCCTCCGCCGAGTACCAGCTCGGCACCGCGCTCGAGTTCACGCCATCTGGCCGCCCCGCGGCTCTCGTCCACGTGCAGGCCGCTCTAGACGGTTTCAAGGCGCGCCTCGCCGAGCTGACCTCGACCTCGGAGCCCTCTCCCGACGTCGCCAAGTTGAGCGAGAAAGAGCGCGACAACGAGCGCAAGGACGTCGAGGCGCTCATCGGTGACCTCGAGGTGAAGATCGAGGAGCTCAAGGCGGCCCCGGAGGGCGGCGACATTGTGTCCGAGAGCATTAACCATCTCCTCGGCGGCCAGGGCGGCGAGGTCAAGGCTGACGCTGGGCCCGTGAACGACCTGACGAGCATGGTCAAGAAGAAGAAGAAGCCGTCTGCTGCCCCCGCGCCGGCAGCTGAGAAGAGGAAGGCCGAGGAGCAGCCCGAGGGCACGCCGGAGAAGAAGGCTAAGAACTAGCCGGTCGACCCCTTGTTTCTTTATTTTATCCTCAAGGCTCTCTAGAATTAAACATGTAGCAAGCATCCCGCGATGCGTAATGTAACTTATATCCGCGCACCTGACAAGATGCGGATTGTGATGACTGATATGTCAGGGGGAAGAATCAACGATGGGAGGTGTATCGGAAATCGCCAGGCTCGCCACCGACTAATCACGTTATCGCTATCTGGGGAATCTGGCGTAATCTCGCTCCGGCCCGACCGGCATCTTCTGCGTTTCGACCATCGCCCATCACCATGTCCGCCCAAGCTCAGGAGACGTGCACCGATTGCCAGCCCGACGTCCCGGCTCACACTGCTGCGTCGCACCAGCAGCAACAGCAGCAGCAGCCCGCCGCTTCGACGGCCGACATCCTCCCCCCGAAACTACTCACGCCGCACGTTATCATCGAGTACTGCGACCGGTGTCGGTGGTGAGTTGTCTTCCTCGCCTTTCTTCAACACCCTTTCCTTACCTCTGATTTCTACTGAACTCTCTGATACTCTCCGTTGGGAGAGATACGGAGCAGATGACGACCTGCGAAACGGAAGCACATGGGCTGCGGCGCTTTTGACGATAGCTGACATCAGGGCACCCCGCGCTTCGTGGATCCAGACTGAGCTCCTGCTCACCTTCCCGACACCCGCTGTGCGTACGATTACGCTCATCCCGCTCAAAGCCGAGGAGACGGGTGGCCGGTTCCGTGTTTGGGTCGACCTTGGTGACGGCGCGAACCCGCACCTCGTGTGGGACAGGAAGGTGAGTCAACTCACTTCAGCCTCCACCTCCGCTTGCGCAGTCAGTGGTCTTCTCTTGAGGCTCTCTGAGCGAACTCTTTCGTCCCAAGAAGATCCGAGACCGCTCCGTGGACCCGTGGGCTATGGGCTAGAGGCCCCAAAGCGTTTTCTGCGACGTCTATCCTCTGTTACAGCTGTGGCGACACGGGTGTGCCTGAGCTGACCAACAGACCGAGGGCGGTTTCCCGGAACTCAAGGTGCTGAAGCAGCGCATTCGCAATCTCGTCCAGCCCGATCTGGACCTGGGCCACAGCGACGTCAAGGGAAAGCAGAAGTGATACAGTTCTCTATGTAACATCTAATGTCTATTCGTACAACTCATCTCCTCCATCTCCCTCCACGATCTCCGCATGGCAGTGGGTCAGAGGAAGCCGGCCGTTTCATCCAGGATGGAGACAAAGCGTTCTGGCTGCTGGGCAGGGAAGGGTTTCGGCGACGAGGTCGTGAGCGTTTTAAGGCCGGCGGCCAGGTCTCTGGTTGTCAGCTTCTTGCAGCCTGTGACGAAACTGAGGGAGGACTCACGCCGGCTTGCATGTCACGAGGTAGCCTTCCTTCTCCAACGCATCCGCCAGCTCGACCTGGTGGTTGTCCATCAGCGCCTCGTTTGGCACGACGAGGAGCGGCTTCCCCATTCGGAGCGCGGTAAGGATGCTTCCCGATCCTGATGTCAGCTTTCGCTACGCTCACCTCAGCTGTGCTTCCCTCTCCCGACGTGACAGTGTACTCACCAGCATGGCTCACAACAATGTCTGCGCTTTTCAACAGCGCGTCCATCTCGACCGCGTCGCGTGTGTACCGCAGCGTTCGGACGCGGACGTAGCTTCCTCTTCGTGTCGTATACGTGATCTCTCCGCCGCGAGCGTGGACTGGAATCTCAGCAGACCCCGCCTGGACCGTGACGCTTGCTATTCCTAGCTCTGGCAGAATCTCGAACACGGAGGGTGAAAGGATCGCATCGGAGAGGGCAGGAAACGAAGTCGAGCCGACAGTGACGACGAGTTGCGCCTGTTTCCGTGGGTCTCTCTTCTTCTGCTCCATGACGACGAGTATACGTCTTGTGGGAACGAGGCGTCAGGTGTTAGCGAGGGAAGAGCAGATGAAGCTGAGGTCGATCGCGGCAGCAGTGTTGGTGACGACACTGGGCCGGAGGAAGGACACGCCGTGGTGGAGGCCTACGTCGGTGCCTGAGGGTTTCTACAGGGACAGGCCGGAGCTTCGTTGCGGCGCCATACGCCAAATACGCCAAGATGCCCCAACCACTGCGCGCGGCAATGTCCGAGTCACAGATCCCAGCGCGCCCGTACGACCACGAAAGGACTAGGGGTTCACTCGTCTTCATAACGTCGCTCTCATCGTCTTCCACCCTCTCTCATCCCCTCGTCCCCAGTCGTCAGGATGCTGCCCCCGCCAATCAACTTTCCCAAGTGGCTCGAGGAGAACTCGCACCTCCTCAAGCCCCCTGTCGGTAAGTCTGCTGAAGGAGTGTTGGCATAGCTGACAAACAGGCAACAAGTGCATGTACAAGGGCGAGAACTTCATTGTTATGATTGTCGGCGGCCCGAACACGCGCACCGACTACCACATCAACACGACCGAGGAGTGGTTCTACCAGTACAAGGGCAGCATGGTGCTCAAGGTCGTTGACGAGGGCAAGGTCCGCGACATTGTTATCAACGAGGGAGACATGTTCCTTCTGCCTGGTGAGCTTCTTCGCCACCTAGTTGCTTAGCTGACGTCCAGCAAACACGCCGCACTGCCCGCGCCGAAAGGCTGACACGATCGGCCTCGTTATGGAGATGGTCCGCCCCGGCGATGCGCTTGGTAAGCTGCCATGCTTCAATCTCAGCTGACAAAGCAGACACGATGCGCTGGCTGTGCCCGAACACGGAGGCGCACGGTGACGAGCTCGTCGTCATCCGCCAGTGCCAGTTCCACTGCTCTGATCTCGACACGCAACTCAAGCCGCACCTCGACGAGTGGATGGCGAACGAGGACATCCGCCGCTGTCCCAAGTGCGGCGTCGTCGCCCCCGAGAAGTAAGCCACGAAGTTTGCGAGCCTTAGTGCGAGAGTTCGAGTCGGGCATCGGCCGACGTTTCGGCCGCCATCGTCCATGACTCCATAATGTGTATACCCAAGCATCACTTTGCAGTTGCGGGTTGGAATCAGAAGAAAAGCAGTCACCGCACTGCACGGCCTCGGGGGAAGACTCATCTAGAAGTGATGTCACTCGTGCACGGTCATGGTAATGGTATCAATGGATCCCCCGTAATGCATACATGAAACACAACAGATCTAGAACATCGTCTCCTCGTCACGCAGATACTCTCCGACGTCACTGTGTTGTCAGCTCAGCGCATAACTACAAAAGCTGGGTTACTCACGCCTGGTGGAAGACCACGATTCCGGCGGGATCGAGGTCGCGGGTCTGAATCGTGCTCTTGGCGGTGGCACCGAATCCGAGCGGGATGTCGCTCATCGAGAACACGACGACACCCTGGTGCTCCGGCGTGTCCTCGGTGATACGACCAAGGTGCGCTTTGAGCACATGGTTGCCGTAGAGGAACGGCAGCTCGCCGGCCGGCTTGATCCACACCTTGTACTTGGCGTACTTGGCAAGCCAGTCCAGTGCCGTCACACCAAGCTTGAACTTGCCGCTCTTGCTGAACTTGCCCAGACATGTGCTGAGCGAGACGAGGTTCGGGCGGGCGACAGAGGTCGCGAGGTGAAGCATCGGTAACGGGAGGTAGTACACACTGGCGTTAGCTACTAGGCAGAAGCAATCTCAGTTCGCAGTCAAGCAAGGACCTTCAGCCACTTAAGCAGTCATATCTGCCTGCCTGACCACCTTTGATACCCACCGGTCCTTGTGCAGGCGGAAGCAGTACTCGTCGTCATCGTCGCGGTCGATAAAGTGCGCCAGGTTCTTTCCGACGTAGTTCGAGAGCTCTGCGGGGTCAGCTATCTTAGCACAAGAGTCGTCAGCTCCACTCACTCTCGAAGACCGCCTTGGTCTCCTCTTCGGTGAGGGGACGCATCTTGGTGGATGTTGTGTCGTTGCTGACAGCCCCGGCTACATGAGTGCTGATCTCGTGCGCTGGGTGGATCTGCAAGATTCAGAAATCTCTAAGCGTCACGTGACAACAACATCAGATTGGATTATTATGAGGAAACGGGTGCAAAACAAATTCAATCTGGCTGGGCTGAGTGAGTGAGTGAGTTCCCACGTGGCGAGGACGCGTGAGCGAGAGCAAGTGCGGACTGGTGACGAAGTGTCATCATCGACCTCGAGACCTTCCTTGCCATCGGTACTCTCTTCCTAGAACTCTCGAGTCGACACCGAAGCGGGCCACCATGGTGAGCTGGAGTTTGCCCATCCGTGAAGCTGACAGGACAGTTCCGCAACTCTTACGACTCGGACAACACCACCTTCGTACGTCCTCCAGCTGCTTCGAGACCCGAGATGACAGCTGACCCATCAGTCGCCTCAAGGCAAGCTTCACCAGGTCGAGTATGCTCTCGAGGCCGTGAAGCAGGGTTCGGCGGCGATTGGCATGCGCTCCAAGACGCATGCCATCCTGCTCACCCTCAAGCGTTCGACTGGCGAGCTTGCGACGTACCAGAAGAAAATGATCACCATCGACGACCACGTCGGTATCGCCATCGCCGGTCTGACGTCGGACGCCCGTGTGCTTAGGTGAGCAGGAGTGCAGCTTGGCATGTTCGTGGCCTAGCTAACAGACAGCAATTCAATGAGGCAGCAGGCCATGCAGTCCAGGATGCTGTACGGACGTCCCATCCCCGTCGCCCGTCTTGTCCAGACCATTGCCGACAGTGAGTGGAGCTGTTTTCAATCCAGAGCTTTCAGCTAACGGTCACAGAGGCCCAGAACAACACGCAGATTTACGGTAGGAGGCCGTACGGAGTCGGATTCCTCGTTATCGGCCAGGACGTGAGCTCACTCTCAATGATCTTCAGCTGACGAAACAGGAGACTGGACCGCACCTGTTCGAGTTCTCTCCCGCGGGAACAGCGTTCGAGTACTACGCCCACTCGATCGGTGCGCGCTCGCAGTCTGCCAAGACGTACCTTGAGCAGAACTACGAGGCGTTCGAGGACGCGTCGCTGGAGGAGCTTGTGCGCCACGGACTGAATGCGCTCGCGGACACGCTGCAGCAGGACAAGAACCTGACCAAGCGCAACACGAGTATCGGCATCATTGGACCGTCGACCGAGGCCGTCGACCGCGCCGAGGAGGGCAAGGTGTCGGGTGCCGCGCAGCGCGGGTACTTCCGGGTGATTGAGAATGACGATGTCGAGCCCATCCTCCGCTCGTGGCGCAGGTCGCGCGGCGAGCCTGAGGACGAGCCTGAGGCTGAGGGCGAGGGTGAGACGCAGCAGCAGGGCGGAGACGCGGCGCAGCCGCAGGACGACGTCGAGATGGCCTAGACGTGGGCGAGTAGATTTTTATAGCATAAATTGTGATGTACAAGGTGTGAAGAAGCTAGTACGTTAATGCGATGGGGGGACTGCGGGGCATGGGTGAGCATGGAGATGGTGGAGATGGGGGTAAGGGTGGTCGTTAGAGAGCAGTCTAAGAGCTCATGGATGGGGAGAGTGGGGAAGTACAATCGTCTCAATCGTCGCAGACGACAAGGACGACAGGGGAACGACAGTTCGAGCGGCGTCCAAAACTAGACAACAAGACGCACGTCCTCTTCCTCCACCTCGGGCTCCTCCTGCTCGACCTCCATGGCGCCTACGCGCTGCAGCACCCGCTCAACAACGAGGGGGAGCATGCGTTCCCTCTCGCGGCGCTCGCGCTCCTGCCTGCGCTTGAGCTCGAGACGAGTGCGCGCGAGCTGGCTCTCAAGCTGCTCAATCTTCTCCCGGCTCTCCTCGAGCGACTTGTTGTGCGACAGGTGTGTCCGGATTAGGGACAGGGCGAGGAAGATGGCAGTGGAGAGGACGAAGATCGGAATCATCGCTGCTGGCGTCAGTCAATATGCGAAATGAGGCGCGGGCGGGGCGAGCGCGCGGTCGTCGGTGCGCGGGCATGAGGTACAGGCGGTGCGCGGGGCGCTGACGACGAACTGCGTGGTACGTCTTGGTCTCGGCGTTCCAACCTGGCATGCCCATCTCTCCACCCCTCAGTGGACCAGAGCTATCCACGATCGGTATAGAGAGGCAAAATCATGCCGAGGACCTCCGACACATCAGACGACCTGGCGCACCGAGCGCAAGACACTTACAAGGGAACACCTCGCGGTACCAGAACTGGTGGTTGTTCTGCGCTGGCCTGTTGATCCCCTGCCCATTCTTGGGCACGAGGGGGGAGTGTGCGTGCGTGCCGGTCGCATTGGGAGCAGGGGCACGGAGGACCGGGGACGACGACGAGAAGCTTCTCCTGCTGCTCCCGCTGGCCCGCTCCTGAAGAAGACGGAGTGTCCTTGACGGCGTGGCGAGGGGCGTGGGGCGGACAGCGGGGGCGGAGGGGGTGAAGCGGAGGGCGCTGCGTGCGAGCGTCCGGAGAGCCATGGTGGTGTTGATCGGTGGAGGCGCGGAGGCGACGGAGATCTGGGGTCGTGACGAAAGGATAATTGCTTGAGAACCGGATCGCGCCGAGGCGAGCAGGCTTGCTTGGTGCAGCTTGCTGTATGGTGCTAGCCGGCCGCCAGACTTGACCGCCAGGTTCATGAACTGACGGGCGGGATCAAATCGCAGAGCCAGCCAGTGACATCAACCTCTCCAGCTCTCCCCCGGGCTCTCGACTCGGTGTCTAACCTCACAAGTACCCTCCACCACAGCCCTCAGCCTCCCCCACTGGCCCGCCCGTCCGCCGTCGTCGACGCCATTATCTTGACTTTCAACCATGCTCCGTGCTGTCCCCCGTCTCGCAACTCTCTCCCGCACCCTCACAACAAGCGCAAGGATGTCTGCCCCCTACACCGTCGTCTCCACTGACAGTATGTCCCACCCCTCCGATCCAAGCTGACCGATAACAGAGGCCCCCGCCGCTATCGGCCCCTACGTCCAGGCCACCAAGTACAACGGCGTGAGTTAGCTGGCTTCTGCAGAAAACTGACAGACGCAGATCATCTACGGCTCCGGCTGCATCCCCCTCGACCCCAAGAGCATGCAGATCGTCGAGGGAGGCATCAAGGAGCAGACTGTGAGTTGCATTACACGAGTTGGCGATGGCGTAATTCCCGATACGGCGCATTCTCCGAGTGTGCTAGCCGCCGGCGCGGGGAGCGGAGGGCCGGGGATCGTCCAGGTGCGGCGTCGTGCAACACGGCGAGCAGTACTGAGCAGCATGCACGTCGCTGCCGACGCCGTCGCCGAGGTGTATGCATGCTCCACCGCCTGCTGCATGCAACCTGAGTGCTTATCAAGCATGGCGGACCGCTTCCATTCCGCAGCATGCGGAATGTCCCCTACCCCCCGGGCAACGGACGAGGCACTCGCGGCCACTCCGCATCCCATCCTCTTCTCGCACGCTACACCAGCCTCGCTCAGCCTCGCTATCGCTCTGCTTCGCTAACATTACAGGCCCAGGTGCTGAAGAACGTCGACGGCCTGCTCGCCGGTGCGGGCTCGTCGAAGAAGTCGGTCCTCAAGGCCACCTGCTTCCTCAAGGACATGAACCACTTCAACGACTTCAACGGCGTGTACGCCGAGTACTGGGGCGAGAACAAGCCCGCGCGCTCGTGCGTCGAGGTCGCGCGTCTCCCCAAGGACGTCCTTGTTGAGATTGAGGTGATTGCTGTGGAGGAGAAGTGACTAGCTGAGCCGGCCAAGCTGTAAGCTGCGAGTCGGCGCCAGTCGACGAGCAGCCCGTCGCTAGTCTCTGAGAGAGCGGGAACCGTCCGCTCGCTGAGTAAAATAGGCCACCTCTGGCGAGGTGAGCAGAAAGTAGAAACAAAAAGTGGATCAATGCTAGCATGCATGTCATGACTCGCGACTACGACTATGGTTTTGGTGTGAAGGACTACTGACGGACTACTTGTTCTCCTTCTGGAGAATGCTGAGACAGCTCTCAATAACGGCCATGGCGTGGTCGGCCTCCGCGTTCGTGACGGTCAGCGCAGGGATGAGACGGACACAGTCCTTGCCCGCGGTAAGCAGCAATACGCCGCGCTCGCGCGCGAGCTTGACAAGCTGGCCGGGCATGCTCTCGTCCTTGAACGCAATGCCGCGGATGAGGCCACGGCCGCGCTTCTCGTCCTTGATAAGGTCGGGGAAGAGCTTGGGGAGGCGCTCGACGAGGGTGTCGAGATGCTGCGAGACGTCCTGGATGTGTTTCCGGAACGCGGGGTCGCGGAGACGACCGACGACGTGTGCGCCCAGACGCGCCGCGAGCGGCTGGCCGCCAAAGGTGGTGCCGTGGGAGCCCTGTCCGATCGCATCGGCGACCTCGTCGCGCACCATGATGGCGCCGATGGGGAAGCCGTTCGCGAGCGGCTTGGCCATGGTGACAATGTCCGGGTACGCGTCCTTGGGGAACGCGCAGTGGGCCCACATGTCGCCTGTGCGGAAGAGGCCGCACTGGATCTCGTCGTAGATGAGCACGGCGCCGACCTCGCGCGCGCGCTTCGCGACGGCCTGGATGAACTCGGGCGTCGCGGTCGCCAGGCCGCCCTCGCCCTGCACTGGCTCGAGGATGACGCCTGCCGTGCTCTGGTCAATCAGAGCGTTGAGGACCTTCTCGTTGGCGTCGTTGTACGCGCCCACCTTGACGTTGGGGATCAGGGGCGCAAAGGGGTCCTGATACTTGGGGTTTGGGGTGACGGAGAGCGCACCCATGCTGCGGCCGTGGAAGGCATTGGAGAAGCACACGAGCCCCGTCTTGGTCGGCCCGCCACGGTCCTTGCCGACCTTGCGCGCAAACTTGAGCGCGCCCTCGTTCGCCTCCGTGCCGCTGTTCGCGAAGAAGACCTTGGCGCCCCCCTTCTCCCCGGCTTTCAGGCCGAGACCGCCGCTCTCCCGCGTTCCCTCGACCAGGCTCTTGGCCAGCTCCCCGGCCCAGCGGTTCCAATACACGTTGCTCACGTGCGAGAGCTCGGAGGCCTGCTCGCCCATGATCTTGGCGACCTCGGGGTCAGAGTGTCCCAGCGCGAGCACCGCAATACCCGCCGAGAAGTCGAGGTACTCCCGCCCAGACGAGTCGGTCAGCTTCAGGCCCTGGCCCTTCTCGAACAGAATTGGCGGACGAGCGTAGGTGTTCAGGAGGTAGTGCGAGTGTTCCGAGATCATGTCGTGCGTCGACTGCGGCGCCTCGGTGTCGGGGTGTGTGACGGGGGTGAACTTTGTGTTCGGCGTGAGGTCGCTGGCGTAGCCGCGAGCCAGCGACAGGCGGGTCGCACGGGGGATCACGCGAGTGGCGCGATAGAGGGACATGGTGGTGTGGTTGGGAATGAGGAAGAAGAGAGTGTGTGTTGCGTAAATAGCTCTAGCCGGATGAACTTTTGGCGACCTAACCTGTGGCTTATCGCAGGCAGTCTAGTCGGGCGGAGCGGAGTTGTTATCGACTCGCCGCCGAGTCGCCCGTGACTCCTTGATCCTTGAAGCTATGAGCAAGCCTGGAAATTTACTCCCGATGCATTCCACTAATGTGGAGGTCGATCTCTCACGGACGCGTCGGGTGAATTTACAGCCCACCTGGGACTCTCGATCTGATTACCTGATTACAGAATTGACGCTAAGGGGAGTGTAATGAGAAGATTCAAGTTGTATTAGGTCTCACGCAGTCTAATCACATTTCGCAGCGAGAAGCGATCACGACGTCTGCGCGATGTGCGACTCCAAAGAGCGCAAGCTCAGCCTCGCGCCTCAGGCGTTGGCTGATGCTGCTGCCGTCAGTGTTCAGGGAGAAGACCAGGGACCCTCCCCCTCGCGCTCTCGGCTCTGGCCCCTTGCTTCAGCATCTCAAGCGTCTCACCGTCTCAGCCCGGCATCATTCCAGACATCGCTGCATCTCATCCACTCGCTCGCTCGCTGTCCCTTCGCCCTCCCCTCACCACGATCATCTACTCTTTCCCCCACACCCTCCTATGCTTGCCTGCCTTTAAGCATAGCCATCACCTCCCCTTCCCCCTCCCTCTTCCTCTTCTTCTCCGGCAATCCCACTCGGGCAACGCCGCATTTCTTTCCCGCTTCGCGCCGTACGCACTCTTTCGGTCGCAACTCCCACCTTTAGCTCTTGTGTAAATTCATCGCTCTCGTCCTCCCACAGCCACCACGGCTCAATCATCCCGCCTACCGCTTGCTGCCAGGTCACCCACACCGAGTGAGTAGAATAGAATTGCCAGTCGCCAGTGCATACACAGACTCGCACCCATCACACAAAGTCCCCGTCCCACGCCGATAGAACGGACCCACCGCGTTCCCAGTCGTCAGCCAACGATTCTGGTTAACCGTGTGTGAACCCGCTCCAAAAGGAACCGATCTCACCATCTCATGTCTCATCCCCCCCTCTTTCGTCCAACCCTCTTTTTCCTTTGCTTTCGCTGACCTCCTCCTGCAACAGCTTGACAGCACCGACCACGATACCACTCACCAGGAGGCGGTGACAGATATACCTTTTTTGTGCTGCTTGCGTTCACGTCTTGCTTGCCCTCGTCGGAGGCTTGAGCCCGTCCGTCGCCCGTCACCTCTCCGGTACCTCTACCCGCACCCACTCTCCCACCAACCTACCTCGTCCCCGGCTCAACCCGCTCACCACCTTCCACCGCGATGGACTTGTACACGACCTCGTTCACGTTTCAGCGTCCGGCGTCCGGCGTGCACAAGAGCTCGCCGCTGCGCACGACGCTGTCGGTGCCCAAGAGCGGCGCGCAGGCTTCCACGAGTCTTCAGCAGCCGGCAGCGGATGCGGCCCAGGCCGAGCGCGAGTGGGACGCCGTGCAAAAGCTCTGCAACGACATTACATCGCGCGAAGGCTGCCTCGTCACCGTCACGCGCGAGGCGCCGCCTGGCCACGGCACCGGTGCGCAGGCGGATGCGGGCGACGCTGGCGCAGGCGCATCGCAGAAGAACCCCGCCGACGCCCAGGCCAGCATGTGGAACTTTCACATCTCTGGTGCCTACCAGGCTGTCATGAGTGCACGTGGGGCGCTGCTCCGCGACACTCCGCGCGACAATCGCACCGCGCTCAAGGTGCCCCGGAGCGACATTCTCGAGCGACCCCTCGCCCCCGTCTCCGTCGTCAAGCCCGACGTCAAGCACAGGCTCGACGAAATCGCAAACGACACTCGCGCCCGCATCGCGGTACTCAACATCGAGGTCGCGGCCGGTGCCTCCCAACCTTCCGTCCTCGCAACGTCTGAACCTAATTCGTCCGCAAAGGAGCAGGGGGACGCAACTGCATCCCCGCCTACCGAGAGCAAGCAGGCATCCACCGACTCGTCTGGCACCCAGCAGAGCCAGGGTCAGCAGCAGCAGCAGCAGAACCAGAATCAGCAGCAAAGCCAGCAGCCCAGCTATGGCCTCGAGACTGAGCGCATGTGCGAGCTCCTGATCTCTGGATCTGTCGAGAGCGTCGAGCTCGCCAAGGTCCGAATCCTCGTCATGCTCGACGAGCTGTCTGGCCTGCACTCCGAGGTGTGTGACATTGACTACAAGCTGCATGCGATCATTGCCGGTCGCAAGCGCTGCGTGATCCAGTCAATTCAGGAAGAGACCGCCACGAACATCTACTTCCCCACCCCCCTCGTGGGCGTGCTCGACTCGCCCCAGCCCGGATCCCAGCAGGGCGTCGGGTACAACCGCGTCAACATGGCCTACGGAGCCGCGACCATGTCGCCCCAGATGACGGGTATGAGCTACGCGAGCAACATGAGCATGGGCATGTCGCCTGTGCCGCCTCCGCACCACAATCCGCACTCGCGCAACACCAACCAGCCCGTGTACAACCCGCAGCAGCATGTCCACTACCCATACTCGCCCCAGCCCCTGCACATCAACCCTCAGACGACGCGGGGCATGCCGTACACCGGCCCTGGCGTTCAGCAGTGGTCGATGCACGCTGGCCCCGGCCCGCACGGCGGCCCTCCCGTCCACCCGGGTCCTCATGCACCCCCGCACCAGCAGGCCCCCGTCCAGATGACCCCCACCGGCATGTCGGGTATGAACCAAATGTCCAACGGGCATGGACCCGGAGGCTTCGGCGGCCGCACCATGGGCACGCCCATGGCGCACAACCAGCCGATGGGCCAGCCGATGATGGGCATGTCGCCCATGGCCTTCGGACAGTCCCACATGCACGTCGGGATGGGCACCGCTCCCATGGCCGGCATGCCGATGAACCCGGGCGACATGGGCATGGGCCAGTTTGGCCAGGGCCCGCACCCCGGTCTGTCGGTGCACTCGGGTGAGCAGGGCATGCTCGGTAAGGCGAACCAGATCTGGATCACGGGCGAGTTCTTTGGCGTGCAGCGCGCGCGCGACATGCTCCTCACCGTTGCCGTGCAGAAGAGCAAACTCGTCATCTCGCGCGACACGGCCATCTTGCCCCGCAAGCTCGACTGGCTCCTGACCGAGCGCATCGATGACATTCGCAACATCATGTGCGACAATGGCACGTACATCCAGGTGCCTTCTGTCGGATCGCAGGCGAGCCTGATCACCGTGTTTGGCGACCACCGCGTCAACATTGAGCGCACAATCCGCAGCGTCATGGCCCTCGCGTGCCAGTTCTATGTTGCCAGCTTCTGGCTGCTCCCCGTGTCGTTCGACGTGCTCATGCCGCAGGCGACGCTGAACCCGCCCCAGATGCAGCCGGCCCTTAAGCGCATTGCGCACGAGACGGGAGCCGAGGTCGTGTTCAAGAGCAACTGCTTTGAGATGCACGGTCTCGAGAAGGAGGTGCGCGACGCTGTCGTCAAGGTCCTCGAGCTCGACGTCATCAAGAGCTTCCATCACGAGATTCGGTTCCAGATCGAGCTCGCCAACGAGCACCGAGAGTTCATCTCTGGCAAGAAGAATGGAAAGATCAACAAGATCATGAAGGTGTGCGGCGTCCGCATCAAGTTTGAGACGTTCAACGACTACAACTTCCTCATGGACATTTCGGGCCAGGACGTGTCTGCCCTCCAGGGTCTCAGCATGCTACAGGAGGAGTTGCCCGCCGAGGTCTCGTTCCACGTCCCGGAGGGCTACCACAAGCGCATCATCGGCGTCGGCGGTAAGAACATTCAGCGCATCATGAAGATGTACGGCGTCTATGTCAAGTTCTCGAACGCAGAAGAGTTCGCCCAGCTCGGTGGGTACCTCGACAACGAGGACAATGTTGTTGCGCGCACGCCGGCCAAGAATGCGATCGCGCTAGAGTCGCTGAAGAGCGCCGTCATGGAGCTCGTCTCGCCCAAGGACAAGGACTACACGATCGACTCGGTCAACATTCCCCGCCGGTACCACCGCACCCTCCTGGGCGAGAAGAGCATCTTCATCCACGACATTGAGCGCAAGACCAACTCGACCATCTGGTTCCCGAACAAGGAGACTGCGAGCGACACCGTCACCATTTTTGGTCCCGAGAGCCAGGTGCACATTGCGATCGCAATGCTGCTCGACCACGTCCCGTTCGAGGCGGACCTGCACGTGCCCCCGAGCGCGGAACTGACGCGACTCGTGTCCTCGACCGACTTTGTGCTCTTCACGGAGCGCATGAAGCGCGACCACCAGATTGCGATCGCCCCCTCTGCGCGCTTCGGGCAGGGCGACGAGGCCATCTTCAAGTTCAGGTGCCAGCGCTCCAGCGTCGACTTCCTGAGCACGGTGCATGACGCCCTCGTCGAGTTCCTCGCCGGCCACAACATCCAGGTGTACCCCGCGAACGCGGCCAAGCGGGTCGACAGCTTTGCCGACGCCTTCAGCCACTTTGACTCCAAGCTGCTCTCGACGGCCAAGGCTGAGGGCGAGCGGGAGGAACGCTCTGGCTCTGGCGCCCGCGCGCGTCCGTCCCCGACAAACGTCAAGGCGCTCTTCGACAGTGGTGCGCCTGGCTCCGGCGCTCCGGGGCAGCAACCCCCCACCCCCGCCTCGCGCACTTTCAACTCGCCCCTCGCCTTCAACGTGCCCGAGTACTGGCAGGGCAGCGTCAGCACCGAGAAGCGTGGCTCAGACACAGCGCTCGAGGACAAGTTGCGTATGTCCCATGCGCCCGGGCACGCGTCGCATGCGTCGCACAGCGGCCACCCCTCGCACCAGTCGCACCAGTCTCACAGCGGCCACGCGCACACGCACTCTCACCCCGCGGCCCCGCACGTGCCCGGCCACGCGCACACACTGTCGCACTCGCATGCACACCCGCCCCCACCCGCCCCGCGCCGTCGGCGCGCGCACTCAGAGCTTGGACATTACGCACCTCAACTTTGCCCGCGCTCTTGGCGGACCCGGATCTGGCCCCCAGGCGCCCTTCGCCCCCATGCCGCCCAGTCCTACGACGACCAGCTCGCCGAACACGAGCACGGGCAACTACTTCCCGGGCGGGCAGCAGCGTTACAGCTCGGGCGACAGGACGGAGGGCATCACCCAGGGCCTTGGGAACGTGAACATTAACCACTCGTAGGCGAGCGACAGCGAGCGGCGGAGCCGCGAGCCGCGAGCCCCTCTGGCCACCGACCTGCGTATCGGGACTGAGGAGCGAGGAGCGAGAGGACGATCTTGAGGAGAGGAAAGAGAGAGTAGAGGAGGCAAAGAATAATCTCGGACAATCAAACAGAAAAAGCTATATAAACCAATCCCATCCATACCCCATCCCCCACCCCCCAACCCCCAACCCCTCACACACCCACACCCAATCCACACCACAAGCACAACATGACCACCCACCAGTGTTACCCGCATCAAAAACGCCACCCTGCACACCGATCCCCAGATATAGTTACCCGAGATGGAATAGATTGCACCGTACTTCCGAGTGAGCGAGCGAAGCGAGCGCAGCGAGTGAGGTGGTAAACGAAAGGTTGCGGCGAGTGAGGGACATGGCTGCAGCGGGCGAGCGACAAGATAGCGGCGAGTGAGTTTCCAAGTCGTTCATACGGCCCGGGAGTGACGCTGCAGTGTCCCTGTTGCAGGTCAGGAGGGTTGAAGGTCATGAGGGGGACCGGGTCGGAGACAGCCTTGGCCAGAATCGTTGTCTCCCACGCTCGAACACCCGAGACCGCGCAGCAAGTGCCACAGTACCCAACTATGAGCTATGAGAGATGCGTTTTGCATTGAGATTGATTGCTCTACTATGATGTATTCTATTGCCATTCCTCCGCCAGCGCCGCCAGTGGAACGATCCGCTCCGCATCCGCTGCGCTGCGCTCCGCGGAGGATCTACCACATGCGCCTGTATCGCCTCTTGCACACGAGCGCGGTAACGACTCCAGCAATGATACCGCCAATATGACCCGCGCCATCAATCTTGGACGCGGGGTCGTACACCATGCGCCAAGCGTCCCACACAAACACGCCGCTGAGGAGCGCCCACGCCGGCATGGGAATCACGAAGAAGAGCAAGAAAGTCGCCTTGGGGAACATGGTGCCGAAGAAGGCCATGCAGCCGTAGATCGCCCCCGAGGCGCCCTCACTGCCAATCGTCCACCCGGGCTTGCGGTTCTGCCACCACAGCGACGTCAGGGCACTGAAGATGCCCGCACCAAGGTAGAAGAGGAGATAGCCCGATGTGCCGAGGATGGACGCGACGGCGGGGCCGGCGAACCACAGGCCGATCGAGTTGACCAGGATGTGCGTCGTTGTCATGTGCGAGAAACACGAGGTGATCAGCACCCAGATCCGCCCCGCTTGCATGTTCGGCACGTTTAGGATGAAGTTCTTCAGCATCGTGTAGTACGCCGAGGGGTCGCCGAAGCGTTCCTGTGCGTTAGCTTGGAAGTACTTCGTGAGCTGAAAGGGGGAAGGGGTTGGGCGCCGAGTCCACTTCTCCTTTCCACTTGCTGAAAAGCTCCAGGGTAACTCACGTAAGTGTTAATGGCGTACTGCCAGCCGAGGAAGACGGCGATGTTGATAGCGAGGATGGTGATGGTCTGCTGTCAGCTACGTTCCGCACCCGGCAAGCTTCTCTATCACGACCATGGTCGCTGGGCTCTCGCCCAGCTCGCATACTCACCAAGTACTGCGGCGGAATAGAATTAAGCCGCCACTGCAACTTTCGCCACCAAGTCGGCCTCGGTCCTCCTCTGCGCTGATTCTGCGTCCACTGTGTGCGGATAATCTGTGTCGGCTTCGTCGTGCCAAAAGCGCGCTTGAACAGGCCGCCGACGCCGAGGCCCTTCCACCCGACCATCCCACTTCCCGAAGCACCAAAAGCACCAGGCGCCGCTGACGCCGCTGGCCGGCGCAGCGGCGTGAAGAACTGCTTGCTGTCGAGTCGGGGTCCGGAGCGCGAGGCAAAGCCGCGCGCACTCTGGAGCGTGCGCGCCGGCGTTGGTGTCGGCGCGCAGCGGGCGGCCGCTGAGATCCGGCCAAGAAGGCCCGGGAAGAGCCGTAGTGACATGTCGGGGCTCTTTTAGTTGTCGGTCTTGTGAGAGGGCTCGAAAGATATCTGGGCGATCTGCCGAGCAAAGAACGCATCGAATACGGGGGAGCACGGACGTCAGCGTCCATAGCGTGTCGTGGGAAAGTTAGCGATGGAGCCGGGGCTCCATCCATGTCACGTGGGATTGCGCCCGTTGCCGCTCTCAGTCCAGAAAGATTTCGGACATGACGCGGGCAACAACAACCCCCCCTCAGCCTGCATCTCACCTGTCCCACTGCATTCGACCACGCCCCCATCGCAAGCACTCTACGGAACGACTCGCCAGCCCAAGAACACACGGCGACATGAGCTTCCCCAAGGTGTACACGGTGAACGGGCCGAGCTCGACCAGCTCGGCCTCCCTCCCTTCCTGGGTAACAATCAAGGCGCGGCCGACACGGACATCGAGCGGACACAAGAAGCGCGTCAAGACGCAGCGCGAGCTGGGTCAGCTCGAGCTGATCCAGGACTTTTCTTTCCCCTCTGCCGCTATCAAGATCCGCACGACCGCCGACGGACAGCACGCCCTCGGTACCGGCACCTACAAGCCGATGATCAAGTGCTGGGACCTGGGCGAGCTGACCGAGAAGTTTACGCGCGTGACGGATGCTGAGAACGTCGACTTTGTCATGCTCTCTACCGACTGGACAAAGTCGCTTCATCTCCAGCGAGACCGCAGTCTCCAGCTCCACACCCAGGGCGGTTTGCACCACACCGTCCGACTCCCAATCTACGGTCGCGCACTCGGATACCACTCCCCCTCGGCTGATGCTCTTGTCGCGTGCACTGGAACGGAAGTGTTCCGGTTCAACCTCGAGGAGGGACGATACATGACCCCGCTGAACGTCGCGAGCGGGTGGGGCAATGGCATGGAGGACACCGTCGAGGGTGTGAATGCGCTGGACGTGAACCCAGTCCATGGACTGTGGTCCTTTGGTCTCGACGGTGGCGGCGGCGTTGTCGAGTTTTGGGATCCTCGCTCTCGCACTGCTCTCACCCGCCTCAACCTTCCTGCCACGGCACTCCTGCCCGCCGAAAGCGACCACAACGCGCTCTACTCTGCCGGAACACGCCTCAGCGTCACGAGCCTGAAGAGCCACCCGACCGACGGACTGTCAATTGCTGTCGGAACGAGTACAGGCCACACCCTGCTGTACGACCTGCGTAGTCCCAGCCCGTTCGCGGTCAAGGACCAGGGATACGGAGAGAGCGTGCGGTGTGTCGACTGGCTGCGTGGCGGAGGTCAGCACGAGGACAGCGGACGAGTCATCAGCGCAGACAGCAAGGTCATCAAGGTGTGGGACAAGAACGAGGTGAGTACACCAGCGGAGCGAGCGCTGCGGTCTCTGCGACAACAGCTTTCATATAGTCAATCAATAGCTAACATCAGCCCGCGCGCAACCACCTCTCGCTGCACCCGCCCAACCCCCTCGTCGACTTGCACTGTGTGCCCGACAGCGGCCTGCTCTTTGCAGCCTGCGACGCCTCGCCCATCAACACCTACTACATCCCGGACTTTGGCCCCGCGCCGCGCTGGGCCTCCTTCCTCGACAACGTCACGGAGGAGATGGCCGACGACCCCACGTCCTCAACAGCGTACCAGGACTACAAGTTCGTCGACCGTGCCGAGCTCGAGACGCTCGGTCTCACGCACCTCATCGGCACCCCCGCGCTGCGACCGTACATGCACGGCTTCTTCCTCGCGCTCAAGCTGTACCAGACCGCGCGTCTCATCGCGAACCCGCAGTCGTACGCCGAGCACCGGGAGAAGATTGTCGAGGAGCGTCTGGCCAAGAAGGCCGAGAGCCGCATCCGCGCCAAGCGCGAGCAGCCCAAGGTCAACAAGGCGCTTGCGGAGCGCCTGCGCAAGGAGCAGGAGAGGCTCGACGCGGTCGAGGCGCGCAAGGCGGCCAAGCGTGCCGAGCGCGCTGCCGCCAACGGCGAGGCCGTCGAGGAGGAGGCGGCAGAGGGAGAGGGAGAAGGAGAAGGAGAGGGCAAGAAGGAGAAGAGCAGGAAGGACGCGGTCCTCCTCGACCCGCGATTCGCCGAGATGTTCTCCAACCCCGACTTCGAGATCGACGAAGGGTCCAAGACATTCCAGCTCCTCAACCCCGCCACCTCGCACAATGCCCGCCTGCGTACCGCCGTTGAGGAGGAGGAGGACGACAGCGACCGTTCCTCGGCCGGTCTGTCCGACGAGGAGAGCGAGCCCGAGTCCGAGCACGAGCAGGAGTCCGAGCCCGAAGAGTCCGACGAGGATATGGACGAGGACGAGGAGGATGAAGAGCAGGAGGACTCGGGCGACGGCGAGGAGTACTCGGACGCCAGTGCTTCGGAGGACGAGCACGAGGCCAAGCCGAAATCCGCCTTCCCTCTCGCACGTGGAGCCAGGCCGAAACTTCAGGGCGCCACTGTGTCCAAGCCGCAGACCTTCGGACAGCGGCTGCACGCCTCGCGCAAGCCCGAGAAGGACGAGAAGCCCGAGGGCGTGCTTGCCATGCGCCGCAGCGCGGACGGAGGCATGGAGATGTCCTTCATCCCCAAGAGCGGAGGCTCGAAGGGCAAGCTCGAGGACGAGGACGACGAGTATGGCGGCGGTGGGTACCGCCGTCGCTCGAGGGTGGAGACGTTTGGAGCCGGTCTCGAGAAGGGAGGACACGAGGAGGAGGACGAGATGCAGGGACGCAACGGACGCACGAAGAGGAGACATATCGAGCGGTCTGCGAGCAAGAATGCGTTCAGGCGGAGGTAGCGAGGATAGCCACACACTTAGACTTGTATGCATCACATCGGCATGGACGCTTCAATCGCCTCGAACCAAAAGGCACTGACAAGAATGCAACGCTGAGGCTCGTACAGCGGCTGAGCGCGATTGGACGCTCGACATGACCGAGAGTGGACCGAGGAGATGGAGCAAGTCGGGGAATAGAGTTGGGCGAGAGGGGTCCTTTCGCCACGAGTGTAGAGTGAGATGCCGAATCTGACGTCTCGGCGGCCGTTGTACGTCTGGGAACCTCTTGGCTGTGTGCACTGACTGGGGGCCTTGCAGGGTGGATGCACGTGACGCCTGTTCTATGTTGACAAAGTGAGAGGCTAAAACGAGCGGCTCAGGCTCAGGGAACGAACCCCTTTGCTGCTTGCTGCGTTCCGACTACGTCGCTCTCCGACTGTAGGGGGTAGGGGCCATCCAGGCACGGGCATCGGTGGTCGGGCCTGAGCGTTCCAGCCGCAGACCATAGCCGCAGCCCGGCATCTCCATGGTCCACCAACAGGACACGCATCGGTCTCACACAGCGCGCTACTCGCTTCTCCTGGCCTTTCCATCAAGACGCCGTCGGCGCTGCCTGGGCTTGCGCACACACTAGACACCGCGCCCATGCCGCTAACATAATTACTTGCATACCACACTCGCTCTCACTCCTTCACACTCTCCACCACACACACCCTCACCACGATCATTACCAAACTGTCCAACCCCGCCCCCAGCCGCTCCTCCCGCTCGCGGGCCCCGGGCTCCATCCACCAGCACGCCCACGGCCCGCGGCCACGCTCCGTCTCACGCAGCTCGAGCAGTCCCTCCCCCGAACCCCCCTCTCTGCGCAACACTCCACGCAGCGCCTTTGCTCCCCTCCCACCCGTGTCTAACGGCCACGGCAACGCTCGGGACAAGAAGCGCTCGTCCTCGCGCTCATCACATCGTCGGCAGTCGACCTCCAACGGCGCCCCACAGCGCCCACCACTCCGGCCAGACGGGCCAGGTTGGATGAGTCATTATCTCGGCTCAGCCTCGAGTGCCGGCGGCTGGATGCCAGAATCAGTAGACGGGGACGGCTTCGTCTTCGTGAAAGCGGACGACACCGAGGTCGAACACCAGCAGAAGCGCCGCGGCTCGAGTTCACCGAATGAAGCACGACCGGCCTCTGCAAACGGGACACATGTCCGGACGGGGCTACCGAAGAAACTACCCCCAGACGTCACCGCGCACCCCGTCCAGGCGCGCGTGACGCTACTCCCGTCAACAGTCCTCGGAATACGCTTGAACAGGAAGCGATGCGAGGACATTATCCTCCTCTCCGCGGTCGTGTTTGCGATTTACAAGCTGGCGTACGGCTGGGGAGAGTGGGCAGTCGCAGGAGGTGAGCTAGCAGCCTGCCAGAAAGCTGACTTCAGAACTGCTCACGCTACTCATCATCAGCGTCGTGTACGTCACCCTCCGCGTGCGCACGATTCCGCGCGGCGAGGTCGAGCTTGCCCGACCAAAATCTCCGGTTATCGCAACGGGCACCCGGGACAAGGCGAACCGGCGCTCGGGGCAGTTTGCCAGCGCAGTGTCCTCTGCGTCCCTGCACAGCCGGGGCGACAGCCGGAGCTCGACCATGAGCGTTGCGTCGACCCTGGATGGCGAGGATCCCGCGAGCGTCGGGTCCCGCGGCTGCGTCTTTGGCACAGAGGAGAGGGAGTACAGGTAAGCTATTTGACGGTGGGAAGCTGACAGCAGGGAATGTCTCGATGACGGAGCGCTGTTCGCGCTGCTTCTGGCGCCGCTCACGGCCGCAGCGATGCTGCACGCTGCGCTGACGCGGCTGAGCTCTGAGCCCGACACCGCCGTGCCGCCAGGATGGGTCATCGAGCAGCCGCTGGTCAACCCCTCGACTCCAATTCGACACATCACAGGCGTCGCCTCGAGCGTTAGCGACGCGACGAAGGTGCTCTCCGCGCTGGCGATCTCGAGGCGTAACGCCGTGCAGCTGTTCACGCTGTGCTCGTTCGTGTTGCTCGTGCAGCTCTCCTGGTCACTGCGGCACGAGCTGAAACGGGCCAAGGCGTCCGTCGCGGCCGGAGAAGAGCCGTCGGGCACGTACTGGCTGAAACGCGGCGAGCTGCGGCGCAACCTCGCCGTGATTGGGTTTGCGTTCTTCGTGACGGCGTGCTGCCTCGTGGTGAAAGCCGTGACGGCACGCATCGGCCACGGTGTCTGGAGTGACATGTCTCCGTCGGATATCGTCATTGCGACGCTGTTCTACCAGTTCTGCATCTACGTCTGTGTCCGCCTAGCCAGGCGAGGGTTCACGCTCGGCGAGATGGGCATCGTCACGCACGCGGGCACGGCGCTGTTCATGGAGACGGTGAACATGACGAGGACGAAGGTGAGTTGGCGTGGGACGGAGGCCGCAGGCCGACGTCGAGTTCACAAGCCGTCGGTGCGTGGTCTTGGAGCTAACGACAGATCCCTCTCTTCCGCACAGAGTACATCAAGACGTACCGCCTGCCGACGCCACTCCTCATCTTCCAGCTCTCGCTCATCCCCGGCTCACTCCTAACCGGCTTCCTTCTGTCGCCCCTGCTCTACCTGTCCCGGCAGCTGGCGCAGCGGCCGGTCCACCGCCTCCGCTTCCCGCACGAAAAGGTGCAGCACCGCCGCCTCCTGGCGCTAGGTTTCTACGCCGGCGCGGTCCTGATCGTAACGGGTGTCGTGGGGTCGTGGGCGTGGTGGTGTCTCGGCCGCCGCGACCCGTGGCTGTGGACGCTGCGGTTCCTTCTCCTGGGCCCGCACGCGTGGACCCGCCCCGCGCTGATCAGTTACTGGGGGCTGCTCGCGCTCTTCTCGGTGGCGGCGTGGCAGCGCCAACTCAACCGCGCAAGGAGGCATAGGACTTACGACGTGAACCCGAAGAAGGCGCCGGCCGGGTCTGGAAGGGATAGCGGCAGCGAGGCGGTAGCCTCGCGTGTAGCGACGCAGATGATGGACGCGGCGGACCAGCGCATACCCACGCTCTCGATCAATGCGCGGCGCAAGTCCTTCCACGCCCTCGCCGTCGCCATGTTTGTGCCCGGCATAGCGATCGATCCGGCATTCACGCACCTGGCGTTTTCCGTCGCGTTCGCAGCCTTCACGTTTGTCGAGTACGTGCGCTACTTTGCGCTGTGGCCCTTTGGCCGCTCGATCCACCTGTTCCTGAACGAGTTCATCGACCACAAGGACTCTGGCACGGCCATCCTGTCCCACTTTTACCTGCTTGCCGGCTCGGCGTGTCCGCTCTGGTTCGAGGGCCAGTCGCGCCTCTTGTCCCTCCTCGGCGTACTGTTTCTGGGCATAGGCGACTCCATGGCGAGCATCGTCGGGAGGAAGCTGGGGAGTACCCGCTGGTCACCGGCCAGTGGGAAGACGGCAGAGGGAAGCCTCGGCTTCACTGTCAGTGTTGTGGGTGTTGCGGCGGTTCTGTGGCTCGTTGGGGCCGTGGAGGCCTTTGACCTCGCCGCGTTCACGATCACGACCGCACTGAGCACGCTGCTCGAGGCGTTTAGTGCCCAGAACGATAATCTCATTCTCCCCGTTTATGGGTGGGCCATTGGGACGCTGCTGGGCGTGTAGACTATGGCCGAGCGCAGCGGGGCCGTAGGTTCCCGCGAGATATCAAAATCAAGACCATGGCACCATGGCCTTCCAGTGCCTTTTCGACTTGTAGCATCCATCCTTTCTTCATTAGGTTCCCAAACCTGCATATTTGCATATCTGTCTCCTTGCATCTTTTACCATACCCCGTACTATATCAGTACCCGCATGAACAATATCGAGACGCCGAGATGCCGCTGCCCTTGAGTGGGGGGAAGAGCCAGTTGCGCCCTCTTTGCGCCCGTGTGTGAACGTGTCAGTTGGCCCATTGCTCCTGGATCTGCTCGAGATGAGTCAGCTTGCGCCCTCCCTTCGCACACTCGCACACTCGTGACGTTGCGCCCCTCGCTCATTGCCCCCGCTCCACGCTCTGCGCTCGCCACAGCCTCTTGGCAGGTGTCCATCGTCGACTTCACAACATGACATCCACTCATCACTCATCCCTCCGACGAGACTCTTGAGGAGGTTAGTTGAGACGCGCTTCGAAGCTGACCTCCAGCCCAGGCGATGTCGGGTGTGGATGGGTGGGGGTGAGCTTCACGGCCCGTTGCAAGCTGATTGCCAGTGCTGACGGGTGAGTTATCCCGATCTCGACGTAGCTGACAACCAGTATCGCGGAGTCAGGTGAGCTACCGTACGTTGGAAGCTGTGAGCTGACTGCCAGCTCCGGGGAAGAGGGTGAGAGGATGGGAGTGTGAGTTGATCGAAGTCAGCCTTGAACTAACAACCAGTCTCGAGGTGGGGGAAGCTACCTCAGTCCTTGGAGCTGACTATCAGCACTTACAGGAGAGAGGTGAGTTGTCTGCCCTCGACTAGAACTGACATTCAGGCTTGAAGAGGGTGTGTGAGCTACGCGAATCTCTTGAAGCTGATTGTCAGCGCTCGTTCATGGAGGAAGAAAAGGGGGGATGGGTAAGTTATGTGAGAGCTTTGGTTAACTGACACTCAGTATCGCGGGTGGTATGAGCTGCACGGAGAACATCGCTTAGCTGACCATTAGAATCTGCCAAGAATGGAGGTGAGTTAAGGGGGGACCTGGTAACTGACGTCCAGTCTCTGAATAGGGTGGCGTGAGCTACGCTGGCTGCTGTGAGCTGATTGACAGCGCTCATCAAGGGGGGTGAGTTTTGTTGTTTGGGGTGTGGTAACTGACACCCAGTGTGACGGACGGAGTGAGCTTGAAGGCTGTGCGCTGAATGTCGTGAGCTGGGTCTCAGCAGTACCGAAGCGCGTGAGTTCCTTGCTCCAGAGCGCTAACTGACATTCAGCGTCGCGAGGTGGTATGAGCTACAAAGAATATGCTGCGTAGCTGACTATCAGAACCTGGTAAGGAAGGGAGGTGAGCTATCAACGTGAAGGTTATAGCTGACGTCCAGTCTTGACAAGGACGGGTTAAGCTAGTCTGACGGTGTTAGCTGACTGCCAGCGTGCCCCGAGGGGAAGGAAGGGGCGAGTTTCTTGTCTGCGCAGGTTAGCTGACACTCAGTGTCGCGAGGCGGTTATGAGCTGCTTCGAGAGTGTCGCTTAGCTGAGCATCAGAATCTGCCAAGGGAAGGACGTGAGTTAAGGGGGGAACGTGATAACTGACGTCCAGTCTCTGAATAGGGTGGCTTGAGCTACTCCGAAGGTGTGAGCTCACCACCAGCGCTTGACGAGGGGAAGGTAGGGGTGAGTTGTCAACTCGATGGATTCAACTGACACCCAGTACCGCGGACCAGTATCGTAGACGGAGTCAGCTGCCCGTTGAATGCCATCAGCTGATTCTTAGCAAGACCGAGCCAGGTGAGTTAGGCGTTCGAGTGCCTCAACTGACCACCAGGCTCGCCAAAGTGGGAATAGCTGGAGCGAACGCTATTAATCAACGGCTTCGGGAAAGAGGAACGGAGGAGGTGAGTTTCCAACGCGCTCTTGAAACTGATGGTCAGTGTTGTGAGGTGGGACGAGCTGATTTGAACATGATAAGCTGACCTTCAGGACTCCGAGGGAAGAAAGGGGGAGGTTCAGTTGCTCGGTAGCGGAGGGAATCTACCGGCAGTGTCGATGGTTGAGGAGTGAGCTACCTTTGTGGCATCTTGGAGCTGACTGCCAGCACGCCCAAGTGTGAGTCCCTTGTGGTCGAGAGTAAACTAGCCACCGGCCTTCACCAAAGATGAGCATCCGCGAGATGACTAGAGCTGATGGGCAGACTCCGAGAAGGCGGATCGCGTGAGCTGGAGTACTGCGTTTGCAAACTGACACTCAGACTGGAACGCCGCCGCAAGCTGCCCCATACCCGCCCAAGCGGATGTGTGAGATGAAAACGGCATGAGAGAAGTCGGGTGTGAGTTTACATGGGTCTGACAGGAACTGACGACCAGTATCGCGAGGTGGAGTGAGCTCGCGTCGGTCGGAAGAGCTGACAAACAGCTTGGACAAGGCTGGGACACGGGTCCGTCGGCCTCTTCTGTGCTGTGGCGAACTGACTTCCAGCCTCAGCCGAAGTGAAAGGGGAACGGGAGGGCAACCGGCTGAGTTATCGTGCAGGTGGGAGCTATCGTTCAGAGGTGCAAGCTAATGTTCAGAGGCGGGAGACGCGAGAGTGAGCTCCTCGGCGCCTTTAGAAGGTCCGCAGGCTCTGGGATGGAGGTCGGGTAAGCAGTTGAGCAGGCGCGGAAGATGAGAGTAAGCTGTCATGAACGCTCCTGAAGCTTATAAGCAGCGTTCTGTGATAGTGATCCGGGGAGACTTGAGGCTTCTGGTACGTGCTTCTAGGTGACCGTCGGTGTCTTCCAGGACAGTTTGAGCTTCGACAAGCCTCGGATGCGGACGATCAGGTATCTGATGGTCGAAACGGATAGAAGCGCGAGGATTGAGTGACTCACAGATGACTATCGACTTGCTCGTCACTGGATTCAGGGAGGACTGGGGGGCACTGCGGAAGCATGTGTTTCTCCATCGCGGACTCACAACACTGTCCGACGGCACTGTCGCTTTTGCCCCTGAACAGTGATAAGCCGCGGCTGCTTAGCTCTGTGATTCATCGAGAAGGCTGAGGTTAGTTATCCAATACATCTCTATTCCCCTGCTAAGATCTCTCCATCACCCTCTTATCTCGCTATGACAGCCGATGTTCCACCCGTCCCCAACCACCCACCAGAGGCCCAGCACCGTCGACGCAGACGTCTGGTTCACAATATCGTGGACATGGACCCCGAAAACAACACTGGCTACTGTGGCCCTGACCCCGGCATCGAGCCCTCACTTGAGTTTCCCTGTCGATCTTGGAAACTTCCTCAAGGCCGCGGGACCATAGGTTCCATCGAACATCAGGTTGAGATGGCCTGCCATGCCGCGAGCCGCGCCTGGGCTGCTGCCGAAGACGAAGGGCAAGATGCTGTTGATCAGCTGTGCGACACAACGGTCAAACTGGCCATCGCGGACAAGGCCATCGAGCTGTAAGCTGAGATGGCGGAATCTTAGCTGACCGCAGGAACTACTGGGCTTCCGATCGGCGGCAGTACGACAACTGCGTGCCTAAGGATGTGCAGGAGTGGCGAGCGGGGCTGCCTGCTCTGGTTCAGCAGGCGTACGGACTGGTTAGTAGGAGCCAATTGGAGCGATTGTGCAAGCTCACGCCAGGCATGTACCAAGCGAACAACCCTACCGGCACTGGAGGACATTGAAGCGGAGATCGTCGCCGCCGTTGAGCTCCATTACACACGACACGAGGACGCACTCTCGCTGTGGCTTGACGTGCCCCGCGAGGTGCCGTTCGATCTTGGGCCGTATGCGAAGGCTCACGAGGCTACCGTTGAGTATTGCTACACATTGCGTAATGGTCGCTGGACCCGGGAGCCGTATGGGCTGTCCATGAGGGATGGTGTAGCCGTCCAAGTCTTACTCCCGGACGCTTCTCCGGCGCCTGAGCAGCACGACCCCTTAAACCGCGAATAAGCAAGCCGCCGTGTGTGATCCGCCGGCCACTGTGATAGACCCGAACAACAACAGCCGGCGCGGTATTGAGATTTCACATGCGCGGTTGACTCAACCGTACGCCCCTCGTCGCACATCATCAAGCCACTCTGCCACCACATCGATTATCCATTTCGTTTCTTCCAATTCACTCTTTCACCAAAACATTCCAATATGGGCTCTCCTGAGCTGGCAATCGCAAATAGCAAAGGGAAGAGTACCGGAGGCAAGGCTCCCCGCAAGGTTCTTGCGTTGGAAGCGGCAGTGAATCCTCACAGCAAATATCTACTCCGGGGCCCGGATCCTGGTTCAGAGCCACCTCCAGAGTTCCCCTGCCGGAGCTGGCGCTTCGCGGAAGGACGCGGCGACCTCGGCTCCGTCGAACTACGGGTGGGTGTCGCCTGTCATACCGCCAGTCGCGACTGGGCAACAGCCGAAGCGGAAGGACAAGATGCGGTGGATGGGTTGTCCGACACCACGGTCACTTTGGCTATCGCGGACAAAGCGATGGAGCTGTGAGTTCCGTTTCAAGACTGAGCTGACTGCAGAAACTACTGGGTGTCGCAGCGTAAGCAGTGCGATGGTCTGATGCCCGCCCACGTGAGCGAGTGGCGCTCGAGTCTCCCCTCTCTGGCGCGCCAGGCGTACCAAGCTGTTCGTAGAAAACACAATTGAGATATCAGCTTATACCAGGCCACAACAAAACGCTCAAACCTGCCGAGCCTGGAGGAGATCGAGGGCAAGATTGTGAGCGTTCTCGACCTCCTCTACGTGCGTCACGAGGACGCCCGCTCGGCCTGGCTAGATCACCCGCGTGAGGTGCCGTTCGACTTGGGACCATACGCCGACGTTCACGAGGCGGTGACTAGGAAGGTTTATCGGCTGTACGGCGACTGTTCGCAGGAACCCTACATCTTGGCTTCGAGGGGCGGCAAGATCGTCCAAATCCCTATCGCGGAAGATACACCATTGCAATAGGCCTATTCCAATGTAATTGTACTGTGTCTGCATGTACCTGCATCCCCGGGATCCCTTCTTGCTAGACTAGCTCAGAGGCGATATAATCAAACGATGCCATTACGAATAACGATAGAGCCGTTCTTGAAGTGGGAACTGACGCCGATCCAACAACCGAAGAAAGCATGGGCGTCGAGCTTAACTCACTGCCCTTGGCGTACTGTACCTCGCTCTGGACAAACGCCCTCAAAGCCACGGCCTGACCTCTCTCCGCTTGAAGACGTCCTCCCAATCATCCTTCTTCACCCAGTCTGCGAAGGTGACATAGTCGATCTTGCCCGTCCATTGCGGAAGATTGAACTTGCGGCACGTGGTTTCAATGGCCTCTACCATGAAGCTCTGGATGTCATGGAGAGGGATGCAGACGAGGTCCGGGTCGGTCTTATGGCTGAGGAGGTTGCCGTATCGCAGTGCGCCGATCCTCTCCGCACCGACGATGGTGACATGTCGGATCCTCGAGCCCGCCAGCACGCCAGCTATCCCGACGAGAATCTTGAAGATGGCGCGGCACTTGGACTGCGTGCGGGAGCGGGCGTCGCAGGTACCAAAGAAGTGCCCGCAAGGCGGCAGCCACGGGAGCTCGGCGTCGGTCAGCGGCTGCCAGAACACGACTGTGAGCTTTTCTGCCGTGGCGGCCGGTTTGGGTCGGAAGCCCCAACTCGGCACAAGACGACAGTCGTAGTGTCGAGGCAAGTCGTCATTTTCGTAGTCGTACCAGTGCCACCGGTCCGCCGAGTCGAGCACGACGGTGAACTCCTCGCCGCTGGGCCACCGACGGAACCTATCGCGCTCAGGTTGGTCTGGCTCGTTCCATCGCACTGGCGCATTGCGGATGACAACCTTGCGCGGACGTACGCCCAGAGCCCCATATCCTTCGCTCCTGAGCATGTGGCAAACAGTACGGCAATCCGGCCGCGGGTGCGGATCGTTCCGTGCACGCGTCACCGAGACAGGCTCTTGACAAAATCCTTCGTGGTCGTCGTGGGTGAAAGCACCTGGAAGCGTGCCCTCAAAGTCTTCGTGAAGGAGACACTTATGCAGCTCAATATAGAGCACGTCGACTTTGATATTCCTTATTAACCACTGGCAACCCATTCCATAGAATGCACTGCAATCGTGCGTCGTGTGCTTCTTGAGTTCGAGGCGCCGGATACCTTCCAGCAAGCGTCTCCGCTCTTCGCCGTAGAGCCCTGCGTTGCCCAGCTCCGGCAGATCCAAACTTGGATACGGGGTCGGGGCGTGCGGAAAGTGCACTCCGAGCCGTGAGAAGGTGCCAAAGCGGTAGAAGAACGGGCGTGTGAATGAAAGGAAGAACTTGGACACGCCGCGCAGTTGGGCGAGGTCTTCACGCCCCAGTTTGTCGCACACCAAGCCCCACAGCTCCACTGGGAGCTTTGGTGCAAGGAAGGGTCCATCCTTGACTGCGATTGATGACGATCGGAATTCCATGGCGAGCGATTGGGGAGAGATGGGTAAAGAGCCATGTGCACCCCGTCGAGTTCTATCAGTGTGAGGGTGGACCTACCCGGTCAGGTGCGAAATGGAGCCGTGCCTGGAATGATCGTTATCCGAGCTATCGTCCTCGGCCCCTACTACGCACACAATCCCGCAACCGTTGTACAATGTCTATGCTGCTGAATGCATCTCTACGACGTCTAGATACAATCCTGCCCCCACAGCCTACTGCTGCATACCTCCCGGGAGCGTGTTCTTGTCCTTCTTGACATGCGTGAACGTTCCGCTGGCGAACCACCGGTCGTTCGCCTCCTGGACCTTCTGCGCCGCGCTGAGACTTGGCGTGACGATCTCAATACCCTGGACAGGTGTGAACGAAAGCGAGGTAGAGGTACCGCTGGCCGAGTCGGAGGAGAGCGCGCTGCGTCCGAGCATTTGGGTACGAAGCTTGTTTGCACGGGACAGGCGCGCGCGACTTCGCTGGTCGACAACCTGCGCGCGCACCTTGCCGCTGCCGATCATACCCAGGCCGACCGTTTCGTCGTCGACACCCGTCTCCTCCTCCGGTTTGCCAAACTCCATCCTGTTCTGGAGCTTCTGCAACTCCGTCTGCGCATACCTCTCCTTCAGCGCTCGGGCGCGGCGACCACCACGCTTCTTCCGCGCCGTCTCCTGCGGCACCGGCAGAGCCTTGACCATCTTGTTGGGTGGCGGCTCGGACATCTTGGCAATCTTCTTCTCCAGATCCCGCAGGAGCTTGCGCCCGTAGCTTCCGTCGCGGGACGACTTGCCCGCATCGATACGGGCAGCGAGAGCCACTTTGGCAGCGACAGCGCGCTGCGCTCGCCGCCGGTCTTCCGGCTGAGCACTCTGCACGAGACCAGACTGGAAGATGAAGCCGGTGTGACGCTGCTGTCCAGCCGCACTCAGGTGCGTCGTTGCCAGAGACTTTTTCAAAGCACCGTACAGCATGACGTTGCACGACGGCGCTCGCGAGAAGGCGTTGAGACCACCGGCCAGACCAAGCAGCTTGGCTGCAATGTTGGTTCCGACGATCGCACTGATGTTCGGGGCGACGGCGGACATCCGGCTTTCGACGAAACGGAAAATCTCCTCACGCGCAGACTTGAGCTGGTTCGCAACCTCGATCGCATTCAGCGTCGTCTGCCACTCGGACTCGGTAATCGGCTTGCCGCGCGAGCTCGTCGCCGTCAGCGTGATTGAGAGCACGGTCGCTGCCGGGAGCGAAGACGGGAGCGTCGCCTTCGTGAGGTCGTCGATGTTGCCGATGGCCTGAACGGCGGCAATGTACGTCCATGGGTCGTTGATGAGCTGCTCCAGCTCGGGGAAGCGCACGCCGTAGTGGTCGCGGATGAACTTGTGCACGAGCATGATCTCGTTGTCGACCTCGACGCTCATGTTGTTCGCCGTCACAACGAGATGATACTCGGGGTTCTCCTCCAGCGCTCCGGCAGCAGTCGACATGTCGGTCGGCGAGGCAGTATACCGCTCAATGTCGGCGAGCACCTCCTTCAGCTTCTTGCCCGTCATCAGCTTTGCGACCTTGGTCACGTCCCCGTAATCCGTCATGTCCGTTGCGTTGACCTCGTCCTGGTCAAGCTCATCCGCGGGTCGAACACCACCCTCTGGCACAAATCCAACGGCATCGGTTCCGTCCTCCATCTTCAGGTCGCCGTCCTGCTCGACATCATCCTCGAGGTCGTCGAGAAGTGACCGCTTGCCGTTAGCGTTGAGGGGAGGAGGCGGCATCGAAGACGACGAGGCCTGAGGAGCCTCCTCCTCTCCATCGGAAAGGCCGTCAAGGTCCGCGAGCAGTCGGTCTGCGAGAGACATTGTCGGATGGGTTTTGTTGTGACTGACTGTACCGACTGTTCGTCGCAAGTGGCAACATTGCAAGTCGCGATCGCGGGGATAGAGGGGGGTGACCAATAAATTCTGGCGGTGTATGGTCGCCACGTGCGGCAACGTCAGTGAGAGCCTCCACCGCGGGGCGACTCCGAATTTCTAGCCCCCTCACTACGAAGACGGTTTCTGAACCCGAGAAGGCTTATGCATGGGAAGGATCTCCTTTCCGACCCCGACGCGACCTGAGCGACCGACTCCGGCTGCGTCTGTCTTCTGTTGAGACTGTATCATTCACAACGACCGTCCTTCAACGATCGCACACGAGTTGCCGGCTTTCGTTGACACCAGCGATTCAGCAACCGACCAAGAGGAAGGCGTTGATTTCGAGGTGGCAGCCGCAGCGGAATCAATTTAACGCCTGACTTCACCGTATCAGCATTTCCGCCCGAGACCACCACCAAAAGTCTGGCCTCCGCGATTTTCCGTCGACTGCCCAACTTCATATACCACCCCAACGTGTGCTCCGCGACGACTGCAGCGCCGCCGACACGCCCGAGAATACCGCCTCGACCGTTCGACCCCCTCTTCACTCGTGCTATGCTCTCTTTCGACTGCTGAGCTCGCTGAGACGCATTCCTTACGAAGGCGATGGCCGGAAGAAATCAACAGGCCATCGCCATGTCGCGACTGGTCTCCAGTACCGGCGCCCACGTTCTGAGGCTCGTCACGACGTCTTATCTCGATGGAGCCGGTCCGTCTACGCAGGCTTACAGAAGACTGGCGAAGCAGGCTTCCTCGGCAAGTGTTCCCAGCTCTCTATCTCGGACAGGTCGGCTAACGGTTCAGCGTCGCTCTTCGGTACCTCTACGACGGTTTGCGTCCTCGGCCTCGGCTCTCGAACAGGGAATGGACTCGGAACTGCCCGTCGTGTTCACACCGAGAAAACCGCCACGAGTCAAGGTTCGACCGTCCACAGTGCCGTTGCCCGACTGGGTACGACTACCGCCAGCTGAGGAACACTCGCTTTTCATTCAGTCCAAGACGCCGGGAGAGTTTGTCCAGCGCTTTCGAGACGGAAAGTACGATCCGCGGATGATTTTGCCGTACCGAAGGCTGCTTGCCGTCACCAAGCTTTTCTGCAGGTCGTCGCAAGCGACACCGGAGGATTGGGAGTGGCTTGCAGCTACCTTGACTCAGACCAAGCAGCTGGATAAGGAGGGCTGGGGCCAGCTTCCTTTATCCCACGGCCTCGGTCGCTGTTTACTGGGTCTTGCTTTGGCTCAAACTGGAGATTGGGCTGCTGCATTACGATCAATGGCATTCGGCCTCAAGTTGTCTATGAGCGATGCTGAGAAGCTGTCGGCCGACGTAACGGTGATCGACGCTCTCCCGCAAGGGACGGCTGGAGTGGTGCAAGCCTACGTCAATCTCCTAAGGGATACCGATAGGGTTGCAGACATCCCGGAAGTCGTTTTGAGGTCGTCTCCGAAACTCATGAAGATTCTCACCGGCATCGACAGTACTCGGCACGACACGGCAGACATCCGCGAGCTCCGCGTCGCTCTCCAGTCTGGGCTCAGCTTGACCAACGACCCCATCGGCTGGCTCAGCAACAAGCTGGAGAAGGGCCAGAACCCGAAGCCTCAACAAGTTTACATGCTCGGTAACGCGTTCCTCGCCTCCTTTCTTGCCAGCTCTAAACACAGCGTTGGTGAAGCGTACAGCGTTTGGCGCAGCATCACGCAGGTGTTCAACTCGACATTCGTACCGGCGCATCTAGCTGCTGAGCTCGCTCAGCGGTTATCGGCTCAAGGACATTTGCCTGCGGCTGTGGAGGTATTCGCCCGCATGCGCGAGAAGTGGGCGAACCTTCCTCACTCGTCGCTCTCCATCGAGCTGCGCGTCTACGCGAATGCGGGGTTGACTGAGGAAGCCCGAGACATCTGGAATCATCTCACCGCTCGTTATGGCCCCACACGCGAGGATAAGCTGGCGCTCGCCAACGCTTTTGCGGCTCGAGGCGACGTGGAGGCAGCCGAGGAAGCGCTCCAGCACCTTCTCGGAAGCACTGCCATGCAGAGCGCCGACGCTCTTTTCGTCATGCAGCGTGCTCATGCTGCAGCTGGTGACCTGGAGAGCGCGCACGAGTATCTGAGGCAAGCATCTGAGATCACTCCCAAGCTGGGACCCTACCTCAGCCTCCTATCGCGTTACGCCGACCGAGGTGATTCCGACGCCGCGGTGCGCTTGTTCGACGAAATGATCGTAAACGGTGTCCAGCCGACAGTGGAGGCGTATACTTCGCTCATCTCCGCCTTTGCCAAGCACGGTGATTACGTGAATGCCGACTTGATGTTCGAGGGTATGGTCCGAGCGGGACGTACACCTGACGCTATCACCTACTCAGCCGTCATCAATGCTGCCCTCGAAGCCGGAGAATGGGATCACGCGGCCGACTGGTGTGACCGTGTACCGTCGCATCTGCTGAGCAGCGAGGTCCTCACCGGCATCATCATGAAGGCTTTTGTCCTGATAAACGCTCCGCTCGAAGTCACTCTCCGACAGTTCAGGCAGGTGACGATACCTGGCGAGCACCTGTGGGCGCTGGCCATGCAAGCTGCCGCCGATCACGGTGACCAGCTGATGGTCCAAGCTCTCTTCGAGGAGATGGATGCCAGAAGCAAGCTCGACTTCCTCTCCCCAGCTCCGAATGTCTACGCCTTTTCAATCCTCCTCTCCACCTTCATCCGGTGCGGCGACCGAGTCAAGGCAAAGGAAACGTACGACGCCATGGTTTCGCGCAAGGTCATCCCGAGCAGTGTTACCTACGGTCTTCTGACGAAGTCGTTTGCTGATGCCCCGGGGAACAGCTCTTTCGAGCAGGGTGACAACTTCGCCAAAACGGTCTACAGACATATCACATCTACGAACCATGCGGAGTCGGAGGGCCTAGTCGCTGCCAACATCTTCTCGCCCTTGATTGCGGCCGCTGGTCGCAACGGCGACATGAACCTGGCGCGCCGGTACTTTGACATCGTGAAAGAGAAGGGCGGCAACTCGATCTACCTGACGACTGTCCTCATGGATGCCTATCGACGAACGGGTCACACGAAGATGGTGTACCGACTCTGGTCTAAGCTCTTCCGGGATGCTCGCCGCACCATTCCTCAGAAGACACCGCAGTCTTCCGTTATGGATGCGGTTCGCTCGCGCAACAACCTGCTTTGCATCCCACTCTCTGTCACGATCCAAAGTCTCACTGCAGCTGGTCTCCACGACCGAATTCAGCAGCTTTGGACCGCCGTTCGGTCATCCGGCTTCGGGTTCGACGCGCAGAACTACAATCACCTCGTCCGCGCTCTGGCGCTCACTGGAGACGTCGAGTCGGCGTTCCGCGTTGTTGAGCGTGTGCTCATTCCTCGTTTCGACGATGTCCGGAGACGCAGGTTCCGTGCTATGCGCTCCGATGGAGAGCTGCAGGCTGTGGATGCTACGGCCAACGTGCATGCCAATGCACCAGAACTCACCGATTCCGAAGTCGAAGCACACGCCGATGTTCCGCAGAGGAAGAAGCCAGAGTTCGGTTTGAAAGGTACCGACGCCGATCCCGAGCCAACTCTGCTTGAAGAGGCGCCCCTCACTTCCGCAGACGTCGCAGCCGACATGCGGCGGCCGAACCGCCGCTCTGAGATCAAGGCGTACGCACCGGCAGAGTACCGTGAGCCAGGAGAGGAGGACGACTGGAAGCACAACGACCTTACTCTGATTCGGTATTGGCGACCGACGGATGTTCTGTGGCGCCCGTCGAAGCAGACTCTCGCAATCCTCGATCAGGCGTATCGCCAACTCGAGGAGCAGCGCGAGTACCGCGCATGGGTTGGTGTTGGCGCGGACGAGGACGGCGACGACCAGCCGGTGAGATTGCCCGAGTTCAACAATGTGGCTGTGAAGAACGAGGACAGCACGGTGAGCAAACGCTCGCCCACGTTGCTTCTCGCTCGGCTGAATCGGTTCTACGCGAAGACGGTCGGGCTCGTGATGCTGCACCGTCGAAAGCAGCAGCGGAGGAAGTTGAGGATGGAGCGGAGTGACGTGTAAGCGATCGTGAGCGGTGGTCATAAGCAGATACAGCATTATCATTACAAGCATTTCCAGCATATACAGCATACTACTCTCCCCATTCAATTGCATATGCATTGCCATGACTCTCACCGTGCAGACCGTCCGTGCCACCATGCTCGCCACCATTCGAGCAGATCCCACTCCAAAGGCACCAAGGGAGTGAGCCTGGCCCGATCGCGCCACCCAAGAGCCTATCAGCTGGCGCAGCGATATGACGTCGGACCTGAAACACTTGAAATCGGCACCGCGTCCGGCGTGATCCAGGTCGCACCTGTTGACTTCTCTACCTTCTCATTGCACACTACATCCTCGCCTCAGACAGAACGTATCAGCAATGATCCCGAGAGGAAGGGGATCGCTGTCCTTGATGCGGCGTCAGCCGTTGATGGGCAGCGCGTCTTCCCTACTGCGGCCGCAGTTCCCGGCGGCATCACTCGTGCGACCGACAGTCGCCACCAGCTCCCTGTCACGCCTGGTCGCCCCAAGTATCCGATTCTATGCCGACGACGCGCAGCCACCTCCGAAGGAGGAAGATGCTGCCAAGAAGGAGGACTCTGAGGCGGCAAAGCAGGAGAAACCTGAAGAGAAGAAGGTCGAGGAGGAGGAGCTCGACGCGTCCGACCCGGAAGCCGTTGAAGCCGCGCGGCAACACGCGTCATTCTACATTTCGAACGTCCTTCCGATAAGGCTGAGTGGGTTCGACATTCGCCCCAAGCTCGCTGAGATTCGGGAGCAGACGATCATGGAGCAGCTTAACCAGATCGTCGGCGGACTGAAGGGTCGGCACGCGTTCCGACTCGAGTCGTATGAGATTGCGCGCAAGGACGGCGGCGTGTTCTTCCACTTCACCTACCTGAAGCCGAAGTTGACGCAGCTTCCGCGCAAGCACCAAGGCTGGACTCACGAGCACGCACCTGAGGACGAGGCACCTGAACCCACCAGCCCGGCAGCCCTCTTCCTCCCGCCATTGCTCGAGAGTGCGCAGAAGCATGGCGGATGGCCCTCCTGGCTCGGCAAGTGGTGGAGCAACTTCACAGACCGGCATAACACCCCCAAGACAGAGAGCGGACACGAGTACTATCGTGGTGGAGCGGTTCCAGTCCGCGAGCCTGAGTTGCGCGGGTGGCAACGCGATGCCGGAGCCGGTCGTGCCTGGGTCGTCAAAGGCCGCCAGTGGACCGAGGACTTGTCGCGCTACCCGTCTTCGCAGCTCAAGGTCGAGTTCGCTGGTCCGGACGTCGGGCAGGAAGTTCTCTACTCTTTGTTCCGACCATACGGACGCATTATCGAGATCGTACCGCCGTCGCCGGTACCGGCCGGTGCGCTGAGGTACAGCATCCTGAAGTTTTCGCGTATCTCGACAGCAGTCGCAGCGAGCAACTGTCTCCATTCTTACTCGACGCCGACAAGCCAGATCGACTATGACCTCGTGAAGAAGCAGCCAGACCAGGATGTGACCCGCTCTACCCTCAAGATCTGCTATGAGCAGCCGCTGAAGGGGCACTACTTCCGTGATTGGGTGAGGGACCACCCGAAGATTGCGATTCCGATCCTGGCGTTCCTCCTTGGCGGTCTGTCGTACAGCTTCTTCGACCCCATCCGCTCCTTCTTCGTGCGCAACGACATTGAGGGAACGTGGGATTTGGAGAAGTACCAGACCGTCAAGTTTGTCCGCGACAACATCTGGCTTCCTGTGTACAACACGCTTACGGGGCAGCGTAACCGCCCGCAGCGGAAGCGCAATGTCGACGATCTCGGCCGCGCATCCTGGCAGGACAGGATGGAGGCTGAGGCAAACATCGAAAAGTGGATCCGCGAGTTCCCCTCCACGTTCATTGTCGTCACCGGTCCTCCGGGCAGCGGCAAGCACGAACTCGTGCACCGCATGATTGAGGGCTCGCACCGACCGTCGCTGGAGATCGACTGCGCGGAAGTCGCGAAGGCGAAGACGGACGGCGACCTCGTGAAGAACCTGGCAGCTCAGACGTCTTACTGGCCCGTGTTCTCATTCTTGCAAAGCATGAACGGCCTGATCGACCTGGCGGCTCAGGGCCTGATCGGACAGAAGGCCGGCTTCAGCACGCCGATTGACGAGCAGCTGCGCAACATGCTCGATGTCGTCACTACCGCACTGAAGGGCGTGACACAAGATGAGCAGGAGGACAGGCTGGAGGCAGCGCGGCATGCCGAGCGTGAGAAGAAGACGCACTTCATGCACGAGGCGGCTCGCGAGTCGATCAACAACGGAACGTACCATGACGGCCGCCTCGACTGCATCGCAGGCAACGGAGTCATGTCCGAGCTCGGATTTGGGCAGGAGCCGATGACGTCCAAGGACGCTCGTGCGCCGAAACCAAAGGAGGAGAGCACGGAGCACTTGGTTGCTCGCGCCCAGGCCGCGCTCGCAGACAAGCCCCCGCCCGCCGAGCAGTCCGAGGACGCAGCGGACGAGGCGCCTGTGCTTGACACGAATGCCGAGACAATCAGCACACTCCCAATCGTTGTGCTGCGCAACTTCAGCGCAAAGCCGGCCCGGGGAGACCTCTGGAAGGTACTTGCCGAGTGGGGCGCGGGTCTGTTGGACAACAAGATTGCGCACGTCATCGTCGTCGGCGAAGGCAGTCTCACGACCAAGACGCTGACGCACGCTCTGCCGTCCAAGCCTCTGAACCACGTCACGCTCTCCGACGCAGACACGTACAACTCGCTCGAGTTTGTGCGGGAGAAGCTCTCCTCGTCCGAGAAGGACAAGGACGGCAACCCCAAGCAGTACGTGCTGTCCGAGAAGGAGAAGGATGCGATTGCCAAGCTCGGCGGTCGCATGGTCGACCTCGAGCTGCTCGTGTACAAGGTCCGCGGCGGGCAGAGCATCACGCAGGCTGTCTCCGACATCGTGCTCCGCAATGAGGTCGAACTGAGGAAGCAGGCCTTCGGCGACGACAGCGAGGACGCTGCCTCTCTCCCGTGGAGCAGGGCGCAGGCCTGGAAGCTCGTCACTGAGCTCGCGCGCGCTCCAGAGCTGTCCTACGAGAAGCTCCTGCAGTACTACCCCTTCAAGGGCGGCGACATGGCGCTGAAGGCGATGGAGGAGCGGGACATTGTGACGATCGTCTACCGCGATGGGCGCGCCTATGCCGTGCGCCCGGGCAAGCCCGTGTTCCGCGAGGCGTTCCGCCAACTCGAGGCGGACAGCACGTTCGCGGCCGCGAGCCAGATTGCGTACAACAACAGCGTCATTTCCGCCGCCGAGGCAGCAATCAAGGGTTACGAGGAGGAGCTCAACAAGCTCAAGGCGCTGATTGGAGAGGGAGACGGCCTGAAGCTCAGCGACAAGAGCAGGGGATGGCTCACGTCCTGGTGGGGCGAGAGCTCGCCCATCAACCAGCGCGCCAAGTACCTGCTCGAGCAGATGGACGCCAGCATGAAGAAGATTGCGGCGGCCAATGCCGACAATGCGTGCCAGCTCGAGAAGTTCAACCCGCCCACGGAGGGACAGGGCAAGTGCCGCACGCGCCTGGCTTCGTAGCCGTAGCCCTTGCATCCTGGAGACATCAGCATCTACATCTGCACTCTCCCACGCGGCCCTCAAAATCCGATCACATAAGCCACACGAAGTTAACGACACAAGCACATCAGTAGTCACACGTAATCCATGCATTATTTCGTCCAGAGAAGAACGCAACCTGCAGCAGGTGTGTATTGCGTAGCGTGATGTATGCATTTTAGCGGGGTATATAGGTGTTGTTCTCGCTGTATGATAAAAATGCCAAAAACCATATGGAGTTGTGTAGAGAGTTATTATCGTCTTGCGCTGAGAGCGCTCTAGTCTAATCCGCGTCGTCCCCGTTCTCCCTCATCGTCGATACTGTCCGTGATCCCTTCAAGATCAAGCCAAGATCGTCCCTGTCATCGTTACACCCGATGCAACCCCCCGCGCTTCGAGCCTGGGTTGCTTAGGCAACAGGCTTCTTCTTGTAGTAGCGACGGAAGAGGTTGTCAATGTTGTCGAGGTAGTACGCACCGGGCCAGATGTTGTCAATGGAGCCCTTGGGGACGTACTCGACGGCGTTGTGGTTCTCCTCGCGGAGCTTGAGGGCGTCGACGTAGTCCTGGCAGGGGACGACCTCCATGGCGTCGAGGCGCTTGGTGAGGTCCATCTTCTGCTTGATCTCGGACACGTCGCCGTCGACGCGGAGGCCGTAGAAGGAGGCCGCGCAGCCAGAACCGAACGCGAACATGCCGATGCGCTTGCCCTTGAGCTCGTCGGCGGGGATGTTGTTCACAATCGAGGAGAGCGCGCCGTACAGCGACGCAGTGTACATGTTGCCGCAGCGCTTGACGCACGACGAGGCAGGGTCCGTCGCGCGCTTGTAGTGCTCGCCGGCGTGGGCCATGAACGCCTTCTCGACAGTCTTGTCCATGTACGTCTTCTCCTTCTCGCTGTCCTTGAGCTCGGCGGGGATCGAGGCGAACTCGGGGTTGGACGGGTCGCGGAGGTAGTCGTTGTAGAAGAGACGGGCGTGGCCCTTCTGGACCAGCTTGCCGTACGGCGAGTGCAGACAGACGTAGTCGAACTGGTTGATGCCGTCGTGCGACGAGGTGCCGTTGGCAGTGCCGTTGGCCTGGCCAGAGGCGGCGGCCTTCTTGGCGGCGCGGGCGCGCGAGGCGTTGGCCTTGTCGATGTAGGTCGAGTAGGCGTTGTCGAGAGCGCCGAGGTAGGCCCTGATGGTCCAGGGGCCGTCGACAGTGGGCTGTTCGTCAGCTATGCGGCGCCGCGCGGAGGAAGAGGCGGAGCGGGACGCAGGTAGGGCGGACGCACAGGCCTCCACCTTCCCATACCTCCACTTGGCCACTTTCCGGACTCCGGCGGCGCAGAAAAAACAAAATCGTCGGCTTGATACTCACGTACTCAGCGTTCAGGTCGGGCTTGTAGAAGTCCCAGGTGTTGGCAATGTAGGTGCCGTGGACGGCTGGAATGTCAGCTGGAATATCCCTCCTAGTGCAGCTATTGTGCTGCTGGTCACAGGACTACTCACGCTCCATGACAATAGGGGCGTTGGGGCCGATGAGCATGGCGCAAGCACCCATGCCGCCGACAGGGCGGGCAGAGCCCTCCTTGTAGATGGCAATGTCTCCGCACATGACAATGGCGTCGCGGCCGTCCCAGGACTCGGACTGGATCCAGTTGACACAGTTGAAGAGAGCGGCGGTCGAGCCGTAGCACGCGTTCTTCGAGTCAATGCCCTCAATGTCGTGGTTGCCGTGCTCGGCGAAGAGGTCCATGAGGAGGGTCTTGGTCGACTTGGACTTGTCGATAATCGTCTCAGTGCCAACGTCCAGACGACCGATCGACTTGGGGTCGATGTTGTACTTCTCGAGAAGGCCGGAGACGACTGTTCACGGTCAGCTCTCGTGTTCGCTGTCAGGTCCTAAAGCTGCAGCTAGGTCGCTAGAACCACTCCGATAACGCTTCGCTCGTACGCTAGCTCGGGGCGGCTGGAAAAAGCGTCCTGACCACACTGCTCATGCCGCCGGCACCACCGACTCTCTGCGAGCTCTACTCACCAGTCAGGGCGATGGAGTTAATGTCCTCCCTGTAAACGTTAGCTTGGCTCCGAATCATTGCTAGCTGGGTCCGCAAGCTCTTTCGCCCCCCATCGGAGATTTGGGATTTGGGGAAGAGCTTGAAAACAATGACCGAGCTGCTAGCTGTCGCTACTCACTTGTCGTCGGTGAAGGCCATGAACTTCTGGCCGAGACCGATGGTGTACTTGCCCTTCGAGACACCGTCGAACTCCTCAAGAGCCTCCTCGGAGATGCACCTCTTGGGGAAGTACATCTCGATGGCCTTGATGCCGACGTTGGCGGGGCGCTGGGGAATGTCGAAGGCGGCAACCATGTTGAATGTGATGTTGCGGGGTATGGGGTTGAGGGGAAGAGGAAGAGAGGGAGAAGTCTAGGGACGAAATAAGTACGGAAAGGACAATGACAGGTCGCTGAGCAGAGCGAGGTGGAAGGTGGTAGGCTGGCGGTGCGGTATGATACGATTGCTTTGCAGGCTGAGGGTGGTGGTCTGATACCTGACGCGGTGGTTGGGCGTGGTTGGGTGCGGCTGGGTGTTAGTCCGGGGAGAGATTGCTGTTAATCCGATGCGATCAATCTCGTACTAACTTTTTTTAATCAGCCGGGGGGGCTACACGACACGACACAGCACCAGGCCCGGGTGGGGGGTGCAGCCCAGGCGGGCCACCTGGGCCTATGGCACGATCTTCGCCTGGTCTTGCGCTGCTTTTGGCTCTTGGTCGACCCATAGCATACAGCCCACAGCTTGCACACGGCCCACAGGTACATGGTACCACCTTGCTCAGGTCGAATCAGGGCGCTACTGATGTGCATTATCTTGGACATCGACCCATCCTGCCGCCTCCCTTGCCCGTCGCCCTTGCCCTCGCCTGCCCCATTGCTGCCCGTCGTTCTGTCGTTCGCCGTTGGGTCGTTAGACGGCCAGGGCCGCTAGGCTGACACCTTCCGGACGCTCTTCAGCCCTTCAGGCTCGCGCCTGGAGCACAGATGGGAGGCATGAGGGTGGTCGAGGGGGCGCTGAGGGAGCAGGGAGAGCAGGGATGGCGCCACGCGTCTTTCTGTGCTCTGCTCTGCTGGGTCTCTGGTGTGGTGCGTTGCGTTGAGCTTGCGATGATTTGATGGGAGGTAGGGCGGATACCCTTTTTTCTCGTTTTCGTCGTACGATGGTCGGTCGGTACGCGTCCTCCATCTACGCGCCGCTGTCCTCTCATGTCCCTCGATTGCCCTCGATCTCGCGCCGCTCTGCCCGCGACGCCTGGGCGCGAGCGCGCTCATAAAGTGGAGGGACCAGGTACACCCGGGCACGTGTCTGTCCCTGAGCCGGCTCACACGAGGATCACATTTGCTTCCGAAGTATCACGTGCGGGCGCGATATCGTAGGCATGCCCAGTAGGCGAGCGGCGTCTCTAGGCATGCCAAGAAGGCCTAGGCCTCATAGGCAAGCGGTGCCTGGCAGCCGGCAAGACCCGCATGTCCAGAGCATGCCACATGACGTCAGTTGAGCAGGCATCAATCAGACGCTGCGGTGAGTGGGTGAATGGCGTATACTGGGCGTTGAATGCCGGAACCGTCGGTGAGCCAGGCTGCTCGCTGGCTGGGGGAGAACACCACGTAGCACTCCGCCAAGTATCACCGTACACCCGGCCTCTTTCGCAGCCAAGGAACACTATATAACAAGCCCTTCACCCAAGATCAGTCTTCCCATCCTCACACCAACCAAGACAACTTCAATCCAACAACCAACCATGACCCAGGACCTTCTCGCCGTCATCTACCGCCCCTCGGAGCACGAGGACCAGTACATCGTCTTCATCTCGGACGAGGACGAGTTCAAGCAGTGGAGGGAGCAGCCCGAGGGACAGAAGTCGATCGCCCTCGCCCGCTTCATCGGTAACTTCAACATCGTGAGTGTGCTCACCGCAGGCTGCGGGCCTGCCAGCTGCCTTAGTCCTGCCAGCTAACCCCCACAGTATAAGTCGAACATGTCTGGACACACCGGCATGCTCGCCCCCGTCTCGAAGCAGGAGTACGAGAACGCTTTCTTCGGCGGAAACAACAAGAACGTCAAGGACAAGTCTCAGGAGTGAGTAGAGGAGCGAGAGCGACTGCAGCGAGCGGACCCGAGCTGCATGCGGCTGGTGGTCATCAGCCATCAGTCGTGTGCGGAAAGGAGGGGGCGGTGGGCATCCCCGTCCGCGGTGGATCTGGATCTGGATGCCCCCTCTCCGACCGGCCGACCGCTACGCAGCTCACACAGCTACCCGGGGAGTAGTATATCTAGCTAACACCACCAGGGCCGCGATCAAGATCATCCTCCAGAACGGAACCCCCCAGAAGAAGCAGTTCAAGGTCGACGGCCAGTCTGACCTGAACCCCTCGCGCGGTGGTGGTGAGGTCAAGGTCGGCGCCAACCAGCCCGGCAGGTAAACGTGTCGCATGCTAGCGAAGCGGAGCGTGACGGCGTGCCAAGCCCGGCCGCCCCGGCATGCACCGCCCGGTACGCCGCCGACGAGATGACCAGGAGAGACTACATGTAGCCAATCGACGTACGTGGAAGTAGAGTCAGAAGAAACTATGCATGAATACCCCTGCACCACACCTCTCCCCGCACACCAATCCGAGCGTTGCGAGATGCCACTAATCCAATGCTGTGCATCGTGGCCAGCAGCGACGAGCTCGACACACACGACGAGCAGCGACGACGAGTGCGGGGGCGCAACTGACGTCGAAGCAGCGGACAATGACGCTGCGATCGGGTGCGGGACCAATCATGGCTCACTGTAGAGAGCGAGTCAGGCTTCGGATCCGGGGTAAGTGTGTGGGCACTGAATGCGGCGATCTGCGCACACCCGACTGGCCAGTAACAACACTCAGCACAAGGTGGCATCTAGGCTACATGGGGGATTCTATTCGCTGCTTGCTGCGGGCACACCGCGTTATGACGGAGGCGGCGTCTACGATCTCCTGCGATCTCCTATGCTGAGGCGTTATGCTCCGTGCGTCGCTCCGCGACCCTGCCATCGTCGCCGACAGAGCCGATGGCACGCTCGTCCTGCACCTGCTGCGCCTGCTCCAGCTGCTGTTTGCCCGGCAGGCGCTTCTCCTTGATGAACGTGCTGGCCAGGAGGGTGCAGCAGGCCAAAGCGGCAGCGACGGCCCACGTCGCGCGCAGGCTGGAGAGGTACGCCTCGACGGCCTGCTGCCTCTGCTCCTCGGGCAGGGTGTACATGAAGCTCTTCTGGCGGACAATGTTGTTGATGAGTTTCCGGCTGCCGGGACCATAGAACCGCTTCCTGAGCTGACGGACCAGGGCCCAGATCTGCACGCACCCGCCCAGACTGATGCCGAGCGTGGCGCCGAGCGAGCGCACAGTGTAGAGCAGCGCGGTGGCTTTCGGCATCGTCTGTGCGTCCACGGACGCAATCGTCGACACGAGCGAGACAACGAGGAAGACGGCGTAGCCCAGGTTGCTCGGCAGGACCGTGGCGTAGTACGCCCACTGCGGCCAGGAGGACGTCCACTCTGTCGCGGCGATGGCACAGGTGAGGATGGGCGGGACGAGCGCCATCTTGCCTAGCCGCGTGTAGCTGCCCACCCCGCGGCGGATGTACCATCCCCCAATGAGGGAGCCGAGCGCGAGCCCCACGCCGGAGCAGATACTCACGACGAGGCCCGAGGCGGACCCGCTCGCGCCAATCAGGGAGAAGTACAGCGGCACGTAGAAGAGGAACATCTGGCTGCTGCACAGGAGCAGGAAGCCTGAGAGCCAGATTGCCCTCAGCTGGCCGCGCGCAAACATGCCGAGGGGGATGATGGGGTCTTGGCGCGCAGCTCGGCACGGAGGAAGAGCACGAACGTGACCGCCGCGATGGCGAGCAGGCCAGCGACGCGAATGTCGGACCAGGGCAGGAAAAAGGCCGTGTGGAAGCTCAGGCCGACGATGAGGGCCGAGAAGCTCACGAAGAGCGTCGCGATGCCCGCAAAATCGAGGCCCTTCAGCGCCGTCGAGAGCGGGATGGGCTGCGCGCGGACCATCTCGCCCGCCGTTGTTGAGCTGGGGAGCTTGCGGTCTGGCAGGAACGAGCGCACGGTCACGATACAGAAGAGCACGATGGGAAGTTGGAGGTAGAATGCCCACGGCCACTCGCCCTTGTCCATGATCCAGCCCGAGACGGGACCGCCGAGGAGAGCCCCGAGACCGAAGATGGTCATCATGATGCCCTGGTAGAAGCCACGCTCTTGCAGCTCCACGAGATCTGTGAGGATGACTGCCGAGCAGGCGAGCAGGCCGCCCCCTCCGAGTCCGCTGACGGCACGCCAGGCGATGAGGGACCAGATACTCCGCGAAAGACCGCACATGAGCGATCCGAGACCGAAGAGCAACGCTGCCAGCGTCATCGCGTCCCGGCGCCCCAAGCTGTCGAGGAGCACGCCATAGACCGGGATGCCGAGCGTGTTCGTCAGCGAGAAGGAGAAGCCGAGATAGGACGTGAGCTCGGAGTGCGCAAACTGCGAGGCCAATGTTGGTGCGAGCACTGGAATCGCTGTGGACTGCAGGGCGAAAACAAAGTTGGACGACCATATGCCAGCGCTGCGAGTTAGCTGTCATCAAGATGGAAGCTTGGTGACTTGATCTATCCACCGGAAGTTCAGAGATCGAAGCCGTAACATGCCCAGAAGCACGCATTTAGTGCAGGGAAAGGTGTTCCGGCTTCAACCGTGGCCTACTTACAGGATCGCGACGAATCTCGGTGTCGACAGCTCATACTTCAACGGCGGCGGCCGGTTTCCAACAGCAGCTTTCGGTCCCCTCGCGACCGCTCCATTTCCATTGGCACGACCGTTCCCGTGCGCGATGAGCGGCGTTCGTTCGCTGGCGCCCGGCATCGTTTCGTTGTAGGAAGGAATGGACGTGTGGGCGACTGGGCGAAAACAAACAGAAGCCGGGGCCGAGATATTTGGAGTGCTGACTGAGCAACTGGGATTTCCTGGGCGGGGTGTCGGATATCGCCGGGTCATGACGTAGGCGGATGTTAGATGACCGAAGCGTGCGGCGATCTCATCTTGTCCATGCACAGATCTCGATGTTGCACACTCCTTGCATACTGACTACGAAATACTCACTGAGCTCGAGGGATATGAAGTAAGCTGGGAAGCGCAGCCGATGCATAGCTTACCTGGTTCTCTGCGCGCTCCTTGGACAGGAGATCGCGGAGGGGCTTCACTTCGCTGAGGTCAGCTGGAGACGAGAACTGCTCAGCTCACTGAAGACCGGGTCTGGGCAGGCGGCATCAGCATGAAGGCTGCTGAGTGATCGATTAGTGATTTAGCTGTTGTCAGATTTACTGTTCAAACATATCTCCAGCTCACCGCATTCGCCGTCGAATCGGCATCTCTTCCCATAACAGCTCAGCACACGCGTAGAAAATGCACACCACACCAATCCATTGCGGAGACTGACGGGTCAGCTAAGCCAGTGGGGAAGAAAGAGCTTACTTGGAGCAAAGCTGGGATGGCGGTGCCAGGCTTTAGGACATTTGCTGTTGGGTGTCCGAATTTATCTGCAATCAAGCTGATCTGTCGGTTAGCTGATGAGGAAGGCCTCCACAGCATACTCCCTTGTCCTCGCAATGCCGCCGATCCCGCTGTTCATGAGCTAACCATACAACATGCTGCACCTCAGCTCCGCCATAGCCGTGTTTTCACTCACCCGCCCCAGCCTGTGCAGGCGCGCGCGATGCTCTCCACAACTGTCTGCGTCAGCTTGGCGGCGATAACCCTCCAGCTAATCCGTCGGAGTGTGTCCTGCGAATTTATCGTCTCCGCTGAATGTCAGCTACAATTGAGGATCGCATAGCTCACAGATTCGACTGCCACGCTGTACGTTCACTTCAGCGGTACGAGTCATCTGCGTAGCTCACCCTGATAACCCGGGCAAGCAGCCTGTCGGCGCTTCGCTGATATTAGCTGATCTCCACCTTATCGATATGGCAGCTCATACCTGTGCAGAGGCGTGGCCAGTCATCAGCGGTGGGCTAGGATGCTCGTCGCGAAGATCACGGCTCTGTCCAGACTCCAAGCTGGGCGTCAGCTCGGGGCGGAACACCACAGCTAACGTGCTCTCGCAAGGATCTGTTAGTCTTGATGATAACAGCTGAAGATGTCGGGACAAGACTTTGACCTGCCCATCAGCTCCACAGATGTAGTGAACGAGTAGCTCACCATCCTGTCGCTGCTGAAAGCCCGATGGCGCCTTGCCGCAGGACTTAAGCCAGCAGGCAATTTCAGCTGCCTGTTGTCAGCTGTCTGTTGGTGGGCGATCAAGCTCACCTTCATTTCATTGGCATTGAATCTGCACCTTGCTGACAGAGTCAGCTGGCTCCCGGGGTAGAGAAAGCTCACATTTCCGAGTCACTATTCACCTGTCTCTCTGACACGTCAGCTTCGGCGCTATATTGAGGCTCACAGTCACGCGTCTCGCAGATTCACTGGTAAAGTTAGCTTCGAGGCCATGTCGTATGAAGCTCACCCACCTCTGTTATCTGGGCCGAGCATACTCGACAGCCTGCTATGGTCAGCTTCAACCCTTAAGAGCGTAGCTCACTCACACTTGGCCACTTCCTCCTCGCGCATCGTTTTGCGCTGGAAGTCAGCTTGTGGGGAAGCGATTGATGAAGCTTACCATCACATCGCGGACCTCATCTCGTTTGAGGGACTGCCGACGTCAGCTTCGAGAATAACCTAAGCTCACTGTCCCTGTTCAATGTCGCGAGCGGCCTGCGAGTGTCAGCTAGGATGTCGCGGAGTTAAGCTCACTTGTACTCTCCGTCAAGCGCAACACTGGGATGAGCTCAAACAGCGTGCCCCTCAGCTCACGATAAGTACTGCGGGTCAGCTCTGCCATCAGATGTGTGGTTAGCTCTAACCTCTTTGTGCTCGATCGATCTTGGGACTGTCAATGTCAGCTTGTAGAGAAAGAATCAGCTCATACTCTGCTTGAAGGCTATGCTCTGAGGTGAGCTGTTGCCAGGATTTGACAGCTTACGGAGCTCTTTGAGCCAGCTTTCGGTGACTTGGGCAGCCACGCGCCTCGGTGCGGTCTGTTGGAGTCAGCTCTGCCCAATACGAAGTTAGCTCACGATCACACTCACCGAGAACGCTGGAGTCAGCTCGGGAAGCTCTTGTGCAGCCCACTAGACAGGGCTGAGGGTTAGCTGGCAACGAAGCTAGAACAGTGTACCGTTCCGCTCTTCCATGGCTGTGAGAGGCACGCATTCTGTCGTCAGCTAATCTCAAGCGAATTCTCAGCTCACCTCGTACTCATCACATTTGTCTTTGTTGGGGGGAGTATAAGAGAAAGAGAGAGGAGAAAGATAGACTTGGTCTGTTTATGTAGACGTCAGAGGGGTTGGGACGTGGACGCTCCGTCTCATGCGCGAAGTTGCGAGGGGCGCAACTCTTGTGCGAGGGCGCAGATCCGGGGCAGATGCGGGGCGCGTGTGGCACACATCCTCCAGTGTAGCGGCTTGATAGCGCAACGACGACACTGTCTGTACATTCCCACTGCCCATGTCATGGAATCGTGAGAAGCGACGCCGTGTGCGAGGAGTGCAAGGATGGGAATAGGTTGTGAAGGACTCAGCAGACGTGCAGGTGGAACAATAAGGCCGTGTTCTGTTGCTTCTCGCCATCACTCCCTCATTCTCCCACCAAATCATCTTCTCACCGTCGACTCTCATCCCAGCTCTTCACCAGCATCACCCTCATCTCTATCAACACGATCACTCACTCGAAGCCCGCGCTATGGCTCCCATCCCCCAGCGCCTCAACTTCTCAGCCCCAACCTCCGTCTTCCCCCTCGCCTGGCTCCGCTACTTTCCAAGTGACATAGCCCGCTCCTACCCACCGCGGTACGCCTCGACCCTCCCGCTCGTACACCTGGAGACACTTGCCGACTTTCCAGACCTCCCCTCCGACTCGGCCCTCAGACCCCTCCTGCACCCTCCATCTCTCGAGCCCGGCCTGGAGCCCGGCCTCGAGCCCGGCCTCGAGCCCGGGCTTGGTGAACTAGTCCCGTGGTCTGTGGCGGGATACCCATTCGCCAGCGGGAACGGAGCTGGGTACAGCGTAAACAAGGGACACGGGGGACACGTAGGACATGGTGGGGCAGAGGGGGGACTCGAGGTGCACAGGAGGCTGGGTATTCTGACGCCGCGCCTCAAGGCGGATACATCGCCCTGGGGAGTCGAGGGGGCACGCCTGCGCCTACGCCTACGCCGCCCGCCGCACCCACACCTACACACCCACCCACACCCCAAGCCTCTCTCCCACCCGCAGCACCCCGCGCACCCCACGCACCCCGCCCCCGCCCCTCTCGCTCCTCTCGCTCACCACACCAGTGAGCGACCAGGTGCTCGGGGGAGATCTCTAGACGCTACTAAGGTGTGCTATGCATGCCCTTTATCGATACGTAGGGGTATACAGAGGTGAGCTGAGAGGTGCAGGGGTGCAGGGGTATCTACTGATCAAATGTTGACTGAATGGGAGGCGGGAGATGGTGACTAACCCAGGCTTGGCTAATCGGAGGTGGTGGCTTTGTTTCTTGGCGGCAGGTCGTGCTTAAGAAGTGGAACGTCTCCTTTCTACGCCGCAACCTCCTCGACGTGGGTTTCGGAACTGCTCTCCTCGCGGCGAGAGAGGCGCCTGCGCAGACGCACGAGGAGACCCTCATTCGGCCCCTCGGGCTCGGGGCCAGGCTCAGGCGCAGGCTCCTCGTACCCGGGCAGTTCCTCCTCTGTCTCCGGCACTGCAGCCTCGTCCTGGACCGGCCGGCCCATCCCGTCCAACGTCTCCGGCAGGTCGCGCGCGATGTACTGGGCGTACCGATCCTGACTCGGCTCCTCACCCCCAACGACCTGCGGCACGCTCACGCTGCACCACTACCTGTACTCCTCCGACACCTTCGACACCTACGCCGCGTACCAGGGCGACACGCCCGTGCTCGTGAAGCTCACCAACCTTGCCACGTTCGAATCCCCCGAGCTGCCCTCTCTGCTCGCCACTGTGGATCGGGAGCTGAGGCTCGGCGAGAAGCTGGAACAGCTGGGAATGGCACCGGGCCTGTTGGGGATGTATGGCTCGGTGCAGCCTGATCGCGCCCAGCTGCTTGTGCTGCTTTATGCCCAGGCGAGGGAGCTTACCCGCATCGAGAGACATGATGGGAAGATGGCAGAGATGATCGTGGGCCTGTATAAGCGGCTGCATGAACTGGGGGTGGTACACGGGAGTATTGGATGGCGATTCATCCGCATGCTGGGAGACCGGGTTTGCTTGTTCGACCTTGAGCATGCGAGCGAGCGGGGAGACCCCGACTGGGAAGAGAAGAGGGAGGAGGAGATCGCCATGGTCAAAGCACTGGTCAGGTGGAAGTGAGCATCAGTCGGCGTGTAAGTACAATGTATTATGCATGTTGTCACAACTAGTCTATGTGTTACTCTGCCCGCTCCCCATCGCCAGCTTCGCCGGCTAGGTCGACAAACAGCCCACGTCAAAGTCGTCCGTGAACAAATGGTCGAAGACGTCGCCGTGCGCAAACTGCGGCAGGGGACGCATGCTGACCTCGCCTGCGGCCTGGCGCTGCTCGTACTCCACCTCGTAGATGGCGCGGAGGGAGCGGATGACGTTGTACACGCCAAAGATGAAGCCGAGGTCGGGCTTTGTCGGCGACTTGGGCGGGAAGCGCGCGAGCTGCAGACCCGTCTTCGGATCCGTAATTGCCAGGTAGCCCTTGCCGAGGTTCGGGGGGTCCTTGATGTTGGGCGGGTACGGGAACTCAATGTCCTGGCCTGTAGTCGTGTGTGCAAAGTCGACGATGCGCACGACGATCTCGCCGCGGATCTTGCGTCCATCCTTGGGTTGCGCGACGTCGACAGAGCGCGACCGCCGGTTCTGCGTGTCGCGCGGGTGCGACGAACGGGAAGCAGTGCGTTGAGTTGGGAACTCACCCCGGTCAGACAGGTACCGCACGTGCTTCGTGAAGTGCTCCTGCACCTCGGCGTCGCCGTCGTAGATGAGCAGCAGCGAGCAGCCGTAAAACCGGAAGCCATTCAACTTGAGCAGAATAGCCGCAAGCGTGTACAGCTTCTGCATGAGGATCGGCACCTGGTCGATGAGCATTCGCCCGCCGTCAGACAGGAACGCCTTCATGACTCGCGGGAAGTCCTCCGTCTTAAGGGAACGACCCTTGTACTTGTTCTTGGCCATGTACTCTTGTGTCGCGTTGTTCCACACCTGCATGCCGCACATGCGGACGCCTAACGTGCGGGACGTCGTGGCATCGCACTTCTTGCGCTGGCTCTGCTTCTTCAGAGGTGTCGCGTCGTAGCCGTACTGGCGCGTTCCCATCTTGAGGTCGAGCACGCAGGGCTTCTTCAGTCGTCCCGTCAGGTCCTCCATGAAGATGAACAGCTCCTGTCGGCTCGAGTCGTCGACAATGGACGGTGGAATCGACGGCGACGGCGGGAACGAGCCGCCGTTGGGCAGGGGCGAACCCTCACCCTTGAGCGACTCGGCGCGCACAGAGTCGTTGCCCTTGACGGACAGCGTCTCCATTCGGTCGTCCTCGGATCGCGAAGATGCAATGCGCCGCTGGGTGCCGCGCGGAGGGCCCATCGAGAGGTGGTCGTCGTCCATAGCGAAAACACCGCGCTCGGAGCTGTCGTCCCGCCTGCCATCACCGCCCGTCTTCCGCCCGCCGTGGTAATTATCACCGCCGACAACCACATCGCTTCGTGACCTTCGGACCTCGGGCTTGTCCGAAGAAGAGTCACCACTGCCATGCGGCCGGCGTCGTGGCGTCGACTCGACACTGAGGCCATCATTCTCATGCTCGTCGTCCGCGTCGTCGTCCCCGAGGTGCTTGTGCGAGTGTGACCGGCTCTTCTTCAGCCTCTTCAGGGTCGACGCAAACACGTGGTCCTTCAGCTTATTGTTCACGGTTGTTGAGCCGGTGCCGCAGAACGGAGGGTGAGGCGAGTTGACGCCACCGCCGGCGGTACCCGGTAAGCCGTCCATGCTGGCGTACAGCCGGTTGTGTCGGTTCAGGGCGGGCGTCGAGCTGGTATGATGCAATTGTGGAACCTTGAAGCGTGCTTGCGGACTGGCGGGCGAGTGCGCGGGTGTCCACGGGTCCTCACGGCCAAGTCGGGCGGGGATAGCCGTGCCGTGATAAGACGAAGTCGGTCCGTCTTGGTCGTGCAGGGACAGGCGGCCGAACGAGCTCGAGGGCGAGAACGAGCCGTGATGCGACCCGAAAGATCTGGCCGAAGTTCCGCGAGGACCAGTCTCATCCTCACCCCCGCTTCGGCGCGATCGACGTCCACGGCTCTCGGAACCCGTGGACCTGAACAGCCAGTCCGGTACAACATGTCGGTTGACGTCGAGCATGACTTCCGGAACCTCCTCCATTTCCGTGTCGGAAATTTCAGACCTAATCGTCGCGGGCCGTCCAGCTGGTGTGGGGGGCACAGATGCGTACGGGGATAGCGTCTGATCGCGCTCAGCAGCTGGGGTACCCGAGCCCTCAGTGACCGTGCGACACGAACGTCGATAATTAACAAGCATGACCCCAAGGTATCGGGGGATGAAGGGGAGTAGCGCTGGGGCCAGTCGTTCGATGTCCTCGTAGATGATGTTCTCGCGGCCGACGAGAGGCTTGCAGATGGCGGCACGGGTGAACTGGTAGATGCTGCTGTGGCCGCCGACCTTGTGGCCGTATGGCTGCAGCGGCACTGCAATGTGCTCCTCGTCCGTGTCCGTCTCGCTGCCCCAGTTGGACAGAATCGAGTCGAGGTCGGAGGAGCTCGAGGTCGACCAGTCGTCCTCTTCCTCGAACGAAGACGTCGGCTGCTCGTCTCGGTTGAGGGTCGATGAACGGCGCGGGGAGGTGAGGTCGTGCTCAGACTGAATTTCCTCGAGTCGTCGATCGAGAGGCACGAGTTCGGACGGGGTCAAGGCTGGGCTCTCCGTGAGGATCTCCTCCTTCTTTGTCCAGGCCGGTTCCTTCAGGTGACTCCAGTCCGCAGGCGGCTCAGGCTCTTCTTTCAAATCGACTTCTCGATCTCGTTCGACGGTCGGGCGACGTTCCTGTGGCTTACGTGTCTCCTTGAACAGACCCATGCCAATGCTGCCCTTTCGAGTCTGCTTCACCTGCGCGCAGTGGTCCATGTCCTCCTTCGCTTCAGACAGAACACGCAGCGCAGACTTCGGAAGAGCGACTTCTCCCCCACCACTAGCGCCGCGCCGGATGGCATCACCTAGGCTGTTGTCGAAATGCCGTCCACCTAGCCGAACGTCGAGACTCGGCTCCTTCGACTTGCTCCTAGCAAGCGAGAACTTGGCGTCTGTCGAGTAATGCGGCAGGTAGAACTTGTTGCCGACGCTGGCGCTTGTGTTGGGCTGTTGGTTCGGGAGGCGTAGCGAGTTGGCGCGCGCACGGAACGTCTTCGGTCGAAGTGGGGAGCGTGAAGAAGATGGGCCGTTGGGTTCCTCGACCTGGTCGTCCTCCTCCGATTCCTCGTCGACTTCGTCCTCGGCTGGAACCATGGTGCTGCCGCGGCGGGCCCTAGACTTGGAGCGAAGTGAAACGGTGACGCTGCCGACTTCGGGGTCCTGATCAACGGCCTTCATCTTTCCCTTGCGGGTCCGGGAAATGGTCGGCGACAGGTTGGCCCGGTTTGTCGGGGACGGCGGCGAGAACGGGTATGCTAGGTCGCCCATCTGTGCTGTTCGTGAGGAGGAAGCTTTAGGAGGTGATGAGGGAGAAGTGACGATCTTTGTCGGGGGCGTTGCGTTCTGAAGAGGTGGGCGCTTGAGGGAGGAAGAGGAAGGCGGTGGGGAGGATTGGGAATGGGGTTGTGGAGGTCGTTGACGATGGTCCTCCGCTTGCTCGGTGACGGAGGGCATGGTTCAAGAGGTGGTTAAGGCGTTGGAGCTGTATATAGAGGCGCGAGTCAGCGTACGGAAAATGTTGGTGAACGCGCTTGCCCGTTGCCACCAAGTCCATCCGAAAGGGACCGAGTGGACGTGCCGGGCAGAGCCGAACTCACCAAACACCACGGTGGTGCAAGCAGTCAGAGTCATTCCAAGGGCTGTTTCCAGCTATGACGAGGGGGGAGGGTCGGACTGGGTGCTGTCTGCGAATGAATTTTGAGTTGCGGGTGGAGGGGAGTCGCGAAGGAGGGACGAACGTGGTGATCCCACGTTTCTGGAACAGCTGATGATAACAATCGCGGCCTTAAAGCTGAAAGGGGAAGGAGGGCTGGGCCTGGTGGGGAGGGATGGACAGGGACGGTGATGTGCGACGGGGCTGGAAGTGGTGCGTCAATGTGTGTTGTGCAGAGAGAGATTGAGTGGTGGCGTTGCAATGCGTGAGTGAGTGTGATGCAAGTTGTGAATGAGTCGCGAAGAGAGAAGAGCGATGGAATGAAGGGTGCGGCGGCGCGGGGCGGTGGGTGTGGGTGGACTTTGTTATTTGGTTTAGGAGTAGGTCTTGGAGTCGTGAGCCGCGAGGCTTAGGGCTACTGTAGGGCCTAGCCTGCAGCCTAAATGCACCGTGCTTCGCTGCAGTCTGTGGGCCGCGCGCGGGGATCGAGGAGCCCACGGTCAGGGTCCAGGCTTCCAGTCCCAATTCCCTAATCGCGCTAATGCCCTCCCATTCCACTTCCATCATCACTCATTAGCCATTCACACAGCCCGAATAGCCATATCTGTATATCTTCTATTCAGCTGCTTCCAACTCGCCGCAACCGGTCACCGCCGCAGCAATCATGCATGCTTCACCCGCACTCGCGCACTCCGACTCAAGCAGTCAGTAACCCGTAGCGTCCTCGAGCGCCGTAGCTTGCGTAGTACGCAGCCTTCGCAACCGCAACGCAGAACTGCGGCCGCTCTTCTGCCCAGCGTGCCCAGACGTTCTTCTGTTCGCGCTTCGCGCGTCATGTAGGCCATGTGAAGATTGTGAAAAAGTGGGAGCGAGCCGATCCCCCCTCCGATCGAAGTGTACGTCACTGCTCTTGTCACCTGGCGCCATGCCATGAACCCGTCAGCCAAGCCAATGCGAGTTGGTTTTAGGCTCTCAAAAAGATCATATTCGCTCCGCAATGTGAGGTTAAGCAGGCATGTCTGAACGCGCTGACTGCTTTCCAACTTTTCGTACGCCTGGTTCATCGTCTGCCGGCAGCTGCCGGATACGTGAGCGTCTAATTGCATTACTGGAAATAATGACTGAAGGAACGAGTTACTGCTTTCGAACAACCTCGGCGCAGAGTATAGTGACTGCGTCCCATTACCGCTCCATGTCACTCGCCCGCGCCTCACACGTGCGGCTAGCGTCGAGCCAGCGCCAACGTCAATGACGCCGCGACGCCACCGCTTCACGCCTTGCACACGCGTGTAGACCCAAGACCCCAATCCGTCTTCTCTGCGTTATCGGCGCGCAGCGGCGCCCTCCGGCGTCTGTTGGCGCTGCGCCGTCGCCCTCCTCGGAGCGCACGGGCCGTTGAATGATTAGCGTTCGCAGCTTATCTTTGTGAGCATGTTAGCGACGACTTAAGGGGTAGCACGCTGCCGCCGGACCACCGGATGAAACGGACCAGCAGACCCGGGTTCCTCTTTCACTAGCACGTCAGCAAGCAACACATCACATATCGCTAGAGTGCTGCCGGAGGGCACTAGTCGGTTTCAACGTGTTTTCTCAGGGAGGAAAGCGTGCCGACTGAATGCGGCGTGATGCGTGAGATGCCGGTCCGCAGAGTGCTCTTCTGCTCTGATGCTTCATCGTTGGCAGCGTTACGGGGGTGACAGCTTCCGGTGCCGGCGATCCTCAGGATGTGGGGTCGCGTCTCGCGTCGTGACTCGCTCGCATGACTGGAAGGTGCTGGTGACTCAGGAGGCGTGGTGGGCGTGATGTCCTGTACAACTCATGAGCTCATGAAGGTCGTGGTTGATCATCCGGCAGGGCTATCGTTATCTCTCGACTTCGCTCGCATCATTTGTGTGCCTCGCTCTTGTGTCCGTCATGAACCGTCATGGTAACCCTGAACCGATGTCGCATCATCTGCCATCAGGCCACCACGGCAAGGGAAGCGTTGCGACCTGTCACCATGCTCAGCTGGCTAAGGAATGCCTTGCCACCTAGACCACCTCGGGGTCTTCCTTTCACTGAACTTATCTCGGAATCTGAGCTACCCGCTGTCCAACCTCCTGGAGCCTCCCGCTGCTTCCCGTCCAACCAGAAACATCACGATAAAACACCAGTTCTGCAGCACGCCATCAGCCATATCATTGTCGCACATGTCTTGTCTGACATGAACACATGGCTAGGCCCGAGAAGCAAGTCGAGGCACCCAGGTGCACCGCATGCAGCGGTTAAACGGCCTGGCCGCCTGGGTTGCAGACAACAAAGAAGCACGTTTGATGCGCAGCACGTCCTCCAAGCCATGCGATCGCATGCGAGCCATCAACCAGATCCAGGCTGCGTATAACGACCGCTCTGCGATCTGCGAGATCTCGGCGCGGTAAGGGACGCTTCGCTATTGTGATGCACAGTGCCAAGCACCGTCGGGACCGAGGTCGCTCGAGTCACCGCACGAGCGCAAGTCAGACACACGCACTCGCAGGCAGCAGGCGACAAATACACATAACGACGCAAAGAACAACCAATACCAGCATGCACACATGCCCCAGGGTCTGGCCATTCCAGACCGGTGTTTGCATCATGTGTTGCGGTGGCCCACATCAGCCGGATCATGTTGGCCGCATTGGCCAATGGTGACGACCAGACAAAGGCTTGAGCGGTCCCGGTCGACGCTTCGGGACTGGGCTACGGTGAGACTGCGATGGCACACACGCAGACAGTCCGTTGCAGGCAGTTATCCACAAGAGACGGAGATCGATGTGTGGCACAGCGAACACAATGGTGCCGGCCTGCCACGCAAAGCTGCCGTCCAGCATGGCACACTCGGCGACCTCGGTGGACGCTTACGGCAGCGCTGACCTTGTGTCGCCATGCTTTACCCAGCACTGAACGCTCGGCATGCTCGTCGGCGACGATGAAAATCTTCATTGTGGACGTTTCTAGCGCTGTCTTTGACGGTCTCATTGTCGTTGTTGCCTATTGCAGCGCCTACAGTGCATGCAGACTTCCTCAACGCCGTGTTCGCAGTCGTGGAGAAGCATTCCGATATCCCCTGCCTGCGGTGATATCAGATATCGCGGATAGGCCTGCCAGCACGTGACCTCGTTGTACAAGTTCGGTCGTGAAGTAGGCGCGTGAGTCAGGGCCGGTGAGCCTATGGGACGACGACATTTGCCGCACACGGGCCCCGATCCCTGGGACCCTCACCGCTGTCTGCGCTCGGGCATGGCTACGGGCGGCGGCGGTGAGTAAGCTTTACCTGCGTCTCTTGTCGTCGTGTGGTTGGCTTGCATCTCGATCTCGCACTCTTGCATTCACTCGCCTTCGCACCTTTCCTTGCTTTTCCTTTCCTTCCTCCCAGTTCTTGCCTTCTGCCTCCCCCCGGCTCCCAGCGCTCCAGCTTCCACATTTAAGGCGCCGCCGCGACCGCTGGGCCCACCATCTTCTTCCCCTCCGCCTTTCTCCCACAGCGCAAGAGGCTCATCCCTCTAAGCTCCCGCTCGCTTTTCCGGGGCGGCGACGCCGCCTCCAGCGCTCAGCCTTTGATCGCGACACGACTCCATCCGTGATCCTCGACAGCCTCTGTGAGTATTGCGACCCATCGTACGAATGGATTTGGACCCGCAAAAGCAGTGCGCCCTCAGGCCCGCCTGGCGTACCGTGGCAGGGCCCGCCAAGCCAGCGTCAGTGGCCTGCGTGGTTCCCCGCGGGAATCACCGCAGCAGCACCGCTGGCATCACACTACCAGCAAACCTTGCGATGCGATATGAAGATATTCAGAAGTCGCGACAGCCAAGCGTGCCGGCCCCATCCTACGGGTTGGGGCTAGCAGAGCAAGGCGACAACATGTGCTAGACTTCATGCACCACCCTCTGATCGCATCGCATGTCACGCTGTTTGTGTGATGGCCGTAGGCGCCGGCTTGACCGAAGGCCACCCGAGCCCGCCACCGGCCCTTCCAGAACGGGCTCAATAACAGTGGCTCGCACCCAGGCAGCCATGCAAGCCATGGCTCGCCAAGCCTGTCCCCATTCCTGCATTGCATCCAGGCGCTGACGACAACAGTTCCCTCCTTTGCATTCTTCATCCTCCATCCCTTCCTCCATCCTTTATTCTCCACCATGCCCTCGACACCATATTCGGAGCTTCCCTCGGGCTCACCACGACGATCCGTATCCTTCCGGCTACCCGGGTCGTCCAGTCACAGCCGGCGCCAGAGCATGGTTCCGGATCCCGAGGAGATGGACCGCGCTTTCGACGACGATGACGATGAGGAGCACGACTCACACGAGGGTGCGCGCCTCCTCGGCGGTCCTGCTCAGCCTCAGCCGACATCGAGCGCCAACTCGCGCATGCCTGGCGACTACGACTTCGATCGCGATTACTTCCTCCCGCCGCCGGGCTCACCGCCACCATTCGAGGACTACTCGGCTACGAATCCTGCACCGGGAAACAGCAACGGTATTGTTCCCTCGTCAAGTGACGTGCGGCGCCCGAAGCCGCCCCGACACTTCCTGGGCGGCATCCTCCCGCTCTCGTTCCTTCCGCGGCAACGAGGACAGGACGAGCACGCCCACGGTCCGGGCGTCGGAGGCGGGCAGTCGGGAGTGTTTGCCAACCTGTCCGCGCGCCCGGATGGCCAGCACGGCGGTGAGGGCGAGGAGGGCTCCGAGTGGGCCAACGAGAATGAGCTGAAGGACGCCCCGCCGTCATACCAGACCGCGCTCCGAGACGCCGTGCCGCCCTACTGGGACACCACTGTCGTGCTCCCTTCTTCGACTTCGCCGTTCGGCCCCCTCTCGTCTTCCATCTCGGGCGACGAGATTCTCATCGACGGCATGCCCGCTGGCAACCTGTTCGGTTTCGTCTGGAACTTGGTCGTGTCCGCCGCGTTCTGGCTGCCAGGTTTCCTTCTCACATACGTCCTGCACACGACGCACGCCGCTAAGCACGGCTCGCGTGCCGGTCTCGGCGTCACCCTCCTCCGGTATGCGTTCCATCTGCGCTCCGTCGCCCAGGAGCTGTTAAAGGCTGGCCACTTCCCTGGCGAGATGGAGGTCGTGGACCCTGCCACGGGCAAGCTGGCCGGCGACAAGCAGGCCGAGGACATGCTGAAGAATTTTGGATCGACCATCGAGTTCCCGCAGCCCTGGTCGCCGCCTGCGGAGTGGGGCGGCGGCAACGAGACGTACATCATCCACTCGCTGGAGGAGGCCGAGCACATTGTGCACAAGTACAACCACACGCTGCTCGACGTGGTAGGGCAGAGTGCGCCCGAGGTCGGCCGCACCAACGAGTGGTTCTCCTTCATGCTCATGATCATTGGATGGTTCCTGATCCTGGCCAGCATCGGGGGCTGGCTGCGCGTCAAGCGGTTCGAGTACAAGCTCCAAGCGGCGCAGCGGGAGGGCGAGGCTGCCCAGCGCGCCGCGCGCGGCGAGGACGGAGCTCGAGCCTCACCCCGCCGACGACGACGGGGACATCCCCACCCGCGGCCAGGTCGGCCCCACCCAGCTCGCCTACTACACGGCCGCAGTCACGCAGGCGCTGAACGGCGCGCGCGAGATCCAGCGCGGGTTCTTCGGCATGCGCGGCCCGCGCCCCCCCGCGCGCGGCGATACGCTCTTCGCGGGCGACGACGACGAGCAGGACCTCCTCGAGGCACAGGGGTACGGTCTCGAGCCCATGTCGCAGGACAGCCCCAGCCGCCGCCGCGGGCTCTGGGGATAACACGCTACACTCAACGTTGTAAATTTCAGTTGTATACACACTTCTTTTCCTCCAACCCAACCCAACCCAACCCAACCCCAATAGACAACAAACCATTTTTAAGTGATTATAGGATCCGGACGCGATCACTCTAGACTTCTCTCTCTCTCATGCTAGGATTTGCATTGGCACTGGTTTCTTCTGAGCTGCATTGGAAAATTCTACGTCTACTAACGTCTCGCGGACTAGTTTCCCGCGAGGCCCTCAAAGATGAGCGCGAGACCATACGCGCCGGGGTCGGGGACGTTCTCCTTCTTGAGCTGTTCCTGGTCGACGTAGGCTGCGCGGCCGGACGTAGCAGCGAGCTTCTTCGTGTTCTCAGCCGCATCCTTGGCCTTGCCCGCTGCCTTTTTTGCGCCCTCGCCGTCACTCAGCGCATCCGTGAACGCGACAAGGGGGTCGACGAGCGTGCGGCTCGGGGGCCGGGCTTTAGTGTATCCGAGCAGCGTGTCGCGGGCCTTGGCGGCAGCGTCGGCCCACTGCTTTGCGCTGACTTGCCCTCCACTGGCGTCGCCGGAATCAAGGGCCTTGGCAAACGCACTGAAGAAGATGGCGTAGAGCGCACCAGACGTGCCGCCCATGTCGCGCTCAATCGTGTCCGAGACGGTGCGGATCGAGTTGACCACGTCGTCGGGCTTGACCTTGCCGCTCTTGATGTCGCGGAGGATCGCCTCGGCTCCCGCCTTCAACGTCAGGCCACAGTCGCCGTCGCCCGCCACTGTGTCGTAGCGCGTGATCTCGGGCTCGGCCTTGATCACTGCCTCGCATGCGCGCTCGATCGCGGGGATGAACTCGGCCCCGGCCTTCAGGTTCGAGGCGGGGCGCTGCTCGGCGCCCGCACTCTTCGGCGTGACTTGCGGCTTGGAGCGGGGGACCGTCGGCCGCTTCCAACCCGGCGCACTGCTGTCTGCGTCGACGCCTGCGAGGATCGCGTCTTTTGCGTCTGCGAGGCGCAGGAGCGTGATGCTGAAACCAGGCATGTCGAGCGAGGTCATGAACGTGCCGACGAAGAGGCGGACAGCCTTGATGCCTGCGTTCTGGACGGCGTCGAGGACAAAGGGCACGAGGCCAACCAGCTCGAGCTCGCTCATCCCGCCCAGATTGTTGAGCATGACGACAGCCTCATCACCCTTGGCCCATGGCACGAAGGCGCGCTCCTTGTCCTCCGTGTCGGTCAGGAGCTTGACCATGTGGTCGATCAGCTCCTTCTTCTTCTGCTGCGGGTACCGCTTGAGTCCCGGTTCGTTGTGGATGCCCATGCCGAGCTCGAACTCGCCCATGGCCATCTTCTCGCTGCTGTCCGGCTTCGTACCAGGCACGTGGCAGTGGGCGAACGAAGCTCCGATCGTCGCGACATTGTCGGCGACTGTCTGGGCCAGCTTCTTTACGTCCGCCAGCGACTTGCCCTGCGCTGCTGCGTGGCCGGCGACCTTGTACACGAGCGTCGTGCCAGCGAGACCACGACGGCCGACAAGCTCGCCCTGCGAGCGCGGGACCGCGACGTCGTCACCGACGACAAGGAACTCGACATTGCTCGCCGCACTCTCGCCGGCCATGCCAAAGTGCAGCACGTCGCCCGTGTATCGCTTCACAATGACGAGAGTGCTGAAGTCAGTTTCAGCTTGCGCGCCTTACAACTCACCCCTTCTCGTTCTCGACGAGCGAGAGCGCACGGCGCACCTGGTTCGCGTTCGGCGAGGCAAAGATGTTGCCGCCGACAGCGGCCGTCAGCGAGTTGGTGCCGACCATGCCGGCGTGGGAGGGCTCATGGCCTGAGCCGCCGCCCGAGATCAGCGCGACCTTGCTCTTGTCGGGAGAGGCAATATGAAGGACTGTGCGTTAGCTATAGCCGCTGTTCTCAAAGCTGGGAATTGAACGGCAGGTTAGAGATTTGGATGCTCAGAGGTGAGGAGTGCGTTCCTTCCGTTGAACGGAGGAAGACATCTCAGCTCAGGTGGGAACGTGGGTGGGAGGGAAGCCAGGGATGTGAATGCCAGAACTCACTGCGGTACTCCTCATCGACGCTGACGGTCGAGTCGGCGCAAGCCAGGCCGCGGAGGTAGTCGAGGGGGAGCTGGGCAGCGTCGTCGGCCCAGTGGGAGGTCATGGTGGATGGTGCAGAGTCAGCATGAGCGGACTGCGGACCGCAGTGTAGTGCGAGTGTGCCGAGTGTGTGACTGGCCGATTCAGTCATCTGACGTAGCCGCACGCCGCACCGAGTTACTGCCGAGCCGTTAGTTGCCGATCCCTCCCCTTCCCCATCAACAGCATAACAGCACCCTCGAATCCCCGTTTCATCACCCGCCCTCCGATCACGGAGCCTTGCATGCTTCATTCACATGCATGTTATCACTTCAGACTACAGCGCAGCTAGCTACTTAGAGGATGGCCTGCGCGTTCGGCGGCGTCGCAATGCCGCCGACAATGTTCAGACCACACGAGGTGAAGAGGAAGGTGTACTGGTCAAACTCCTTGCACTTCCTCGCCAGCTCGCGGAGGTCGAACAGCTCGCCCAGCGGCAGTCCCCACCCGGCAAGGAAGACCTCGTGGATAGCAGGCGTCTTGAACGTGGGCGGCCAGGCCTCGAACGCAAAGGTGTCGGTCGCGACGGCGGGGAACTCGTTGTCCCACACCCAGCGCATGAACTCCTCGCTGGCCTCGATACCCACCGCACCCTGCATGGGGTCGAAGCCCTTGCGGCCCTCGTCGCCGCAGCCCTCGAACTCCTCCGTGAAACCGGTACGGACGAGGATGATGTCACCAGAGGCAAACTCGATGTTCTTCCACTTTGCGATCGCCTGCAGCTCCTCCAACTCGATGCCGGTGCGCTTCATGCACTGCGGAGCCTCCTTGCCCTGCGACTTGCGGTACTCCACCACGTCGAGGAGGTGTGCACGCGAGGTGATCGGGTGCGTCGCAAAGTCTGTCTGTCAGCGGCCACTTCTCCGAGGTCGTCGGACTTCGGTCCGCCATGCCGGCAGGCGCTAGCCCACCACGCCCAACGCCCTGCGCTGGCCCTCATGGGGCTCTCCAGTTACTCACTCTGCACCTTGTACTTGGTGACCTTGGGGTCGGCCGCCTGCTCATGCGTGAGACCGCCGTGGTAGGCGTACTTGCCCTTCTCGGGGTAGTTCTGGTAGGGCACATGGACGAATCCGTCCCACTGCGTCGCGCACTGCGTGTTGAGGTGGATCTCGTCGTCGAGATAGTACCCGTTGTCGCAGACCTTGTGGGTGAGGCCGGCGCGGTGCTCGTTGATGTGCGGGAACGTGTTGATGGGCAGGTTGAGGCCGACACGGATACCGCGCTTGACGGCAGCGTTACCGCGCATGATCGACTCGGGGGTGATGTTGTTCAGCTGGCCGAGCTCGTTCTCCTCGCCCCACAGACCCCAGGAGTTGAGGGGCGGGCCGGGACGCTGCTTCAGGTCGTCGAAGGAGCAGGGGTTCGGCATCTTGAGAGTAGTTTGTGAAGTTGCAAGAGCTAGGATATGAGCGAGGTGCACTTAACCATGAGGTGGGCAGCCACGGCTACTATTTATGCTCTAGGATGGCTGAGTACGGCTCGTGATACCCGTACCATGGCCAGGGCTGGAGACTGCGAGACCGGACACATGACAGGGTGGGCAGCGTGGCCGGTGTCCTGCGCCTTCGCGGATGCATGGCCGACATGACCGAGTCGCCGATTGTCGTGTGCAATGATCCAGACCGTCCAGCTCCGTCAGTTTCACATGGTAGTACCCCAGTCCACAGCGATCGGTGTTTCCGCCCTGATCGCTGATTGCTTAACGGATCGGCTGACGCAATAGACCATGAGTGGGCGCGCATTCCTCGCCTTCCGCACCAGAACCGTACTTGGCACTTTGCCTCATTTCTGCGTATCAGTCGCCGACATCTGTGAATACGCCGACACTGGGATCGGCATACAAGCTCGTTATCCCCACAGCTTCCGTCACTTGAATGGTCATCGCGCTACCGGCCTAGCGTCAGCGGCCAACGATGTGAGGTTGCTTTGCCAGGTAGCCCAGTCGAACTTGATTCTTCTTCACGGGATTAACATTTCATGCCTATTACAAAGGATTACCCTTCAGACTGTGGCCAAGATGATGATGGAGGGGGCCCTACTAACTAGACTAAGAGACTTGAAAAATTAAGAGGAGATACGTTTGCTGGGGTAGATACCTGTGTAGACAGGTGACTAAGTTGATTACTAAATTTAGTTGGAGAAGAGCATGCGGTAGATGCGGACGTAGAGGGGCGCCCTGGCACGCTCGGCACGCCACGCGCGCATCTCCTCGACGGTGAGCCAGACCTTGCGGCCGGTGTCGAGGTCGATCTCGTGGACCTTCTTGGGGGTGGTGCGCTTCCAGATGTAACCGATGATCCAGAAAGCAATGACAATGGGGAGGGCAATGTAGGAGAGGAAGAAGGTCTCAGCGGCCTTGGCTCCACCCTGGTTGCCTCCAATAGGCCAGACGGCGATGTAGAACTGAGCAATAAGAACAAGGACAATAAGCGAGGCACCGCAAATGGAGCCGTAAATGCCACCGAGAGCGCGGAAGGGGAGCTCCTCAACGGAGTGACCCTGGAACTTCCAAGCCTGGCGGAAACGAATGTGGGTGATACAGATGGCAAGCCAAGTGAAAAGTGTGGAGAGGCCGGACAGAGCAACGAGCCAGTCGAAGACCTTGGTGCCGACATCGGAGCAGTTGATGTAGGCGAGGGGCGCGAAGGCGCAGATGAAGGCGAGCGAGTAGGTGGGGCGACCCGCCTTGTCGATGAAGGTGAAGCAGCGGGGAGCGTAGCCGGTCTCAGCGAGAGCGGTCAGGGTACGCGATCCGGCGTAGACACACGACAGACCGATGGAGAGGACGGAAACACAGATGGTGACGTTGAGCAGGTGGTTGACACCGTTGATCTTGGCCTTGTCCATCATGATGACGAAGGGAGAAAGCTGGGCTCCAGTGGCGTTGGGGTCAACAAGCTTGGGCTCGTTGTAGGGGACCGCAAGACCGATGATGAGGAGCGAGGTGATGTAGATAAGAGTGATACGCCAGAAGGTGTTCTTGATAGCGGAGGGGAGCGACTTGCGGGGGTTGGGGGTCTCAGTCGCGGCGAGACCGACGAGCTCGGTACCGGCGAACGAGAACGCGGCAGTGACGAACACCGAGCAGACACCCTTGAAGCCGTGAGCGAAGGCTCCGGGGTCGTAGAAGTGGTGAGCACCGAGGTACTTGTTGTAGGCGCCGTCGCTGGGGCCGCCACCACAAATACAAACGATACCGATGATGATGAAGATAATGACAACAGTGAGCTTGAGGGCCGAGGACCAGAACTCCTCCTCAGCGTAACCAAGAGTACCCAGGAGGGTGACAAACATGATTACTGCCCAGAATACTGTGATCCAAACACCGATGTTCACGGATTTGGTCCAGTAGCCCATTGTTGCGCCTGCTACTGTAATCTCGAGCGGCAGCACGACAGCCCACTGGAGAACGTCTGTGGGGGAGTGTCAGCATGGGGCTCCTCGCGTCGGCGGAGCCGGACCGAGTGTTCAGGGCAGGTGCGGAGCCGAGTCGGGATGCTGGCGGACGGGGCGGAATAGATCCGCCTCCCCATTTGTCCAGCAGCCGCGGCTTGCTCTTCTGCTCCTGCCTCGGTAACAGCTTGTGTTTGTGGAGTACTTACAGTTCCAACCGAAAGCGAAAGCGAAGGACTGGTCGAGCATACGAGCAGCCAGAGTGTAGAAACCACCAGAGACAGGGTAGAGAATAGCCATTTCACCGAGAGCTTGAGTGACGTTGATCAACATGACACCCATGATAATCCATGCAATAAGGATACCGGCGGGACCACCAGTAGCGAGCGATTTACCAGAACCAACCTTATCATGTTAGCACGGGGTGTACGCATGTGTGAGACAATGAGAAGTTATGGATCCGGGGAAAGGGCTAAAAATACTGGAGATTGAATCGCCACTAGGGCTGAGCTAGGCGCGGCCACTTGGCACTTGGCGCTTGGGCCCATTTCGCTGGGGCAGTGTCTGGGAAGAAAGGGTGGAGAGGAGAATACTCACGAAGAGACCCGTACCGATGGAGCCACCGACAGCAATCATCTGCAGGTGACGGGGCTTCATCTTCTGCTGGAGCAGCGGGTTGTCATGGGCGACAAGCTCGAGGGGAATGTCACCGTGAGCCACGAGACCACTGTAGGGCGTTAGCGGGGAGCCAAGCGGCGGGTGTGGGCGGGGCGGTGGCTGCGATCTGCGCGGCGACTTTCGCCGGCTGGCATGCCGCTGCCGATCATGACGGAGAATCAGACCACATGGGCCGTGAGTCTCACACTGCGCCGACTGCGGCACAGTGGCCAACGGCAGCCGCGAAATCACCAGCGTGTAACGCCAAAAGCAGTGTCACTCACCGAGTCGAACCGGGGGCGCGCTTGAAAGACTCGAGGTTGAGACCGGCACGCGTCCAGATGGACTCCTTGGAGGGGTCATAGTAGTCTTCGGCGTCGGCGGGCGACGTGACGAACACCTTGCCGGTGTCGCCCTTAATAACGTCCTTTTCAATATCGGACGAGGACATGGTGGTGAAGGGGGTGGTGAGGCTGGGGGGGGTTTGCGATGTCTCTACTTGAAGGAAAGAAAGAAAGACAGGAAACGATGCCGTCGCTGTACGAGGGAGGCGTGTGGTCGGTGGTGACTAGGTGCTAGCGCTTGGTTGGGTAGAGAGAAGCGCCGTGCTGGCAGCAGCAGTGGGGAGAAAGAAACAGGAGGGCGCGTGATGCGTTCTTAATAAAGACTGCGGGAGAGGTGTCGAGCTGGACGTGCTGGGTCGAGCAGGTGAGCAAGGCTTGGCCTGGGTCAAGCGGTCGGAGCGGAGAGGGCCAGGCAGGATAGCAGGAGGGGATGTCGAAGGGGATCTCTGGTCCTCGGGCCACGGTTCATCCTTTCCTGGGATCCCTTTCCTTCGTCCGTCTGCAGTGCACTGGGTTTCCCTTTCCCTTGATCTCGATGCTCGTCTGGCTGCAGCAAGGCTGGGCTCGCTGGTTCGCACCCTTGCATTGCAATCTAGGCGGTTGGGTCAAGGCTCAGTGGTAGTGCGCGGATAGCGGCACGATGTGGTGAGCACAGGGAGAAGCGCGCGAGGACGGGGAATCTGTCGGGACAGCTCGTTGGATGGCCTGGACGGACTGCCGGTTCAGGCGGACCCGCCCAGGACGAGCGATAAAGTGGTGAGTGCGTGCCTGGCCATGGCGGAGTGGGGTATCTGCCAAGAACACACTAAAGTCCAAGGCACGGGAGGTATCAGCGTTCCATCAGTATGTCGGGGGCCAGCCCTTCCCTCCTGCCTGGCGATGCACTGTGCTCGTGTTCGGCATGTTCGGGGCTTGCATGGTTGGCTGACGAGCGTTGTCGCAGCGTGTCGTGAGCCCGACACGGAATGGCGCGAACTGGTTTACCGGTTCGCTCGCCGCGGTCCTGCCGGACAGCATGCCGGGTGAGACCACAGTGTCTTGACGGGTTATTGGTCAACGGCCTGCGTTAGCCGGGCCTTCGTTCGTCCGCCTCAGCAAGCCAAAGCCTCCCCTCCCCTTCCACCATACGCTTTCAATCAGCCTGTGGCGTCCGCCTGTCCGCCCCACTATCAGTCCACTGTCATTCGCTGCCTCTATCAGCGATTCCGCTCTCCTTGCTTGCATATGCACAATGCACAGCCAGCACGCACTCGCGCTCGGTTCGGCTATGCGTGCAATCACTCTCCTTCATTTGCATGCATTTGCAGTCCAGAACGAGCCTGGTCCCCCCTAGCCTCCTTCCCATCCCATCACGCCCGCCGCGCCCGTGCCTGTCCGTCCCACCTGACCGGGCTGACAAGCCATGAGTTCTGCCCGTACAGCCCGTGTCCACTTGCCGTAGCCTGTTCGCCTCCTCGCCATATCGCTGTGATAGCCGTGCTGTCCGGCGATTCCTTCGTGGTTGCAGCCGGAATCGCCGGCGGGGGGCGTTTGGCAGGAGCAGAGTTGGCGCAAGGACCCGGTGAAACCGCATGCGACACTGGCGTGGTTGGCGTGTGCTCCAGGCCGAGCGCCCAGGACATCCAAGCCGAAACCAAGAGAATAGCGAGCGAGGGGATCACAGGAATCACGCAGGACATCACGGCCCCGAGCGTCGAGCGAGCTCACGCTTGACCGCGCGCTCGCTCTCTCTTCTCGTAGCTCTCGAAGCCATTCTGTCCCAGCAAGGCAAATAATCGCGCAAGCGCCGTTTGTCGCATCCCATCCTCTTTGAATCCTGGCCTCCTTCCTTCGTCCGCCTTGTTCCTGAAGACGTTCCGCCGTGCAGACGCAGCGAGGCTCGCCAGGCATGCCGTGTTGTAGCACGCGCTAATAATATATCCTGGCGTGCTGTCCGTCGCATTGTTGTCCCGGGTCAGACGAGCGGCGTGATTGGTCCAGCCCAGAGAGCGCAGCAAGACGCTAGGCCTGGACGCCGATCAACGGGTCGCTCGCTAGTGGTTTTCGTGGCTGCATTCCGTCCGATCTGTCTTGCTCGTCTGCGATGCATTTGCGCGGTTTTTTGCGTCGCGGTCATGCGCATGAATTACGTACGCTCTGGGCTCTTGGCTTGCGTTGAAGAGGTTCTGCTGGATCCGGCCGGCGAATTGCTGGGGAAGACAAGGCGAGGTGGAGGTCCGGGGCACCTCCTGGAGCCCAAGCAGCCCGGTAGCGATCGCAGCAGGGACGAGAGGGATCTATCCCGAGTAAGAGGGTAACATGCCTGATCGCATGATCGCAGTTCGAAGCTTGATCTCGCGGGTGTCTTGGTGTTTGCTCCCCTGCATGTCTGCAGCAGAGGCGCCCTGACATGTCGCTAGATGCGTACTTCCGTCGCCGCCAACGCCGTGATGTGGGAGACCCTGAGCAATGTCTGTGGCCCCAGACCCAGGTCCGCCTGGACCCTGTCCATTCCTGAATGCGTACAGCGGACCCTGCCGTTATTTCGGACCCTGGACGGTGCCCCTCACGCACTTTCGAGCTTCGGTTGAAGAGTGCTCGACAGCCCTGCTCTCCTTTGTCCAACGAGGAGACAAGGATTAGGTTTGATCCGGACATCTCGTCCCCGTTAACGTTGTCCTCTGCGCTTCCCCTGGCATAACGCTGCGAAGCTCGAAGTGGAGGCAGCATGACACGGAACCCAGTAATACCAGGTGATCCGTCCCTGGCACCTTGCGGCCCTGGGTCCTGGACCTGGTGTGGCCCCCCCCCGGTGCCCGCGATCGCCCGTCGCCCGTCGGCAGCATCGCCAGTCCACCCTGCCCAGCGCCGAGCGCTACACCTGCCCACCAGAAATATCTTGGCTCGCGTCTTGGCTTCGTAGAACGCCGCACACACACGCTGTCCACATTGACAGGTGACCTGGCGTCGCTTCTGGCTGCTCCCGGCGAATGCAGATCCGGCGGAAAACCCATCACTTGCGCTTCGCTGCGTCGCGTGCATCGCTGCCGTGGAAGTACAGAGACGTGGAAACATGGAAAAATGTCTCACGTCCTGTCAGCAAGCCGGCATGCCCGGACATGAGCTCATGAGCACCTGAACATGACCTGCCGGGCAGGATCCGGCCAGGACTCGTTCTTGGCGGCAAGGGGGCAAGACAGGGCGGGAGGTGTGCCCCACGTGACTCCGCGCGGGCGCGACGCCTCATCGCGCCTTCGACCAGTTAAAAGGTCGGATCTTGGTCAACAGGCCAGGAAACATGCCCAGGACCCAGGAAAAAAGAGAGACTGAGAGGGGGTTTGAAGATCCTAGAATCGTGAGTGGTTGAGGCGGCCGTCGCGCGTCGCTCGGCCCGGCATCGCGCATCCCGCATCGTTCAGAGCGAGGAGCAAAGGGAGGTATGGACTGCGACTTGCGATCCCTCGTGCGAAGGAGAGAGATCCTGGCTGGTCCTGGATTATCCCCGGGGATTCGCAGGCGAATCCCCGGATACACTCCTCCCTTACTGGATCCCTGGTGGTTCCCCACTCTTGACCCCGCACATCGTCCGGGACGGCGTTCTCCTCCCCCACATCTCCCACTCAACTCTTCGCCTCGCCGTCGCTCTCCCAAGACATCTCCGCTCCGTGGGTCACAGGGAGGGCCATGGGCCCCCAGGGCGCGGAGCAATGAAGACGCCGCGGGGCCGCACGATGCGGAAGTGTAAACCCGGAGCTGGAGCTGCTGTTGGCTGGTTTCGGGCGATGATGACGCGAGCACTCCGGCGTCGCCGCGGCTGTCATTGGCGGAGACACTGCGCCAAGGCTGGGCGGCGGTGACGACCGGCGATCTTGGAGGATCTTGGAGGCGTGGCAAGGCATGGCAAAGCATAGCGAGGGGCATTGGGGACATGGCGCTAGGGACGTTGCATCGTCGAGGTGGCCCCGCCTCAACACGACGCACCAGGAGAACAGGGATCAGCATTGGTATATCCAGGCAAGCCGTAGACGACAATGCCATAGGGCCCCCGGGCCGCCGGTTCGTCAGGTGGTGATCGTAGGGAGGTCAGGTCGACGTTGTCGGAGAGTAAGGGGGTGCACGTAGCTCGCCATCAGGCGGGACGCTTACACGACCGTCCCAGCTGATTCGTTGGGTAACGTCGCCGCAACGAACGTTCACATGCCGCCGAATCCGCCCCAAGATCTGCTCTGGACCCAGGCATGCGTCGCAGTAAGCTTGACTATCCTGATCGAGCTTCTCTCCAATCGCAGCAACCTTGTCGCACACCCGTCCCATCGCACAAGTCGTCATGCGGAGGATAAGCGCGATAAGCGGTGGGTCTCGTCCGCTTTCCGCGACAACGCTAGTTAGGCTATCACGACGACAGGCTATCAGACGGCGGTGCCTCGCTTATCGATCGAAAGTTTCTCGAAACCATGCTCCGGGCACGATGCTGGCATCCATGGCGTGCTGGGCGTGCTGGGCGTGCTGCCAGTGGGTCCCGCCGAAAACAGTGCCAACCAGTGAGAACGACAGTGCCAGAAATACACACGGGGCGGACACAAGCGCACACACAAGGGCAGCACAGGGGCGCAGCGTGGCACACAAGGGGGGAACCGAGCAGAGGCTCGCGGGGCGGGTGCGCACGAGCAAGGGGCGTCAGCACCACCCGAAGCATGCGATGCTCCCAAAGGATGCAAAGGACCACCCCTCAAAAGGATGCTGCATGCCACCTGCCACTCCTCCCTGGTGGACTGCGTGTCCGTCCGAGAATAGCGACTGTGGCCGATGGCCCCGTGCACCAGCACTACCCGGTGTTGAGAGCCACCGGGCCGGAGGATCGCGGATCTCGTTGGCTGCGCCGTGCGCACAGCGTACAGGGCCCGGTCGGCCAGAAGGCGGAAACTCCTGTGCATGCGCGTGTCGTGGTGAGAGAGCGTCCGAGCGCAGAGGGACCCAGAGGGGCAGCACACGAGTGCATTCCCTCCTGCCTGGCGATGCACTGTGCTCGTGTTCGGCATGTTCGGGGCTTGCATGGTTGGCTGACGAGCGTTGTCGCAGCGTGTCGTGAGCCCGACACGGAATGGCGCGAACTGGTTTACCGGTTCGCTCGCCGCGGTCCTGCCGGACAGCATGCCGGGTGAGACCACAGTGTCTTGACCAGGTGGGGGCGGCTGTAAGCGGAGTGTAAACGATGCCCGCAGCAGTACGTTCCCACGGTTGCGGTGCCGAGGCGGGGACCGGTGAATGGACGGCGGTATGTCCGTCTTGCTTGTCGTAGGTCGGCGTCCCCTTGTCGGTGCCTTGGACATTGAGATCTGGTCACGAGCTCACGAGCTGTCACGTCTGGCACGGGTGCACCACATGCGCGGCGTTCCTGCCGATATTAACTGCGGTGACTTGAGCGGCGAGTGAGATCAGCTGCACCGATACGAGGGCGGGCTCGGCCGACGCCGAGAGCTGCCAGCTGAGGACCGAGGGCTGGGCGTCTTGGAGCGCCGTCACGCATGCATTGGTTGGACCGGCGCTTATCGCGAGAGCAAGCATGAGCAATGCACATCGTATCACGAACACGGTAGATACGACCACAGCCGTAGCGCGACATTTTCATGGACGAAGACGCCAAGACTTGATAACGTTGTCCGGGCAACGGGCGACGGTTGCAGACGGGCGGGCGTACGGGGGTAAAAAAACCAGGTCCCAATCTCACACAGAGATAGCGCTCACATGACCATTGGCTTGGCTGTAGCTGGCATCAGCACGTTTAAGACAGGCGGTCGCAGCACGGCCTTGAGGCGTCGTCTTGGGTGATTGTTCTAATCTCATGTGGAATGTCGACCGTCGAGGCCGGAGACCGGAGAAGAGCACATGTATCGGGGCTGAAGACTTGGCGTTGTCGCACTGTCGGTGCTTGGGAGTGAAGATCGTCGTTGGGGACGTGAGCCGTCAGAGACGTCAGCCGGTGGGGGCGCAGTGCCACACTGCCTTTCGTGCGTTGTTCGGCGCCATCTTCGCTTCTTCGTTCGTCGTTTCTGTATGAGTAGAGAATGGAGAAGAACGCAACTCGTCTGACCGCCGTTGGTTCATAAGCATCTCGCTGGCGCCCACCACCCCGCACCCCCGCACCCCCGGGCACCCCGCGAGGACGTCCGCGGGATGCGCGGGCAGCCAATGGAACAGTGTGGGTGCGGTGTCCTAACTCGTACTTTTTTCCAACTTGGCCTCGACTCGTAGCGCGTCGCACCCTCGTCTGCCCTAGCAGCCCTTCGCAGGAGACCGATTTCCTCACCGTACGAGCCAGCGGGAACGCTGCCGCTACGGTGAATTCTTCGGCACGCACAGGCTTGCCAGCGAGCTCGTGTGCTGGATTCGGAACATACCGACCGTCTGGAGGGAAAACGCCGCACTATCATTGGACCACAGCGGTGCCACGAGGGCTCACCCGCCGGCTCTTCCCCGCGCTCGGTCTCCTCCTGCAGTCCAAGTCACGGGATTGGCCCCACGTGCAGCCCCGTAACGAGGTAGCCTGGCTCGAAACGATCCCACCGGCCTCTAAACGAGCCAGGCTACCTCTAAACGAGACGTCCGTGCCTCCACCTGCGAGATCCACTCGAAACACCTTGACACTCTCGAGCGAATCGTTTCAGAAATTTCCAGCAGCGCCAGCGAGATAAGAACTCACAGCAGAGTTGAGGGCAGAACGTACCGAGCAAAGACGACAGAATGGCTTACCGCGCGCGCTCTCTGCTGATCAACTCGCGCCGTCTGGCCGACTCGCTGCACGAGACGTGCAGGTGGGGCGCGGCTCACCGTTGGGGCCCGTGAGTCGTTACGGTCGGTGACTCGGTTCCGTGATGGTCACCAGACTCATGACCTGGTCACCCGCTAAGCTAACGCCAGCGGCGCGACCGAGACGGGCATGGCGCGCCTCGCCCTAGGCGACGATGACAAGAAGGCACGAGACTGGTTCTGTGAGGAGATGTCCTCACTCGGCTGCGATGTCAAGGTGGACGCCATGGGCAACACCTTTGCGGTGCGTCCGGGCAAGAACGCTGGTCCGCCGACGGCCATGGGCTCTCACCTCGACACTCAGCCCACGGGCGGGCGCTACGACGGCATCCTCGGCATCCACGCCGCGGTCGAGGCGATGCGCACGATGCGCGACGCAGGCTACGAGACCAAGTACCCTGTCGCAGTCGTGAACTGGACGAACGAGGAGGGTGCCCGCTTCCCCAAGTCGCTGCACGGGAGCAGTGTCTGGGCGGGCGACCTCAGCCTCGAAGCGGCGTATGCGCTCAAGGACGTCGCGGACCCGAGTAAGACGGCCGGCGCCGAGCTCGAGCGGATCGGGTACAAGGGCACCTTGCCCGCCGATGCGAGGCAGAACCCCCTCGCGGCCCACTTTGAGCTGCACATTGAGCAGGGACCGATTCTCGAGGGCGAGGACGCGGCGATCGGTGTCGTCTCCGGAGGTCAGGCGTACAAGTGGCTCCGATGCAAGATCTCTGGCCGTGACAGCCACGCCGGCACGACGCCGCTCGCCTATCGCGCTGACGCTATGCTGGGTGCCGCGCGCATCATTGCGGCCTGCCACGATGTCGCAGCCAAGCACTCCGGCGTCGCGACGACGGGCATCCTCACCCTCGAGCCCGGGTCGATCAACACGATCCCGCACACGGTCGAGTTCACGATCGACATTCGTCACCCGGACCCCGCGGCTGTGCGCGCCATGGAGGCCGACATCCGCACCCTGTCCTCGTCGCTCCTGCAGACGGGCAACAAGTGGGAGTGCAAGGTCGACTTTGAGGAGATGTTTGACGCCCCCGCCGCCATCTTCGCCATGGAGTGCAGGGACGCGATCCGCGAGGCGGCCATCGCCAGCGTCGGCGAGGGCAAGGTCCGCGAACTCGTCAGCGGCGCCGGCCACGACTCGTGCTCGACCAGCAAGCACTGCCCCACCGGCATGGTCTTTGTCCCCTGCAAGGACGGCGCGTCGCACACCCCCGTCGAGTACGCTAGCCCCGAGGCTTGCGCGAACGGCGCGCAGGTGCTCATGGACGCCGCGCTGCTGTTCGACTCGAGGCGCGAGAAGTAGGAAGTGAGCGATGTTGCGCAGTGTGCAGAGCGCATTCATATCCAGAGGCGGAGGGCGAGGTCGAGACGAGGTGGAATTGTGGGCAAATGCGACTCGCATTTGCTGAGTCGCATTTGCTGCCGTGGCTCGTACCGACGGGTACCAATGGGTACCGATGGGCACCATGGGTACCAATGAGCACCTAGGGCACCCGATTCGGTGGGCGAAGGCGGGAGTTAAGACGTATTTGATGTGAACGCAGAAACAAATCATAGACAATTAGAACAGCATGCATTGAACCTCGTCATGGAAGGTCAACAAGGGGTGAGGGGAAATCTTCCCTTTGTCCCCTGCAAGGACGGCGCGTCGCACACCCCCGTCGAGTACGCTAGCCCCGAGGCTTGCGCGAACGGCGCGCAGGTGCTCATGGACGCCGCGCTGCTGTTCGACTCGAGGCGCGAGAAGTAGGAAGTGAGCGATGTTGCGCAGTGTGCAGAGCGCATTCATATCCAGAGGCGGAGGGCGAGGTCGAGACGAGGTGGAATTGTGGGCAAATGCGACTCGCATTTGCTGAGTCGCATTTGCTGCCGTGGCTCGTACCGACGGGTACCAATGGGTACCGATGGGCACCATGGGTACCAATGAGCACCTAGGGCACCCGATTCGGTGGGCGAAGGCGGGAGTTAAGACGTATTTGATGTGAACGCAGAAACAAATCATAGACAATTAGAACAGCATGCATTGAACCTCGTCATGGAAGGTCAACAAGGGGTGAGGGGAAATCTTCCGGTTGAACGAAGGAGAGGGCTCTCAGGACAAACGTGAACATGGCACTCTGGATCTTGGTGGATTAGCCATTGCCGCAGCTCGGTCAAGTACCAGCGGAAATGATATGCTTCCTGTGGAGGCGCGCAATCTGTTGACCATGCTTCGGATGAGCTGTTGAATTCCCGTTTGATCAGTAACGAGTCCAGCTGAGTCTTGCTCCTGCAATGGAATCCGTCAGAAGTAAACGGATCAGAGTCAGTTCTGTACATTCGTTAGCAATTGTTGTCAGCCAGCCCATCAGCATCCCGCCCCCCGTTAGTTTCAACACTTGTCGGTCCACCTGATCAACTCCAGACGCCTCCGGGCTCCGCATTTGTATTCATCACCCCGCACTATCCCGTCAGTAACAGTCGTTCCATCAGTTATGTCGAAGCAAGAGCCCCGTAGAGGAATGAGCCACACGGCAGGATCATCTTATATTCGGACGGCGCGTAGTTCCAGGGTAGTAACCGCGATGCGGCACCAGGTTGGCCGGGTGCCTGGAAGTTCCGACCGTCCAGCGTTTTCAGTAAGCTACAGGCGGGCTGATTACATTCCTTGCGTCTCGGCGTCCTTCCCTTCAGCCTGGGAGATTGGCCATCAGGCCATCAGTTTGGCCATACCCACGCAAGTTTGGCCATAGCATGCTGTTTTTGGCCAGAGTGGATTGGCCATAGCTGTGTGGCCCCGCACGGGCACATGGTGTGTTTTGGCCATGCGCTCACGTCAACTGGACACCGAGAACGCTTTTGGCCATACCTGCCAGCTTCGCATCGATGGAGCCATTTGGGTTTTGGCCATCCTGCGATCTGTAGACTGGCGTCAGTCGGTTCGCGCCTGGCATTTTGGCCATAACAATAGCGTGGCGAGGCACAGATTGGCCATACGTCAGAATCTGGGATCGCGGTCGTACCAAATCATGCTCTCGTCGCCGGTGAACACCGAGACGTCACGAACGCATAGCGCATGATTTGTTTTGTTGACAGCGAAGTGGTGCATTGTCCTAGATCCCGTGGCCCCAGTTGGCGGGCTGGGGTGGTCGAACTGGGGCGAGCGGACCGACGCGCCGACATGGTTCGAGGCGCAGGGCTGCCATCAATTTCGAGTCAGATCGTCGAGGCAACGTCCCCGCCCGATTCGGTTTGGCTTTGCTCCAGCCCAGCGTTCTGGAAGCATGCCTGGAAGCATTTTGCGACGTCTTCTCCCCAACCTAAACCTGAGTGCCCCAGGTCCTTCGGTATGCATAGGACGACGCGACGCAACCTCTTCCCGGATCGGAGTGCGCAGACCGCCATCAGGAGCGTCGCTGACTCTGCGACTGACGCTGCGACGGGATCTGCGTCTGCGGAGTGGTGCGAACCTGGCAACCAGCGCCTCGACGCCTCTGTGCGGCGTCGCATTTCGAGTCGTCTTCGAGTCAGAACACCATGGCAACCCCTATGCATGCTTTACGCTCGGCGCACCCGATATCTGCAGCGGCCGTATCTTCAGCGTACGTCGACGAGCTCCTGAACGCCATCCCGAAAGGACGGAAGGGCGTTGTGCGAGTGGGGGCGGGGAACCTCGTCATTTCGCGGTGCTTCAGCCTGCTGGGGGTGCCAGTGCCGCTCGGCATGCTTAGGCATGAGGTCAGGTAGGGGCCGGCGACCTGACCGAATTTCGAACGCGCCAGTCGCATGGCCAATGCCTAACCCTTTCCCCCACAATGCCCTAGCAGTCTGTCGGCGGACTGGACAGCGCGCTCCAGCCAGCCTGGAGCGCTCCAAGAGCGCGGCAAAGCCAGGATTCAGATCTGCGTCAGCGTCGCGAAGCTGGGGTGCTGGATGCGGGGCGGGCGGCGCTTGCCTGAGGGTTTAGTCTGGGACTGGGAATCCGGGCAACACGGTGACTAAACAATTTGAATTTCGACTCCATGGCCAATCTACCCCGCAAGGAAAGGCTGGAGGGGATTTTGGCCATCGCCCCAGGCAACGTCGGTCACCTGCTGCGATGCATGCTGCATGCAGCAACGACGTGGCTAGTCGTGCTCCGCTCCATGCTATCCCAGAGTACTTAACCACGAAGCGATGAAGAGATGTAACCCCCCAACTCTTAACTCTGCGTCATCAAGTGTCACCGCACAATCTTCGGATCTTGCCCTCTTATCTCTCCCACCCATATCGGCCGACTCCGACCGCCCAGAGTCTGACGTGCTAGACGCCCACACAGCCACAAGCAGAAATGTCCACCGCTTCCTCTTCTCGTCCGTCCATTCCCTCAACAACAAATCCCAGCGCTGGTTACGGTACCCCGTTGTCGTCTCTCCTGCTCCCGAATTTCAAGCCGAAGCAGGTCAAGCCCTCACACGCCTTCAACTCTTACACCGGCTTCACGAAAAGCGTCACCCCCTCAACCGCCTCACCAGCCAGCAGCGCCGCGTCCAGCCCGAAAATGACTGCCTCCCTCCCCCCGCCGTCCAAGCTCGACGAGGGCCACCCCTGCGTCACCGATATCTCCGAGGCCATTGGCGGCAAGGCGAACGTTGAGCGCCTGCACCGCACCGCGCGGGATTTCCGCAGTGACACCTTCACGATGCCGTCAGACGCCCAGATGATGGAGGGTGTTCGGGCGTCCCGCGGCGACGACGTTTACATGGAGGACAGCGCGACGGCGGCGCTCGAGGAGCGCATCGCCAAGATGGCCGGCAAGGAGGCTGCACTTCTCGGTGTGTCGGGTACGATGACGAATCAGCTCGCCATCCGAACGCACATGAAGCAGCCCCCGCACTCGATCATCACCGACAACCGCGCCCATGTCCATCTCATGGAGGCTGGTGGCATTGCTGTCTTCTCGCAGGCCACGACACACGCCCTCGCCCCCTCCAACGGTCTCCACCTCACTGTTGAGGACATCGAGCCCGCCCTCCAGCTCGGTACCAATATCCACATCGCCCCGACCAAGCTCATCTGTCTCGAGAACACTCTCTCCGGCATTGTGTTCCCTCAGGACGAGGTCGTGAGGATTGGTGAGCTTGCCAAGAAGCATGGCGTTGCTATGCACCTTGACGGTGCTCGCGCTTGGAACGTCGCTGCCGCTGAGCTCGAGCGCCGCGGCCTCGACCCGAACAGCGAGGAGGACAGGACGACCGTCCTTTCCGACATTCTCGCTCCCTTCGACACCGCGTCCCTCTGTCTGTCCAAGGGTGTTGGTGCCCCGATCGGCTCCGCCATTGTCGGTTCGAAGGAGTTTATTGAGCGCGCCAAGTGGTTCCGCAAGATGTTCGGTGGTGGCTGGCGCCAGTCTGGCTCTCTCGCCGCCCAGGCCGACTACGCTCTGACGCACCACTTCCCTCGTCTGGCCGGCACGCACGCCCTCGCCCGAAGGCTTGCCGATGGCCTGAAGGAGGCGGGCTGCGACATTGTTGCGCCCGTCGACACGAATATGGTCTTCTTCGACCCCGCCCCGGCTGGCATCAACCTTGAACAGGTCGCCGCTGCCCTGGCTGAGCTCCCGGACCCGATCACGATTGGCGCGAACCGCCTCGTTCTCCACCACCAGACCTCGCCCCAGGCTGTCGAGGACTTCATCCAGGTCGTCAAGGACCTCGCCGATGCGGTCGACCCGGAGGACAGGCCGACGAAGCGCCAGAAGCTCGGCGAGAAGGACGGCCGCATCAGGCTCCAGGTCACCGGCAACTACACGACCGACAAGTAGACGCAGTGTGCGCAGACGGACCTTGATTCACTCTGTTATTTAGACACCTTGTTAATATGTACCATATGCACAACCTACCGATACACGATTCGCTTGTCCGTTGAGCGCCCCCTGCGACGTTGTGATTCCGAACGAGGCTGAGCCGTTGAGACATTCCTGAGTCAGGATCGACCCAGTGTTCCAGGAGTGCTTAAAAAGCTGCTTGATCGGAAACAAGAAAGTCAATGGCTTGAGCCTCCTTGCGCGCGAGATCGCTACTGCGCCAGCTGCTTGTTGACAACCAGCGTTAGCTTGCCGCTAGTTTCGCATGAATACGCAGGTCGTGCGAGTGCGCGCTGCGTGCTGGAGTCAGGGTCTAGAGGTCGCCGGAGGCTGGGCTCCGGACCAAATATTTTCGCCACCCAAGCCCAGCCAACAGTCAATCCAGGCACGGTGAACAATAGACTTTCGGACGTTCGTTCCACTGAAATTTCAATCTCGCACATCCAACTCGCAGATGGGGATCACGAGCTCACGACCGGCGAGCGACGACCCCTCGTCATCGTCGACGAGGGCGACGGGACTGCCCGAGGGATGGTACTACCCGAAACGACGAGGCGACCCGCCGCCATGGGAGACACAGCCGTACGAGACCATCAACCCCCAGCACCTCGAGGTCCGCCAGGTTCCGGGACGAGGACGAGGCGTATTCGCGAATAAGGACTTGCGAGCCGGAACGAAACTCGAAGACGCGCCCGTGCTGGTGATCACGAAGGAACAGTGGGAGGACGGCAACATGAACGACTCGATCCTGGGCGAATACGGTTTCTGCTGGTCGAACGGAGGGATGGCGCTTGGACTTGGAATAGGTGAGTAGCAGCACGTCGCGGGTTAGTGTGAGTGGAAGGCTGGGAAGACAAAAAGGTCGTCACTGGAATGGGAGTGATGGGAGACTGTGCAGTGTCAAAAGTGCCACAGCACAGAAGAAGACGAGACCCAAGGACAGGAAGTGGGTGTGCGTTGCGAGGGAGGGAGGGGGTGGATCGTGGATCGCTAGAGTGCAGGGCGATGGGGCGGTGAGGCGGCGAGGGACGGGGGCGCATGGCGTGTGCATGTGCGTCTGTGTGTTAGCCATGGCTCTGTGCTCGCTCTCGCTGGCGCGCCTGCCGCTGTGCGCTGGCGTGCGCTGGCGCTGCGCCGCCTGCGCCGGCCTGTCGTCCAAGCCATGCGCGCCGTGCACGCACCGCGCATTGTATGCCTGGCTGCCGCGCCTGCCTGCGCCGGTGACACCTTAGTGTGCCCTCGACCCTCCCTTGCTTCCCCCTTTGCCCCTCCGCTCGTCTTCCCTCGAGACCCTCCTCGCTGCGCGCTGTGCGCATCGTCCCCCCCGGCACCACCGGATGCTTCCTTGCGGCTCACCCGGAATGCACTCCTGTCTTCCTCCGCTCCTTCTGTCAGACATCATCGTCGTCTTCTCGACATTTCTCATCACTACTCTACTCACGCTCGACTCTCCATTACTCTTCTTTCTTTATTCCCGCTCGTCTCAACTCCCCAATCACCTCTCCACAGAGTCGTTGACGTCTTGGACTCGACCCCTTCCACCAACACACGCTACCACAGTCTTCCCCTTCATTCCACTCTCATATCTCTGATCAGCGCTTCGTCTGTCCCCTGCGCACGGGCGCACACGACCACTCGTCTTTCCAGCGCACACCACACTCATCACCTCATACCCGCTTTCCTCACATTCACTCTTCCTTTCTTACACCCACAGCTTCTCTCTTCAACCACTCCTCGCAACCCAACGTCAACTTCGTTCGGAATACGGCCGAGGGAACCATCACCTTCACGACATCGCGCTCAGTCTGCAAAGGCGACGAGCTCTGCATCTGCTACTCTGCCGACGAGAGCAAGCTCTGGTTCGTTCCTTCCGGTGGCGCCAAGGTTGCTCTTTCAGAAGACGAAGGCGACGGTACTGGACTCTTCTCTGACCTCGCCCTTGGAGACGAGGTAGCCATCGAAGTTAAGAAGAAGGAGGAAGCACGAGCTACACGAAGAGAGATGGGCGGAAAGACACACGTCGCCAAGGAGAAGCGCCGTGCACGGGCTGCGGAGCGGAAAGCGAAGAAGGCTGCGGCCAAGGTCGAGCAAGCTGCGGCTGAGGAGGCTGCCACCAAGGAGGTCGAGGCTCAGAAGGCTGAACCTGCTTCTCCCAAGTCTCCTCAGGCGAACGGCGACAAACTCCCCAATGGCGACTCGAAGCCTAAGGCCAATGGAGAGCCCTCCACCGATGCTGCGACCACTCCGGCGCCCAGCACCAAGGGCACTTCCGTTGCCAGCAGCAGTCCGTCCCAGCAATCGACGACACCACCGACTTCCGTCAACGGTTCTGAGTCTAGCAAGCCCTTGACCGGTCCCCCTGACGTCGTGGCCCCCCAATCTGCTGCAGCTCGCACTGCTGCCCGCCAGCGCCGCGGCGAGCGCCGTGCTGACCTTCCCCCTCCTCTGCACGGCAATCTCAGTGGACCCTCGCGCCACAACGAGCATGTTGAGCCTGCTAGCGAACTCGAGTGGGAGTTTGTCGAGGGCGACAAGCTTCCTGAGGAAGAGTGGGGAGTCCTGACTCGCGCGAAGGGCCCCGTTGAGAGGGAAGAAGAGGCTGAGGCTGATGATACGGCAACCGGTGAGTAGCCCAACCGGCGGTATGCGCTGACATTAGTCAATGTCTGGGTTGTCCAAGCCACCGACCCTCAGCAGACTCCGCTTCTTTTAACGTTCACGAAGAACATGGACCCCGACCCTCGCATGCGTCACCTGAAGCGTGTTAAGCGCTGGAAGGACAGCACTGGAGCGCACACCGCCGTTGCTCTGGCGATGCACGACGCGGACCCCGAGAAGCTCAAGGCGAAGCTGAAGGAGGAGGCTGACCTCGATCTCGTCCCTTACCTTCTGCCCGTTCCCCGTGCTGCGGCTCGCACCGCCGATCAACTGAAGGCACGCAACAAGATCTGGCCCGTTCTCTACTCTCCCACCGCCCAGCGACCCTATGACGCCCGTGGCATCACCCCCGCGAAGCTTGCTTGGATCCGAGCGGGTATCGACCGCGTCATCGCCGATGCCCGTGCGGCGAGGGAGAAGGGTGAGATGCCCATTGCCGTCTACTGTGCGGCTGCCCCCGAGAGCCTCTGGCCCACGACCGAGTCTTTCATTCCGCCCACGCCAGGACTCCAGGCTGAAGCTCACGACACGCGCAACTCGGAGAAACACCCCCTGCGCCACGCTGTCCTCAACTGCATTGCTCGCGTTGCCCGTTTGCGCACGGTCCCTCCGTTCTCCGAGCTCCAGCCTACTCGCAACGGTGCCGACTACCTTCTCACGTCACTGACGCTGTTCATTACGCACGAGCCCTGCGTCATGTGTTCGATGGCCCTTCTCCACTCGCGAGTGAAGGAGGTGTACTTCATCTACCCTCGCAAGCGCTCTGGCGGCCTCGAGGGAAGCTACGGAGTGCACTCGCGCAGGGACCTCAACCACCGCTTCGATGCTTGGCAGTGGATCGGCGATGGCTGGTGCTCAGCCCTCGATCTGCGCGACATTCCCGAGGACCTCGAGATCTGAGAGATGAGCCCATTCGCCTCTCGTCGCAAACATAACGCACTCTCGCATAGTTTCACTCTCTCACTTGGAGACTTATAACCCCGCATTTAGAACGCATCGTGACACGCTGTGTCATCCAGTATATGCATACAAAAGGTAGTTGCTTGTAATATTTAGTGTTTAGTGCTGCTGTTAATGAAGCCAGCGTTGAACTGAAGAAGGGAGCTGTCGTCAGTTGACATTCTGTGTAGACCAACTCACTTGATGTCTCTGACCCAGCCTGTGCCGCCTCCGGGCTGGTCGACGCAGGGGATGGGATATATTGACTTGCGGATGAGGACCGATTCCTCGGCGTGGAGCTCACACACGTCTCGGCCGTCCAGTGATACCTCTACGGGACATCGAGAGTTTGCGGAAATCTAGAGTCAGCTAGACAGCAGAGACCGCTCGACGCACGCCTAGCTTCACTCGTCCTCCTCCCGGCAGGACCAGTGGTCGGAATGACAATGACCGGGGTGCGATCGGGGTCAGCATGACGGCGTCTGTCTCTGGATGCATGGGCGACCCTCCAGCCGATAATGAGTAGGCTGTTGATCCAGTTGGGGTAGAGAGGAGGAAGCCGTCCGCCCGTTGTCAGCTTGGTATGGACTGCGCGTAAGCTCACGAGACCCTTTGTCAGATGCTGGTTATTGTAATACACATCGACACTGGGAAGGTGGGGGTACCGTCCTCGATGGAGGCAGACCTCGTTCATGACCTGCCATCCGGACTCGGGCATGCGACTTAGTGTCCTGCCCTGGCTATCGACCGCGAGGGCATTGAGGCGCATGCGGTTGAGGATCTCGACCTCGCCATCGCCAAGGATGTAGTGGAGAGCCCGATCAATATCCTGCACCTTGAAAGGGAGGAGGAAGCCGAGGCTCCCGAGCGAGAAGCAGAGCACGGGGGGACACTCTGTTCGCGAGAACAGCTGGCTTGCGTGCAGCACCGTCCCGTCTCCGCCGAGGGTGATGACGAAATCCGTATTGTCGAGGAGCTTGACGGGGCTGTCCGTGATCTCATTGAAGACGGTGAGGTTTGGGAACTGGCTCTGCTCGCGCGCCGTGTGCGGCTCAACGATAAGACGCAGGTGAGGGTAATGCGTCGTCAGGAAGCCGAGAATCTCGGCCATCGCGGCCTGCACACGGCTATCGTCCTTCTTCTGCACGAGGAGCACGCTCTCCGGCGGCCGCGTCCACTGGCACAGGTGGTGGGAGGGCGAGAAGGCCGCAGGCGCGCTCCGTGGTGCGCCGTCGATGGGCAGCAGGCGCGGCTTCCTTGTCTTGTCAGTGCTGCTCTCGTGATGTACCGATTGATTCCAGGGCCGTGGTCCTGTTACTTACTCGGCGAGCTGGGCGTGGGTCACGGGCGGCAGGTCGCGGAGCATATGTACGCCGCGCGCCCGGCGTGCTTGTGACAGCGCCGAACGCAGGTGGGAGAGCGGTGGCCGCAGGACTGGTCGGGGTAACAGCATGGTGGGTAGGGAGAGTGTACATCCAGATGCGGCCCAGTTGGCCAGTTGGTCGCCGAGAAAAGTCAGACTCGAGACATTGCGACTCGCTTGCCTGGATCTGCCCGAATTGCGTATGGCGTAATGGCGCTCTCGCTTGGCTTGACTGGCTAGAGTGCAGCCGGGCCAGCCGGGCTGGACCGACGGGTGGCCACGGTTGCGTACGGTTGGTCGCCTGCGTATCTGCAGGATGGCAGGCCAATGTGGAGGTCAGATGCCTTTCAGGCACGCCTGACTTTTGGCTGGACGTGAACAGAGTGCGCGCTGCACAGACTGTTCCGCTCATCTTATCTCTCCGCACCGTCCTTCCTTCTCCGTTGCTTTACGCTTCACTCTTCGAGCGCCTATCAGCCGCTGTACTCGCCGCTCTCACCTACTTCGACCTTTTCGCGCTAGACTTGATCAACGGCAGATCACCAGTCATGTCCGACACCCCCGGCCAGCCTGGACCGTCGAGCCAGCCGCAACCCCAGGCCGGTCCCTCGAAGGCCGCCTCGAGCTGGAAGCCGCAGTACTCTGAAACTGGACCGGGACCAAGCTTACAGACATATAGGCGGCACCCGGAGCGCGCGTACGGCGGACCGAATCCCGACTCGCTGTCCAATGCGCGCACGCCGGAGCAGGCCGAGCAGTACTGGAAGCGTGTGCGAGCCGTGGAGGGCCCGCCGCTGCCGCGCTTCGGACGGTTGATGGGCATCGGAGGTTGGGTGCTTAGTGGAAGTAAGTTAGCCATCCCGGCCGTGAAACTAACAGCCAGTCGCGGTATTCTACATGGTCGCGTACGCGGACTTTGGAGACAAGGAGCACGTCTTCAGCGAGGTGAGTCCTTCGGGGACTAATGAGCCTCAATGCGTAGCCTGCATGAGCCTCTGTGACTGTACCCAGCTACCAAGCCCGGGTTCAAGCTGACTCTCAGCCCCGCAGACAATGGCACAAGTTTACGAACAACATGTTCACGCTGTCCGAGAAGGAGCGCAATATGATGGGCCTGGAGAAGCCGCTCAAGTCCCAGGCTCAGGCGCAGGAGAAGGTTTAGACTGCACGACACCTATGGCACGTTTTGGTTCATCTCATGTATGCATGTATCTCAGTACCACACTGTTTGCGGACGTTGATTGAGACGCTGGCGCGGCTGGGTGGGTGCGGTGGACCTCCACTCCAGGAACACCCAATGCGATAGGCGGTATTACAAGTCATCGGGAGGCTGGGACAGCTACTGGCTACGACGTAGAGAGTGCAGTTGCCGTTGTCGGGCAGGCTGGACTGCGTCTGTGCTCGTGCCCGGTAGGTAGACGTCGCTCGACGCAGCTGATCGACTTGCAGAAGTGCAGTTGATACAGTCACGGAGAACTTGTAAACAGATGTCCTCGCTGCTCAAATGGGCGCCCCGAAATCCGCTGCTGCTCTTCCGCATCTGAATTAAGCCGCACCACAACATCGCCGAGCCATGCATGTACACTTCCTCGTTTCCGTGTTCATATGCACAGGCCGTCGTATGCATGCAAGTCTTCGTCGTCGTAGAAGTCGAGATGCAGGAGTGAAATTATGAGGTCAGCCAAAACGCAGAGGGACGGGTGCCACAGACGGCGTTAACGCCGGGAATTTGGTCTCGAGGCTCGAAATTGGTGCCAGGCCAGCCCAGAAGTCTACAGCAGGCCAAGCACCCAGAGAGGATCCTCTTCGTCCGTCAAAACCAACGTAAACGAAGTGAGTAGCGACGACAGCAGCGGGCCCGACTGCCCTCCCGACGAGCACGACACCCGCGACGACACGTACGAGACCGGCGTGCTGACGCTTTTCTGCAGAAACCGCGTCCTTACCGCGACTTCATTCAAGATGTGAGTGGTTTCGACATGCCTGGTGGCAAGAAGATGAGCGCGTGCTGACAGATCAGGGCTCACTCCAACGTTTGGTTCTCTCGTGAGTTGCTACGACGGCTGGAACTGCGCTCGATGCGCTGCGAAGGAAACTGCATCGCTGGGCTTTGGACGAGAAGACGGGAAAGGATTGGGACAGGCAAGACGAGGCTCGACGGAAGTTCGATCATGTTGGACGGGTTCGCGACTTCCACATACGATAGCGACCAACATTCTGCGCGACTTGGAGCTCTCTGTTGTGATCATGGCGTCTGGGGGTGGCTTGGAAGCTGCGTTGGAACCAAGTCCGATCTTCTGCACATTTCGATGGCTTCTTCGATTAATCGTTGTTGGACTGTTCGCGCAAAGTTCCCAACAGTGCTTGCGCGTCGTCCTGCCGCAATTTTGTTTGGCGCAGACCTCGACACGATCAGCTATCTCGACCAGCCGTCTCTCCGTTGCATCACGAACCGTCGAACGTCATTCCTCCGCCTGTCCATGCCTGTCCCCCTGCTTCAGTCTTTCTGGGCGACTTTGCAGCAGAGCGCAGTTTCAGCTGCCGATGCTATCTTGACCCAAGCTAACATTCAGGCCCCCGCAACTACGGCAAGGGCTCCCGCCAGTGCCGCGTCTGCGCCCACCGCGCCGGTCTCATCCGCAAGTGGTGAGTTGACCCGTCTCTTGCCTGAGGATACAGCTGACAATCCAGGGGCCTTGACATGTGCCGTCAGTGCTTCCGTGAGAAGTCCAAGGCTATGGGCTTCGTCAAGTACAACTAAGAAGTGTCTCGACGAGGTTTTTCTGAGGTCCTAGCATCTGTATATGTGATGGCATACCATCTCCCGGCCCGTTGGCTCTGTGCGCCTGTTCACGCCCGGTGCATGATCGCTTTCCTCTCGATCTCTTTCCCGAGAGTCAGACAGTGTCCTTCTCCGTCAGCAGCTGCATCCCTGGTCGCGCGATCGCCGATTATTCTCGTGCGCCAAGCGGACACTTCGTGCGCTCAGTGCCACTGTCTCTATCTCATGTCATTTTTCCCGTGATTGAACGCAGACATCTGCAGCGGCCACGAGCACAATGCCATGTGGTCATGTGCCACCTACCCGAACGGGAAATCGGCGTTATTCAGGCCAGAAGCCCTCCTTCGAGTCAGGCACGAGGGTACAGGCGAACGTAGACGCAGGTACGCAGACGCGGGCAGATGCTGGCACTCTGGCAGAGATCAGCGTGAAAAATTTGGCCCCGTGATCAGGACAAGCTCAGTGCAAAGACTAAACACTAGATAAACGAATGAGCGTCCAGCTGGGTTAATTAGTGGTGGGGAGCATGGGCTAATCAGAGTGGCCAGAGTGGCCAGAGTGGCCAGAGAGCCGCAGGAGAGTGGGTGAGGGTATGTGGGTAACTCGACAGCCGGGCTCGCCGCACGGTACCCTTGGGTGCGTGAGGGCTCAGCGCGCATACGAGCTCTGCCAGTGAGCGTGCAGTGCACTGGATACGCCAAACGCCCAGACGCCGTCAGATGAAAGTGGAGCTGCGAGCCATGCCACGGCATCGTCGCATCGAGCCTCGTCCCGCGACCTTGCATGCATCGCGCAGCACGGGGTCTCGTCCAGGTTGCATTGTGCAAAAGCGATCCAGAAGCATCAGCGCGCAGCGCACAGAGGACGCAGAGCGAGAATGAATCTACTGACGAGGGCGAACGAATCGAGCTCTCTATGGCCGCTGGCTCGTTGGCTGCACGGATCTTTTTTTCACCTGCGCTGCGTCCAAACTGGCGCTCGTCCTACCACACCGCCGCCTGCGACCACCACCAGCAGCCCGGCCGACATCTCGACCTTTCTTCTCCTCGCTCCAAACCCACCCCTCAACCAACAACCACCCCCCGACAGTCTCTTTGACTGACCCATTTGTCAAAAACAGGTGTGAGCCTGCCTGCTGCCTCAACGGCCCCGCCGCTCGTGCTGACACACTACGTTCCACCCGGTCCGCCGCCGACTACCTCCGCCCACGCCCACACGCTCCTACCTCGTCTAAATCTTTCATCCAACCAACTCGATCAACGTCCTAATTCACTGTACCGTTATCTCACGCCGGCACCACGCGTCCCTTTTTCCATCCTCTTCCTTCTTCACCAACCCGTCCCTTGTAACACTACACTGGCCACCCAGCAGCGCTGTCCGCCTGGCCACACCTTCCTTGCCCGAAGCAATCCCCAAAGCGAACCGATACAAGGATCCCACCGAGGTACTGTGTGCGTTTTCGTCCAGCGTCCTGTCCCGTCACCATCCGCAAACTGCAAACGGCACGCAAACCTGCGCCGCCGCCCGCCCGGTCTCGCTTTTTTTCCTTTCCACAGACGCTTAATTCTCTGTGCTTGAGCCTCCTCTTTTTTCCACATTCGCATCCGCCTCATCCTGCAAACTGAAAGAGACATCTGTGCTGACCCTTCCTACAGCTCGAAGGATCCCCATCGCTTCTCGATTGAACAGAGCATGTCTGCCTCGCCGACCAAGTTGAACGGCACCGACTCCGAGTTGCGAAAGGCGGCTGACGCCCTCGAGCTCAACGGTCACGCGTCTCGAGACGTGAGTCTTCTGCGTCGAAGGTGGAACCAAGGCCCGCTGGATGCCTGGCACGGGATGGTTTCATTTCATGACTGAAACCACCCTTCTCCAATCCTGATCAGTCATCTCGCCCGGCACGGTCTTCATCTTCCCGCACCTTCCTATCCGAACGCTATGCTGACGCTATCCTCAGGCTGGCAAGGCCGACGCTGCCGACGCTTCTACGGCCACCACCCCCGATGCGGTGACCGACAAGCAGCGTCTGGAGCAGAAGAGGCTCGAGCGCGAGGAGCAGCGCGCCCGGCTCGAGGCTCAGATGAAGCAGCTCGAGGCTGACCAGCGTGCTGACGACCTCCTGCTTCACGGCGGCGCTTCGGTCAACATCGAGGCCGCCTCTGCGCCGACTTCTCCCCTCGGTGCTGCCGACCGCGCCCCTGGATCCGGCACTCCTGCCCCCATCGGACAGGGCCGGGAGGTGAATGGCGCGAAGAGCATGCCCGCTTCGAGGCGAACGAGCGGCTACGGCGGCACTTTCGGCATGGAGAAGCTGAGCCTCAGCGCGCTTGACAACGAGCACCAGAAGGACTGGCAGAACGAGGACGATGTGGACGCCGAGGGAGCTCAGAGTGAGTAAATGACTTAGGACCGTCTTGTCCCAGCCCGCTAACCTTTTCCAGAGTCGGTCAGCTACCTCATTAACGACGACGACCCGTTCCCTGGACTTCCGAAGGACAAGCACCTTTCGGCGGCTTCGGCTGCTCTTGACCTCGCGCCCCTCCCCCAGGCGTCGACACGTGCGTTCGGGTCGCGTCCGTTCGACAACTCGCTCAAGAGCTCCGACTGGTCGACCTTCCCCAACTCGACCCGTGGTCTTACGTCGCCGCTGGGTAGCAATGCTCTGATGGGTGCTGGCGCGGGAGACGAGACTCCCCGTGACCCCCTGCTTGGCTCTCGCAAGCCTTCTCCCAACGGTCTTGCTGACAGCATCGCTTCCCTGCCTGCTATGCCGAGCAAGTCGGTCCCTGCCACGCCGTTCGGCCTTGGCCCCAGTGCTGCGGGCATGCCCCCTAAGCGCACTGGCACCAGCCCTGGCCTGAACGATGGCTTCACCCAGGCGCAGCGTGGCTTCTCGAACCCTGACCTTGCCCGTGCGTTCAGCTCCAAGAGCGGTGGCAACAGCGGCAGCGGAGGCAACGGTGGTTTCGGAAGCGGTCTCAACGACACCCCTCGCCCGTACGGCTCCGACCCGCTGTACTCGTCGATGGGCATGCCCAACTCGTCCAACGCCTTCATGCAGCAGGGCTACAACGACTATGGCTTTGAGGACGACAACTTTGGCTCCGGTGCCCTCTACCCCGCTGGCATGATGGGCCTGAAGACCAAGCGTGCGGAGGCTGACCGCGAGTTCAACCGCTTCTCTGGCATGCGTCTCGAGGACCTGCAGGGCGAAATCCTCTCGCTTTGTAAGGACCAGCACGGATGCCGCTACCTGCAGAAGAAGCTGGAGGAGGGCGACCCCGCTCACCGCGACATGATCTTCCGCGAGACGTACGGCCACTTCCCCGAGCTCATGATCGACCCCTTCGGCAACTACCTCTGCCAGAAGCTCCTTGAGCACGCTACGGAGGAGCAGCGTTCCGCGATTATCGACTCGGTCTCCAACGACCTTGTGGGTATCAGCCTGAACATGCACGGAACTCGCGCCGTTCAGAAGATGGTCGACTTCCTGGCTCAGCCCCGCCAGCCCAAGCAGATCCGCACGCTCATCTACGCCCTGTCGGTCAACGTTGTCGCGCTCATCAAGGACCTGAACGGCAACCACGTCATCCAGAAGTGCTTGAACAAGTTGATCCCTGAGGACAACCAGTTCATCTACAACGCCATCGCGACCAACCTCATCGAGGTCGCTACCCACCGCCACGGTTGCTGCGTGCTCCAGCGTTCCATCGACCACGCTTCGCCTGCCCAGCGTTTACAGCTTGTCACGGAGATTATCTTCAACTCGCTGTACCTGGTCCAGGACCCGTTCGGAAACTACGTTATCCAGTACATTCTCGACCTCAACGACGCTCGTTTCTCTGAACCTCTCATCCGCACCTTTATCGGTAACGTTTGCAGTCTGTCTGTGCAAAAGTGAGTTACAACACCCGATTCCTGAACTGACGTTCAGATTCTCGTCCAATGTTGTAGAAAAGTGTATTCGCGTGGCCGACCCCGAAATCCGAAAGGTGCTTGTTGCCGAGGTCCTGAACAGGTCTCGTCTTGAGAAGCTTCTCCGCGACAGCTACGGCAACTATGTCATCCAGACCATCCTCGACTACTGCGAGATTGGTCAGCGCATGGTTCTCGTCGAGTGCATCCGCCCCATCCTGCCCTCGATCCGCAACACCCCGTACGGCAAGCGCATCCAGTCCAAGCTCCAGCGCGAGGACGCCTCCTTCTCGTACGGCGGCGGTGGTGCCGGTGCCGGTGGTGGCTACGGCGGTGGCCGTGGCGGCTACGGTGGCAACCGTGCCGGCGGTGGTGGCTACCACCCCCGTCACCTCGGCCGCCCTCAGCTCCAGCACATCAACGCTCTCACTGAGGTCTACGGCGCTGCCGGTGCTCCCTTCATGGGCCCTGGTGGTTACGGCCGTGGCGGCGGTCCTGGCCAGCACGGTGGCCACGGTCCCCACAGCGGCGGCGCTGGCGGTGGTGCTCCCTTCCACGGTCGGGAGATCCACAACCACTCTGGTATGAGCTACCATGCCCCCGGCCCCGACGGCCAGCCCTGGCTGCACCTTCGCGGTCCTGCTGGCCAGCCCGCCCCCAACTGGAACACGCCTCCCAGCGGCTCCAACCACGCCGGCATCGACCCTCTGCCGGCGACCGCCCCCTCGGACGCCGACCCTGCGCTTGCTGCGGCTGCTGCCGCCGCCGCGGTCACTGACCGCAACGGCCAGGGTCAGCCGGGACTGCCCCTCTGGCAGGACCCCTCAGGAGGCTACATGTACGCGACGACTAATGGCGGCCACCTCCCGCCGCTCATGTAACGGTAGTAATTTTCGGGGCGACATCTATTCCGATTTTGCAAAACCTGCGACACCGACGCGGCTGTAATGCTGTACGCTAGGCTATCTTTGAAGAAACCAACAACCCCCACCTGTACCATGCGCTCTCTTTCGCTCCCGTGTACACACATCTTTGTCCGTTTTAAGAATTTCTATATCTGAATTATGAGGAGGAAACCGAAAGAATCTCAAGAAAACATCAACAAAAACACCCACGTCAACGAGGAACCCCAATAGAAAAAACCAACAAACTCCTAAACCACAACCCACATCATACCCCCTTCCTTTTCCGTGGTCCTCGACCTCAGCCAAACGTCTCCTACCAAACCTGTAACTGCATAACTGGCCTTCCGGTGCACCAGTTTACTCTTCATATACCAGTTTCCTTCCCGACCGGTGTAGTAGTGTAGAGACACATGAGATCCCAACCCCCACAACCACATCCCCTATCCCCCCAACCTCACTCCTCTTACATACGTATTTTTTCGGTCGTGCCCCGTATAACTGTATGTCCGAGCGGGCGCGCGGTCTTGTTGAGCAGTGATTTGAAAGTGTATGCATCTGTTGCCGCGATACGTCTTGAGCAGAGGGTCATAGCAGTGGATTAGTGGACTCGGTGGTCATCGCGAGGGGGCGTAGTTCGTGAGGAGGGGCGCAGATCGTGTATCGTGTCAGATCCACGTCAACAGTCTACTCCTTGTCGGCTGCTGCTTGTTGCTTCTCTCCATCTCTCTCTCTCTCTCTCCTCTCTTCTTACCACAGCCACATCCACCTCCTCGCCTTTGCAATGCTGCGTCAAGAGGACGAGCGGTATCAATGATAGCAGTATGTGGCACCTGGCTAGCCGGATTTCTGGGAGCTGACACTCAGACCTCGCCCCTCGCCGAACTCGAAGCAAACGGGCGTCGACGTTCGAACTGTAAGCTGCGTCCCTCTTCTTGCCAGCTGACCCCAGTCGTCGACATACGTGTGAGATGGTCAATCGCAAGACGTTGACCTATGCCGATGCCTTGTTGAAAGGCAGTAAGCGCGGCCGAGGAAACGTGAGCCGTCGCGGGAGCCATGTCGAGCTGACAAGCAGGCAAGCGTCGAAAAGGGTAAGCTAGCCGTCTCTGTCGCGTGAGCTCACTTCCAGTCCCTCACTTCGGTGTGAGCCCCTGCAAGCACTCTTGAAGCTCACGACCAGCCCTTGCGAGCTTGCCAACGCAGTACGAGCTAAGACTAGGCATCTGGAGACAGATTCTCGTGAGCTGAGCGTGCTTGGTACTGAAGCTGACAAACAGTTCGAGGTGTGAGCTCTCCTGACCCAGTATAAGCTGATGACAGGGCATGAATGACGAGGGGCGGTGAGCTGGCCGCTAGTCCACAGTGAGAAGCTGACGAAACAGCCAGCTTCCGCTTCCTTTGACCCAGATCTCGAATTCAGAATGAGGGGTGAGCTACCTTTAGGTGTTCGGAGCTGACAAACAGTACCTGGTGAGAGCTCCCAAAATGCGCTTGTTAGCTGACAGCAGTGTTGTCCGCAAAAGGTGTACCATGGACAGGTATGTTGCCTTCATCAGCTGAGTCAACCCTTGCACAAAGCTGACAAGCAGCCCCGGATTGTAAGCTCGCGTACTTTCCTCAGTAGCTGACGGCAGCATTCCGTCCGGAGCAGGTGAGCTCTCGGAACGGTGGTGTTGAGCTCACAGACAGTGGCCATTGGCTACCGGTAAGCTTCGATTGGCTGGGTCAGAGCTGACAGACAGACAACCGGGGTGTCTCGTTGGATGTTCTGCTGAATGCCGACCCAGAAGGTTCTCAGAAAGTGGGCTGCACCCATTGCTGGGGCTGATTCCGGAGCTGCTGTCAACGAGGGGAGCCTGCCCCGAAAAAGCGTGAGCTCTGTGCCCGGTACCTAGCTGATCGCAGACGTTGCCTCCTGAGTGAGCTTACAGTGTCAGGCATTGAGCCCATATCAGGCGTACTTCGCGTGAGCTGGAGGTCCGTTCCATGGGCTCTAGCTCACTCCAGACCGGCCTTGCCTCTGATCTACTGTCTTAGATTTCCTGGCAGGTTGTAAGCTGAAGCCGAACAATGGTTAGCTTATCATCAGGCCATGGCATGAGGTGAGCTGCAGATGCCCTTGTTCCTCTCAGCTAATGCATAGTGTAGTCAACATGCAGACCGACTAGTGAGCTGGGGCGACGCTTTCAAAGCTAACTCCAGACCCAGACGGGCCAATACATTCACATGAAGAGGTGATGACATTGCATCTGATGATGAACCGCCCTTTGTAAGGTTGAGCTAGGCGATTCATCGCCCACTAGCTGACATCAGTGATTTCGGAGATGGATGTGAGCTGCTGCGTCTTCGAGGAGCTGTCATCAAGACGCCGCCTGCCGAACATGGCTCCTATGCCCTGCTATCCTACCTCACGTCACTTTGTGAGTTAACGCCCACGTCGCGTAACTGACAAGCAGTCATTGCGATCTCAGCATCGGTTGCCAGGTACTGCAAGCTTTCAGGGCTTTGAGAAGAGCTGACAGCAGAGGTGATGGGGCTTGCAGCTCGGTAGCTGTTCCCTCCTGACTCTCACCTAACACTAAGTCCTCTTCCACCGGTTATCTGAAGCTACTTTCCCAGCATTGTTTCCAAGTGATCGAGGTGAAGTGGTTGGCATTTGACTTCAGCTAACCGCCGGTGTCCGAGCCACGGTGAGGATGACATACTGTAGGAAGCCACTATCTTGAGCTCGGACACCACGTTCTTCTGTGAGCTATAGAAAACGCACCGGCAGAGCTAACAGCAGGTGCTTATCTGTCTGTTAACCCGCCGCCTGAGCGAGTTGGTGAGCTCTTTCTAGCAAGCGCTCTCGAGCTGACATCAGTGGAGTAGCCCCACGCTTTGTCTCCGTTGCACCTGTATGAGTGAGCTTTATGATGGCTGGGAAGCTGACAGACAGAAAAGACGGCCACACTGTGAGCTGTCTAATGACCGGAGAGCTAACAGCCAGAGGCTGGCGACCGACACAAGAAAAACCTTGGAAGCAGAACCACCATCGGGACAGGACAGGCAAGGGGGCCAAAATCAAGTAAGCTGATATTTTCCTGCCAAGCTAACAGAAGCAGTTACTAGCCGCACCTGGATCCATGTTAGCGTGGAGCTGTGTACGCAATTCCGGACTCGGCGTGAGCATTCTGCTATGCCTCTTGAGCCCCGTCCTAGCCGGGAGTCCATCCGTCCGGAGGTTTGCAACAGACCTCCACCGTCAACCCCCAGTCCACTGTTCAGGCACTTCCGTTGGCCGCGAGTGCATGTTCCAAGTCCACCTCTTTCTCCCTTTCGAATATCTCTGTATACAGCGAATGCATGCTTCCTTGTTGTACTGCACATGGCGCCTTCCCCAGCCGCACGCTGTCGTCTTATCCTTCATCAAGCAGACTTTCCCTCCTCCAGCTCTTCCTCCTCGACCTCTACCGTCACGAAGCGCGTCTTCGCAGAAGGCATGAGTGCCTTAGCGAGGCAAACCGCCTCCTCTTCCTCCATGTCGGCCGTCGCAATGATGATAGACGCGAGGGCTTTGCGGCGGAAGCTCCTCAGCTTCCCCCACGCAGGAGAAGAGCTGGCATACAAATAATACAGCCGGCGCAAGGTGCGACCGGGAACGGAAGTCTTGTTCTTGTTCGTGTTGATGGGCGGGCGGAGCTCGTCGATCACGCGGTTCAACTTGTGCACAGCGGCCACTGTCTCGGCGGCCACGATGACGTTGGCTAGGCCTGATGGAGGGAGGCGGGCGCGACGCGCGTCCAGCTGCGCGAGACGGATACGCAGCGGCTCCAGGTCTCGGACCGAGACGGGCTGCTTCGCTGAAGAGTCGCGGTAGATCTCGATGAAGCGGTCGGTCTCTTCTTGTTTGCGAGGGTCCACTGGCTTGTACGAGTAGTCGACGGTGGTGGAGGTAGAGAGATCTCTATTGGCAGGAGCCAGATCGCGGCGGCGGGAGGGGATGTACAGGTCGCTCATGCTGTGCTGAGGCAGAGGGTGGCGATGTGTCGACCCTCCGGAGCTGCAGCTGGCGTTAGCAGTTACCGCTGGCGAGTCTTACCGGTGATTAGGCGCTTCTGTCCGACGAGTCACCCAGTGCTCTGCAGAAGTTTGACAAACGGAGAATCGACTAGAGGTGTGCAAGGGATGGGCAGCGGTGTTGCGCCCCTCGCCCTCGAGTGTGTGCGTAGCGGCGGGACCATCTCGTGACTCAGGCGAGCGAAGCGCTGCGTTATTTAGACTCTCTGCACTGGGTTAAGATGTTGCTGCGACTACATGCAAAGGTCTCATCCAAGCGTCTGCTGATAGTATGCTCGTTGATGTACTGATACGCAGTGCTTTCCCTCGTTGTGCTGTAACTTGGAGGGAGGAGTGTCCTCACCCGATCCTCCTCCTCTTCGTCGGACGCCCAACTTCCACAAGCTGAAGCGTAGACCCCGGCAAAAGCGCGATTGCAATTGCGCGCTGCTCCTCCTCCCCCATGTACATGTACGCCGTCTCAAGCACGACAGCATACACGACATTACGGCGAACCCTCCTCTGCGACGCCCAAGGTATGTTCGAGAGCAAGTTGCACCCGTAGATCCGCCCCAGAGCCCTGCCCGCACTCCAGGGGTCGTCCGGGTCCATCGAGTTGTAGATCAGAGCGAGCGCGCGATGGCTCATATCCATGGCGACTAGGGCTCCACTTGCAAGGGTGATGGTGTCGATTCCCCTAATCGTTAGGCGGGCACAGCGCGCCTGCATCTGGGCGAGGCGGATGCGCAGGCGTTCCAGGTCGGAAGTAGAGACGGGCTGCCTCTCCCCCCAGGCGCGGTACACCTCGACGTAGCGATCGATATGCGCTTGATCCTGGAGATTGACTGTGGTGTGGGTGTAGATCTCCTTGTCCGTGGTTGAAGGCTTCGGCGTGTCGATGTGGGCCGGGCAGCAGCGGCGACGACTGGAAGGGATGTACATGGTGCCGAAGACCGAGAGGATGAAAACTGGTGGCGTGGTACTGCGATCGTCAGTGAGATAGAGGGACAAGGCTCACCTGTCGCTTGGAGAGTGCAACTACGTCGCGGTTGGGCGGGAAGATGATGACGGTGGTGTAATGAAGATGTGAGGAGAGCAAGGAGTGCTGAATGTAGTCCAGATGAGTGTGTATCGGCGATCGATGGGCGGGGGCATTACGCCCCATGCCATTGAGTCAGTAGTTAGTCTGCATGAGTCGCAATCAGTACGTCCTGAACCATGCACCCTTCATAGCCATAGAGTCACAACTGCTGCATCCAGTAACAATACGATCACACCGGCTATCCGTCTTTACGAGGTCATGTAGGTCGCGGGGTCGACAGTGTCGGGGAGCGTGGGGATAGCGACAGTGAACCGCTCCTGGATCTTCTGGAGGACCTCCTGGTCGGCCTCGGACGAGACAAAGGTGATCGCGAGACCCTTGGTACCGAAACGTCCAGCACGACCGACACGGTGGAGGTACGAGTCGGCGTCGGCGGGAGCATCGTAGTTGATGACAACGTTGACACGCTCGACGTCGATACCACGACCGAAGATGTCGGTGGCGACGAGGATACGCTTCTCGAAAGCCTTGAACTGCTGGAATCGCGAGATACTGGATGTCAGTTATGGAAGGAAACAACAACTTACCGCTCAGGCTGGGGAAGGGCAGAGTGGATACAGATGGAGGGGAAGTTGCACTCCTGGAGGAGGGCGTCGAGCTGGGTGGCACGGGCAACCGACTTGACGAAGATACAAACCTGGTTGAACTCCAGGTTGTCGAGGAGGTCGTTCAGCTTGCGGTTCTTCTCCTTCTCCTCGAGCTTGAGGTAGTACTGCTGAAGACCGTGAAGCGTGAGCTTGGTCTCGTCGTCGACGTAGATCTCAAGAGGCTGTAAAGTTAGCAAACATCGACATGCTAGCAACTCACGCTCTGCATGAACTTCTTGCAGGTGGCGCGGATGTCCTTCGAGAGAGTGGCGGAGAACATCATAACCTGCTTGTGGTGGGGGGTGGCGCGGAAGACTTCCTGAACATCACGGCGCATGTCTGTAGATTGTTAGAATGAGGTCGTTCCGAGTTTTCTTCGACGTTGAGAGAGGGGAAAAGCGTGAGTATATAATGAACTGGTTCGAACGAGCCGAGAAAGTGAGATAGCTTCCACCTCCGAGGACAACCGAAACGACCCTCACTGTCACCTCGCAATCGGTCATCGGTAAACAGATATGGTGGACTGGGCGAACGCCTTGAGAAACCAACATGTGACGAGCGGATGCTCCACATGCGTCGCGCTTCCACGCGCATCGCTTTCGCAAAACCCAATCATCTGGCACGCTTGCACAGACGGGTCCCTTCATCTTCGACGTTGCGGTCGAATCGGTCTTGGTCTTTAGACGCCGTACTCGACATGAAGTGGCCGAAACACCCCACGTCTGTACGGCTGCGACAGGACTCTTTGCCCAGTCCGAGTCCTTCGGGTTGATGCTCGGTCCCTCGGTCGGTAGAGCGAACACTAATCAAAGAGGGTGTCGAATGGAGGAAAGGAAGACTAACCGAGTTGTTCCAGCATCTTGTCACACTCGTCGAGAACGAAGTGCTTGACCTTCGAGGCGTTGAGCTTCTTGTCGCGGACGAGAGCCATCATACGACCAGGGGTACCGACAACGATGTGAGGGCACTTCTCCTTGGAGGCAAGGATCTCCTGGTCGGCAGAGATAGGGGTTCCACCGTAGAAGACAGAGGTGCGGACCTCGGGCATGTACTTGGAGAAACGGGTGAACTCGTTGCGGATCTGGTACGCGAGTTCACGGGTGTGACAGAGGACAATAATGCTGACCTCACCGTCGACAGGCTCGCTGGGCAGTCAGCCACGCGCTCAGACAAACAAACAGTCCAAAGTTGCCACTCACAGCTGCTGCAGACTGGCAAGGACGAACACGGCCGTCTTACCCATACCCGACTTGGCCTGACAGAGAACGTCAGTGCCAAGGATGGCCTGGGGGATACACTCCTGCTGGACTGAATGTTAGCGACGCGCGTGCGGATAAGCAGAACATACCTTCGGACGGGTGCTCGAAACCAAGGTCAGAAATGGCACGGAGAATCTCAGGCTTGAGGAGGAAGTCGCGGAAGCCAGTTGAGTGGATACCGACGTAGCTTCCCTTCTTGTCAGCGTCTCCACCAGGAAGAGGAGGTCCTCGTCAAGATTGACATCATCGTTGGCACGCAGAACCTGTCGGACACCTTCGAGTGGGATCTCAACTCAACGGTGACACCTGAGGAGTTTGCGGCCTCATACTGCACCGACCTCGGCCTCACCGGCGAGTTCATCACCGCCATTGCCCACGACATCCGCGAGCAGATCATCACTCATCAGCGCTCGCTGTTCATCGTTGGACACACGCCGGGATCCGGTTTCATCATGAACGACGATGTTCGTGCCTCAGCAATCGCAATCACCACAGATGCTCACGGGTGTGACAGAGGACAATAATGCTGACCTCACCGTCGACAGGCTCGCTGGGCAGTCAGCCACGCGCTCAGACAAACAAACAGTCCAAAGTTGCCACTCACAGCTGCTGCAGACTGGCAAGGACGAACACGGCCGTCTTACCCATACCCGACTTGGCCTGACAGAGAACGTCAGTGCCAAGGATGGCCTGGGGGATACACTCCTGCTGGACTGAATGTTAGCGACGCGCGTGCGGATAAGCAGAACATACCTTCGGACGGGTGCTCGAAACCAAGGTCAGAAATGGCACGGAGAATCTCAGGCTTGAGGAGGAAGTCGCGGAAGCCAGTTGAGTGGATACCGACGTAGCTTCCCTTCTTGTCAGCGTCTCCACCGTCGACACCGGCAGCGGCCGGGGCGGCGGTGGTAGGAGCAACGTAGGGCTCCTCGGCCTCGTCGTCGTAGTCGACGAGCTCTTCGGGGTCCTCAGCGGGGGGAGGGGCCATTTTTGACAGGTTACGAGCGGGGTTGAAGGATGGATGGAGCTCTTCTCGTCGACGGCGGAGAAGAGGTGCTGGTGATGAGTCAAGACAAGGGTGGTCAACAATAACTGCTTCTCGTACGCGTTTGAGTGAGTGAGGTGAGCCAGCGAGCTACGGACTGAGTTGCGGAAGCAAACCCACGTGGTGAAAGCTCGATCACCCTGGAGATTCACGGGTCTAGGCGACGCTGGCGGATGTGGCGGCCCATATTACGTAGAGCGGCCAAACATGAATGGAATCAGCGGCGCGGCAAGCTGGCCGTCCCGTGACGGGCTGCGACGGCTGGCACGTCGGGGACGCAGACGGCCTGGAGATCGAAACGACGTCGCTGAGAAGCCGGGAATGCCGCACAGTCCGAGATCTAGTCTGCCGACTGCCACGGTGTCTACCGTGTCAGCTGTTCCGAATGCGGGGTGATAAGATCATCCCGATTGCGAAAGGGAAAGAGGGGGCCCGGAGATATGGGACTGAATATCTCCTGTCGCGTCCCACGTACGGCCAGAGCCGGGTGGCTCAGTCGAATGGCGCGGCACGCCAAGCAAGCCCCTTGCCGCCCAGGATCCTGTCGGCCAGGACAAGCGACGAGAGACGCAAAGGACACGCCCGGCCCGGCTAGTCGGACCGTTGGACATGTGAGAGAGCATTGGAGTCATGGATATCCATGGATCCATGGGCGGTCCAGCAGAACCTTGTGCCATTTTGGTTCCTAGCGGAGGGTTGGAGCGCATTGATCGAGGGATGAGGACGGGTAACGAGGGTCGGCCGGCGGCGCAGAAGGGTGGAAGAAATACAGGATAGGCGCAATGGGGAGGCAGACGTAACTCGTCGCCTCGCGCCTCCCGCATCGCACGGGGCCGACGGTCCATGCGTGTGCGCGTGTGCGACTAGAGCGAGCGTATTTCTGGGAGCTGGGCAGAGGCCCCAGAGATTCCAGAGATCCCAGAGAAAACAGCTGATGCGACGGGCCTCGCCAATAACCGCGGACCGCTTCTCAACCCTTGTCCACCGACGCCGCAATCGCATCATCCCGAACAAGGTCCACCCGAGTCACCCCACCCAACCACCTGCCTTTTATCTAATCTATCTCGCCTGCCGTGCCGAGAACCAGAACACGAGGCATGGCTCGTGTCTTAGCCTTGCCCTACGCGTAACCTGTTGATCTCTCGATGCACCTACTCTCGTTACTCTGACCTGTCCCAAGCCCACCTCTGCTATTATATCAGCCAGACCCCCCCACCCCCTTCCACCACCTCACTGCCCTAACCCGTCCAGTGAATAGGAATAACTAATCAGCATTTTTCCATACTAATCGGTTAGATTGTGATTACAACTTTTCCTAATGCGTCAGTCCAAACATCTACGTCCCACCACGCGTGCACTCCCGCCTCACTCTCGCTGTTGCATTCTACCATTCTACCATCTCTCATCACCATCCAGCCCGCATCCGACTCGAGACCAACAAACATCCCTTCCTCCGTCGAGCATCCGGCCATATTGCTCGTCAGGCCGAACCCGCTGCCTCCCACTCTGCCGGCCCGGCACTTTTCGTACGTGTCTCCTCTCATCACGGGCGCTCCGACGCGCAGATCCTTGTCCCCCGTACTTGACCATCTTGTGGCCTCAGTACAATCTCCGCTTCACGTGTACCACTTGGTGCTAACCATACTTGTTTGCATCCACACTCTACGCCGCCGTCATCACCGCTCGAACACCTCTGCACAACGTCAACCTTGATAGGCGGGATCGCTCCTTCTCGGCTCGCTAGCCACCGCTCCGCGTCCGTGGTTGGCGCGGCGTCGGCTTCGCTCCGCTCAGCTCGTGGCCGGCCTTGAGGCCGGCCCTCGCGCGCCTTCATTGCGCTTCGTGTCGCGTACGTTAAGTCTCGCAACCTCTCAGACGCGTCTGACAGCCGACAGCTCGAGCTCAGATATGGCAACACCTCAACAAGGCGCTCCAATCGGTATCAACGGCGCGTTTCTTCCCCAGCAACTCAACGGCGCAATGGATCCTCGAATGTTCCAACAGCAACAGCCGCAGGGGCAACAGCAGTTCCCAATGGGCGGCGGCCAGAATGGCATACCCGGCATGCCTGGTATGGTGCGACCTGGCGACCCCGGCCCGTCGTCTATGGCCAACACGCAAATCCACCAGCAGCTTCAGCAACAGCTGCAACAGCAACTCCAGATGGCTCAAGGTCAACAACAGCAAGGCGTCCGTCCCATGTTCAACCCCGGCAACCTTGCACCGCAGCAGCTTGCGATGCTTCAGCGGATGGCCCAGCAAGGCGGACCGAATGGCCTAAACCCACAACAAATCCAGATGGCCATGGCCAGTCTCGCCCAACAACAGCAACCGCAACAGCAACCGCAACAGCAACAGCCACAGCCCCAGGGTCTGGGCGGACTCAACCCTCAGATGCTGGCCGCGGCGATGCGCGCAGGAGTTCCTCCTGCTCAGCTCAGTCAGCTGGGCCAGCAACTGAACCCGCAGCAGCTTGCCCAGCTGGCGGCCGTTGGGCAGATGCAGAACTTGGGTGGTATGCAGGGCCAACAGGGCGGCCAGCAGAACCCGCTTCAGCAGCTGCAAGCCCAGCGATTGCAACAGCTCATGCAGGCCCAGCAAGCCGCCGCGTCCCCTCAGCAATCGCAATCACCACAGATGCCGCCACAGCAGTCGCCTCAGCAGCAACAGCAGCAGCCTGGTGGTGGTGTCATGACCCCAGAGATGGCACGGCTACAAATGCAAGGTCGAGCTTCGCCCGCCGGAGGATCACCGGTCCGCCCTCAAGGTATGCAGCAGCTTCCCGGATCCATGCCCCCACCGGCACTTCCAACTGGGGCATCTCCGCGACCGAGCAACATGGCTCCGCCTCCGACTCCGGGCCAGCAACGTCCTGTCCTGTCCTTGACTCCTCAGCAGCAGCAGTTCATTACTGCTCAACGAAACGCGCTGATGGGAAGTCCTCAATGGAAGGCCCTTCCTCCGGCACAGCAGCAAGTGCAGTTGCAAGGCATGCAGCAGCACTTGATCCGCATGATGCTCAGCCAAGGGGCCGGGCAGGGGCAAGGCCAAGGCCAAGGACAGGGACAAGGACAGCAGCCGCAACCTCCTCAGACACCTCAGCAGCAACAGCCCGGAACACCTCAGGCGCCGGGCACGCCGCAGCAATCTCACCAGCCTGGTCCCCAGCAGAGCCCGGTTCCCCAACCGATGTCCGGACTTCCGCAACATATGCAGCGACCAGGATCTGCGGCGTCGCAACGCGCTAGCTCGCCTCATCCTTCGCTACCCCCTGGATCGCCAGCGAACCGCCCGATGTCTGCCGCTACCCCGCCCTCCACGGCGCCTGCTCCGTTCATGGGTACGCCCCAGCAGGCTCCCTCACCCGCCCACTCCAATCACTCCCACGGTCCCCCGCCTGCGCCCGGTATGGCCCCGTCACCCATGCACCAAACTCCGTCCCAGGATGGATCTGGACCGCCGCCACCGCCGCCTCAGTTTGGTCTGAATGGCCCTCAAGGACCGCCGATGGGTCAGATGCCTCCGGGACAGTCGCCTCAGGCCGCCGCCATTGCTGCACTCCAGGCTCAAGCGCAGAACGCGCAGATGATGCAGGGTGGCCCGACACCGGGAGGACCGCAACCCGGCTTTCCTCCGGGCATGAGCTTGCCACCGGGCATTCCTCCAGGGGCAATGCAGAACATGACGCCGCAGCAACAAATGCAGATGGCGCAAGCAATGATGTTCCAGCAGCAGCAGCAACAGCAGCAGCAACAACAGCAACAACAACAACAGCAGCAGCAGCAGCAGGGTGGCAACCAGCCTGGTCCGCCGCAAATGCGACCCGGCATGCCGCCGCTACCGCCTGGAATTCGCCCGCCGCCGGGAATCAACCCGAACGAGTTCCCCTTCGACGCTCGATTATTACCTCACCTGCAGCATGTTAACGACCCTCGCTGGAGAGAAGAATGGCAGCAGCGGAATCCTCGATTGGTTCAGGAGGTTCAGTCGATTGCTCAGCGGATACAGTCGGGCCAGATTCGACCAGACATGGTGCAGCGGATGCAGCAGTTCGTGCTGTATATGCAGCGGCTTGGACAAAGCCGAGGACAAGGCCCTCCCGGCCAACCGCCGCAGGGTCCTCAGCCAGGCATGCCTCCCATGCCAGGGCAGCCGATGCCTCCTGGCATGGGCGGTCCAATCCGTCCTGCGCAGCCCGATGGGGTGCCTCAAGGCGGTATTCCTCCTGCCCAGCAGCAGCAGCACCAGGCAGCTTCGTCACCCGCGCGACCGCCGATGCCCGGACCTCCGGGCGCTCCTGACTCGCCGAGTCCTGCCACATCCGGGATCCTCGCCCGCCGAGAAGGGAAGAAGCGTAACATGCCTCCCCCGACATTTATCCCCTCGCATGGCGCCGTTCGACCACCTCCCGCCGAGCAGGCGCCCCCTCCTCAGCCTGCACCCAACGCCTTGCCTGTAAAGGAATGGGAAGGCAAACTTCGCACCGAAATCCCCGTGACGGGAATCATGCCCTTGCCGGTTAATGAGATCGATGAGAGCGAGGATCCGACTTTTGGCGGGAAACTGCCTGCCATGACTGAACGGGAGAAGGAGGACGTGAAGCAATGGCTTGCCGCAGACATCAACTTTGCCGAGACGTTCCAAGAGAAGAGGAAGAAGACTTCCGGCGTCAAGATCCAGCGGTGGATGGAGAACGAGGACAAGTCGACCCCGTGGTGGATGCTGCGACGCAACGAGCCCGTGCCGCGACGTACAGCGTCAGCAGTCAACGTTGTCTACCCGGCCGACAAGGCTGCTCAGCGGCTTCGCACCCGCAAGCGCAAGGAGATCCGTTTCACTCCTGCCCAGATGAAATCCATGGCGGACGTGGAGGATCACCTCGTTCCGGTGCGTCTGGAGATGGAGCACGATCATCAGCGGTTCAGCGACACGTTTATGTGGAACTGCTCCGACACGGTTGTGACACCTGAGCTGTTTGCCCAGACAATTTGCGATGACTTCAAGCTTCCAGCGGGGCAGTTTGTCCCGAAGATCGTGGCAGCTATCAAGGAGCGTGTGCGGGAGTACCAGGACCAGGTTCAGCCAATCCAGCAGAGTCACACCAGCCGCGGTGTCATCGATGAGGACGATCCGGAGTCGAGGTCATTCATGGAGGTTGTGCGTCGTGCCCACGAGCAGGACGAGGAGGTTCGTACTGACGAGGGTGCGGACCAGGACGACTCCCACATTCGCATCGTCTCCTTCGATGACGAGGTGGACGACAAGATCATGACTGTGGATGAGGCGATGGCCGGTCTCGAGCCTGGCAAGGGCGACGATGAGCTCCGATTCCTCGTCAAGATTGACATCATCGTTGGCACGCAGAACCTGTCGGACACCTTCGAGTGGGATCTCAACTCAACGGTGACACCTGAGGAGTTTGCGGCCTCATACTGCACCGACCTCGGCCTCACCGGCGAGTTCATCACCGCCATTGCCCACGACATCCGCGAGCAGATCATCACTCATCAGCGCTCGCTGTTCATCGTTGGACACACGCCGGGATCCGGTTTCATCATGAACGACGATGTTCGTGCTGCCTTCCTTCCGCCTGTCACAACTGCGCTTCGCAAGGAGGACGTCGCAATGTCCACATACACCCCGGTGCTCGCCAACTTCACCGAGGCTGACGTCGCGGCTATCGAGAAGGACCGCGAGCGCGAGAGCAAGCGCAAAAAGCGTGCGACCCGTGGTCGTCGCGGAATTGTTCTGCCCGACCGCGAGCCACTCAAGACGTTCCGCACTCTGCTGCATCCTCTTACCGACGCAAACGGCAACGTCGTCGTGGTCGACCCGACACCGGCTCCTGTCAGCAGCACCCGTCGCGCGGCAGCCATTGCTGCGCAGGCAAACATCAACCTCGCGCTCCAGGACTTGCCCATCGAACGTCCTCCGTCACCGCCGGCAGCTGCCGCTCACGCCCTCAAGCAGCACCCGAAGCGTCATGTTCCCCGCTCGTCTCGTGGTGCGTCCCAAGCTTCGACTCGGGAAGGCTCTGTCGTCAACGGTGACCACACTCCCAACCCGAGCTTGAAGCGGACACTTCTCGACGACTCGGAGCCCGAGACTGGTTCTCCCCACCCGTCGAAGAAGCGCTTCAATGGTAGGATCGAGAGCCCCGAGCAAGAGGCGCCGCCTGCGCCGAAGGAAGAGCCTAAGATGTGGCACTGCAAGACCTGCGGTGTTCCCGAGCATCTCTCTGGTGGCAAGCGACCCGACCTCAACGGCGTCATGGACCTGTGCGTGAAGTGCGGCGAGTTCCTTCAGCGCAACGGCCGCAAACGCTCGGTGCAGTACAATGAGGACGAGGAGTATCACCGCCAGCAGCAGGCGAAGGATGACGACGACGAGCCGCCGCAACCCGCCTTTGAGCTGCCAGTACCCGCTCCGCCGCAGCGCAACTACGATGATGAGGAGTCCTCGAGCAGCTCGGACTCTGACAGCTCTGATGACGACTATGGGGTCAAGCGCGCCAAGCCTGCACCGACGCCCAAGCCGCGGACAACGAGCATGTCGGCTAGCGCTGCCCCGCCGACGCCCGCTCGGGCAAGCACGACAACGCCTGCAACTCCCGCCACGCCACTGCCGCCAGCTGGCCCGACGATGCCGACGCCGCCCGCATGGCTGGAGCCAGTCAAGTCGGCGATGCAGAGCAAGTATCCCGCGAGTCGCTGGGCCGTTGTCCCGAAGCAGGTTGTCGGCGAGGATGGCGAGATTTGGCGCGTCAAGTGTCTCGACTGCCCCGGCAAGATCTACAAGCTGGGACCGGGCGAGACGCTCGAGAACTTTGAGTTGCACCTGAAGAACAAGGCGCACAACGCGAATGTCCAGGCGCGTCTCAGCAAGCAGGGATGAGGCGAGGGGAGAAGGAGGAGTCGTCGCACGTCTGAACATATCCCGCTGTCCCGTCCTGTCCCCTGTGCTGCACATCAACAACATCAGCAACCATGATCCTCTCTCAGAACACGCAAAACAGCACCGCAGTTGACCCCGACAGACGCAAACGCACTTAAGCAAACGCCAAACATATTCGACCGTTTTCTCATTCTACATAGGTTTTCTACGATTTCTCGACCAGGATTTTTTGAACTACATCCCACTAGATGGCTATACTCTGTGGAAGACATGCATGTCGTGTCCATTTGTTGATCTGGAGCAATGCTGATCCGAGAAGTGATGAACTGACAGTTGAGTGACGGGTGGAGGTTAAGACAGGCACTATCGCGCTAGCGCGAGGCACCACGCTAACCCACCACTGTGGCTCTGCCCACCACTACCGACTTCTAAAAACGTTTTTTGGATACTTTCCAACGATTCTGATGCATAGTGACGTCTAAAAAGAGCATTGTGCAGGTCAGAGGAGCCAAAAGACATGCAAAAAATGACCACTGACAGGATCGAACTGCCGACCTCCGCATGGACTGATAATCAGACTGATTATTAGTACGATGCTCTAACCAGCTGAGCTAAGCGGCCTTAGATGAATCCCAGTGATTTGAGAGGTCCTCGTGCCGGTTCGTGCCTGACCTCCACCGGCCTGGATCAATGTTGACGCGAGCGAGGTTGATGCGACTATGTTGTTGCCTCCACTCCTCGACCTTCAACTCGCAGGGGTGGCAAGATGACCACAACAAAACGGAGGCAGCCGCTGCACTGGACCAACACGGTTGGTGCTGCCATCAGCGAGGGGCTCAGTGAGTGCGACCTCGAGAGAGAGCTGACGCGAAGTCGACCTCGCGCTTATCAGCATCAACAACTTCATCACGCCAAGCTACCCGCCCGCGATGTGAGTTTCTTCGACTCCGCTTTTAGCTGTCTGTCTGTCTGTCTGGCTGTCTGGTGCTACATCCCGCCGCTCTCCAGCTATTCTCGTCCGTCGGCGCAGCACCGCGCCGTCACCCGGGCTACCGGAACCTCACACAAGCTGACGGCCGTGCGATGGAAGCTGACGAACAGGGAACACGTCCAGCTCCTGTTCTATCTCCTGATAGTTCCCGAGGAGAAGATCTCTGCCCGCTCAGTCCGCGGCACGAGTGCCGAGGTCCCCTCGCCCATGTCGATTCTGAACCGGATGCTGGACGAGTATGGGCCGGGGGTTATGGGCCGATACTTGCCCCCCGAGGGGCGCGAGATAGTACGCTCAGACGGCCGACTGGCACGCTCCATTGAGCGCCGCTTCAAGCATGCCCGGAGTGTGTGGGACCTCGTGCTCGAGAAGCCGGAGAGGAAGCGGCGGCGCACGACGGGGACGGCGGATAGTGCGCGGAAGGGCAAGCGGAAGTCTGAAGGAGAAGAGGAGGGGCGGGAGAGTCAGGGAGCAAAGGGGAAGGGGAAAGCGAAGGCGGAGGAGGCATTGGAGGAAGAGGAGGAGGAGAAGAGGAGGAGGAGGAGGAGCTCGAGGAACCAGAGCAGCGTGTCTCGGACGGCGGGTGGGAGCTCCTCCCCTGGCTCACGAGACTGTGGGCGCAGGACGCGACCAGCTTCGAGCGCTCGCTCCCGCAATACACCGACCTGCTCGACGACGCGAGTCTCCCCCTCCTCGTGATAAGGGAAGCGCTAGATCCTGCCCCCTACCTCATCAAGCAACAACGGGGCCGCGTCGCCTCCTCCCTGCTCAGTCTGCTCGTCGAGCTGGCCTCGGGCCCGGACCCGAGCTTCCACCCACACTCGCTCGTCGTGAGCCTTGTCGCGCTCCTCCGCCGACTTGACCGGGACCAGCTGCGCGCCCTCTTCGCCATTTCCGACATTGATGCTGCCGCCGAGGCACACGTGCTCGCGCTAGCGCTCGAGGAGAGGGCGGGGACGAGGTTGAAACTCTCGGAGAACAGGAGGAAGGGCACGCATGCCGGGTTCGAGAGGGGGAAGTGGGGCCCGCCGACCGTCAAGTATGCCCTGCAGCTTGCGCGGGACGCGGACGAGCTCGGCGCTACCATCGCCACACGCCTGATTGCCGATATGGGCCGGATACGGGCGGACGACGACGGGTGGGCTGAGATTGACGACGACATGCTCGATGACGTGACCGACAATGCCCTCCGCCTCGCCCTCCAGGGCGCGAAGAGACGATACGACCAAAAGCTAGTGTAGAGTGTAGCATACGAGAACCTATGTAACTATATCATTTTCTATCCCTTGACGGCCTTGACGAAGGCGTTGACCTTTGCCGGGTCCTTTGTTCCGTCCTCAGCCTCGACACCGGTACTGACATCGACGCAGAGCGGGCCGACCTCCTTGACGGCCTGGGCGACGGTATCCGGCGTGAGTCCACCGGCAAGAATGAGCGGCAGCCTCGCCTTGCCCTCGGACCCGACCTCGCCCTCGTCCGCGACGCGCTTGGCGACGCCCCAGTCGAACGCAACACCGTCACCACCTCCAGCGCCGCCCGAAGCTCCGGCCGCGTCGAGGAGCACAAAGTCGTTCAGACCCGGGCGCGACACCTCGCCGCCCTTGATCGTCTCGCCCGACACGCGGAAGACCTTGATGACAGGCACGGGGATCTGGGCCGCCCACTGCTGCGGCTCGTCGCCATGCAGCTGGACGATGTCGAGGCCGATCTCGTCGACGGCCGCAATGATGTCGTCGAGCGGCTGATTGCGGAACACGCCGACGGAGAGGGGGCGCCGGCGGGCGCGCAGCCGCTGTGCGTTCGCGCCAAACCAGAGCGGGCTCGAGACCTTTGCCCCAGAGCCAGACTTGCGTCCCCGGCGCACCGTGTCGGCGATCTCGCGCGCGACCTCGGGCGCAACGTATCGCTTCGTGCCCGGGACACAGATGACGCCGACGAGGTCGGCGCCGGCGTCGACAGCGACCTGCGCGTCCTTGGCCGAACGCACACCGCAGATCTTCACGAGCGGCTTCTCCGGCGCCGCCTCGGTCGCCTTCGGCAGACCGATGAGCTCGCGCAGGAACGCGCCCGCGTCCTTTGCGCGCATCAGGCTCTCGCCGACGAGCACGGCGCGGACCCCCTCCTCGACGTACTTGGCCACATCATCGTGGCCGGCAATGCCCGAGAGGGCACAGAGGATGACGTCGCGGCCCTTGAGCGCGTCGTTGACGCGGCTGGTCGTCGACATGTCGACGTTGAAGTCGTGCAGGTTGCGGTTGTTGACGCCGATGACCTTGGAACCGATGACGAGGGCACGCTCAAGCTCAGCGGGGCTGTTCACCTCAACCAGTGGCTCCATGCCGAGGCTGACAGAGTAGTCGTACAACTCCTTGAGCTTGGCGTCGTCGAGCATCGCGACGATGAGTAGCACCGTGTCGGCTCCGTGCAGACGCGCCTCGTCGATCTGGTACTTGGCGAGGATGAAGTCCTTACGCAGAATGGCGGGACGGTTCGGCATCGAGTCGACGGCCCTTCGGACAGAGAGCATGTCGCCGAGCGTGCCCTTGAACCAGGTCGGCTCAGTGAGAACGGAGATGACACTGGCCCCGGCAATGGCATACCGCAGCGCCTGGGCGGGAGCAGACGCGTTCGGCGCAATGTCGCCCTTGGACGGGGACGCGCGCTTGATCTCGGCCATAACGGCGGTGTGGGGGGTGGACTTGATGCGGTCGACAAAGGAGATGAGCGGCGGCGCGGTGTGGAGGTTGATCGCGTTGCGGAGGTTGGCAGGGGTGGTCGCCAGGGTGCGCTCGGCGAGCTCTACGTCGGCCTGGCGCTGCGCGTAGATCTTGTTCAGGATCGAAGGAGCGCTCTTCGGCTTGACGGACTCGGGAGGCTGGGGAACAGCGGCGGGCTTTGGCTCTCCCTCGCCCGCGGCAGGGACGCCGCACCACTCATTCTCGCCGCCCCAGGTGCCGCCCTTCAGCTTGAGGAAGTTGGCGAACAGCCCGCGGCCGCCTTCGGACATGCACGACTCGGGGTGGTACTGAACCGCCTCGGCCGTGTACTTGACGTGGCGGACGCCCATGATGACATCGGACTCCTCGCTCGTCGACGTAACCTTCAGCGTCGACGGGAGGGAGAGGAGCTTGGCCGAGAGCGAGTGGTAGCGGGTCGACGCGAGGAGGGGCGGCAGGCCGTGAAAGCAGCCAACAGCGTCGTGCTTGACGAGCGACGTCTTGCCGTGCTTGATCTCTCCAGCGTAGGCAATCTGCTTGTCAGTTACAGCCAGCGGTAGCACAACTCACCTCTCCGCCGAGGACGTCAACGAGACACTCGAGACCCATGCAGACGCCCATGAGGGGGAGCTTGCCGAGGGCCCACTGAATAACGTCGCGCGAGATACCAGAGTCAGTTCTGGGGTGTCCGGGGCCGGGGGAGATGACGACGCGGTCAATCTCGCCCTTGTCGTACATGGCCTTGATCTCGTCGAGGGTGATCTTGTCATTACGGACAACGAGGGGGTTGCCGCCCAGCACGCTGAGGTCGGCGTACACGTTCCACGTGAATGAGTCGTAGTTGTCGATGACGAGGGTGAAGCCCATTTTGTTTAATCCTCTTGAGAGGGAGAGGAGGGAAGGTGTGCAAACGCAGACGAGCCAGACAGTGTCCCGAAACTAGAACCTTGTCCGACTCAGCTATCCGGCGCGGGCAGGTTACGACTCAAGCCAGCCGTAAACGGGGGCAAATGCGGCGGTTCGAATGCGGACACTGCCCGCCAGCACGTGATAGGCTGGAGATTTCGGTGTCCCCTTGGCCAGGCTGGCGGGCCACCACCCTGGCGCTGGCTGGCGTCTGGCATTTGGACGTGCATCGTCATGTCCACTAATCTCACCCAAACCTCTCCTTAATCACAACACAACATGGAGAAGTTCTCCAAGTGGAGGGTAAGCTGCTTGCAGCAACCCCGTAAGCTGACAGCAGGACCCCTCGACGGGCCTCCAGCCCTTCCTCCCCATCCAGGCTCCTTCAGGCTCGCCAGCTCTCGCCGCCCTGCTACCCTTCAGCTGGCTCTTCGGCGTTGCGCGCGGCCTCCTCCTCGCGCTCTTGGGGTTGCTGTACTTCCTCATCGTGCAGCTGATTCTGACACCTCTCGGCGCCGTCGGGCATCCGCTGGCCTCGCTTCTGACCGCGGTGCTTGCGCGCCTCGCGCTGGGCGTGCTCGGATATTTCTGGATCCGCACCGAGACCGTCTCCGCGAAGCGGGGCATGCGCGGGGTCAAGCAGGCCATTCCCGCCGTGAAGCGCGGAGACCTCATCATCGCCAACTGGACCTCGCCCGTGGACGTGCTGTACTATGCCTTCGGGTGGGTCGACCCTTCTAAGCTCTGAGTATCGCTGACAACAGGTACAACCCGACCTTCCTTCTGCCCGTCTTCTCCTCCCCTGCCCTGGTGGACAGCGCCTTCGGCCGTGGCTCCGGTACCGGGTCCGCGTCCATCCTCCCTCCTTCGTCTGATTCGCGGTGCGTGGGCTATGTCTCCCTTTCGCCCCTGTCCCTCATTGCGAGGTCGGGCGAGCTGCCCCCCGTCGCGGCGGATGTGGGGGGCCAGAAGGTCTACAAGACGCTAGCTGAGGCGCGGCGTGCTGCGTCCGGCCCCGTCGTGCTCTTCCCAGAGGGCACGACGAGCAATGGCCGCGCCCTGCTGCGTTTCGGGGAGGGTGTCATCAACGAGGAAGTTGGGAAGGACGGCATGGTGTGGTGCAAGTATATCCGGTGAGTCCGAGTTCGGGCCAGTTATACAAGCGGGCGTGTAAGCTGACATGCAGCCATCCCGCCCCGACCGCCCTCACGCCGAGCGCGGCAGTGAGTGTGCCCGGCCCTTCGTCCCTCTTCCGCCTCATCGCAGGGCTCCCCCTCCCCCGCGAAATGGCCGTGCGGACCCTGCACCCCAGCGCCGCGCCGAGCAGCCCCTCCTTCCTCCCCAGCGAGGTGCTCAACGGCCTCCAGGGCGTGAAGGAGGATGCGGCGTGGCGCGACGCGTGTGCCGTCGCGCTCGCCGAGACGGGCAAAGTGCGCCGTGTACCGGGCATGGGATGGGCGGAGAAGGCGAGCTTCCTGGCTTACTATAATGCGAGGAGGAGGCGGTAGCATATTAGACGGTAGAAGATATGCAGGACGTTCGCTCCGATATCTTATCACAGTCTTGGGACGCTGTGAGGTGCAAGCTTGGGATTTGGAGCTCAATCACAAGTCACTCGCCGGCTCTCGCGCACTCGCACACTCGCTCCGCTCGTGCTCGCTCGTGCTCGATTTATACGGACTATGCATTCATAAGGTATACTAGGTGAGACAGGATGGCGTTGCCTTGAGACTTATTCGATTTGGATGGGATTGTACAGATTTAAAGAGAAGAGTCCATAAACGTATGCTTTTAATGGCAGAGCCCGGCGAGTTCGCGCTCGAGCGCCGACGACGGGTGTTCCTCCACAAGGGCGGCGGTGGCCTTCTGCTCAGCCTCTGAGAACGCGGGTCCGACGCCCTGCCCGGCGCCCGTGTCCTTTGTCGCGGCGGGGGCGGGGGGCAGGTCGTGGTGCCCATTTGTGTTGTTGTCGGGGGCCATCTGGGGCATGGCGTGCTGGCGGACGAGGGCGCGGAAGGAGCCCACCTCGCCGACGATGAGGTTGCGCATGCCCTCCTCGCTGTTCTCCTTCTCGAAGCTGAAGTCGAACGGCACCTCGCACGAGGGCTCGTCGAGCGGGTCGTGCCAGACTTGCAGGTAGGGGTGCTCGAGGGCCGCCTGGCACCCGATGCGCTTGGCTGGATCAAAGCATAAGAGCTTCTCGAGCAGGTCGAGCGCCTGAGGCTGCGCGTTCGGGTACAGCGTCTTGAACTTGACGCGGGGCTTGATCGGCAGGCTGCGAATGTAGTCTTGCGCCCGAGGCGAGCCTACCCGGCGCAGCGTGTCTTCTGTCGGCGTGCCCAGCAGGTTCAGGATGCGGTTCAGCTGGTCGACATAGTCCTCTCCCTTAAAGATGGGCTTTCCGCCCAGGAGCTCGGCCAAGATGCACCCGACAGACCACATGTCAATCGACGACGTGTAGTTTGCAAACGAGAGCATAATCTCCGGCGCACGGTACCAGCGCGTTGCGACGTACTCGGTCATGAAGCCCGCCGTGCCCTGCTCAGTCTGTACCTGCCCTGGCTGGAAGCCGCGCGCCAGGCCAAAGTCGCAAATCTTGAGCTCACAGTCGGCGTTGACGAGCAGGTTTCCCGGCTTCAGGTCGCGGTGCAGCACGTTCGCAGAGTGAATGTACTTGAGACCGCACAGCGTCTGGTACAGGAACGACTGGAAGTGCGCGTCCGACAGAGGCTGGCCCGAGCGGATGATCGCGTGCAGGTCCGCCTCCATCAGCTCCTCGTACAGGTACACCTCGTTGAACTTGCCCGCCTGGTCAAAGACAATGTCCATGTCATACAGGCAGGTGATGTTCTTGTGTCCGCGGAAGTGGTGCAGGAGGCGGAGCTCGCGAAGACAGCGTTTCGTGAGGATCTGTTGTCAGCTCACCCTTCAAAATCGGAGCTCGCACCTTCTTGGTGAACACGTTGGTGACCTTCTTTACGGCGCAGGTCTCACCGGTCTGAGCGTGACGAGCCGAAGAGACGCATCTGGATACTGTGTCAGCCTCCGTGTACTGATTATTGTCTTGCGCAGCACTGGGACAATGGAACCCAGTCATGTGGGACTCACCCGTACGCTCCCTGTCCGAGCTCCTTGACGAGCTGCCAGGGCTGCTGGAGGACGTAGACGTTGTTGGGCGTCTGGAAAACCTGTCTCGGTGTGTGGTCCATTGTCATATCTTCTCAACTGGGGAGAGGGGCCGCGAAGGGGGCTGCGTGTGTGATGTCCGGTCGCAGAACGGTAGGGATCGACAAGTAGTGACTGGGGTTGAGGGTTGTAGGAGGAAGGCGCCCAAGCTAGCTAGCGCGACTGTGCAGAGGGATGTGCTGCGGTGAGGGCGATCAAGGGTGAGTGTGAGAGGGAGCCGAAGTGGTGATAAGAGAATGGATGGGGGGAGGGAATGTGAGGCGGTGATGGAGATATATACGGATGGAAAATAGAGGGCGCGGAGGACAATGGGGTGGTGGACGGGGTAATGTCGAGGATGGCAGGTGATGTGGATGCTGGGTGAGTGAGAGGGCGTGTGTGGGAGAGTGAGTGAGTGAGGGGTGGCTTGGGGATGACACACTCGGGGTCGAGTTAAGCCATGTGCCCTAGAGCGATGTACGGGGCGTTCCACTCCTGAAGCACGTAACAAGCCAGCCTAAGCTGCTCCTCATGCAGACGGCGGCGGCGGGGAAGCCGCTGGGCACGGCACGGCACGCGGCAGGGCGCGAGGACTGGCAAAAGAGCGCGCGCCAGGCCAGCGCCGCGCGATAAACGCAGCCAGGAGCACCGCAGGGAAACCTTCCCTGACACTCACTCCAGGCACAGCTTCACGCCCTGCACATCCTGCCGGATACCCCCCAGCTTCGACCATCCTCGCTCCTCACTCATGCAATCAGCGAATCGTCTGCTCTCTCAAAGCACTTGCATCTACGCATCATCCTCAGCAGAGACCCTGGCATCGTCCGCTTCCGAGTTCTGCGCCTGACACCCTATACAAGCATCCGACTAGGCTTCCGGCTGTGCAACTGAACACTGGCCGACAGGTCAGTAACCGTGCCTCCAGACGTTTGCTTCCTTCGCGTTTATGAATGAATGAAACGGACCTCTGCCGGCGCGATGGAGATTTGGAAACTGGGTCGAGGCTTCTGCCAAGTCGTGTTCGCTGATTCGCCTTCCGCAAGCTCCCTTCACCGTTCTTTCGGTCCACGGTGAGCGGTCATCGGGTCCATGACCGCTTGACCGCGTGCAACTCAGCTCTTCACGTGACAATGTTCCGAGTCGCCGACCGGCCACTTGCGATAGCTTTAGTCTTGTCTTGCACAACCAATTGTCAGAGGCCGGTTTATCCGCTCAAGACGGAATTACGTATTGGGGTTGCCCGTCGACGGCCATGTTGAGCTTAGACGGACGAAAGAGTCAAAGCAAGGCACTCGGTTGGTTGACCAGCATCCTTCCTCGAGTTTCAGAGTTGCGAGGCTCTCGTTATTCATTATGAGACGCTGCGGTGACTGACCAGTGCCCAAGGATGCTGCTAGGGAGTCGCCGATCTGAAGCATGCATATCTGTCTGCATATCAGAGGATGCGTGGGGCCGGTAAATGGCTGTTAGAGTTTGGCAGCGTTGATCAGTGGAAGCGGTGCGCAACCTGTGTATCGGCACCGCCTTCACGACCACCGCCACAGTTTCACGGAGCGAGGAGCACGGTCTTCATATCCACTCTGAACACTGGTTCAAGTGCGTCCCGCGAGCTGATAAGTACGTTATCTATGGCATCAGCGAGGTGGACCCACTCTGCTCCAACCCGAAGGCATGGAAGAGGTTAGCGATAACGAGTTGAGCACCGGTTTGATGAACGCCCGTGTCGTGCTCGTGCACCATCGTTTCACCAGCGCCAGTAACTGCTGGAAGCATCCGTGGGAAACCCTTTCGCACTTCGCAAGTGTGTCTACCACGTGTTGTTGACCTCCACCAAGTGGCGAGGCTTTGGTTCCGCTCAGTCAGCAAAGATTCAGAAGTCTTGCACCTCTGGTGCATGACGACGAAGTCGAGAATTTCGAAGACACATTCGCGTCGCTCTCGACTCCATCCTCTAATCGACAACGAACGATGGTCCCCCCTCCCGCCGGGCCGTCGCGTCCGAAACGCACCGCCGCTGCCGCCCCCGCCTCTGCTTCTCGACCGCCCGCGAAGGCTGGGCGGCCAGCTACCGCTCCGAGAACGACTTCGGCTTCAGCCGCTGCCGCCGCCGCGGCTGCTCGCAAGGGCAAGGGACCGGTCCGTCCCTCCGCCGCGAGCGCTGCCGCTGCTCAGGCCGCATCCAACTTGCAGGAAGGAGAAGAGGAGTGGGCTGCCCTCATGAAGAAGAACCACAATGAGCCCAAGGGAGCTGACTGGTATGCGAAGGGAGTGAAGAGTGTCCAGGTGAGTTGCACCCGTCCGTTGACCAACTAACGTCCAGGACAAGTGGGAGCTTCTGCCAGCGTTCTTAAAGGTGAAGGGTCTTGTCAAGCAGCATCTCGACTCGTTCAACTACTTTGTGCACACCGACATCAAGGCTATTCTGCATGCGAACGCGCTTGTGGTTTCGGATGCCAACCCGCGGTACTACATCCGCTACACCGATATTCGAATCGGCCGGCCTCTGCGCAAGGAGGTCGGATCGTCCAACACACGCTTGACGCCCATGGAGTGCCGTCTGACGGATAACACCTACTCGGGCGGAATCTACGTCGACATCGAGTACACGCACGAGGACAAGATCAGGAAGCAGCAGGGCATCCACATCGGTTCGCTGCCTATCATGCTTCGATCCGACCTCTGTCATCTGGCGGGCAAGAACGACCTCGAGCTTGCGCGCATGGGAGAATGCCCTCTCGACCCCGGAGGCTACTTTGTCGTGAAGGGCACGGAGAAGGTCATTCTCGTCCAGGAGCAGCTCAGCAAGAACCGTATTATTGTCATGACGGACCCTAAAAAGGACGTGACTACGGCCGAGGTTACGTCGTCGACCCACGACCGTGTCGTCAAGACATATGTCACCACCAAGGCGTCGCGTCTCTACCTGCGCCACTCTTCGTTCAAGGAGCCGATCCCCATCGTCATTGCACTCAAGGCCATGGGCGTCACCTCGGACAAGGAGATTCTGCAGCTCGTGTGCGGTCCGGATGAGAAGTACCAGGAGGCGTTTGGTATGTCGCTCGAGGAGGCGGCGCGCCTTCGTGTCTACACTCGCCGGGAGGCTCTCGAGTGGATTGGCGCTCGTGTCTCGCCGACGCAGGAGAAGGAGGACCGCTCCCTAGGCCACAAGCTCACCCCGACCGACATGGCCATGCAGGCTCTCGCCGCCATGGTCCTCGGACACGTTCCCGTGCGCGACATGAACTTCCGCCCCAAGGCCATCTACCTAGCGACGATGTCTCGCCGTGTCCTCGCCGCGATGCTGGACGAGAACATGGTTGACGACCGTGATTACGTCGGTAACAAGCGTCTCGAGTTGGCGGGCCAGCTGCTGTCGCTCCTGTTCGAGGACTCGTTCAAGACGTTCAACAGCGACCTGAAGAAGCGCATGGACAAGATTCTCGAGAAGAAGACGCGCGCCGGTCCCTTTGACGCGAGCACGCTTGTCCGCACTGGCGGCGGCGATATCATCACGTCGGCCTTTGTGCGCTCGATCTCGACGGGTAACTGGTCGCTGAAGCGTTTCCACGTCGAGCGAGCAGGCGTCACGCACGTCCTGTCGCGTCTGTCCTTCATCGCTGCGCTCGGCATGATGACGCGTATCACGTCGCAGTTCGAGAAGACGCGCAAGGTCTCGGGCCCCCGTGCCCTGCAGCCGTCGCAGTGGGGTATGCTCTGCCCGTCCGACACACCGGAAGGAGAAGCATGCGGTCTTGTGAAGAACCTTGCGCTCATGACGCATATCACGACCGACGTACCCGAGGACCCGCTCATCAAGCTCGCCTTCATGCTTGGTGCCGAGGACATTTCGCTCGCGACAGGTAACGAGCTGTACCGCGACGGTGTCCACCTCGTCCAGGTGAACGGTAACCTGATCGGTGTCACGGCGCTGCCGCGCAAGTTTGTGCGCACGTTCCGCAAGCTGCGTCGCTCGGGACGCACGTCCGAGTTTGTGTCGATCTACATCAACCACCACCAGCGCGTCATCTACATTGCGTCCGACGGAGGGCGTATCTGTCGTCCGCTCATTATCGTCGAGAACGGACGGCCGCGCGTGACGTCCGAGCACATGCAGCTCCTGAAGGCGGGCAAGGTGACGTTTGACCACTTCCTGCGCTCTGGACTGGTCGAGTACCTCGATGTCAACGAGGAGAACGACTCGTTCATTGCCTGCTACGAGTCGGAGATCACCGAGGACACGACGCACCTCGAAATCGAACCGTTCACGATCCTCGGTGCCGTCGCGGGCCTGATCCCGTACCCGCACCACAACCAGTCGCCGCGTAACACCTACCAGTGTGCAATGGGCAAGCAGGCGATCGGCGCGATCGCGTACAACCAGCTGAACCGCATCGACACCCTGCTCTACCTCATGACGTACCCGCAGCAGCCGATGGTGAAGACGAAGACGATCGAGCTGGTGGGTTACGACCGCCTTCCGGCGGGCCAGAACGCGACTGTCGCCGTCATGTCCTACTCGGGCTACGACATTGAGGACGCGCTGATTGTGAACCGCGCGAGCGCGGACCGCGGCTTCGGCCGCTGCCACGTGCTGAAGAAGCAGACGATCCCAATCCGGTCGTTCCCGAACGGCACGTCTGAGCGGCTCGCGATGCTGCCGCCCGACCAGCGGCCCGAGACCCACTCGTGGCTGGACCAGGACGGGCTGGTGGCGCCCGGCTCGGTCGTGTCGCAGGGCGACGTGCTGGCCGCGCGAGAGACGCCGATGGACACGCGCGGTCCCGGCCCCACCGTCGGATTCAAGGCCACGCCTGTCGCGCACAAGCTGCCCGAGCCGACCAACATTGACAAGGTCATGGTGACGGACACAGAGGACGGGAACCAGCTCATCAAGATTCTCACGCGCCAGACGCGCCGCCCAGAGCTCGGCGACAAGTTCTCGTCGCGCCACGGACAGAAGGGCGTGTGTGGCCTCATTGTGCCCCAGCAGGACATGCCGTTCAACGACCAGGGTATCTGCCCCGACATTATCATGAACCCGCACGGTTTCCCGTCGCGTATGACGGTGGGCAAGATGATCGAGCTGCTCTCGGGCAAGGCGGGGCTCATGGCCGGCAAGCTGCAGTACGGCACCGCGTTTGGCGGAAGCAAGGTCGTGGACATGAGCCAGATTCTCATCGATGCCGGCTTCTCGTATGCGGGCAAGGACACGCTCACGTCGGGCATCACGGGCGAGTCGCTCGAGACCTATGTCTACTTTGGCCCCATCTACTACCAGAAACTGAAACATATGGTCATGGACAAGATGCACGCACGTCCCACCGGTCCCCGCGCCAACCTCACCCGCCAGCCCACCGAGGGTCGATCCAAGGACGGAGGCCTGCGTCTGGGCGAGATGGAACGCGACTGTCTTATCGGATACGGCGCGACGCAACTCCTGCTCGAGCGTCTGATGATCTCGTCGGACGCGTTCGACGCTCAGGTGTGCGAGACCTGTGGCATGCTCGCGTACTCGGGCTGGTGCAAGGGGTGCCAGTCCTCCAAGGCTGTTGTCAAGATTACCATGCCGTATGCCGCCAAGCTCCTCATCCAGGAGCTTATCGGCATGAACATCCTGCCTAAGCTCGTCATGGAGGACACGGTGTAGGCGAGTGTCCGGGGAAGACGGGAGATCGCCATCCGTTAGCATCCGCTAGGGGTTCCAGTAAGGAAGGATCAAATGGCGTCTTCTATAGAGGCAGGAGACTCAGCAGCGAGGCAGGGAGCAGGACCAGTAGGCGAAACCATAGTGTACATTTTCTTCATCAATTGCATGCATTCCAATAACTCTTGTCTTGACATGGCATGCTGGTTCAGTTGATACAATGATACACGGTGATCTAATAGAGGAAAGTAGAGACAGGGGAGGAGATCTGGCAAGTCGCACGACATTCGGCATGGCGTCTCAGCGCACGCCGGGAGAAGGTGCGATGGGTGATTACAGGTCTGGATGTTAGCTAAAAGCTCAACTGGCTGGCAGCTCACAGTAATCGGGCTTCTTGACGTTGACGCCATGCTCCGAGAGCGCGAGCGAGAGGTCGTCCATGGTGAGCACGACGCGGTTGCGGTCCACGGCCGTCGCGGGGCGGCCACGTCCGGCAGTCGTACCGTTCACGCGCAGCTTGGCAAAGTGGAACGCGTCGCGCGAGAGATCGCTGATGAACTTTTGCGCCGAGAGGGAGAGCAGGCGCTTCCTGGTATTTGTCAGTATTCCGTCCTTCCTCCCAACTCCATCTATGTGTACCTCGTCCTACATGCCTCGGTTGTTGGTGCATGAACGAGGCGAGCGAAGACGGCACACACTTACAGCCTGGGGTCCTGGCAGTCGAATCCGGCACGCTGGAGGTAGTACTCGGTGACCTCTTCGGGGATGAGGGGCTTGTATCCGTCGAGCATGACGAGGAACTCGGCGAGGGAACGATCGCGCCTTGCCGCTTCCTCCTCACGCCTTTGCGCAAAGAGAGCAGACATGTCCTCATCTTCCTTCTCGTCCTTGTCCTTCTTCTCCTCCTTGGCTTCCTTCATCTCGACATCACCTCCAGCAGCTGCAGCGTTGGGCTGGCTGGGACCGGCTGCGGCATTCGCAGGGGCTGCCGGAGTCGGAGTTCCGGCGTTGGCTGGCGCGGCGGCAGCAGGCGTAGGCGTGGCCGCGGCGGGGGCCGGTGCAGCTGCTGGAGCTGGAGCTGGAGTTGGGGTCGAAGATGCAGGTGCGGAGGGAGCGGCGGCGGCAGGCTGAGGAGCAGCAACCGCAGGAGCAGCAACCGCAGGTGCCGGCGCAGCGGCGGGGGCGGCAGCAGGCGCGGGCGACGGCGTCGGGACCGGGTCAACAGGCTCGGTCTTGACCTGCGGCTCCTGCGATCCGTTAGGTGGCGCGGACATGGTGGATGATGCGACAACAACGTTGTCCTTCGGTGTACTCAATGGACTCCTGACCGACTTCTTGAGAGCTTGGGCAGCAACGCGGGGCTTGTTTTCTCAGCCACGTGTCGTCGCGGGATTGATAAGCCATCTGCTCCGGAGGACTCCCAACCAGTTCTCCGGGACATCCCGGTCGTCTTCGCTAGTATATCGGTTAGTATAATCGCCTCTCATTACGTAAGAGAGATTGCCCTCGGGTGTTCGCGATAGAGCAGGGTTCGACTCCCTGGCGGAGAATTACTTTTGCTTTTGTTTACGCAGATTTCGGTTACCCACTCTTGTTGGAGCTCAGCTCCGCTCAGGACGTCACGATCGGAACCCAGCCCCGTTCCTGAGACTACCCACCGGGGAAAGATAAGGGCTCCACCGGCTATACGTGGGAAGCTAGAAAGGGGCGTAGGGCTATCTTGGGTTCAACAGAGCGTCGGTTGCGTCACACGAACACAACTGAACATCCGCACCTCGCCATCTCCACTTCTCCACTTTGCATCTTTCTCTTTGGGTATACCTGCAACACTGCTTCGGTTTCTTTTGGGTCTCTTGGTATCATCCCGGCAGTGAGTGTGTCCGCAGAGCTTACATATGATTGGCATCCAGCTGACATTCAGTGGAGCTCTCCCCAGCGGCGCAGCACCTTCTCTATGTGCTACTCGACAGTAACCTGCCAACGGGCGGTTTCGTTGCGTCCTCCGGTCTCGAGTCGTACGCAAAGCACGGCTTTCTTGCAAGCAACGTCAAGGCGGACGAGTACGACGAGGCGGAGATCGACGACATTCTCGCGCACATCGCGCAGCTTTCCGGCACGGACTCGGGGAAAGACACCTTTGCCGCGCGCCGACGACATGGGCCAACAAGCGCAGCCGCGAGCAACGTGACGACGCCGACGGTGCGATTCGTCAAATACGAGCTGGACAACTTCCACAACTCGACAGGTTACTATCTCCGGCACGCGTACGCTGTCGTATCGGCTTACCTCGCCGAGTTCCGGGAGGGCGAGGACGCAGCAACGACGGAGAAGAGGGAGGCGGCCACCGTCGAGGCACTGGTCGCGCTCGATGCGGAGCAGGAGTCGACGCTATTGAGTCAGGTCCAGCGGCGCGCGAGCAAGACGCAGGGTGTGGCCCTGCTGACCCTCTACGGACGCGGCCTCGCTCCCCCACCGTCATTCTTCAACTCTCCGCCATCCGCCTCCCTCACCCACGTTTCCGAAGCGAAGGAGGAAGCAAAGAAGTCCCTCATCAGCAGCTTCAAACTCCGCGTCCGCCGGGGCAAGTCCCACGGACACCTGTCTCTCTGTTTCGGCGTGCTGTGTGCGCTTCTCGAGATCTCCCCCGCGACTGCGCATCACGTTTATCTCTTCACGCATCTCCGAAGCATCCTCTCGGCCGGCGTGCGACTGAATCTGATCGGGCCATACCTATCCACTCAAGTTCTGAGCTGGGATGGCCGACGCATCATCGACGACACGCACGACGTGCGGCGGCCATGGGATTGTGCCGCCCCAGTCGACCCCGTCGATGCGGCTTTCTCAGCAGTCCAGAACCCCATCTCCTCAGAGAAACAGGCAAACGGCGTGCCGAACGGAGAAGACAAATTGGACGACGCTAAGCCAGCGCAAGCGGAGCTCGATGGGGACAAGAAGCCGACCCAGGCGGAGCTTGCGGCTGCGGAGGAGAAGGAAGTGCAGATGAAGGAGGAGGCGAAGAAGCAGCCCGAGGATATCTGGGCATGGGCCAAGACATGCGAGGCTGGGCCGTGCACGACGTGGCCCCTCATCGAGATCCTGACGAGCCGACACGACCTGCAGCACTCGCGCATCTTCAATAGCTAAATGTGATACATGGACATAGGACTATATGTGTACTACGCGAGATGATGGGGAGTGGTATCTATAATGAGGGTTAATGAGACTGGAAGGACTAAGGCTAGCCACAGACGGTGACTTGATGTTTCAAGATGGTTGTTGATGAGGCCGGGTCGACCGGGTGACCAGGCGAGACAAAGGCGTCCGAGGACAACTTCGGATGGCATTGGCGATGCGCGCTAGGAGCGTTACATGGGGAAGCGCTTGAGCTCGTCGAGCGTGAATCCGGCCTTCTGAACGCTGTGCGCTCCGAGGTCCTCAACCTCCTGATCGAGGTGGTTGAAGAGCACGTCGTGGAACGAGTCCATGATCTTCCTGAGCTTCTCTCCATCGTAACCGTCCGGATCAGCCTTGGCCTGGTTGATGTAGGCCTGATATCGCTCGAGGCCGTCGTGGATGCCCTTGTGCGCCTTGATGTGCTCGCCCTTGTCGCGCCCGCCGTCCTTAAACTGGGGCATCTTCTTGGCGAGCAACGGGAAGATGTACGCCTCCTCAATCCGGTGGTGCATGTCGAGGTGGTGGGCGAGCTGCTCTGCCTCGCGCAGGAAGCGCTGCAGGTTCTGTCCACGCTTCTTGGCGTATCCGCCCAGCGCATTGTCGTACACGTTCTTGTACTCCCAGCGGAAGTGATTGTGGAACCGGTCCATTCCGTCCGCTAGCCGGTTCCACTCCTTGAAGTTGCCCTTGAACTGAAACGGCTCCTCGGCGGGCTTCTCAGCAGACGTCGAGGTGGTTGTCGGGGCGGTCGAGGTGGTAGCAGCAGAGGAGGAGGTAGCGACCGAAGGCGTGGTCACCTCCTTGGCAGGAGCTGATGAGGCGACAGCAACGGGCTCAGTCGCGCCAGCAGGCGGAGCAGAGGGAGAGACGGTGGCAGAAGCAGAGGCCATTTTCTCGAGATGGTCAGAAGCGAAGCTGGCGAATCGGGGCGAGGCTTTCAGTCCGACGACGATGGACAGGAGAGCGATGAGGAGCGCCGCAACGACGAAGCTGGAGTAGGGGGACAGGCTGGCGTAGAACCGCGCGTACAGGGAGCGATGGCGCTCAGGACGAGTTCGAGGTCGGGAGGAAGCGGACGAGGCCGATAGTTGATCTGTGCGTTTCTCGGACAGGGAATGCGGTTCGCTCGTGACAGTGTCAACCACGACAAGTTCGACGAGTTCGACTTCTTTTGTACTCGAGTCTGGAGGGTGGAGCGGATCGGATGTCGACATGGCGATGGTACGAGAGGAATGCAAGCAGGCTTTATGGATCGCCCCTCCCCGTCGACTCATATTCAGAAATCAGGCTCGGGCATCGGTTGCAGGTGCGGGTGCGGTAATGTGCGGGTTGGAGCCCGCTCCCCCGCGCCTGGGCCAATCGGTGGCCAGGGATTTGCGGCTTTGTAATCAGCGAGAAGACCTTGAACGCTTTCATAAGTGCAATTACAACCTTTCATTTACGAGATCGAGGAGGGTTTGCTCCCACTGTTTCCTGGCTAACCGAGCTCTTCTGCATTGGAGTACGTTGCATACAGATAGCCGCGGCAGCGTCTGCGAATAGAAGAGCACCGGTGCTGGCGGACAGACGGAAGGCATGATCAGACCGTCGGCGGCTGGTGAGCTGGACATCGATCTACGAAGATGCACTAGAAGTAACTCGTCTTGTGCTGAAGCTGTGGTACTGTAATACTTGTTCCTTTATCTGCGTACTTCCTATCTGCCAATAATCAGCGCTCGACCTGGCCCCTTTGCGCCCGGTCGCCTGCGGGGCGCCGGTCAGTGCCGATTGTGGCTTGAGTCAGCCCTGCAACGAGGCTGACAAAAGTTGGCAGCGTGCAGCGAGTGGTACCTTCTGAAGACCAAATGCATGAGAGTGTATGAGCACGACAACCGGACTTGGGACTATAATTTTACAACGGGAAGCCAGTGTATGCGAGTGCGAGGTCGGTCTCGGCGTGGGGGTTGGAGACCATGCGCTTGAGGCGGGCGACCTGGAGGCGGTCCTCGAACGCCGAGGCGTTGGGGTCGGTGTGGAGGAGGTTGGTCATGTCGTAGGAGAAGCGCTCGGCCTGCCAGACACGTCCGATGCAGCGGTCAGAGTAGTTGTTGAGGAGCTCGTCGGAACCCGTGTCGACCTTGTGCTTGAGCGCCTTGGCGAGGGTGACGACGTCGCCGAAAGCGAGGTTCAGGCCCTTGGCGCCCGTTGGCGGGACAATGTGAGCAGCGTCGCCGGCAAGGTAGACACGGCCGTACTGCATCGGCTCGTGGACGTAGGAGCGCATTGGGAGGACGCTCTTCTGGAAGATCGGGCCGCGCTGAACCTTCCATCCGTCGTTCGTCTCGGTACGCTTCTCAATCTCGTCCCAGATACGCTCGTCAGACCACTCCTTGATGTCCTCGCCGGCGGGGACCTGGATGTAGTATCGCGAAACGGTGGGCGAGCGCATGGAGAGGAGGGAGAAACCGCGGGGGTGGCGAGCGTAGATGAGCTCGTCGTTCGAGGGCGGGACGTCGGCGAGAATACCGAGCCAGGCGAAGGGGTAGGTCTTCTCATAGACAGTTGCAATGCTCTCCGGGATGGCCTTGCGGGCGACGCCCCAGAAGCCGTCACAGCCGACGACGTAGTCGCAAGACAGGATCTCCTCCTCGCCGTCCTTGTGGCGGAAGCGGATCTTGGGGTTGTCCGTCTTGGGGTCCTCGACGGCAAGCGCCTCGCACTCAAAGTGCAGCGGTCCGCCCTCCTTGAGCTGCAGCGCAATCAGGTCCTTGCACACCTCGGTCTGCGCGTAGATCATGACCTGGCGTCCACCCGTGAGCGAGGGGAAGTGGATCGGGTAGCGCTGCTTGTCGAAGAGAAGCTCGATGCCGTCGTGCGGGATACCCTCCTTGTCCATGCGCTCGCCGGCGCCGCACTCGCGCAGCGCATCGACCGATCCCTGCTCGAGAATGCCCGCGCGTTGTCGCTGCTCGACGTACTCGCGATCCTTGGACTCGATAACAACGCTGTCAATGCCGGCCTTGAAGAGGAGGCGCGCGAGGAGGAGGCCAGCCGGGCCAGCGCCGATGATGCCAACTGTCGTTCTTGTCTCCTTGACCATGGTGATGAGGTGCCAGTGTGTGGGAGTTGCTGAAGAACAACTTTGGGTTCGTGGTCCGTCTGCTTTTGTGTGCGTCGCCGGATCTTGCGACCAGGTGACCTGCCTGAACTTGCCCCGCAGACGGGGTGCTTGGCCCCGAGGACGCCGTGATCGGCCCCACTAAAACCGTGGCCATTTCGGCAAAGGCACGTCCGGGCGACCGAAGATTACAACTGTTTGTAATCCCTGCTAATCATCACGTGCAGGCGATTACAGGACTTGGCCGTGCATTAGGGTTGTGCGTCCGTCATACCCCGCGGTGCAGTCCGCGAGTCTTTGTGGAGGCGTGGAGACGGTCCCGCCGCGAAGCCTTGGCCCGTCCGAACGAGCGACCGATCCCGGAACGCGATCTCCATGCACGCGACCGTAGTGTCTGTAATATGTCAAGGTGTAAGGTGTTAAGGTGTAAGGTAAAAGCGTCGCCAGATGACCTTGTGTGTCGAGATCGCGCTTAACAGACCAGGAAACCCTTCCATCAGCTACACCAGCTCACCAGAATGCCCTGACCTGGACGGCAGGGCCGCGCGGGACGGCGTACCATCTACGCTCAATGGAAGTCATATGGTACGAGCAGCCCTTGCAATACATCTACGCGAGCCCTGCTGCCTCCCACCCTACCAGCACGCCAGACGGATGCAGATCGGCAACAAAGACATCAGCGCTGCGCGCTGAGCCCACTCCTCGTGATCGACGATCCTGTGATGAACACTTTGCCAGATCCACAACGCGCCTGACTTCTACTCATCAACGCTTCTCCTTTCGTTCACTCCCTCCCCGTCACGCCGTGCACCTCACTGCATAGCACACAGGTCGCAGCATGCGCAGCGACATCCGCTGGATCGCCGGGATTCCCATTCCCCATCATCGGAATGCCCGGCTCGGTAACGATCAACAGCACGGAATGCCCGGAAGGCCCAGCCAAACGCCCACCCGTAGTGCAGGGCGATCACACAGCACAGCATCTGCACTCGGTTCCGACTTGTTGCTTGCGCGTCGTTCCCACCAAAGTGCGCATTGCGATACGCTATGCACCAACACTTGGAACACTGATAAACACAGTCGATGGCATGTATGCCCACTAACACTTGCTGCTGACTATCGACTTCGCTCACGCGAACACGAGCTCCGCCTTGGCATTGCAGCTTAGCGCTCAACAGAATCAATCACACCGCAGCACCACTCAGCACTCACTGTATCACCTAGCGACAGAACGTTAACAACATGCTCGCAATCACTCTCCGCCCCTCGCTTCTCCTAACCGTCCTCGCGCTCTGCTTTCGCCCGGCTTCAGCGTCCCCCATCCCCGACCGCAACGCCAACTTTCTCTTCGCGCGGTCAGCGGCGCAGGACGCGCATGGCTTAACAGGTGGCCAGATCGTCATCATCGCCAGCGTCGCGATTCTCGGCATCGTCTGCCTCGTCGTTGCCGGAATCGTCGGGTGCTACCTCTGCGCCAAGATCGAGTACCAGGATCGCCAGAGGAGGAGGGAGATGCAGCAGGAGGAGCAAGGACTCATCGTGAGTGACTCGGGGGACGTTCACACTTCAAATCCGACGCTGACCCCCAGCTCGATGATCAGGATCCCGTGGACAGCCTCCCGAGCCCGTTCACGGACACGCCCCAGCAGGGCTCGGCGTCGACGTACTCTGGTCTGTCTGGGAGCACAGCCTACGTCTCGCTCCCTGGAGAGGAGCGCCCGCCCCGCTATGACTCGCGAGACACTCCGCTGGAAGTGCTGAGGACCAAGAACTTCCTCTTCAACCACAACAAGTAGCGAGTCGCGAGTTGCGACCCGCTGGCATTGCAGCATTCAGAAGTCGGAACGACAGTCGAGAACAAACATAGAGAAGCTAAATAAGTCGTGGGTGGCCGAGGACTGGAGGCCGGTCCGTAGTCAGAAGTCATAGAACAGTGAGCAAGGATTGCTCTAGCAAGTCAATGTTTATGGATCACTATAGATGCGGACCATGAGCGAAGTGCCGGAGTCAGCGCGGTTATTCTGAGCATTCAGCCCGCCTCGTTCCTCAGCAACACCCGTGGCCGAAGGAAGCCGAAGCTGCCGAGCGCAGGAGCACACGAGCACATGATGCGGAGCCCTGCAGACACCCGTGGAGGCTGACGACATGCCCCACATGACAGTGAGGCTTGGGCAGCTGGTGGCACCCAAGCCACCGTCTGACAGCCCTCTGGCGGGTGTTCTCTTCCCAAGATGGCCTTGGTATGACGCGTGCAGAGCCGGACAGCCGCCAAAGGACACCTGACATCCTATGCTCCCCACAACTGCCTGCAAAGATACACTATGATACGCCGGGTGATCACATGCTGCGGCCGACAAACGGCGACTACGCCTAAGCACAGTGATTCCGGCAATCTGTAAGGTACAAATCACCGAAAATGTGCCGAAAATGCTCCTATTTCATCCCCCCCATCACTCGCTGCGAGCCTTGATGCAGATGCTGCAGAAGTTCCACTGTCTCAATCGGCGACTTGAAACGCATACACTTCTGCCCACTAGAAGCATCAGAGCCGATGTGTGTGTTCTGCATACTGCTTCGCAAGCGTAGGAAGCTTGAGATCGACCATGTGACAGCAGTTACAGCGAAGGCGTCCGAGATGGGGAACGAGTGGGCCCATGTGATTGGCCGGGTACTACCACCAGAACTTGATCTTCTGTTCGCTTCAAACCTGGTTCCAGATCTGCGGAAGATCGAGGACATGCGGCGCATCGTGAAACCCAATCTCTCGTCTCATCGCTGGACCTATAATCGCCTGTGATGAGAGCACGAGAAAGGAGAACGCCGGCCGACCTCTGCCCATGTGCCTCTAGGATAAGCGCCGGCTAAAGGGCGGATATCAGGCCCTGACCATCTGGCGGTAATTACCCCGGAACCTCTTCCTCAGGCTCAAGCCCCAGCATGTGCAGCATGCGGCCAAGCACGGGGACACCGGCACACCCGGCCCGCTAAGCCCCAGCAAGCCAGAAGGGCCAGCAGGGCACCAAGGACTCGGGCGGGTATCACATCTCTGCACCTTTGTTCCTGTTCCAAAGCAACAACCGGTACACACGGCGTCACTCGGAGCATCGCGATGAGCCCTTCCTGACGCCCCGCGGGGGGCTCGGGGGAACCTGGGGAGCATGAGGGACCTGGGGAACTCGTCTCATATATTAAAAGTCGCAAGATCAGCTGTGGGGACCCATCACAACAACGCCACTCACCATGGTGTCGAAATCAGTCTTGTTCTGCTTCTTCGCAGCGTGTAAGTACTATCGGCACTGCGATACCACCTGGGCTTAGCTGACATACAGTCGGAGGATGGGTGTTCGGATACGACGTGAGCCTGCCGCGACCTCAACCGCGTTTCACCATACTGACTGCGATAGATCGGATACATCTCGGGATGCCTGATCATGCCCGACTTTGTCAAGCAGTTCGGCCAGTGGAACGGCACAGAGTACGTGCTCTCGTCCCAGCGGCAGAGTATCATTACATCGCTACTTAGTGCCGGCACGTTCTTCGGTGCACTCCTCCAGAGTGAGTATCCCTTGCCTGCACGGCCGCGACGTTTCAGGCCAAGACGTTCCACGAAGGAATGATGGAAAGCTAATGCCCACCAGCTCTTACTAGCGACAGTCTCGGGCGCAAGTACTCTATCATGTTTTGGTCTGTGATGGTGAGTTTCAGTTCAGCGGAATGAGACGCGGACTGCGCAAGCTCTTGGTGATCTGCAACTCGCATCGCATCGGAAATGCCTCGCACACAAGCTTGCGTAGGCTAAGATCGGCGTGTGTAGTGCAGGTGTCAATCTCATGGCGCGGGGTGTTGACCTCCACTGGGTGGGGGACCTCCACCTCACTCGTCCGCCCTCTCTGTGGGCGTGGCGTCTTCTCAATCTTCTGCCAAGCGTCCAAACTGACTCCCAGTTCACTGTCGGCACTGTCATTCAGCTCGCCTCCTTCGGCCTCGCGCAGATCACCGTCGGCCGCTTCGTTTCTGGGCTCGGTGTCGGTGCGCTCTCGGCCATTGTCCCTCTGTACATCGGTGAGGCAGCCCCGAAGAAGATCCGCGGCTCCCTCCTCGTCCTCTACCAGGTCCAGATCATCTCCGGCCTCTTCCTCGCCTACATCATCGACCTGGCGACGCACAAGATCCCCAACTCGGCCTCGTGGCGTATTCCCATCGGCCTGCAGATCATCTGGGGCGTGCTTCTCATCCTCGGCGCCTGGGCTCTTCCTGAGTCGCCCCGACTCCTTCTCGGCAAGGGTAAGGAGGAGCAGGCCCTGAGGTCGATCGCGGCCCTGAATGATTGCACTATCGACGACCCCAAGGCCCAGGAGATGCTGGTCGAGCTCGAGGAAGCCGTCGCTGTTGAAAACGCCGAGGGCAAGGGCTCCTGGCTCGAGCTCTTCTCTCTCAAGGGCCACATGTGGAAGCGCACGCTCAACGGCATGATGATTCAGTTCCTTCAACAGCTTAACGGCCAGAATTTCTATTACGTGAGTTTGAATCAGAGAAAAGCGCTGACTTTCGCAGTACTACGTGAGTTGAAATGTCGTGGAAAGGACTTCGGGAGGAGTGCCACAAAAATTTCGAAAAATTGTCAAAAACTAACCATTGCAGGGCCCCGTGTTCTTCCAAGCGGCTAAGATTGAGAGCCTGAACTCGTACACGATCCAGGTCATCATGGGCGCCGTCTCGTTTGTGATGGTCATGCCGGCTCTGTGGACGATTGAGCACGTCGGCCGCCGCCGTTCGCTCATCACCGGTGCCGCCTTCATGTTCTGCTGTGCGATCGTGGCCGGTCTCGTCGGACACTTCTACACCGACAGCCACAACGTGCCAGAGGACAAGCGCAAGCTCGGAGGCAACATATGATCGCTTTCGCCATCCTGCACGTCTCGGCGTTCTCGCTCTTCTGGGGTCCCGCTCCCTGGGTCATCCTCGGCGAGACGTTCCCGCTCCGCGTTCGTCCCAAAGGAATCGCCATCGGCTCGGCGACTAACTGGTTCTGGAACTTCATGCTCGGCTACTTCAGGTGAGTGCTATTGGAGATGGCATCATTGTCGGGCGCGCGAAACGAAACCGGCGCAATCTGAGAGATGTGGCCACAGCGCCACACACTGTCATCCCTCCACTATATTCGCGCATCTCGCCCCCGGTTGGGCTACACTGGTCGAGGGGCGCAGACGGCTATTTCACATTGCATACGAGTCCAGCGCTGACATTCCAGCCCTCTTATCGCGGACGACATCGGTCCTCTGATCCTGCTCATCTTCGCCGGTGTCCTCCTCGTCGCCGTGTTCTACGTCTACTTCATGATCCCCGAGACCCGCCGTCTCACCCTCGAGGAGGTCGACGAGATGTACCGCTCGGGCACGCCGGCCTGGCGTACGAACAACTGGCAGCCGACCGTGCGCGAGCATCTCCCCATCGACGACAAGGAGATGGTCCACCAGGAGCACGTCCGCGCCGCCGCTGTCCTCACCAAGTAATGTGTTGTGTTCTCTGCAGTACGTTGTGTATCATAGTTTGTTCAGATGGAAAGAACCTTAATGCCAGTCTCAGCTCGGACTGACGCCCTGATCTACTGATGCGCACACACCTACGGTCCGCTTCAGCCGAGGGAGATCGACACCGCTAATGCACGGGCCCTAATTGCCTGCCCATGATCCACAGCTGGATGATGCGGTGCTTCTTCATTGCCGTGTCCGAAGCACTCAGCATTACCTCGAAAGATGGTCCAAGCCCTTCGTCTCTCGACGTTATAACACAGCGACGGTCGCCCAAGCGAATGTCACTCGCCGCCTCGCCACCGCCGATCACGAAGCACCCTCCACAGCATGTCGCGTCCGCCGGCCCCCATGCTCGCCGCCCTCTACAACTCGTATCCACACATCTTCAACGACATTTTCGACACGTTCTTCCACGACGCCGACATAAAGACTCTCCTGCGCCTGCGCCTGACATGCCGCCTGCTTCAGCACTTTGTCGACGATACTTGGGGCCACTTGAGATGGCAAGCCGGGCCGACCTACCAAGGGCTCGGAAGGTGGCCGGCCGCAAGCGCCGTGCGTGACTGGCGGGGCCATAGCCTGTCCACCGTCTCCCCCTTCCTGAGCTTGACGACCGTGCTGGACCTGAACGTCTCGTCGACCGTGCTCGACGAGCCCTGCAGAGGACGGGTACAAGACTGGCGCGCTTTCCCCGCAAGCTTGAAAGTGCAAGTTCTTCGCATTGTGAGGTACGACCGTTGGGCCATGCGTTTCGTCCGCCTTCCGCCTGCGCGCACCGTGGTCATCTACCATGCGGTCGACGTACGCCACACCATGAGCTCGATCAGCTACCTCCCCTCGGTGAACGTCGTTTGGAAGCTGGACTATGCCAACCTCAACCCCTCGATGGGCACTTTGTGCGACAACACCGAGCCTTGTCAGCGGACCAATGTCTTCGTCCTCCTATCCAACTGCGACCCGAAGGACACGCACCTCGGTGGCCTGTGGCAGGGCATGGTGGAGACTGTGGCCGAGAATGTACGCTACGGGAAGCAAACATTCTTCTACCTCGTCGACGTCCAGTCCTGGTTCGCTAGGTCTGACGACGACGAGATCGAGCCATTGGTGACGATCATCCCGGACGAGCCCGAACCGGAGGAACTGAGGATGGACCACATCCTGGACGACCCCGACGCCTTCTACGACCTGATCAGCAGCATACACGAGGAGTACGTGCGGCGCTCTCCCCTCTGCGGAGAGGATCTCGTAGAACTTGTGGCGGCCGGGTGCCGGTGCAGCAGCTTCATACGGCGTATCTCAACCAAGGAGATGCGCATGCGCATCGGCGACAAGGCTACGTCGTTCACGCTTGCTCCGATAGGCGAGACCTTGCATCGAAAGTGAGATGGGATGTAGTGTCAATGACTCAGTAGCATGTATCATTAGCAGCCGACTGCTCAACCTCAGAGAAGCAATCAGTTCACTTGGCGAGGGGAGGAAGATAGGCTCTGTTGAGGGCGAGGGAGCGATTGTAGCCGCGCCAGGGAGGTCGTGGGACCGGCAAACGCTGCCTTCAATCTCGATGTGACCGTTGAGGTGTAAGGGGAGAGTGGCAGCCGTGGGAGATGTCGAAACTACCGAAGGCTCCCTCCGACCTTGTGGATGTTTTCATGGTGTTTCCTGGGAATGGAATCCCATGCCAGTCCCTATGTTCGACCGTGCGAAAGCCCGCTTAGCGTTTTCTCATGAGATGGCTTTACTGCGAACGCTGCCATGGCCAGTCCATCTGCTCCGATCCCAGCCTATTCGTTATGGCTATGCATATCAACTCAAGAAGAACACAGTCTGCTTCTGTTCTTCGCTAGCTGCTCTGACCTACGTTGCTACAAATCTACAATTAAGATTAATTACTCTTGTTGTCGTTGGTGTACTTGCCTGCGCCGGCACCCGAAACGACCGGCAGGCTTTGTGGAGAAAGAATGTGTGATGGTTTACCAGTTCTTGAGCTGGTAGATGACCTTGTCCTTGAAGGACATGGACTTGTAGCGCATCTCGTCCTCGTCGTCCTCGTCGAGACCCTGGAACTCGCGGGCGCCCGTGTGCAGGTCCATCTCGTGCGGCTTGACAAACTTGGTCTTGCGCACGAACTTGTAGATGAGGAAACCAAAGACGTACACGGGGACGGCAATGTAGTGGCAGATGAAGTCCTTGTACTTGAAGGTGGGACCGATGAAAGCGTCAAAGCCCTTGAAGATGGCGATGAGGACGGTGATGAAGAGGGCAAAGATGGCAGCGTACGGCTGGAAGGGCGACTTGTAGGGGAGAGAGTCGCGCGAGATACCCTGCGCCTTGAGACCACGCATCATGGCAAGGTGGGAGGAGAGAATCGAGATCCAAGAAAGAGCACCACAGATGGTGACGGCCGAGGTGAAGTAGGACCAGACGGAGAGACCGTCGGCAGACGAACAAATGTAGGCGAGGAGCATGAACATGCCGGTGAAGGCGAAAGAGACCATGGGGACACCGCGCGAGTTGCAGTAGGTGAAGATGCGGGGAGCGTTACCGTCCTTGGCCATGCCATAGAGGGTACGCGAGGCGATGTACTGGTCCGAGTTGGCGGCGGAGAAGGTGAAGATGAGGAGACAGGCGTTGACGAGACCGGGAAGACCCTTGATGCCAGCCTCCTGGATGGCGACGACGAAGGGCGAGGCAGACGCAGTGGTCTTGTTGTTGCCGGAGGTAGCGGTCTTGAGGAGCTGGCCCTGGCCGTCGACAACCATGCCGGTAAGGAGGATGAGAATGATGTAGAAGAACAGGATACGGTAGAAGGTCTTCTTGATGGCGGCCGGGACAGTCTTGCGGGGGTTCTTGGCCTCACCGACGGTAACACCGATGAGCTCGGTTCCCATGTACGCGAAGAGAGCACCGACGAGAGCCTTGACGACACCGAGGAAGCGGCCGGCAGCACCACCGGGGCCAGCGTTCTTCGGGTACGAGACGAAGGCCTTGCCGTCCTTCCAGTAGCGGAATCCGATGCGGTCGTGGTTGGGGCCGCCTCCGAGGTCGATGACGAGACCGAGGATGATCAGGCCGGAGAGGGTCAAGATCTTGATGAACGAGAGCCAGAATTCGACCTCACCGAACCACTTGATACCGAGGAAGTTCATGGCGACGACGAAGGCGATCAGGATCGTGACCCAGGCGGCCGAGTTGATCTTGTCATTCCAGAAGCGGATGACGAGAGCGCCGGCGACGATCTGGTTCGGAGACAGAATGAGGTACTTGCAGAGGTAGACGAGGGCGGTCCCGAAGCCAAACGCAGGGTCAATAGTCCTAGTCGCAAAGCCCGGGAATCCACGCTTGGAGGGGAAAGCCGCCGACATCTCACCCAGGGACATCAGGACACAGAAACAGACGGCGCCCATGATGCAGTACGCAATGAACAGCGATCCGGGGCCCGACTGGTTCAGCGAGGGGCCGGATCCGATCAGGAGACCAGTACCTGGGTACGTCAGCGGCGAACTCTCTTACATTTCAACGATCAATGACGGCGGGGAACGGGGAGATAGAGGGGGGCGTTTTGCAAGGAGCTCCATGCCAAGAATGGAGTACGCTCCGCGTACGGGACGGCTGCTGCGCGTTTGCGCGATCTCACGCGCAGCGTCCGGCTGTAGCGGCAACCCACGGTGAGGTACCACAACGCGCAGCCCGACACAAATTCCGGCTCCGCGACACACCGGGGAACCGGTCTGGTGGAGTGCAGATTCACTGCATGCGCATGGAGGCACCGCAGCGTACCGCGTACCGCCGTGTAGGACCGTGACGCTGAGGCGCACGGGTGGGGAACGGGGGTTTGGGCTTGGGCGGCGATCTATGCCAAATAAACCCACAGCCCACAGGTGGGCGGTGGCTTGGCGTACCCATCTCCCGCACATGGGTCCCATCACCCGAGTCACGGGGACAATGGGACGCGGGGAAGCAGCCACAATTGGCCGGGCATCCCTTCTGCATGCCTCGCGACCATGCGGGTGCACCTCAGTGCCATCGGACCCGTCTCACTCGCCATCAATACAGGCTGACTCACCAATAGCTCCACCGATAGCAATCATACTGATCTGACGCGGCTTCAGGGAGCGGTGCGTCTCCTCCTCCTGCGCGGCGACAGGGGCGCCGACCTCCTCAACGCCATACTGGTACGAAGCCGAGTCCTTCTCCTCGATGTGGCCGCCCAAGTTCTTCTCGTCGTCGTACCCCGAGCTGAGGTACGCCTGGTTGTTCGACATGTTTGCTGGGCGCTTCGTTGGCTTACTGGTCGTGTCGTGGGCGTGGGTCGTTTGATGAATAAGCTGGATTGACGTTACCTATGGGGGCGGTAACGACTTGTAGTTGCAAGTGTGCTGCGCGATGCCGGGGCTGGGCGGGCTCGACGCTGACGGGGGACACTTGGTAGAGTGAAAGTACGACGAGGGGAAAAGGCGCTGCGGCAAGAGCTAAGCAATCTTTATAGTCGCCGGGCTGGTATGGGTTGTCGCAGCGCCTGGCTCTTGGCGTCCGGATCATGGCTGCGAGTACGCTACGCTTTGATGATGGCAGATGGACGGCATGGGAGGGACCGGGGAAGCGGAGGACACAGGCCATGGCCACTCATGCCAGGACACCAGGACTGGGCGCTGGGTTCCTGGGCCTTGTCCTAACCCGAGCAAGGAGGAGTCCTGCGTGATTCTGCCTTGCCTGCCGGTCGTCGGGCGTGGCCATCTGCAACGGCGAGCTGAGATGGGAGAGCTGTGAGTGGGCGAGCGATTGACGAGCCGTCTGTGCCTGACGCCGTCACACGAGACAGGAGACAGGGATGACCGTAGGTACAAAGGCAGAGGCCGGATACGGATTGCAGATTGCAGATTGTAGAGATACGCTCAATCGTAGCAGAGGAAGGAGAGAGGGAACGGCGACCCACGGGGCAGTTGGGGCAAACACGGCTGACGCAGGGCAACAGGGCCAAGGCCAGGAGTTGAGCAGGAGGCGGTAGGGGGCGGCTACAGGCTACGGCACTGGACGAAAGGAGGGTAGGAAATAGACTAAGCGCGCAACCAAACCTTGCAGCACCGAGACCAAGAAAACGGCGCTAGCTCCGAGTCTGGCAATGCAGAGCCTGGTCTGGACACGAGCGGCCAAGGCGAGCCCAGACGAATAAACGACGGTCAACACAGTTTGCCAAGAGAAGCAGGGGACCAGGCACATCCGCGTCCTGCCAGCGTCCTGCCGTACATCCTGCGAGGCGTCAAGAGTGGGGCTCAGGGCTCGATCAGGTGATCTTAGGCGCACCACCTGATTTACCGCTCCTGCCGACTCAGGCCTCGTGCAGCAGCGAGATCGTCCTGCCCGGCATCCTGGTATCCTGGCTCCCGATCCGTTCGGCCAGTCCCAGTGCTCACAAAACCTTCGTCCGCAGAATGCTAGGACGAGAGCCCCAGTGGGAGTCCACAGCGACACCCCACCTGGCCCCGGATGCCATGTACGCAGCCAAGTGGGTGTCAGACGATCCAGGCCACCGACCGAGCACAAGCGTGCGAGTGACATACCTCGAACCGCCCCCAGCGATCCAGGAGCATCAGCCTCTGCCTCTCCCCGGCATCACATGTTTGGCAATCCGCTATTTCGAACCGTGCAAGCATCGCTCCCCGACCCTTTCCAATCCAGATCTCGGTATCTCTCCGCTGGTCTGCGCGGTTGCTCAGTCCTCACAGCTTGCAGATAACTTGCCCTCGAGCCAAAGCACAGATAGGCTCGATAGGAGAAACTGATAGCCTCGCAGCTGTCTCGCACCCCTATCTTGGGGCCGTGATGCTAGCTCCTGATAACGCTTGGCAGGTGTTCACATGCTGCGGAACTTGCTTGGGCGTGCGCGCGAGCTCCGTATGCTGATCACCGGCGGACCTTGATGCCAAAGCTATGGCCGGCGACTTGGAAGGAGAAACGGCTCACCGGGCGCCCAGTGGCCGAGCGACGGGCGTATCAGCCCGCAGTATCCAGCGATCCCATAGGCTCGTCTGCAATCCGCGATCGTTCAGTCGAGCCAGGATGATGCTTGATCCCCAGATCCCTGTACCCGTGCTCGAGCCCAGGATAAGCGATCCTGCATCCCTCAAACCCTCCCGCTGCCGACTGAAGCCCCGGAAAGGGTGCAGAGATCTCTGCGGCACTCACCGTGGAGCAAGCCTGGGGCCAGGAGTGGGGGAACAGATGCAGCCCTGCGCGCCCAACAGACTTGCGCAGCGTTCGGAGTACGTTCCAGAGGTTTATCCAATTTTGCGCCGAGGCTTATCGAATCTGCGCACCATGATGGGGTACCCGAAGCTTCGACGCTCCGTGCGGAGACCGAAGAAGAAAAACTTTGCGGCGTCCCTCATCGCTCACGGACGACTGCCAAGACCGGTGCCTTCATCTAACCCGAGCGAATGATTCCCACACATGGACTGCCCGAAGACTGGCACGCAGAATCGGCACTCCTCGGCTTGCTGTTCTCGAATGGAGGCATCGCGAGCAGCAAACCCGGCACAGCCAATCCAGGCAAGCGCGACATCATTCAGGCAGATCAATACAGGCGCCTGTGGGCGCAATTGCATGTTTCTGCTCTGCCGACACCCGTTCGGGTGACTAATGACATCAGTGGCCGGCGCGACTCGGAGAACAGCATTTAAAGAGATGTCGCGTCGAAACGTGGTCGCCCGTTTCGCTTCGACACAACTTTGACGCGGTCCTACTTTAGACATGTCTTGGAATCTTCGTTTGTTCGGCATGTGCGACTTGCCCACCGGACCGCGTCGCGTTCCCCACAAGATCTGCAGTACCAGCCGCTCACATGCGGTTCCGCGGTATGCGAGCATTGTGCCAAGATACTCAGCACTGGGCATGCGATGGGTGTTGAGCACATGCCTCAGCAGCAGCACAGTTGTACGCGCGGCATGCTGCTGCATACATGGCGAGCAGAAGAGGACTGGGCGAGTGCACATGGGAGTCTCCCCAGATACAGACAGTCTTCGAAGTTGCCATCCCTTTCGCCTTTCGTGTCCTGCCGATGTCGCGGGACGTAGCAGAACATGTTTCTGCGCGGCGCATCTATCCCTATTTTGCTGTTCGGCTCCCACTACACTCACAGAGACACACATCCGAAGAGCAACAATGCATCGACCGGCGACTTACGAGCTTGGCAGGGAACGACGGTGCATCACGGATGGCCAAGACGCGGCGGACGGTGGCTTGGCTGACATGTGGCCGAGCGCTGGGTGAACTTCGCGAAAAAAAAACAAGTTCCGGTGCGGTGGTCCGTGAAGCAGGTGGTGGCGACGGATGATCTTCAGGCCGAGTACGAGGTGGCGTCGAGATCTCGGGGGACGTGGAGAGGAAGGGGGATAGAGGGGGAGTGGCGACGAATGTGCAAGGAGGTGAATGTTGCTCTGGCTGGAGCGCAAGGGCAGGGTCGAATCCGATCTTGGCCAAGAGAGGACGTGCAAGTGCCGAAGGCAAGAGAGGTGTAAAGCACAGACAAGGGTTGAGCGATCGAGACCGATGTCTTGAAGAAGAAAAGGACGTTGACAAGAAGAACGAGAGTTGACAGTTGGGAAGGCGCGACAGTGTGTGCGCGCATGGGTTGCGGTTCCGAGGAAGACGAAGAAGACGGATCAGCAAGAGGCCTAGGGGTCACATGGAGGGCGTCGGGGTTCTCGACGCACCGCACTAGGCTACATCGCCAGACCACGCCAGCGTTTCGCGAATCGTAGGCCTATGTCACTTGCAGCATCGACGCCGCCATTGATGTCTGTGCTTCTTGTGCAGCGGAGTGTCGACCAGCTACGGCTGCGAGGAGACGCTCGAGGTGATGGAACCTGCGGTGATTTCATTGAAGGACATTGCTGTGGGAGGTCAGTATCTGCATGCGCTTGCGAGCTTGTTGACTGCAAGCGAGATAAGCAGCTGCCGATCCGACATCCGATCCTAGCGTCCGAACCTTACAGTGTTGTTCTTGATCGATCACCTTTAAGGCTTGCGGGCAACGGGCCGGAGTTTCCACGCTAGAAGCTCGTGAGACCCGACAGCCAAGACAGAACGCAAGGTCATGTGAGTGGCGACTTTCCGAGTCGGCACTCTACATGCGCGTGCTTGCTCGCAGATGGCCGCCTCTCTCTGTTACCGTAGCTGGAGCCAAGGGGAGGCTCGTGCCACCGTAGTTCTCACTGGCCGACTTTGGGATGGTGGTTGGGCGGTTTCACCGTCTGCTCCGTCTCGCACTCATACACACACAGCACAGACACAGCTGCAGGCAGAGGTTTGCAGAAGCGGGGGGCTCGGATCCAGCACTCCTGACACTTCCAGGACAGACGCCCTATAAGTACGTCGACTCCATGCTCCGCCGGCCCCTCCATCTGGTCATGCAACAGCCACAACACGCCACATACACACCACACACGCCTCTGCTTGTCACCTTCGGCCCCTTGGGGCTCGGATCGAAGCAATATCCGCATTCCCTCGCCTCGGTGGTCGTCACCAAGGTCCGGTGAGCGTGTTTGGAACGTCCGAACGCAAGATGCAGCATAGTCCGCGGTGAAGCCGTGGAATCGGTGAACAGACAGGGTGTGTGGTGACCTCGTGACGGGCGGGATGATGCTGTATGGTGGTGGAATGGGTGGCCATTTGCGGGCACCGCGGTGGAGGCCCCGCCTCGGAAGTCGGAATGGCTCGTTACGAGGTGCGCGGAGCCACGTTTCTGCACCCGGGCTCCGGGATACAGGGGAGGGCTGGATAAAAACGGGGCGGATCACCTAAGCAAAACTTGATATCGCGAGCTTGCCCGGTGCTGACTACTGACGGCATGGCAGTGGAGCTTCGGCTCGGATGGGGGGGTTAGTGCGTAGGTGGGGCAGATTTCGGCGGGCACGCGTTCCGGTCAAAATGCTAAATGCACAAATCCTGTTTGACGTTTCTCTCCTCACATATCCCTCTCCATATCATTGTTGCGCGACCTCCTCATTGACCACACAACACACAACTGGTTCTTGCATTCAAGCATTCAACAGCACTCGCACAGCGACCACACAATGGCTCACCCCCACCCCCTCGCGTCTCTCCCCCCGGGACACTTCCTCGCTCTTCCTCCGACCTTCTCCAACGACCCCGGAACGTCTATCACCACCGCCTCGCACGCTGCCCCCTCCGCGCCCAACGTCGCCTCGCTCGCTGCCGCCGACTTCGATGTCGACGTCCGTACTGGTTTCCTTCCCCCGAAGGCCAACATCGAGCGCCTGCCGCCGCCCTATGACGTGTGGGAGGACGCATTCGAGGCTGCTCATGGTGACCAGCCCGGAGACGGTGTCCGGCTAGGTGGTGGCCGCCCTAAGGATGAGGCTTGGCGGGAAGGTGTCCGCGCCATGCCCGTCCTCGACATTGCTGGTCTCAACGACCTTCCTCTCCTCCGTCGCGCGCACCTCGTACTCGCCTTCCTCCTCCACTTCTACGTGCACACGACCCCTACCGAGGGTGAGAAGCCGACAGAGGTCCCCGCTTGTATCTCTGTCCCCATCCTGAAGATCTCGCCTCTTGTTGGTCTTCCGCCCGTCCTTACCTACGCCGACACCGTACTCTGGAACGTCCAGGGCACCGACTCGTCGCGACTCATCAACCTCGCCGACAACCCGCCGACGCGCACCCTGGGAACGTTCACGGGCACCAAGTCCGAGGCCGGTTTCTACACTGTCTCGGCCGAGTGCGAGGCCGCCGGCGCCGCCGCACTTGCTCTCATGCGCCAGTGTCTCGACGAGCTCTTCCTCGCCGACGAGGTCGCTCTTCGTCGTCTCACTGTCTACCTTCGCCAGCTCGCTGTCCAGATCGACCGCGTTGGTGACATTACCCTGAAGATGATGACCGAGGTTGATCCCGAAGAGTTCTACCACCTCATCCGACCATGGTTCCGGGGCGGTGATGGCAGCGGACCGGACGCCCCAGGATGGCTCTTCCTGGGAACTAGTGGGGATGACTCGCTTGGAGAGGCTGAGAACATGCTTTCTGCCTCCACTTACACTACCGAGGACGGAGAGGAGGTCCGGGGACGGAAGTTCTCGGGTCCGAGCGCGGGACAAAGCTCTGTTGTTCACGCCTTCGACGTCTTCCTCACTGTCGACCACGCTCCTCGCGCCGACGAGGACAGCGAGTCGATCGCCGTTGCCGGTGGAACTGAGTCGCCCCGCATCATCCTCAACAGCTCACCCCTGGTTCAGCACCACCACCACGACGACGAGGATGACGCGCCCCTCGCTACTCCCACTGAGCAGTCTGGCGGCCCCGTGGAGGCCACATTCCTCCAGCGCATGCTGCAGTACATGCCCCTTCCCCACCGCACCTTCCTCCTCCACCTCGCCGCGCACCCGACCCCGCTGCGCCCGCTCGTCATCGCTCGTGCGAACACGCACCCTGAGCTCGCCGAGGCGTACAACGAGGCGCTCGCCGCCCTCCGCCGTTTCCGCGACAAGCACATGCGTGTTGTCTCTCGCCACATCGTTCAGCAGGCCCGCCGCCCGCCGAGCGAGCGCATCCTCAAGCTCCTCGGACGCGAGGGCGAGGTCGCCGAGAAGCAGGAGGACGTCAGCGACGACCAGCTCCGCGGCACCGGCGGCACTCCCCTAATCCGCTTCCTGAAGCGCTGCAGGGACAACGTGTCGCGCGCCATGGTCAAGGACGCGTAAAAGTACGGTTAGAAACATAGCCGAATCAGCATAGAGAAAAGTTAGAGCAGGGGCGCCAGAGCACTAGAGGTGCTAGAGAAGTTGTATTTAGATGCCCAATCTTAAGTTGTTATGAATCTTTTGGTCTAAAGGCATACCCTGGAGCAGCGTTGGTTTGGGTGGCGAACTCTTCGTTTGCCACACTCACCATATGCTGGCAGTGACGACGGCTCGGGAAGAGACGGGGCGGGTGCTTTGCAGATTCCGAAGCGAAGGTGGCGGGGGCAATGGTGGGAAAAGGAAGGAATGACGAAAAAGCGAGGACTTGCCACGGCCGCGCCGCGGAAGAGCTGGAGCGGTGACGGAGCAAAGTGGCATTCACGTGCCAGTTGAATGTTCACGGGGCGTCGGCGCGGAGGCTCGTCGGCGCGCAGATCTCCTGCGGAGCGAAAGTAAGTTCGTACGCCTTGTCGCCGACTCGCTCGCGCATCTCCTCGCGCGTGATGCTGTGGATCTGGGAGAGGCATTTACGCATTTTGGGCGAGGGCCACCAGTCGTCGGCGGCATCATCATCTTGGTCATAAGGTGGGACCTGCTCAGGCTTGGCGCACTTCAGGAGGTAGCCGTAGAACGTGTCGAAGCTGGCCATGACATTGTCGAGGCGTTCGGGGTCATCGGAGGGCAGGGTTGTGTGGGAGGCGTCGAACCAAGAAGGGACGTCGACGAAGTAGAAGTTGACCATATCGTCTGCGCCGCTCTCGTCACTTACCAGCGTTGCCATTGTGCAACGACACAGCATCTCGATGGTCAAGCAGTCTGGGCTGGGGTCGATGTCTGAGAGCAGATAATAGATGTCGCCACTCCACTTGAAGCGTCCAATTACGTCGAAGGCATCTTGCATCTCCGCGCCGGGCGTAGAGGGAGGAAGAGCCAGTCGATAGATGAAGTCGAGGTGGCCGTGCGTCGAATAGCTAAGGTACGTAGCCAACAAAGTCGCCTCTATGAGGTCGAAAAGGATGAGCGTCTTGGCATGAGGGAACATAAGGTAGTCTCCTGTGCCGAGCACTCTTATGATCTCCGGCCGAAGGTAATCCGGGACCATAGTTGAAGGAGAACAGCCGTCTTCGTCGTTCAGGTCGAGCACTTTCGCGAGCCTCAAGCACTGGGAGTTGGTCGGGATACGTTCACCCCGCTTATTGTATGCAGCGTCAGGGCGGACATGAGCTGTTGCGACGGTCCACTTGATATGACCCCATTCGCTGTCTATCCGCTGGTAGAGGGCACGGCAGGTCAGCTTCAGGCGAAGGAGCGCTTCAAACTCGGCGAAGTTGAAGATAGTGTCAAAGATGTGGGGGAAGTATGCCATGTCGAGGACCGGCATCCCGAATGCCATCAAATGTGGGCAAGAGTGGGGAAGGCTCGTAGAAGGGTGTGCGGATGCAACATCGGAAGAAAGTGAGGAAGGCAAGTTGAAGACGCCCGGCCAGGTGACTGGACCGGGTGAAACACAGTGGCGAATCGCTACTACGATCGGCGCTCGCAGGGTCCTCTCACTCCAGAGCAGACGACAGGCAGACCAGCGGGGGCTGTCTGCAGCTGACTACGGACAAAGTGCGTCGGAGAACTCCTCAACTGGGGAAGGCATGCATGAATAGACACCGCCAACGGTCAAGCACCGTGCGCCGGCCGAGTAACTAAGGATCATCACGAGCAGCGATCGGAAGCGATGCCTGCCGGTGACGCACGGATGCTCTGCGGGGCAAAAGTGAGGTTGTACGCCTTGTCGCCGACGCGCTCGCGCATCTCCTCGCGCGTGATGCTGTGCACCTTGGAGAGATACTTGAGATTCTTGTGGGACGGCCACCAGCCTTCGTACTCTTCCACGCCGTCGATCCGGGCGCTGTTCAGCAAGTAGTTGTAGAAGCTCTCGAACTGGGTCAGATCTTGGTCAAGGCGTCTGGCCTTGTGGCGGGATGCCTGGGAGCGGTCGTCGTCGGGGAGGGACGGGGAGGCGGCATTGGCCGTCGATGTGTCGATGGCGAACCAGGAAGGGACATCGACGAAGTAGAAGTGCACGTCGTCGTGTCTGGCCAACTTCACCGAGGCATCGATGGGGCACATGATACTCTGGCACAGGTCCTCAACGGGACCGCCCACGTTGGGGCACCCTGACAGCACAAAGTAGATGTCCGCGGGCCACGGGATGTCACCAACCGTTTCAAAGTCGAAAACGTCGCTGTCAAGGTGCAGCCAGTAGACGATGTTTCTGGAGCCGTTGGCGGGCTCACCTGCTGAATCGACGAGACCCGGTACGTCGCGCTCGCTGGTGACGATGAGAGTGCGCGCGTGGCTGTTCATGGGGTAGTACCAGAGTGAGTGAGGGTCGAATCGGATGGCCTGGGGACGGAGGTAGTCATGATCAAGCATGTCTTCCGACGTCATCCACTTCTCCTCGGAGTACAAGTCCAGAACGCTGGTGAAGCGCAGACGGGGCGAGTCGGTCTGCATCTGGATTCCTCTCTTGCTGAGGACGACCTCTCCCTCGGAAAACACGTTCCACCGCACGTGGCCCCATTCTTCCTCGATCAGTTTGTGCACTGCGCGGCATGTAAGCCTCAGACGGCAAGCCGCCTCGAAGTCGGCGAAATCAAGGATAGTGTCGAAGATGTGCGGGAAGTAGGCGATGTCGAGTGTTTTCATTTTGAGTAATTTAGTGATGAGTCAGTGATTGAAGGAGTGGAGGAAGACAAAGGAGGCTAAAGGCTGTGACAGTTGACGTGTGAGACCAGGGGCGAAGCGCAGATCGCAGTCGTCGCCGGTGCGCCCCTCCCACATTCATGCCAAGACCAGATGAAACAATGTACAGGAGACAGTAATTGCATAGACGAGGTCGCGATGAGACAGAGCTCGGAAGAGTTGGATTCAACACGAGTAGCTTCCAGCTGTTGAGCTCCGAGATCGTGGTTACTATATTGCCTGCTAAACTCAGATAGGCAGTCGCTGGCGGGAATGGAGCATACGAGGGTTGAAGGCCAGAAGTGACCGCTCAGATGAACGCCCTCAGCGCTCGAAGGTCTCTCGGAGCAAACGTGAGGTCGTACGCCTTGTCGCCTACCTGCTGACGCATCTCACTGCGCGTAATGCAACGCACTTGGGACAAGCGCTCACAGGCCGCTGCTCTCTCTTCGGCAAGATATTGAGTGGTGCTGTAGAAACAACCATCTTCACCTTGAGTATCCCACCCGCTGAACAGGTAGGTCTCGAAGATGACATGGCTAGTCAAGGTGTGATCCAATCGCCGAAGATCGTCTTCCAAACAAGACGTGTAGGACCCATCGAACCAGGAGGGGACGTCCACCAAGTAAAAGTTGGTCCTGGTTTCCTTGGCCTTCACCTCGTCGGCCAGAGAACACACCATACTCTCGAACAAGGTCTCTATAACTTCGCAGCCCGGGCTTGGATCCACGCCAGTTAAGAGGATGTAGACATCCGTTGAATGGTGGCAGTTCGCGAGACCGTCGAAGTATCGACTGTAATAACCATCTTCAGGAGGAAAATGCAGGTGGTATATCATGTTGATGCGGTCGTGAACCGGCTTCGAGAGAGTGTGGTTCAGTTGACATACCTCCCAGGCCTCATAGAATATGAGCGTCTTGGCTCGGGCAAGCACAGTGGATGGCCATATGCCGAAACACCTGACTATCTCGGGCCGGAGAAAGCTGGGGATATCGTCTTGCGGTGGCACGTAGTTTTCGTCGATCAGATCGACTGCCTGAGCAAGCCGCAAGCAAGGGCTGTTGCATGGCACCTCAACACCTCGCTTGTTGTATGCGACATCAGGCTCCTTCAAGAGGTGCTTTCGATGCTCCTCGCCAACGTTCCACTGCACATAACTCCATTCGTCGCTGATCCGTTCGTAGATGTCGCGGCATGTGAGCCTCAATGCCAGGAGCGCTTCTAAATCGGCGGATTCGAGGATTGCGTCGAAGATGTGCGGGAAATAGGCAATGTCGATAGTTGTCATGGTAAGATATGGGGTAAGAAGACGACGTTGACTAAGACAATTTGAGTTATTTGTACTGGGAGGTAAGTAGGCGATAAACAAAAGTCAGCCACTGGATCCTGGACTCTCGCCATCATATTCTACCGCGGCGTAGAGAATGGCTCGACTCATCATCGACTCATCAGTGGGTTGGTATCCCGGATCTTGCATACCTGAGCTACAATGTTCGACTCAGCTCAGCCCACTGCGTTACGTTCAAGTTGTTGGCACGGACTAAAGACTGTCTGCGACCCATGTGGCGTGGGCAAGTTCAGCCGCTCACGAGCTACTTCCGTAGGATACGGGCGTGCTTCCGTTGGACGCAGCCTGGTTGGAGGACGATGGTGCACCGATGTCCTTCGGAGCAAATGTTAGATCAAAGGTTTCTTTGCCGACTCGTTTCCGCATCTGCTCTCGGGAGATGCAATGGACCTGGTTGAAGATGCGTTCCAAGACCTTTTCGTGGGGCCACGTGCGAGCATACTCTTCCTCAGTGTCTTCATACACCTCGTTGGCGTATCCTGTTACTTCCAGTAAGTAGCCGTAGGATGTGTTCGGCTTGGTCAATACTTGGTCCAGACGCCGAGGATCGTCTTTGCGCAAATCGGTGAGCGACAGGTCGAACCAGGACGGGACGTCGACGAAGTAGAAGTTGATCCGGTGAGGGGAAGGGGGCTCGTGAAACACGTCGCTCATCTCGTCCGCCAGATACCACATAGCTTAGGAGAGCAGATTCTTCACGCAGCCGTCCACGGGATTGCAGCCTGTCAACAGCACGTAGATGTTGGCGGAGTCTGGACAGTGGTCGAGCGCCCTGTCCTACGGTCTACTCTCAGGTGCGGGACTTGGCATCGGGTTCGTATCTACATGCATGAGAAAGAATCTTTTGTAGTCAGAGGTTGCGAGGTCTAGTTGACTATACATTAGTTCTCATAGGTGGTGCAAAAGTGAGGTCGAATGCTTTATCGCCAACACGCTTGCGCATCTGTTCCCTCGAAATGCAGTGCACTTGCTTGAAGACGCGCTCCAGAACCACCAGGCGTGGCCAGTGGCGAGCATACTCTGCTTCACTGCCGTCCTCCAGTCCCTCCTCGTATCCAGCCTCCGCCAACATATGGGCGTAGAAAGTACTGGGCGTGGTCAAAATACGATCGAGACGTTCAGAGTCATCTTTAGACAGATCGGTGATTGAGGTGTCGAACCACGATGGGACGTCGACAAAGTAGAAGTTGTGTTCGTAGCCGAGCGGTGCTTCCCCTTCCCGAACGCCACTCTTGTAGCCCGTCAAAGATTCCATCATAAAGTAGCACAAATCTTTGACGCAGTCTCCGGTAGGATTGCAACCCGACAACAGCAGGTATACGTCGGCGGATCGCTTCATTCTGCCGACATAGGAGAAGAACGGAGGACAACGTCCCTCGGAACCTTCCCAGACCATGTAATCTAGTTTGTAGATTATGTTAATGGAGAACTGCGGGTCGGGGGGAGGCTCCATGTAGTAGCCAGCAATGTCTCCACACTCCTGGTCCAGAATGATGATTGTTTTGGTGCAGGCAGTCAGCGGTATGATCCCGAGACAGAAGATTCTGATAACCTCAGGCCGACAGCAGGACGGGACTTCATTGACGTCGCACCAGTCATCGGCGTGGCAAATGTCGAGCACGGTAGTGAGTCTAAGGCAAGGCGAGTCACAGGGGATTATGAGGCTACGCCGATTGACTGCCGCATATGGCCGGTCGTCTTTGACGAGCCACGCCAAATGCCCCCATTCGTCGTCAATGCGGCTACGAAGCGCGCGGCATGTTTGTCGTAGTCGAATCAAGGCATTATGGTCAGAAGCCTCGAAGATGCTGTCGAAGATGTGGGGGAAGAATGCGATATCGATGGTGACCATGTCTTTGAGTTGGAGAGAAGTGAAAAAGCAACTGCGTCCGGTGAGGGAATCTGCGAACAGGTGGCGAGCCGCCAATCGCGGATCCTCTGCACACACCCCCTCCAAAAGTCATCTGATACCCGTTCATAGCGCGTAGAAGGTAGTACATGCATTTTGGAACAGTGTTTTACAGACTGCTGTACAGAGAGGGGATAACAAACAAGATCATCGGACACGCGTCGATGGCGGGCTGGGAACGTAGCCTGCGCCTTTTCTGAGGTCTTCCTCCGGGATGCGGGGGAAGCCGTACGACGTTCTGCTCTCGGCGCGGCGAGAGGAGCGCCAACGGCTCGCCTCGCTCGAGCTCGACGGCTGGATGGAGTCGTCCCATTCGAGCGGGGGTGTGGTGGGGGCGGGGCTGAGAGGCTTCGGCGTCTCAGACTCGGGAGTGGTGGGCTTGGACCCGAGGCGGAAAATGCGCTTTCGCGTGGCCTTGACCTCTTGGGGAGCAGCGACCACGGGCGGAGTAGTGCCCAGGTGAGGGAAGGAGCGGACAGCAATGTGCTCGTGCGCGCGAGCGTAGGGCGAGAGCGTGTTGGCGCTGAGCGAGAGGGTCGCAAGCTGAGACACGCTGTGATTCAGCGGCACGGTGATGCCCTGGCGGCGGCCCATGCCGATGTGGGTCGAGAACGATGCGGCACGCTCCCGCTTCGGCTCGGGCATGCGCTGCTGTGGCCGACGCGCTGCGTCGAGGCGTAACCGTAGGCGCCACCCTTGACAGCAGGATGGTTCAGTTCCGTGTTCCGACGAGGAGATTGGGGGCGCTGACGCATGTTCTGCTGAATCGCGTACGCTGCAAGGCTCTCGGGCCGTGAGCGGCTGCCGGCGCGATCGCGGCCGACGAGATCGCGACGAGTAAAGTCGGAGCTCGACGTCATCGTGCGCCTCAGCACAGGAGACACGGGCTTCGGCGCAACAAGAGTCGAATGCGCGGGGACGTAGCTGCCGACGGTCGAAGTTCCGATACTGCTGGCACGTGCCGTGACAGAGCCACCAGTGGCTGTCGCCGCTGGGCTCGGCATGGCGCCGCCAAAGCCCGACTCGCTCGGCGCGCGGATCTGCGACTGGGCGTGGAACACTCTCGGCCGGCTGACCATGCCGCCACCGACAGCCGGGAACGCTTCCCATTCGAAGCTCGATCGCGAAGGCACCCCTTCGAGGTCTGGGACAATGTCGTCGGTCTCAGAAAGGCACTCTTCCTCCTCTGCTTCTTCCTCTTCCTCGGAAGAAGACTCGTCCGAGTTCTGTTGGCTAGGCAAGGGAGTGTGTTCTGTCTCACCCATAAGCGAGCCAAGACCTCGGCCGCCGCCAGACCGGTTCCTCTCCCATAGCCGACCGAACGCCTCGTACCCGCTATGCGTCGGCAGACCCTCGGGACGCAGGCCATAGGTCGGATCGTAGTTCTCAATGTCGGGGAAGACAGTGTATGATGTTGGTGACTCTGAAAGGCCAGCGCCTCCGGCGGTGCTGGACGTCGAATTACGGAGGTTGGTGCTGGATACGCGATGTCCACCACGCTTCTTCGGGGTCGAGTGCGAGATGCCAGAGCCGTTGCCATTTGGAGGGAAGATGTCTTGCGGAGCCTCAGTGGGGTCGCGGTCGTCGTCCTCATCGTCATACACGGGCGGAATGCTGTTGGCGCTGTTGTCTGGATTGTCCACATCGCGATACGGAGTCTCGACATGACCGCCTGTGCCCTTCGAAAACCATTTCTGCGAAAGACGGTGGATAATGCCTGGCAGATCCTCGCGGAACATCTCACGCAGCTGTCCCTCGATCTCTTGCTGAAGGTACCCTCGAATGACCTCCACACTATCGAAAGTACTCGACACCTCCACATTCTGCAGGGGGTCGTTCTTGAACACGAGAGTAATACCCTTACTAGCCGAAACGACCAGAATGAGGATCGCTCGGAGGTGAAGGAGCGACAGGCGAAGCGTCATGGGGACAAGGAGGGGCTGAGACGCGAGCAACGGGGCGGAGACCGGGAGGGTAGACGTCGGGTTCAGATTCGGATTGTGGCTGAGCGGGTTCGCCTGCACGCGACATCGGACCTCGATCCAGGCGTCCCCTTGGTATCCCAGACGGAGGATGCCTCGAAAGCGGTCCAAAGATAGGTCACCGATCTCGAGAAGAGTCAACGTCGGCGGCTGCGTGCCCATACTCATCCCGACGACTTCGATACGACCTTGGATAACAGGAGGCTTGTTACCCTACGTAGGTCAGCCCAGACCCTTCGCGGATACTCACCTTGTTCAAGGCCGTCTCCAGCATGGCTTTCGCATCGTCATAGAACGCTGGCGAGAACGCCGTCGACCAGGAGGGGAAGACGAACGACATAGCGACCTAACTTCAGTGAGGTGGTGATTGCCTTGGCTGATCTTTTTTTCGCGTTGGTCTTGATATTTCGTCGCTTCTCGAGCTAGCGGATCGTTGAGATAAACACAGCGGGAGGGGCGGGTTCAGAGTGTTTAGTGACCCATAACTTGAACGGTGGCGAGAGAGGGTATCCACGAGGTCGAGGGGTGGTGAGAGAGAGTGCAAAGCCGTGACGAGAGAGAGACGAGGCGTGACGAAGGGCGAAGGTATGAGAACTGATATCGAGCGACGAGTCTCGAGTGTTGCAGTCCTGCAGGATTGCGCGAGGCGGCGGCGGTCAGGATCGCAGGACGGCAGTGCGGCAGGACGGGCGGCAAACAAATCCTGAGCTAGTCTCGGATGGAGACCCCGTATAGGCCCGAAAGGAAAAATACAACTTGGTTCCTAATCACTTTGCATCCGCTATTCGCCTATTTGTTAGCGATTCTAACCCCGTGCCTGGGCACAGTCGTCTCTTCCAATTGTGCCGCCGGTGATACTCGTCACCCTGTCGGCTGCAGTGCGCTCGAGAGTCACTGATAAAGTTCGTCCTCTATGACGTCCATCGGCGTCGACTTGATTTCTACCTGGAATTGTCCAGCTTAAGCATATGCAGTGGTTACGGGTGATCAAAGGCAGCAACAAGCACTGCTCGAGCAGGTACCATCTCCGCGGGGCTCAACACGGCAAACAGCATCCCCCCACTCGTTCCAAACAAAGGCCTGGTCACGAGACACATGCTCTCAGCGGGTGATTCTAGCCGCACCCCGCGAGAGGCACGTCTGGGATGACTGCAACGGGGATGAAGTCTCACTGTACACTCGTACCACGCGTACACTGGCGCCGCGTGATGCTGCACAGGGGACTTTGATCGCGAAGGTCACAGAAACATCTTGACACAGGGACGTGATGGGACTCCAATCGCAAGTGCCTCGCAACAGCAGCATTCGTGGGCTCGGCCCTCACCCTTCGCTTCTGAATATGCCACCGATCCGATCGGATACGAAGAGACCGAGCACTCCAGGTTGCTTGCAAAAGAAATCCTGGTCGCCTCGGAATCGAACCCGGGTCTTTCGTAGACCAGAAATGCTTAAAACATCCTCGCCGAGAACTTACGTAAAAGGAGTTCTTAATCTTAACGTGAGGCACCAATAAGATGTGCCGCATTGAGTGTCGTGCCAGGTTCGTCATAGCACGCTGCGGTGACTTCCCTGCTGGTTGGCCGCTGCCTCCACCACCTCCACCTGCCCCGGTATTTTAGCTGCCCACTGTGGGATTTCTCCTCCAGTCCATCTTCCTTTGAACGTTCAACTTCAAAATGTCGTCTACTGAGGGCAAGGTACGCTCGATTACGCCTGAGGCGACAGATCGCGTTCTCCAACTGACTCCAGACTATCACCTGCAAGGCCGCCGTCGCCTGGGAGGCCGGTAGGTCACAACGCCGATTCGCCGGCAACCGCAAACATGACTAACCCGCAGGCAAGCCTCTGTCCATCGAGACCGTCGAGGTCGCTCCTCCTCGCGATGGTGAGGTCCGCATCAAGATCCTCTAGTGAGTTCTGTGCAGCCGCCGATGGACTTCCAAAGCTAACAGTCAGCACCGGTGTTTGTCACACGTAGGTATCGATTCGAAGCCGAACTTCTCCGGTTGAGCCGAAAACACTGCCCACATCCGAGCTTCTCAGGCGCATCCCAGTGTTTTCCATCGTTTGCCGACCAAAACACAGGCTGTTCCGACTCCGAAATCTGCGTGTGGTGGATGCAAAGCTAACCTATGCAGCGACGACTACACCCTCTCCGGCAAGGACCCCGAGGGTCAGTTCCCTGTCATCCTTGGCCACGAGGGTGGTGGTATTGTCGAGTCGGTCGGCCCCAACGTCGACAACGTCAAGGTCGGCGACCATGTCGTCCCCCTCTACACCGCTGAGTGCCGCGAGTGCAAGTTCTGCAAGAGCGGAAAGACCAACCTCTGCGGCGCTGTTCGTGCTACCCAGGGCAAGGGCGTCATGCCGGACGGCACTTCGCGCTTCACTTGCAAGGGCAAGCAGCTCTACCACTTCGTAAGCTATTGAGAGCTGCACTGAGCTGACATCCAGATGGGTACCTCGACCTTCTCCCAGTACACCGTCGTCTCCAAGTATTCGGTCGTCGCCGTCAACGAGAAGGCTCCCCTCGACAAGGCCTGTCTTCTCGGATGTGGTATCACGACCGGCTACGGAGCGGCTACCAAGACCCCTGACATTGAGAACTCGACCGTTGCCGTCTTCGGTATCGGATGTGTCGGTCTCGCCCTGATCCAGGGTGCCAAGGCCAAGAACGCCTCGCGCATCATCGCCATCGACGTCCATGACAAGAAGGAGGAGTGGGCCAAGAAGTTCGGTGCCAGTAGGTTGATAACGCGCCACTGAAACTGACACTCCAGCCGACTTCATCAACCCCACCAAGGTCCCCGGCGGCAAGAGCATCGTCGACTACCTCGTTGAGATCACCGACGGCGGTCTCGACTTCACCTTCGACGCCACTGGTAACGTCCAGGTCATGCGCCAGGCGCTCGAGTGCTGCCACAAGGGCTGGGGTGTGTGCAACGTCATCGGTGTCGCTCCCGCTGGCGCCGAGATCTCGACCCGCCCGTTCCAGCTCGTCACCGGCCGTGTCTGGAAGGGATCGGCCTTCGGCGGCGTCAAGGGCCGCACCGAGCTCCCCGGCCTCGTCGACGACTACCTCAACGGCAAGCTCTGGGTCGACCAGTTCGTCACCCACAACCAGCCCCTTGAGGAGATCAACAAGGCCTTCGACGACATGCACGCCGGCGACTGCATCCGCTGCGTCGTCAACATGCAGCAGGACGGCCTCATCGAGGAGAAGTAGACTTAGAATGTCGTGGAATGAAGCATATGTCCTACCGACCTCACTGGAGAGAGCGCATATGTTGGGGAAGCGACGTACTGACCACAGGTGCATGCAGCCTACTGAACGACTTAAACCCGTACAACACTCTGCATCTTTCTACTGACTCAGACCTTTCAATATCATCGGTAGTACAGCTGCTCACTGTCGCCGAAGATGGGATTGCGCACGATGCGTGAAGCGTCCTTGATCGCACGAGGAAGGCGTTTCGGCCACCCAGGCATCGAGGTCTCCAGCTTAGCGTTCGGTCCCTTCAGATACTCGGGGAGCGAGACGAAGCGCACATGGTTCTCGACGTAGTCCCACAACGCATGCTCATGCGCCAGATCTTCAATATGCGTGCGCAAACACGCTGCGGGGTCGACGAGCTCCTCTCCCAAGTAAAACCGCGGAGGCAGGCCGACAAACGTGATCCTTTGTGGGGCGTAACCGTGGTCCAGGAGATCGGTCAGGTTGTCGCAGATCGGGATCCAGTCTCCGTCGTCCGAGAAGTCGGGGATCTCGCCACGCTTGCTCTTGTCCTTTGAGGCAAACTCGCTGCGTGCCTCCAGGAGGTTGCCTTCCTCATCCACGGGCTGGAAGACGTACACGACCTCGCGGAGGTACATGCCAGCCCCGCGGCCAATCTGAAGCGAATCATGTCCATCATCGGAGTAGAAACGTTGGCCATGGATGGGAACGTTCAAAACGATTCTTTCGACTTCCAGGGAGGGTTCCGCATTATTGACGATGTGGGGCTGCTCGGCCGGGCCGGGAATCACGGAACCGCCGAAGAACACGACAGTGCCCGCGTCGATGCGCTGCAGCTTGGGGAGACGGCCGAGATGATCGCCGAGGACACGGACGGTGCGTTCGCTGTTGGGATACCTTGATTCCAGGTGCAGCCACTAATCGCCGGGATCGAGCCTGATTCCGGCAGGGAGAGGAGGCAGGTTGTATGTCAAAGGTCCCTGCAGATCCACAACGGCAGCATTTCTCGTCTTCTTCATCGCAACGGTTCACTGCTCTCATCGTTTCAGTTACGCCTGCCTGAGAAGAGCGCTAATGTGAAGACCACCTGGGTCCCCCAATTCAAGTGCGGGGCCAACATTTTGCACCCCAGATTCTTGTCCCGCGACTTTCTTGCCGTGGAATAGTTAGTTGGTGTGGAAGACATGGACGGGATCAAGGTGACTGGAGCCGCACATCCATCTATTCTTATCTCCGGAACGCATCAAAGTAGCACTCGATCCGCTCATTCCAGCTATGCGCTACGTCCGAAATGGATTCCAACCATTGCCCACATACCGCGGCCGCGTCTGTCGATCGGCATTCATTCAACACGGAGCTAGCCGACATGCTGTCACCGGTGACTCTGTCTCGGACTTTCCAGCTAGATCCGTGTTCCATGAACGCTCCAAAGTACGTACCGCATGATCATCAACTGACTTCCTCGTCTGAGTACTCATATTTGAAGAAGTCGATGCGAAACGGACTTTACTGCGGCAGAAGGCGGCAATCGCCATGCTGCGCGGCCCCGCCAAGCCCTTGCCGCGGCAGCTGATCAATTCAGCGCACCAAATAAGCTCAGGGCGATAACCTAATCTCACACGAGCGCTACGCATACGATTACCACCGACCGACAACGCACGGGATCGACATCTCACTCATCCCCATGTTTCTGCATCTCAATGCGCATCCCGACAAGCATGCAGACAAAGCAGCAAAAGAGTTCTCCGCCAGGGAGTCGAACCCTGCTCTATCGCGATCATTCTGAGCGCAGAAGCGCCCGGATGCTCTCTCTTGAGAGGCGATTATACTAACCGATATACTAGCGAAGAGGCCATGTGAGGAAGCAGGCGCATGCGCCCTCGCCGGCCCCGCGCCCCCGGGGCGCAGAGATGCGTGATGGGAGGATGGACAGCAGTGAACGGCTTTCGGATACCGGGTAGAGGGTTATCGGGGGCGTGCAAGAGGGTCCGGACGTCTACTTACGACGTCGAGCCTCGTACGCAAAAGTGGGCAAAGCAGTTCCTGTTCCTGTGTCAGCCGAAACGACTAGCGCATCTTCTGCGCTTTTTTGCCCACTCCCTACAGCACCTGGCAACGAGGAACGGGCGACCGAGAGGGCCGAGAGATCCGAGCTGCAACGCAAGTTACGAACGCCGGAGCGGAGGAGTTGCCGAAAAGCTGCTCAAGTGACCAATGAACTTCTAAACAGATACGACAGACGCTGAGCGAGACGCGTCTGTTGCGGTTCGGGGTCCCCCTTTTTTTGACCTCCGTCTCGCGGACATGACCGCCGGATGAACCAGAGGAGGGCCTGGTCGCCGCAGCTCCGCAGGGCCGCAGGGCCATGGCGCCGAGACGATGTCCAGCGGTGAGCGGCGCATGGGGTGTTAGCTAGTCTCGGCGGCTCCGAGCGAGTCATATCGCAGCATCAGTCGCTATTTCGGTGCCCTCTGCGCGGCCAACAGCCACCTCGGAATGACCGGAATGGTCCGGTAAAGCGGTAGTGCGGGAGAAGAGGGATGACGTAGGGGCATGTGATGCAGGGAATGGGGTCTGACCCTGGCCCTCGTGCACTGCGTGATGGCGCTGGATCCTGCCATTCTCCTAGGTCGACTGGATCGTTTCCGCTTGCTCTCGTCGTGTGCCAGGTCGTGTGTCGTATAGCCTAGTCGCTCGGCCCTAGGGCCTAGGGAGAAGACACTGCAGCTTCTCTGCTCGGTACCGCGGCGGTGCATCGGCACTGCGGAGCCGCCAAGTCGTAGAACACGGCATGAACAAGAATTGAGTCAAGAGCACCTGTGCATCCAACATTCAGCGTTGGCCCCCATCATCAGCAGCCTTTGCTCTGACCCTGACTAGGTCGTCTGCGAACTCCATCAGAGTTTCTGGATACGGCCCTCGTGCCGTGCAACCCTGTCTCGCCCTGGTTTCCGTGAGAGCCGTTCCGGACTTACAGTGCAGCATCTCTGTGTTTCCTGTTTGGAGTGTCGGCCAAAGGAGCGGTAGAAGCGGGCAGCGGTGCGGGGTGGTCTGGTATGGGGGTGGAGTGCCCGAGCCAGCCGGCGCCGCGTCTAAGGGAGACCAGGGAGGACCATGGGGTTCAGGGCGGTGATATCACTGTTAGTCTCAAATGCTGGCCGTTGCTGCCTGCATGTCCCGCGGTGGCCAGCATGAAGCAGGACGGCTTCTTAGTCATGACCGCGTTCTTGGCCCGGCTACAGACACAAATAAAAGACACGGGTCGGCCGGGCTGAACTCCACTTTCGACTTGTTCACCAAACCACCATGTCCGCACCTCCAGTTACGGAGAAGACAAGTTACGAGGCCCACAAGGCCCACACTGATCACATTGACGATCATGCCGCCATGGCACACAACACGACCGGCGGCGCCGACAGCCCCGGCGTGACGACGCCGGACATCGACTTTGACAAAGCCGCGTCCTACAAGCCGTCCAAGTTGACAGGCAAAGGACTCGGCTTCATGGTCACGTTCGTGGCCGGCACTGGATTCACGCTCTTCGGTTATGACCAGGGTGTGCTCTCCGGTCTCATGACCCTTGTGCCCTTCATGCAGGAGTTCCCGCAAGCAGCGGTCCCATGGGGTAACGACAAGCTCGAGAACTATGGCATGACGCCACATGCCAACGCCGCCACCCTCCAGTCCTTCATGGTGGCGATCTACGAGCTCGGCTGTATGGCCGGTGCGCTCTCGAACCTGTGGGTCGGAGACCGGCTCGGTCGTCGCAAGACCATCGCTCTGTAAGTGCTGCCTGCGGCTTCGAGGCTGACATGTGCAGTGGCGGCGTCATCATGACCATCGGTGCGATCATCCAGTGCGCTGCGGTCGACTACGCAATGATGCTCGTTTCCCGCGTCATCACGGGTATCGGCAACGGACTCCTCACATCAACGGTGCCGGCTTACCAGTCCGAGTGCGCGCGTCCCGAGAAGCGTGGACCGCTCGTCCTCTTCTCCGGCTCGCTCATCACCTTCGGCATCATGATCTCATACTGGATCAACCTGGGATTCTACTTTGTCGCGCCGAACCAGAACTTCACTGGTCCCAACCCCAAGGGCGGCTCCTCGGCATCATGGCGCTTCCCGATTGCGTTCCAGATCTTCTTCGCTGTCCTCATGATTGGGTGCCTGTACGGCTTCCGTCTGCCCGAGTCGCCCCGTTGGCTTGTCGCCCACGGACGGCATGAGGAGGCGCTCGCTGTCCTCGCTGCGCTTGAGGGAACGACAGTTGACGACCCCGAGGTCCGCATGACCCACCGCGCCATCATCGACGCCGTGTCCCAGGAGCGCTTCTCGTTCAAGTCCCTGTTCACTGGTGGCCGCACCCAGAACTTCCGCCGAACCATCCTCGGAATGCTGTCACAGATGTTCCAGCAGATCTCTGGTATCAACCTGGTCACCTACTAGTGGGTACCTTACGTGTGGCTTCGCTAACGCCCAGCCTTACCTCCGTGCTCGTCAAGATGGGTCTCGGTCCCGTCATGGCCCGTGCCATCGCTGGTGTCAACGGAACGTGCTACTTCCTCACGTCACTCGTGGCTCTTCCGATGGTTGAGCGTTTCGGCCGTCGCCCGCTCATGATCTGGACTGCTCTCCTGCAGGCGTTCACGTTCGCGATCCTCGCGGGCCTGTACAACATCACGACATACGATGCCAACAAGGTCGCCCAAGGTTTCAGTGTGCTCATGCTGTTCCTGTTCAACACCTGGTTCTCCGTCGGATGGTTGGGCATGACGTGGCTGTACCCTGCCGAGATCACGCCTCTCGCGATCCGCCAGCCGGCAAACGCGCTCTCGACTGCAACCAACTGGATCTTCAACTTCATGGTCGTCATGTGCACGGGACCCATGTTCGAGAACATCGGTTGGGGAACGTACGCCTTCTTCGCGTGCTGCAACTTTGTCATCATCCTGCCCGTCGTCTACTTCTTCTTTCCCGAGACCAAGGGCAAGTCGCTCGAGGAGATCGACCTCATCTTCGCCTACGCCTACGAGCACCACGAGAACCCCGTCAAGGTCTCTACCTCGAAGAATCTCCTCCCCAAGGGCGGATCGCGCGAGGCAGAGGTCATCCTGGGCGGTATCCATCACGAGAAGGTGCAGCACGGCGAGGCGTAGACGCGGCAGGCGAAGACAGAAACGTCAGAAGTTCCCCGAAAACCAAGTATCCTACTCCGCCATCTAGTTCTAGTTTCAGTCCAGTCCCTGTACAGCTCGAGCATGTATTCATTCTAATGCCTGCCGAAATGCTCCGCGCAGCTTCCGTCCCGATCAGAGGCCCCACCGCCCGCCACTGAATGTCGATCAGCATCAATTGGCAGGACCCCGTTCCCCCTGCGTTCTAGAAGCTGACGCAATGCTCCGCACGCTCCGTCCCCTCCGTCCGGTCCGGAATTGGGCTTCGAGACGATCATCCCTGTGCTCGCTCGGCGCTCCACATCGTAATGGTCAGCTGATCCCTCCGCTGCCGTACACCCTCCCAAGCATGACAGCGCCAAGTGGCCTAAGCCCGCCCCTCGATGTTCCTCAGCAACAGACGACCCGCGTCATCGAAAAACTCCCAAGCTGCCAGGAACGATTCCAGGTTTCCAGGAACCAAACAAAGTCGGCCTCGTCCGGTCTACCAGCACTGGTGGTGCTGGTGGTGCTTCGCGTGGAGCAGATTGCCGAGACACCTTTGTTGACAATTGGACATCAGTGGAGATGCGAAGCGTCATGAGTTGGGCGGTGATGGTAACGATTACCGCGTGGGATATAAGATGGGTGTTCTGCGGAATGCAAGACTGGGAGAGCCGTGTCATGATGCCTGTCGGCATGACGAGGAGCCCGCCAGTGCCATTACCCACATGTCCATGATCGTGTAGAATTTCGCCTTTCAACTTCTCCCTTCATAATGGCACAACGGTCAGACTAATCCAATGAAAGGATCTGCTGGCCTGACGAGAGGGCCCCACGACCGACAGGCCAAGTTTCTTCGTTCACCAATGGCATCGACGTTGGCTTCCCAAGATAGGACTTCGCCAGAGCCATGTCTCGGCGACCAGTCAGCCCAAGCGCCAAGATTGATACGGGTCCCGGCGACTTTTGCACTTGAGGAGCCTTTGAGGATGTCTGTCGGGTTGAGTCGGTGCACGAGTCGGCGAGCGGTCCGGTGAGCATGCCGACAATGGAGCCAGTCGATCCCAGACATTCCAGCAATCCAATGACAGTGGCCATGTGCCCGGGTACCGATATCTCTAAGCCATGTCGACAGCCCACCGCGCCACCCCAGAGTGCCCACTAGCATGAACGAATGGAGTTGAATGCGAACGGGCCGGACTAGCGGACGCTTTGATCGACCAAGCCAACGACGTCGTCTTATCTAGGTCTTTATCGGCAATTAGGCGACTATTGATTGGCTGACCGGCCCGGTGGCCACCCCGCTCCCGTACGCGATATCGATCTCGCCTCGTTGCATGCCTTTGCTCAAGGCATCCGAAGCTATAGCATGCAATGAAGATGCAGCGCAGGACGCCGAGGCTTGCATGCCGAGCACAGATCTGGTCCTGGAGGAGGTTCGACCTTGAATTCAAGAGGAGGAGGTATCTGGGCTTATCTGGGAAGGTTGGCGGAGTTGGCCGGTTAGCCGGTTGTTGATACGGGACAGGTGATCACCTGGCCACTCACTGATGTACCCGCGACGTGTTGCCGCACTCCCGGATCTTGCCACCCACCCACTCAACATGATACTTAAGCCCCCTCGTGTGCTATCCTTCCTCCCGTCTTCCTTCGGACTCTTGAATCACGCAGCGGCATCCATTCCCCTGCGTCGACATCTGCAGCAACCTCTCAGAACCCTCAACACCATGACTATCGCCCAGATCTCCCTCTCCCCGCTTCCCGCTTCGCCTAACGTCGACCCCGCTACCTTCCCCAAGGACTTTGGTCGCGTTGTCACCGGGTTCGACCCGGCAAATCCCCAGAAGGATCAGATCATCGATGCCCTGTATCGCGTGGGTGCTCAGCTTCACGCTCTGCGACCGTCAGCTAACAGCTCAGCACCAGGTCCTCCTCTTCCGCGACCTCAAGCTCACACCGAAGCAGCAGTATGAGCTGACTTTGGTGAGCTGATACTCCCGTTGGTAGCTAACCCCAGGCTTTCGACCCCGAAGCCACCTCGTACGGACACGGCAACAACGAGACGGGCAAGCAGGACAAGTCAGTCCTGCACCCAGACCTGAAGACGATCCCGCACCAGCCCGAGGTCCAGCTGATCGGCAACGGCGTCGTTCCAGGTGACCACGAAGGTCTTTCGAGCGTAAGCTTTCCGCAGGTCTTCAAAGCTGACCCCAGCCCCGGCTCAAGCACCCGCACCACAAGACGTTCCACAAGACGGTAGTCAGCGACGAGGAGGACGCGGCGGGCGTGACGAGGTTCTACAGGTGGCACATCGACGCGGCGCTGTACAAGCTCTCCCCGCCCAAGGTTACGACACTGTACGCCGTCAAGGTGCCCGAGGGCGAGCAGCAGACCCTGCGCTACGACGATGGATCCGGAGACGAGATCAAGCTCCCCCGCGGCAGCACAGTGTGTGAGTACATACCGCAGCTTCACTGGGCTGTAGTTCAAGCTGACACCCCAGTCGCCTGCGGCGAGAACACGTTCAACATCCTTCCTCCCCCGCTCAAGTCCCTCGCCGTCAGGACGAAGGTGCGCTACGCCCCACACCCCTATGTGTGGATGGCGGGCGCCAAGGCGCAGTCGACCGGCCTCGGGCTCGAAAGCGACGGCACCGAGATTCCCCTCTCGGAGCTTCCGGACTGGACCGAGGACAACGTCAAGGTGCTCCCCATGCTGTGGAAGAACCCCGTCACGGGTCGCTTGGCGCTGCAAGTGCACCCGTGTGCGGCGATGGCGCTCGAGATCGCCCCCTTGCCCGAGGGCGCGGAGCGTGAGGGCGCCCTGTTCCCGGACGGAGGCAAGGTGACGGACCTGAAGGAGGTGAGGGAGCTCTTGAAGACGATCCAGAGGCCGGGCATCGACCCCAAGTTCGTCTTCTGCGCGGACTGGCGGGAGGGCGACCTCGTGCTGTTCCACAACCGCGGCCTGCTCCACAGCGTCACGGGCGCGCTGAGGGATGACGAGCTGCGCATGTTCCACCAGTGCAACCTGGCCGCGTCGAGCGATCCCGTCGGCCCCACCGAGGAGGATGTCAAGCAGTACGCCTAAGTTCACTAAGTACATGTAACAGTATATGCATTAAGTCTGTAAGAGCGGTGTTGCTCATGCTACGGAAATATAAACAAGTGGATCCCAAACTAACTCCCTCTCACCGGCAGTCTACATATCCTTCGTCTTCGCCTGCAGCTCTGCGAGCTCGGGCCCGCTCCCTCCAAAGCGCTGGGGGACGTATTCCTTCTCGCCCAGCTCGGGCTGGAGCTGCTCCTCCCAGCTGACGACGTTGAACTTGCGCGCCGTCTCGCGCGAGACAAACATGCGCACGAACCCAAACACCCACCCCATAAGCCTGGGCACGCCGACAAAGTACTTCCGGCTCAGCGTCTCGGGGTAGTGTGCGCCCATGAGCTCGATCGTGGCCTTGCTCGCCGCCTTGACCTCGGGCGGCAGGCGGAGGAAGCTGAGCCCGCTGTAGACGTGGACCTGGAGGAGACGGTGCGGGTCCTCTGGCGCGGGATAGTCGGGGATCGGCGTCGTGGCCGAGGCGAGGTCGAGACGCGCCATGGCGCGCTCCATCAGGTCGACGCGCCAGCGGAGGAAGGCGTCGAGGTCGCCGAATGTTGTCTTGATGTCCGAGACGGCGCCGTAGACATTCCAGGTCACGATCTGGTTCACGGACGTCTCGGCGCCCTTCACGCTAGGCTCGGGCAGACTCGGGACGACCGTGATGTAGCCCAGGCCCTTGAAGGCGTCCTCATCCTTGACACCCGAGCGGTCCTCGATCCCGTCCAGTCCGAACGATTTGCGCCACTTCAGCGTCTTCTCGAGGTTGGCCGCGGCGGTCTCCAGATCTCCGGCAGTTGAGCGCAGGAACTTCTGCAGAATGATAAGCGTCGAGAACTCAGCGGGCGTGGAAGTGGAGAGCGTAACGCCCCAGATTTGGCTGTGGCCCGCCGACTCGAGGATGGAGGGAAGACGGGCGTGGAAGGTGCGCAGCGGGTGATCGGCCGCGAGGGGCCAGCCGGGCGTCTCCCACAGCTCTTCCGACTTGGTCTCAGCTGAAGGGGCAGGCTTGCTGTCGGCGACGGACTTGTCAGACTTGTCGACCGACTTGGTGTCGGTGCCGACTGCGGTGGCGGTGACGGAGGGTTCGGCGGAGGCGGGGGCCGGAGCTTCAGCGGCAACGGGCTCGGGGGCAGCAGCAGCCGGCTCAGCGACAGGAGCGGCGGCAGTAGCCTCGGGGACAGGCGCGTCGGCCGACAGAGTCTTGCTCTCGGTCATGGTTGTCTAGATCACTTGATCAAAAGATCGCTTGTGCGTGTGAACGTGAGAGTGAGAGTCGCTTGGCAGTCGCGGCTGTCGCAGTGTAGCGCGGTGGTGGTCGGAATTGGGATGAATGAGGAAGGAAGGCTGGCCGTGTTGGAAGGAATGAGGAGGGAGGAAGGACAATTGCAATTGCTGGATTGAGAGATGGGTGAATGAAACGTTGGGCCGGCGGCAAGTGTGCGTGCACCCGGAGCGTTGTGACGTTGGAGGGCACAGAAGGTTGGGAGGGCGAATTGCGAAACGGTTGCGGAATTGAAACAAGACACGACTGCGCGATGCTCGGTCTGGCCAAGGACAAGGCTCGATAGCTGGCAGGTCGGTGAGGACAATTGGGCGCTGACAACGGGTGGCAAAAGGGCGCGCGGCGCGGGGAAGCCGTAGTGCAGGGCCAGCGTAGATCCGTCGAATTGCCCGCGACTCACACTACCCGCTATCCCATCCTTCTCTCATCAGTCAGCGAGCGCCGGTCCAGGTTTGTGCCAGAAACTCGACTCCATCCTCCTGACAAGCCAGTACCGACAGGCCGACATGGGCTTGTCGGTGCTCATCGGCGATTGACGCCGTTGATCAGTACGACTCGAATACCTGGACGCCAAAGCGCCCGGGCGCGCCAGGCGGGTGTTCCTTCGGCCGACTTTTTTTATCTGATTAGAAAAATTGGATCCGTGCGCGGCCATCTCGCCCTCCTCTCCTTTGCTTCTCCTGATGAGGCGTCGCCCAGTAGGCCAGGAGCCGCACACGCATGCATCATGTGAGCAGCTGAATGTCGCACCTTGGTGCAGAAGAGGAAGTTTTTTCGTTCAAGCCAAGCCAAGCTCACTCACTTCACTACTTGCAGCAAGACGCTTGCTCGTACGCAGCCGTCTGCTAACTGTAAGAGGCAGAGACGCGGAACAGTTTCAGGCCCAGCCCGCAGGGGTGCAGGGGAAAGGCAAGGGACTCTCCTCCCGCGTGGCTCGGCTATTGCCCCGGTTCCTCCGGTGACTCAACCATGACTTTTTGTGGTCTATACTCTGTGAGATGCATGCGTTTTCTCCCCTCCCTCTCCGGCTCAGAAAATACTAGTTGAAAATAGGAAAAAGGTTAAGCGGTGATGTTGGAGGTGAAGAACGGCCGAGTGAAAGAGTCCTTCTGGTATGGGTTGGTATACGGTATCGCTCTGTGTTGTGCTTGTTGATGGGTCGGTGATGCGTACTGCTATAACTTGTTACGGCTTGACGGGGTTGGTGTGCTTAGGCGACTGGGGGAGTCGGCTGTCCGGCCTCAGGCATGACGCCGCCCTGCCTGATGAGGACCTTGAAAAACTCGTAGGAGAGCCACGAGATGGCCGTCGACGGCGCAACGGTCAGGACACGGGGGAGCATGCCGCGCTTCAGGCCCCGCCAGCCGTCGCGCTCGACAATGATCTTGAGCGCCTCGCCCATGCCGCGGGCATTCCTTATCCGCTCATCCGTCGACGAGCCGCGCGTCTGTAACAGCGTCTTGGCGACGTCGAGCGGCGTCGTCACAGCCGCAGCGAGACCACCCGCAATTCCTCCAGCGACAACGTGCGTCACAGGGCTGTAGGCGCCGGACGGGTTCATGAACGATTTGAGCGACTCGTACGCGCTGAACTGAACCGCCGTGAACGGAACGGACATTGTAAGCGTCGTCGGGTACGAGACGTAGAAGGCGCCGATGCCCTCGTTGCGGTACACCGTCGCCGCACACTGAGCCACGCTCTTGTAGGGCGATCCTCGGAGCTGCATGCGCTGCTTGATGACTGGGGTCAGCTAACGTCTGCGTGTTCAAGCTTACCATCGAACGGGTTCATGAGCGCATCGCTGGTGATCGTGGCACTGGCACCGGCCAGCGCTGTTCCTCCCACTCCACGGAATCCATCCTGGTGACCTCCGGCAATGTCACGCACAAACTCGTACATTCCAAAGTGGGCGGCGTGCGCAGGACCGGCACCAAGAATGACAGACGCAACACCGCGCCACAGCGACTTGATGCCTTCTCCGACTCGGACGGAGCGGAAGTGCTCCGAGAACGTCGTCAGCGGTGCCCGCACGGCAGCGCCGACGGTGGCAGAGGGACCGCCAACGGGAGCGGGGGCGAGGACCTGCATGCGGGTCTGAGGTTAGCTGCGTTGAGGGCACTAGAGCTCACCTTGATCGAGTCAACGGGGAAGATGGCAGCGTGCTCGGAGATACCAGCCTGGAAAAAGTTAGCAACGCGCAGCTAGTAGAGACGGCTGGCGCTAGTCGAGCGCCGAGCCCGATCGAGACACCGATCCAGCAAAGTACTGACCATAGCACCGGCGGCCATGTTGACGCCCCATCCATAGCCAGAGGGAAGAGCCTCGTACTCGTGCTCGTCATCCTCGTAGTCGACAAAGTCCTTGCCGACTTTGCGCTCGACCTGGTCGACGTGCGCGCCGTGAGGCGACACATGGAGGCGGCCCGACGAGCCAGACGAGTCGCCCATGTGGTCGAGTGGTTGGAAACGGGCCTGCATTGGTGGTTAGAACCGCGGTGAAAAAACAACAACGGGGCGGGATGATGGAAAGGGTGGAGCGGAGATGGGAAGGTGTTATCAGATAGAGAGGAGAGGGTGTGTGTCGTGGCTGGGCCGGGTGGGATAAACTGGGTAAAAGACTGGCTCAAGAGCCGACAAGTCCGAGCGTCGATGGAGTTTTGTACGCTCTGAAACTTGTGGACAACTGGAAGTGGTAGGTTCGCGGCATATAGCTCAAAGGTTGGGTTAGGGTGTGCCGAGGCCGAGCCTAGTTGGGTGGGTAGTACTGGGTGCTTGGGTGCGGGACGTGGTCGGCCGACGGGAAATGAGCATGTCTTGGTGACTCACTGGGACTTTTTTTGCGGGGAGGGGAAGGTACGTGAAGAGTCGATCTCACGAACCGGACAGACGTAAACGGGGAGGCTGGCGAGGCAGCAGGGATCGGAGGCCGAAGATGTGAGTGAGGGCGGAGTAGGAGAGGAGTAGGTCTCGGCGGTTGAGAGACACTTTTGGTGAGGTGTAGCAGACCAGTCAGTTGTCGTCGAGACTTTGTCGGGTGTGTTGAAGCGAAAAGGCGCAGGGTGAGGCTCCAGACGGAAGCATTACTTGCCAAAGCTAATGGGGCAGGGGTAATCGGATTAGGATTCATATTTCACCGTGCATTCCCCGTTAATCGGTGGATATTATCTCTCTGCTCTCGGCACTCTCCACCGGTCGCCTCGCTTGCACCGCCAGGTCACCCATCGCGCCACGCGGTAATAACAATCCCTCCCTCGGGCATCTTGAGGGCGTTACTATATTCCGCTACAGACTTTTCCCTAATACTGCAACGCCGAGTAATTCCAGGCACGGTCAGGCACAGCC